GACACGCTGACGAGCATGAACAACTTGGCGCTTGTGCTGGACAGGCAGGGCAAGTACGAAGAGGCGGAGGCGATGCACAGACAGACGCTGGCGCGGAGGGAGAAGGCGTTAGGGTATAAGCATCCAGACACGCTGGGTAGCGTATACCGTCTTGCCAGCCATCTTGCATATCAGCATTGCTATAACGAAGCCCTTGCGCTGTACAATAGAGCATGCGCTGGGTACCAAGCCGTCCTTGGGAAAGATCATCCAACCACTCGTATGTGTCGCCAGCATTACGTCAACGCGCTCGCATTGCAGGAGAAGAGTGAGCTTACCATTTCTTTTATGATGGCAGATGGCAGCGCGCGTGCACGCATAGGCAAAGTGCCAAAGCTGCTACGCGGATTAGCAAAGATAGGCATTAGAAGTTCAAAGTCCTCTGCGAGACAAGGATAAAAGATCCTGTAAAGAAATTTCAACGCGGCTGCGGGACTGTATATATGCCTCTACCTTTAACCTTTACTACTATCCGCTCCAAAAACAGGCGTGCGTGGAGTCTAGTGCGGTGTGTGTGTGTGCATATATTCGAGCACGCGCGAGTCATGCTCAGCCTGAGCCGCTAGCCGGGTGGCTCTATCTAAGTCACGCTCGCGAGACAAGGGTATGGGATCAGCGCTGACAGAATACCGCTAAGCTCTTTGAGGCATTTTCGTAGCGTTACAATTTGCAGGTAGCGCGCGCCATAGTTATTAATCCTGCTCTATAAGTTAGAGCAATAGAGTTGTACAACAGCGCTATAATCTATAATACTATAGTGCCTCGCTTTGGATATACTCTTTATACGCCTTTGTATAGATTAATAGACTCTTAGATATATGCGTTAAACCTTCGGTGTCACGAGAGCAACGAGTAGAGACGTCTGTGTCACGAGAGCAACGAGCAAGATGTCTGAGGCCCAGGTAGGCTAGATCAATATACTGCGTTTGGTATCTACGTGTAGGTACAAGACGTTGGATAAGGAGAAAAGGTCCTCTCCCCCCTATCCAGCGTGAATCTATCTTCTCGCTTCGTCGCACGCCCTTGCCAAGGGTGGTTAGCGCCATGTTTTGACCAATCAGCTAGCAGACAGGCCACCCGTCTAATAATCTATTGGCTGACTGCCAGCGCGCGACATCTCTAAGATGTACTGCTGCCAGCAGTATATCCATGCTTGTCAGGTAGCCTGGGGCTACCGTGACACTCCGCTGCAGATGAATTTATTCTGATGAGGAGAACTGCCGGCATGCCGGCACGCAGGTTTTCCGCCACACATGGAGGGATAGTAGTAGGGCATAGGCTAGATTGTAAGTTTATAGTAGAGACCTAAGCCCCCAACACATTCTAAGGTCTTAAGATATTCCGGAAGTAGGGTTATGGTTTTGATCCGTCGACGCGGTCTTGAATAATCAGAATATGATAGTCATTACTATAGTGTCCTTGACCCTATGCTATAATATGTAAGGATACAATACTTCTATGATGATCTTGTAAGGGGCTAGGCCCTGATAGCAACACACGATGATGGTGCCCAGAATACTGGTCCTAAGAGGAGCATGAGAACAGGGATTGATTGCTAATGAGCTATCAAGAGGGAGCGATCAAGCTATATAGGCAGAGGCAGAAGAGGATTGGCATGTTTGGGCCGAATACTGATAGGGATCTTCAGGGGCAGAAGTTACAGGTTCTGGGGCGGAATCACATGACTGACAGCTGCGGGTATCACGCAGCGCGTGTATGGGCCCAGCCCATTACAGATCTTAGTGAGGCTGCGTTCCGTCCTTAATCCTTAAAATCTGCCAGTCCAGACCCGCCCATCATCTTCTCGAAATTTGCCACCCACTCGCAACCAATTACATAACTTCCCCAATTGTTGAGCTACTGATTGCCTTAAGTGCAAACGCCGTTGTAGCGCCACGATTGCCGAGCTTCACCCCTGTGGATCCATATCTATAGATCCAACCCGGCTCCCAGCTGCCGTCCTCAAGCTGCATTGCCAGTAGCGCCTCCCGATCCACACTGCACTCTACGCCCAAGTAGGTGCAAGCTATGATTCGCATCGCAAGGTCCAAGGCATTGCCATTTTTCGCAACGCGCTCTTTCAGCCGTGAGCCCAGCAATGGGCGAAGCGTACACTGCAGATTTGTGTCCGTCGCTGCAGACTGTAGCAGCCGTGTGAAGAAGCCCAGACAGCAGTCGGCTGATGGGTAGTAACGCGTGCCATCCAAATAGCTCCGTCGCTCAATCACATCGCGAACATACTGGTATGTGTGGGGAAATTCGTGCCCGCGGCCGAAGCGGTAAAAGCAGGCGAGTATGTTGGCATTGACAACGGCATCGATGCGCGGACGCTCCTTGTCAAAATATGTCTTTGAATAATTAGCAAGTCAACAAATGATGCGGATGTCGGTGCACACACCAGAAAGGACCCATCAGGCATGACGTATTCTGCCATCCGATCCAGAATTGAGGTGACCTCCTCAGGCTGGGGAGGAGGAAGCACTGCCAGAGCTAAGGAAGTAGTGTCAAGATCATCAGGGAAGATTCCCCCCGGCACGAGCGTGGCAGGTCCTAAATTTCATGATGCGTCAGATCATGAGAATATAAATATCCCGATGCCGAAGATCAGCTTACCCGAGAAGAAATTCCATGTACCTTTTGAGTAGGGCCCGAAGTGAACGATATCTCTGTTCAAGATTAAATTACCATAAGACCATGAGAACTCGAGGTTTCCGCATCGGAACGGTACTTACGAGTTTTGAGTTGTCTCGACAATCAGCAACTTCGCAAAGTTGTCGCCAACACATACACCACTGTCTGTCACTGACTCGAAATCACATCCGCTCCGGTGCAGCCATTCATAACCTCTAACGATTGGTCCAAATAGCTGATCTTTTAGCGTGTCGGTCGTCTTGTCATCAAAAACAAGGCCCCTTATCCCTATGTTCCTCGCTGCGCGCACATTTTCCACTCTGTCGTCTACAAACAAAACTTCCTCAGCCCTCAAGTCAATCTCCATCAGCACCTCGCGATAAAAGTCCAGCTCCGGCTTCCGCCTCCCATGTTCACCGGATGTGAATATATCGTCGAAAAGCTCCAAGTCTATCTTGTCCCCGAGAGTAGCAAAGTCTTCCTTTGCAATGTTCGACATTGCATACACTTTGATCGGCCGTTGCCTCCGCAGGTCCTTGATGAAGGAGACAAGTTCAGCATCGGGCTTCAAGGATGCACGGGCCTGGTCGAAGGCCTCACAAACTTGACAGACGTCTACCCGGAACTGTTGGGCCACACTTTCGTAGCAGGCCGCTTGTGTTATGCGGCCACACTCGTAGTCACACCAAGGGGTCGAGTTGAGGATCTTCTTCATCATGCCTGGAGAAATTTCGGTCTTCGTTGTGCGCGACCACTGAAAGAAGACGTCGCCTAGATCGAAGATAACGGCAATGATAGGGACGTAGGGCAGCATGATGAACGCTTCAAAGGAGAGGTCTGACAAACTTGATTCATCAGAAGTAGGGGAAACTTAGATGATATAGGCAATGCGGCGTCATAATTCTATCATCGTTCGTGCATCCACTCTACCTGTTCAATAGCTTTTGTTACTACCCAGCTTCAACCTGCGCATTTAGTGAGAGTAGGCACCATGTATGAATAGATTTCTCAGACCGTAATGCACAAATCGTATATAGTAAGCCCTCAGCTCACGAATATTCCCTTACATAGTTGATGATAAATCGGACCATCGCACCAATCGGTTGAAGTACAGCCGGAAATGGGTGAAGGCCAAGGCGCTTTGCAGGCGGTCAGGGCTTAGCCATGCTGACTGTTGCTGGATCAGGGCCATAGAGTCCACAAAGTGCATTAAAGAGGGCCAAAAATAGAACTGGTCGTTTGTAGGCACAGTAGAGACCGTCGAAACAAACGAGTTTCACCCGGAGCGATGTTTGCGCAAAATCATCTGGTCAATGACTCCAGCTGGAAGGCGTGTTTGCTGACAGCTCCTGAATTTTACAATGTATCAGCACACTGGTGACTACGATTTTTCTGGTTGTGATGGAATAGAGGATAGACAAATTACGTGTTGCTGTTATCAACTACGCCTCAACAATGCGAGATGGCCACCAGCCATCACTGTGTCGCCTGGCTTCACCAGCAATTTCTCAACCTTCAACTTCCCAGCCTTTGTTGCTGGCTCCGGTGGCTTGACTGAGATCTCGAGCTTCATCGCTTCTAGAATCACAATCTGGACTAGATCAGCATAAGATAGGTTTAGCCGTCGCGCTGTTTGCTTACTACCGTCTCTTCGCCTGCTTCGTCCCCTTCTTTTGCCTCGACCTTCCACACATTCGCATCGACGGGCGCTTCCACACTGACGATATTCGGGTCATCTAGTAGTTTCTCCACGGTACCTTCATCGATCTGACTTTCCGCTTTCTCTTTCCGCCAGCGCTCCAAGCTCTCGTTCTCTGCCTTTGTCATCTCTTCTTGTGCCATGGCCTGCTTTGCTCTGATCTTCTTTACCTCTTCCATGGTCTGCTCGATTAACTTGTTGTGTTCGGCCATATCGAACTCAATCTCGTCATACTCCCAAGCATACTTACCGGCCCTGAACTTGCCGAGCAGAACATCAAGCTCCTGCTCACTTACCTGATAGAATGTGAGGATGTCGAAGTCGCGGAAGATCCATGGCCGTTCGGTGAAGCCAGGTTTGTAAGAATAGTAGTCCCAGCACGGCACTGTACGACCGGTCATTTGATATCCACCTGGCGAATCGACAGGGTAGATTGACATGCAGCTACCCGCCCAACCGACTGTTCCCTCGGGCGTGAACACGCGGCTCGGGTTCATCTTGGGTGCGGAAATACGCTGCCGTGGATCCACAGGTAGTGAGACCGTGTTGCCACAAAAGAAGCCGACAACGACGGCCATAAACTGGCCACTGAGATAGATGTCTTTGAGTTGCTGCGGTGTGAATGCGTTGTTCTTTGCCACGAACGCCAGATTATCGGGCAGATACGGGGCATGTGGGCGTTGATTAGTCATGTAGCGCTGAGTCGCTTCGTCTTGGAGTTTCGATTCGAACGAGATCGGGAGCTTAAAGATGCGGGTTGGTACTTTAGTAGAGCGCAAGTCGCCCAATTTCGATTCCACGTCTTTAAGATAGGCGACAAGATCCGACCGGGGAAGCTTGGCACCATTGTAATAGACCAGTAATGTGGTGCAGCAGCCAACGGTGTTGAGCAGGTTTAGTTTGATATCATCAGGAGTCGCCTCTGAATTCAAAGTGTTTTCCAGGGCAGTGACACGGCACCTGTGGTTCAGGTCGAAGGACTCATCACCATACTCGACGAGAATATGGTCATCGCCACCTTGACGATAGCGAACTCTGGGCGTCGTGACGTCGGCTTCTTTTTCCCAGATTACAGCCTTTCCTATTTCACCCTCGTGGAAGCTGATATGGTTGTTTTGCAGGCTCTCTATGCCCTTGAAACCATTGTTGGCCTCGATAGCTTTGGCAACCGAGTCAAGGAAGTCATCGTTCCGCTTCCTTTTCTTGAGCGCATCCTGTAATCCGAACCGGACATACTTGACAGTGTTTCCTGCTTTGATCTGCCCAAGCTTCCACCAGTCCGCCTTGATCACAGTCGTACTACTGGTGAAGCCGCCAAAGTTGGGACAATCCACAGGAAAGATACACGGATCATCGCCGGTCCAATTTAATGTGCCCAGTGGGTAGCCATACTCAATGAGATTGCTTGGGTGGGCGCCTCCTTCGCCACCATCGGCGCGCGCCCACTTTGGCACAGGTCCGATGAGGCGGATGCCACTGCGCGACGCATTGTGAGAAACCTTCCACTTCGTGTCGTAAATGGTTTTGATGAACTCAGGTGCGAAATAGCCTTCATCATGTGGCCCAACCATAGCCGATATTTCCCAATCGTTTCTGTAGCTCATGCGAAGATGTTCTGGTAGAGACATACACACGAAGTGTTCAGGGATATAATCTGAGATCTGCAATAGATCGCCCCGTGCGAGCGCTCGTCCCTGATAGCCACCTATAGCAACGAGCGGAGAGGTCGACTTGGAGCCGAAGTAGCTTGCAACGGAAGGGAAGCCGCCGTACACAGCTAGGTATGAGCGACATCCACCGCCCGTCGTTTTGCCGATCTTGAGTCTGGCTCCTGCTTCGATCTTGACGCTAGTCCACATGGGAAACTCGTTGTCGTCTAAGGATGCTTCCATGGGCGCACCGCATAGAGCCACAATAGCGGGGGTTACGAAACGTAGTTCGGGACCGCTCAGGGTAATCTCGAGACCCTCCTTTCCACGTGGATTCCCAACAAGAAGATTGGCAATCTGAAATGCCATTGGATCCATGGGTCCGGAGTGCGGTATACCTTTGCCCACTGTCGGCCTTCCAGGGAGGTCTTGTATGAGGGTGTAGGCACCAGCAGAAATTACATCGATCGCGTGAGGAGCGTAATTGAAGTCCCGAAGGAAACTGGTCATGGTGTTGCCCGCGCGGAAGCGTGGATCCTCCACAATGTTGGCCAAAAACTCGAGGTTCGTGGGTGGCCCACAGATGGCCGATTGAGTGAGGAGTTCGTGCATTCCCGTGATAGCGTCATCACGAGATGGGCGATAGACCATGGCCTTTGCTATGAGAGGGTCGTAGTTGGGCGTGATGCGAGAACCGGTGAAGACCCAGGTGTCAACGCGACTGCCAGATACGGTCTTCCACTCAACTTTCTGGAGCAGACCTGGGGAGGGCGCATAGTCCTTCAGCGGATTTTCTGCGTACACACGAGCCTCGATTGCGGAACCAGACGGTCCAGCTGGTTGCATCTGCTTGAGTGTGGTGCCGTCGAGCCCGTTCTGGCCTGTCAACTGCGCATCTGCCTGCCTCAGCATGAGCTCCACCAGGTCAACATCATAGCAAAGCTCAGTGATTCCATGCTCGACCTGAAGTCGTGTGTTCATCTCTAAGAAGAAAAAGTCACCAGACTTGTCATCTACCAGGTATTCAATAGTTCCAGCCGACCCGTACTTGATTGACTCGGCCAGGCGTACAGCTGCATCGCCCAACTTCGCTCGTAGATCGGGCCGTTTCTCTACGAACGGGCTCGGACATTCCTCGATGACCTTCTGGTGCCGTCTTTGTATCGAACATTCGCGCTCGCCAAAGTGGATCGCCTGGCCCTGGCCGTTCCCAAAAACTTGCACTTCGATGTGGTGACTTGCAGGGTAGAAAGCCTCGATAAAAACGCCAGGGTTCTTGAATAGAGTCTTGCCTCGCGACTGTACCATTCGAAAACCCTCGCGTACTTCTTCCACCTTGTTGCAGGTGATAAGGCCCATGCCACCGCCGCCACCGGTCGCCTTAAGCATCACAGGAAACTTAATTCGCTCCGCTTCTTTGATCGCCGCATCTTCATCTTCGACTAGACCTTTGGTGCCTGGCACGATCGGAACGTTTGCTTCCTCGGCTAGCGCTCTGGCTGTGTGCTTGATCCCGAATGCCTCAATTGACTCGGGTGTTGGTCCTACCCATGCAATGCCAGCATCACCAACCAGTCGCGCAAAGTGCGCATTTTCCGACAAGAATCCGTATCCAGGAATGATGGCGTCTGCGCCTTTCTCCTTCGCTATTCGCAAGATCGACTCTTCCTCTGTGTAAGCCGTCGCATTGCTCCCCGGCAGCAAGACTGCTTCATCAGCATCACGAACGTGCTGCGATGCGGCATCGGCTTCTGAATAGATTGCGATAGTTCTGATGTTGAGCTTCCTGGCTGTCTTGCAGATGCGGACCTGCAATGTTGATGATGATGATGTCAGCGTATCTTATCGATAGTGACGGCTTCCGACGGGCTTCCGACGGGCTTCCATGTCCCTCGCGAGTTCACCTACCGCAATTTCGCCCCGGTTGGCGATGAGGAGTGTCTTGAGTTTTTCCATCATGACCCCGAGCTCAATAGGATAGTCTCTGTACGGTCTTGTGTGCAGGTACGCGTAAAGGCACGGAGGCGTTAAGGGCGCATGGTAAACCCCGCCTAATGCTGATTCCCCTATCTTTCGTCGTGACCCCGCTGCACTCCTCCCGCAATTGGTCCTCCAGTCCTCCTCGGCTCCATGAAATCGACGTCATGATAGCAGGGCGGAGTGGGGATCAGGATCTTCGTCAATTGTTCATCATGGCGGGCTAAGGGAATTCATTGTGTATTTTCTACCCACGACGCAAACTCACAATGCCGGCAATCAAGCACCCAGTCAAAATCAACGTGGATCTGGGCGAGGGTTATGGAAACTTTAAATGTGGTCCAGATGATGAGTTGATACCGCTTATCGACCATGCAAACATTGCTTGTGGCTTTCATGCTGGGTATGCTGTCTAACAACCCGTACCAGTAGCTATACTAAGAAGCACAGTGACCCCTTGATCATGCACCAGACCGTCTTGGCGTGCAAGAAGCACAATATCGCTGTGGGTGCGCATCCTGGCTTGCCAGACATTCAAGGTTTCGGACGCCGCGAAATTAAGATGTCTCCCGAGGAGCTTACGGCCGCCATACGATACCAAGTCGGAGCCCTCAAAGCGTTCCTAGACGCTGAGGATGTACCGCTTCATCACGTGAAACCACACGGTGTATTATACGGGATGATGTACCGGGACAAGGAGGTGTGCCGCGCGGTGTATGCTGGAGTACCCAAGGGCATGACTGTGTTCGGGCTTGCTGGCACGCTACACGAAGAAGTTGCAAAAGAGATGGGCTTGCCATTTGTCGCGGAGCTATATGGCGACGTGAAATACAACAATGACAATACGCTTGTCATTGACAGGAAGAAGAAGTAGGTGGCGTGGATACAATAACAGCACAGTGCTGACCAAGTCTAGACCATGGCATCCTGATGAGACGAAAAGACACGTACGAAGTCAAGTAGAGGATGCAACTGTAATTACAGTCACGGGCGAGGAGCTGCAGCTGCCAGTGGGCGACTACGAGGTCTCGCTATGCTGTCATTCGGACTCGCCTGGCGCACTGGACATCGTAAAAGCAGCGCGCGAGATCGTCGACCAATTCAACACGAGCCACTTCCCAAAGAAGTGAGGATTTCAGGTATGCGCCGAGCCGAGCCGTTTCTATATCTATGGTCTGCATATACAACACCCTCCAATTACCTCAGTACTCCTACCTACACTTAGTCTTTCTGTACCTAATGATACGACTATGTGTCGTCTACTTCGCCTTTGCGTGAGCGACCTTGAATCCCCCTGGCATGAGATCTGTATAGATCCTGTTGGGATCGTATCGATCTCTGATAGCCTGGAGCTTCCTAACGTTTTCATTTCCGTAGCTTTCGAAGACACCTTGACCCTTGTTGGCGTCATTCAGATAGATGTAACGGGCCATGAGGTCCTTCTCCTTGAGTTGCGCCTCAATCTTCGCATTCACGTCTTCGAGAAACTTGGTGATCTGAGGGTCATCCTCGGCGTTGCTCCAGGATATGCTTTCTTCAACCCAAAATGCAGGTTCTTGGTCGACATTCTGCGGGCTACCTTCCGACATCCTTGCCATCGTCCGAGTGACCGCGTTGTAGGCAAGACCGCAGAAAAATCCAGTTATTCGATTCGCGAGGTCTCTCTCCTTTAGCAGGTCGAACCAGTTATCATGTATGATGTCCATCGCCTCGCGAGTTGCCTTTGCCGGGACAACGCGGAACCTTTGTCGAAAGCCATAGCCGGGACCGCCTTCCTCGAACGCGAACTTCGTCAGACGGCTGTATTCGGCAAGTGATTGTGGCTTCAATGTGGAGCTATCGTTGACAGACTTAATACTTCCATTAAAGAACTTGGTCGCTGGACCATGCGATGGGGCGACGGAACCGTTAAAGAGGAGTGTCGCTTCATAGCTCGGCACTGTAAAGTTCGGTCCCCACCGGGCCACGGGTGTGATGGCAAATGCCGGATCTACATCGCCATGGAGGGTGTAATCAAGCAGGGCATCGAGGTACACATCTTTTGTCTCCTCAGATTCTTCGTATGTCGCCTCAGCACGGAGGGTTTGCTGGAGTGGAAAGGTTTGGAGGTCGAAGCGAGTAACAAGGGCGAATGAATTGCCTCCGCCTTGCAGTGCCCAATATAAGTCGGCATGATCGCCGTCCGCGGTGATAGTGGCAACGGTACCATTCGCAAGTACAACCTGTGCTCGTCAGCAAGTTATCTGGATTTCTATTAGGTGTCTTACTTCGTACGCTTTTATCTTGCCGTTTGAAGACGCAAGACCGTGAGCGTAGCTGAAGTATGAAATGCCACCACCTAGGAGAAGACCCGGAACACCGACGGGAGGGAGTCTTCCGCCAACAACAGTCAAATTAGATCCGTCCATGAATTCGAAGACATCGCCCCATCGGAAAGCTGGACCAATTGACATCGTTTGCTTGTCCTCTGACAATGCAAGGATGTTCAGATTCGTGCTTGAAATCTGCACTCCAGTGGAGTTGATATTGGCTGCGTCAGAGATAGGCATATGGCCGCCACCACGCATGGCAAATAACGTAGACGTTTTCACCATAGCTTTGACGGCATATGATAAGTCGTCGGCATTTCGAGGGACGAAAACACATGCTGGGTTGGTCCACGATGATGCATCCCATGACACTGAATGTGGGTGAGCAATGGCAATTCGTGGAGATGGAATGAGTATACCAACCCTTTGTCTCCTTCTCGTAACCCTGATCCTCGGGAAGGAAGGTCAAGTTTGCGAATTGGGCTTTGAGGGTATTACAGACATGGGACGGATTGGCAAATTTGATGTGTTCCGCAGCGCAGTTGCCTTCTTTGCCTTTGATGGTGGCGGATGCCAAAGGGAGGAGACCGAGAAGAAGAGCCGTATACATGGTTGTCGTGTGTGCCTCCTAAAGGAAAGGGATAACGAATGGAAACCCAGGACAGATGGATGATCAATTTCGCGATTTTTACACTTTAAGTACTTAATAGCTGCCCGTGGAGTAGTATGTACGGGCGCATTAGTTAAGAGCCGTAATTATGGTAGACTGTTAAAGGCTAGGTTCCACATCATGGCGTGTGGCTGGGCTAGATGGATCGACAGGGGATGTAGGCTTCTTCGGGAGGCTAGGAAATAAGTCTCACTCAATGCCAGACATTGCATGTGTTTCCTTGACCGTTGATGTGGCTGTGATCAGAATGCAATCTCTCCGGATGCTCCCGCTCGTATCCGTGTTCGCACTCGTACTCGTTCTCGCACTCTCATTCGCTCTACACATGAGTACACTCTTAGCGCTTGATGTGGCCAATGAATGCATTCAATTCTTGACAGTTTGTCCCAGTTAGGTTCAGTTTCGTACGGCGAAATTTTTGAAACGAGCCGCTACTGATCATAAACTATCGACCAACGCAAACATACTGAATCAGAGCTAGAGCGGCGGATCCCAATGAGGAAGACGTCGCCCTGGTTTAAGTCGCCCATTGAAATGTTTTCTCCGCCAACCTCTTGTTCACCGTGTAGAGACAACACCCACTGCCTGTAGAAGATATTGTTTGGCATTGTAGATTTCGGGAATCCCAATTTCGAGCGTATGGTCGAGCTACTGATTTTGTTCGCTACCCTTGTTCGAATTAAGGATGGCGCAAATAATGGCATTGCCTCTTCTACATAGATAGATGGACATGGCGTCCCTACTGTATCGTAATCTTCTTTGTTCTCTGTCCTGCGTCGTGCGCCCGACCAAGTGCGTCACGCCTAGGATATTCTGGCATATACGCTGCACCCATGAACCTATAAAACGAACCATCCGTGGAGAACACGAACGGGATACTGCTTCCTTCAAGAACACCTTTTACGTCACCAGGAGACATACTCTCCGGATCAAGACCTATTTGATTGTACTCTGTCAGGAAGAGCCTCCTGCCTCGTAGCATTTTTGAAGGTGAATAGTCATGATATTCATTGGCCTCCTCGTCTGATTCGAGGCTTGGATCACTGTTTTTCACGATACGTAGACTTTCAGACACGATGCTGAGAAGTCTTCTGTACGCTTGTTGCTCTTTCTCATGCATATTGTCGTCTATGCCATGAACCTTTCGTTCGAGAACCCTTTCGAGATTACGCGAGCCGTGCAATTGACATAGACTGCCATCTTTTCGCTTGTAGGTCCTGGCGTGCATAGCGTCGCATAGCCTCACATTCAGCCAGGCCCTGTCAACGTCGCTAGTATCGCTCCCCATGGAAGTTGAGAGCTCAGCCCAAAATTCTAACACCTTGAAGGCACTCAGATGGTTTTTTTTTTTTTTTTTTTTTTTTTTTTGAAATCAAATCGAAACCCGATCCTGATTTGACACCGTCAATGAACGCGCATTTTATAGACAGGGCCTTTTGGTCCAGATCCACCATCCCAACGCAATGCGTCTGCGAGTCGAGATGCTCGTTTTTGATATCCTCTGCAAGACTCTCATTCCACTTAGGTACCCACGACGAAACCTCGAGACCGAACAGGTTATCAAGCGAAGCACCATGATGGATCGAACTCAGCAATTGCGCCGTGCCGCCTCGCGTCGCAATACCTTGCGCGATTTGGAAGTATAGATCGCCGACGGAGATGGAGTAGTCTGGCTCAACGCTTCTGACGAAATCATTCCATGGATTGTCGTTGTACGGTAGCGCAAGAATGCCATACAAACGGTCGCGATCATCCATGCACCGCCTACTGCGCACCCACTGTAGCATACCAAAAATGTCGAAGCCATCCTGCTTGGATTGGTATGCGTGAACCTTAGAGACCCACGTAAAGGCGCCTTGGTACATATTTTCAAATCGAGATTCGAGTAGGTGGCACCAAATACCGTAGAACTGATCCATACTGATGTGCTCCGAGCCCAGAAACAAGGTGGTATTTGGATTGAGGAATGCCTCTTGGATCACCCATATACGCTTGAAGTAGTCGAATTTGGAGAGCTCGCTGAGGGACGATACTGTCGTTGCTGCTGCGAAGAGCTGGAGATTTAGGAATAAATAAACAGTTGCTTGCCGTTATAGTGCCTTGCTATAAACGGTGCAAGAAAATGCGTTTGGATACGACGAAGCTGAGATATCGTGCTCCACTAGGACTGCCCCAAATCCCAGACGACTAAGTTCATACACGCATCATACACATTGGTATATTACTCCTCATGTATATTGCTCCTCACGAATGCCAACACAGCGCAGCATATACGCGGATTCTGCAACTGAAATTGACCACATTTCCACAGTTATACACAACCCAAACCCGATTCCATACACATTTCCATATTCATACACTCATCTTCATTGCAATGCCCGCATGCGGCTTATACCCCACAACCTCAAACTCCTCGGCCTTCCACTCATCAATACTGCACCCAACCTCCTTATGTATCTTTAGCGTCGGAAAGTCCCTCGGCTCCCTCTCCAGCTGGACCTTCAACGCGTCGACGTGGTCGACGTACACGTGCGCATCGCCCATCGTATGCGTAAAAGTCCCGGGCGTGAGATCGCACGCGTGAGCCAGCATGTGGGTTAGCAGCGCATAGCTCGCGATGTTGAAGGGGACGCCAAGCCCCATGTCGCAGCTCCGCTGGTAAAGGATACTGTGCAGCACGCCCCTCTTCCTCTCCTCACCCTCTTTCGCCTGCGGAAACGACACGTAGAATTGCGCAAACATGTGGCAAGGCGGGAGCGCCATCTTCTTCAGGTCCGCGGGGTTCCACGCGCTGAGTATGATGCGGCGGTCATATGGCTTGTTCTTCAGCTTATCAATGACCTCCGCCAGCTGGTCGACGCCCTGGCCGGTATAGTCTACATCGTGTCCCTTGTACTCGGCGCCAAAGTGCCGCCATTGGAAGCCATACACGGGCCCGAGATCGCCTTCCTCGTGGTGCGAGAGCCCCACGCTGTCGAGGTACTCGCGGCTGCCGTTACCGTCCCAGATCTTGATGCCGGCGTCTGAGAGGGGCTTCGAGTATGTGCTGCCTGCGACAAACCAGAGGAGTTCGGCTACGACGGCGCGCAGGAAGACGCGCTTTGTGGTGAGGAGGGGGAGGATGAGCTCGGGCGGTTGTGAGGGGTCGGTGGTGGGGCGGGAGAGGGCGAATTTCATCTGTGCCGGCGCGAAGATGGAGTATGTGCCGGTGCCGGTGCGGTCGGGCCGGTGCTCGCCATCTTGGAGGATATCGCGGATCAGGCTCAGGTACTGGTATTCTTCGTGCGCGTGGTGAGGTTGTGTGCTCGAGGTGCCATTTGTGGACGATTCCTTAGTGGCGTCTGGGGCGGGAGAAGACGAGATCACAGTTTCTATGGCGGAAGGCGACATGTTGGCTATGTGTGGGCGAAGCGGAAAGGGAGAGGAGCATCTGGAGGTTGCACGACAATTAGTCGCGCTACGCGTCACAGCTGGAAAGCGCGACTGCGCGACTGCGCGACTGGCAGGTGGGGCCCGCCGGAGCGCGAACAGTGAGCTAACTCGATTGGTCCTCACCGCTAAACATCGAAGCAACAACACGCCACATACAGGCAACATGGCCGAAGAGCGAGCGGCGCATCACTTGCTGAATGTACTGGAGGAGCGAGGTCTAGATGCGAATCTAGATCTCGACAATGTGCTTCTCGCGTTCGAAGACGACGACATCAAGAGGGAGGCTGCGGCGTGGGTCGAAGAATATTTGCACGAGGATACGCTGCTGACAAAGGAAGAGCTGGAACTGTGAGTGTATAAATATCAGTGCAGGTACCAATAATGACACTCTCTAGGTACCAGACTCTGAAGAAAAAGGGCATCTTGCACCAGTATGAAGCCGAAGAGGAACCTGTCCGTCCCATCTTAGACCATGAGCTCGCTTCGGCGATAGACTCGTTGCAAACATCGACTGCAGCGATCGAAGAGCAGTGCAAAGTGCTTGAAGCCCAGAAAGAGGCGCTCATGAAGTTGAAGGCTCTCGATAAGCCAAACTTTCATGTTGAGCATGAACGCAACGAAAGGAGACGCAAAGAAAATCAAGAGAAAGCTAGACTTGGCGTATCTGTATGTGTATTTGGGAAGTTCTTGTTTGACGTGCTGAGTGTTCCAGGTCAACGATGTGTCCACAACGATCAACGAACAGCTCGCTGATACCCAGCGCGACATTGACGCCGAAAAAGCTACGCTAAGAAGCTATCTCACAGAGCGACTCGCCTCAGACGATCAAATACTGAGCCGTTTACCGGCCATCGTCTCTAAGATTGTGACTGAACCTGAAGTCAGCGAGGATGAAAAGTCCATTGAGCAATGGTGCAAAGCCATCATCTCGTATCGCACAGCAGAGATTAAAGCCAAAGTAGACGCTGTGTACCTCAGCAGCTTGACAGACTATTCCCCTAGAGATCTCCCTGTTGCATCCGAAGAAGAGCTTGGAGGGCGAAAGGCAGCTCTCAAGGCAGAGCTTGAAGATCTGCACACTGAGATCGCCTCAGTGGCCGAAATGGTGGTCGACCATGAGCTGCGCAAGCCAATGATGGACATGCAAGAGCGGAAGGAGCAGGATGCCACTCAGGCCCGCAGTGCCTGGCTCAACTATGTGGTCACCACCTTGGACTACATGGCCAAGCGCCTTGATACGGTTACAGACTACACCAAAAACATCGACGAGTTTCAGGAAGCAGTAGCACATATCAACCAAGCTGCTGCGAAACGCATGCAGGACACGAGCAAAGAAGTGGCAAGGCCAGAGATACGGCGAGCGAAATCCAGTCGCAACTCCATCTTCTCACCCGCGCTGAAATTGAAGCCGACTAAAGCGCTCGACTTACCGGTAGCTCTCCAAGATGCCCTTCGACACACGAGTATCTCGTTCAATCAGGATAGCATTGAGAGTCTGCAGGAATCGCTAGCCAAGACTCAGATTGAACGATCGAAAAAGCTACAGGGTCACTACGATTCAGATTCGAGCTCGACGCAAGCCGTACTCGCCGAAAGGCTCAGCAAAGCAGATGCTGATTTGCGATTGATATTTGGCCCACTGTACAAGCACACTCCGTTCCAGCAAGTGCGCCTGACCGACGCAAAGCTGGAGAGGGAGCTAGGGAAAATGGATCGAGAGTTAAACGATGCCAGCGAGCAGCTACTGAATGCCGAGGCCAACGGACTAAGCTTGAGCGATCCAAAGGTGAGGGCATTCATTGCGAAGCACGGGAGATGAATCGCCCTCTGTACATGTAGAAGTATAGATAATACCAGCTGCGCTGTACAAGTGTAGCGGCTTGTGATACTGCCTCGGCTGTGTTGTCGTTGCACCCCGTATGCAACTCTCCGAATCAAGTTTACGAAGTTCCTCATGCGGTTAGGGCCGTCTCCCAGCCCCCAAGTTTAGCTGACAACAACAGCTGCATCTCCACCACAACACCACCGCCAGCGTCCCTTAGCGTGCGCGGCATGCTGCGACACGATACGCGAAGCTTCACAAGCTACCATTCCCAGCATTGAGCCTGCTCAGGCCGCCCCTTGCCCACCGACTACCTGCCGCCCTCGCATTGGCAAGCTGACCGCGAGTCGACACCACAATGGCCCGAGGAAACGACATGGGCAAGCTGCTGTCCGCCGGCGGTGCTGCGGCAGCGCTTGGAGGTGCCTACAAGCTTGGAGAGTTCCTGTACAAGGCGAAGCGTCTGCGCGACGTCGGCCCCGCGAACGCTGTCTACGTCCGCTTGATTGGCCGTGTCCGATCGGTGAGGAGCCCGTTCACCGCGCGCCCGTGTCGCAGTTGCTAACAGTCTGTTCTTCCACAGGATCTCGATGAAGTGCGCCGCCTACTCGCCGTCAAAGAAGTCCACGACGCGCTCGAGGCGAACCCGGAGAAGGCCAAGTGGGTGTACGGTTGCATGCGCGATGTGCGCGGCGCCCTGGAGAACATCACGCCGCACACGGAGCGCGTGGGAGCCGACATCGAGGAGGGCCGTCGCGTTGGACTGCGCCACCGCGTGTACTGGCTGCTCAGCGAGAAGGAGAAGCTCGAGAACAGGGAGAAGGAGGTTTCGGTTGCACACGCCAGTTTGACCGAAGTCATCGGCTACCTCACGGGGCTGGAACCGGAGGGCACCAAGAAATCCCACGACAAGCACGGCAAGCACGAGAAGCACGACCGCCACGACCGCCACGACGCGCACCACGATGTGCATGTGGACAAGCACGTGGATATCGACATCGATGTGAGGCACGAGGGTCCGCACAGGCACGAGAGGGAGGTCTGGGTCGAGCGTGACGACCGTGGCCCGAGGAGGGTCATCGAGGAGCGTGAGGAGTGGATCGAGCGCGACACTATCCGCCGTGGGCCTCGCAGAGTCGAGGAGCACATTGTCGAGCATGAGCACCGCGGCCCCGGCCACTACGACGTGCGCGAGACGTTGGTCGACGAGCATGGCCGCCCCAGCCGCTACGACGAGCGCGAAGTCTACGTCGAGCAAGGTCGGGATCCCCGTCACGAGTCTCACTACGCGGCCTACCACCAGGATCACCGACACGACGACCGCCGCGTCGAGCGTGGCCTGCATGTTGAGCGCGATCCCCGCGACCCGCGCCACGTAGAGGCGCGCTACTACGAGCGCGGCCCCGACCGGTATGAAGAGAAGCGTTACGAGGAGCGCCGCTTCAGCGAGCCGCTGGGGCGCCGCCCGGAGTCCTTCGAGGACCGCCTCCCCGAGCGCGACACCTGGATGCAGAGCGAGAGCCGCCGGCCTGCGCCCGGCCAGTACAGCCGCTACAACGACTACGCTGAGTACGGGGCGCCGCAGCCCAGCGGCGCAGCGAACTACCGACGTAAGTTCGAGGGCGATCCTGGCTTTGGCGACGAAGAGCTGCTGAATCGTGACATCCAAATAGTGCCGCCGAACCCGGAGTATGAGCGCGAGGTAAGTCACTCAATGACTGTTGCCAAGGACATCCGCTGAAGCGAGCAGGTCTGGGTCGAGGAGAAGGAGGACTATCGCTATGACGAGTACGGCAATAGACTGCCCGACCGCTACTTCCCCAACCTGCCCCGCAACCGCCTGTAAATGAAGTAGGAACGCAAAATTGTCTTTGGCGGAAGCATTGTCTATGTTTCTCGTGCTTATATTGGATTTCGCGTATGTAGCAGCGAGGCTTCCCCAGCCCTGTTTCCATGTAGTTATCGACCCTTTCACCTGTCTGTCTTCAGACGTTTTGCATTTGTGCTTCTGAGCTGAGCAGTGTGCCGTGGGGATGGGGCCTGCTGGTCCCACTACACCGCCGACTCAACAACCCTCACCCCATCCACGGTACCGGCCATCGTCCGCTAAGCAACAAACTCTGCACCATGTCCACCGCGCACTTTGCTTGCTTGCACGACCTGCAAACCGCTGGTGCAAACCGCTACCCTAGACTTCACCCCAAATACACCCAAGCTGTCCTGGCTCCCATCATAGTTTTGCATATCTCTTGATTCCCTTGGAACATATCACCGGCGGTGGAACCTCACCGAACAATGGCACCTCCCGCACGCCAGCAGCCTTCGCGGCTAAGGAGGCTTTGGGCTGCGGCTGGAACAAGGGAGTGGACTGGTAAGTTGAGCTTGTGGTGCAGACGACCCAGCCACTTCTTTCGTTGACGTCTACTCATGCAAAACGAAAAGACGTCTTGACTAATGAAGTGCAGGCCTAGCGAGATTTGCGCCGCATCTTCAACTAGTGAATTTGCTGCTCGCGGCGACGCAGCTTGCGCTGGGGTGCTACATTCTGGGCAGTTTGCTAGAGTATGGGAAATGGGTGAGTAGTCTCACCTCGCCTCTGACGGGTTTCCGGGTGCAATGGCATCCATAGACTCACGAGCGACATCTTCAGACCGAAACTTGCTACTCCCCCTTCGCGTACGACGTCGACTACGAACCCCACACCTTCTGTCCCCCTTTCACCATGTACACGCAAGACAACCAGTTCACGGGCGCTCACAAACAATGGGTCGGAAACTTCAGCGCACTCGACTCCAAAGGGTACTCCATCCCCCTTTGCATGGTTCTTCCCCACCCCAACACCGCCAAATCTCCCTGAAACAGAGACCAGCTCTTGTACTGATGGAACATAGATATGCCGTCGTCTACGCCCTCATTCTCCCCCTCTCAACCCTCTTCATGGCCGTCGCTGCTGCCTCCGTGCACTTCTTCCCTCGCGTCTCGCTGAGTCTAAGGATGGCGCTGTACATCGGCGCGTGGCAGGCCTTCGATATCGTGCTCTACCTGTACTTCACCGGATCAATGCTAACTGTCGACTGGCCCTTCCAACAAAAGGGGTTCGTGGAAGGAAGCATGTGTTTCGTGCACGAAGACCGAGGCGCGGCGATCGGCAAGCTGGGGCTCGCGAGAGAAGGGTCGTTGAGTGCGCGGAGGGCCGTTGCGATAGCCGCCGGGTGTGTGTGAGTTCACCTTCGTTGATGATATGCGGTCGGTTTGCGAGGTGCCAGATGGCTAATGGGTAGCTTTAGCGCGGCGTTCTACCTCCTCCTCACCATCCTGTCTATCTTCCAGACGTACAGGCGAGTTCGCAAAGCGCAGCATAGGCGTGCTGCGGACGTAAGGCTGCAGGACCTACAGGCGAGTGGGACGCGCCGACAAGGCGGTGGTGTTGACGAGAGCGATGCCGCAGCTACGCCGTTGCCGGCATGTCCTTTACAGTCTCAGAGGAGTGTCAGTACGGAAACTTGGGTCCGTGAGAACGATGCGTTTACGGGGGACGGGGAGGATCTGGGGGAGCCGGTGAGGGCGAGGGATATGGTGTAGTCGGTTGAAGAAGGTAGGACAGAGAGTACCTTGTCTGAGGAGAACTTGGGCAGGCTGCGGGATTGGTGGGTACGGCTGCGTGACCAGTTGACTGGGCAAGGTTTGGTTCATAACGAGTATAGATATTAGTTGTGCTTAGAACTGGGTTGCCAAGGCCTCATTACACAACGTAAATTCACGCATATGCTCCTGCAAATCTTCCTCCCAGGCATATATTCTGACCTATGAATTCAGGAAAAAGCTCCAAAGCCACCTCATATCTGTGTCTGGCCGTTTACCGGAAGGCCAGCCCTCTCATAGCCTCACCATACATACACTCCTGCCCAATGTCTCGGCCCCAACCCACCGAAACGGGAGTACGCAGCACTTAAACCCCCTTCCCCTGCTCTCCTCACACCCTCACTCGCGAACGTCCCTCTCAAGCGCTCGTGCAAACCACGCATTTAGTACCTCATCGGTCGGCGTAGCAGGCGTCCACATCGTTGCGGTAATCCTGAATGTAGACGTACCGCATCCTCCAGCAGCTGTTCCACTACCTTCATCGACGGATGACACACCACGCACCCTTTCGCTAAGTTTGCGAGGAAGGAGAATAATAGGGGAATGTATGCCTGCTGACTGGCGGTACTGGTGCAGTTCGTACCTTTACTACACCCGTGCGCTGACATGGATTTCGGTTCCGGCGCGAACCTAGAGCCTTGCCTCTCCGGCAGCACGAAGCGAGCCGCTGTGACCTCCGTGAACTCTATACGAGTAGGGAAAATTGCACCTGTAGTTGCAGTACGCTGGGGCCCAATAACAGCCATCGCATTCATGGTCTGGTCTCAACGTTCGAGATTTACATGCGAAACGCTCACTCTCACCTTCCCCAGCACATTGTTCGCCGCATCGACGACCTTGTCTACCCCATCACCAACCATGTCTTTCACATTATCAACTAGCTCTCTGCCATCGTGTAGCCAGACTCCTAGCTTCGCAGCGACAGTATCGTGAAAGGCGTCGAGGACGGCTAGCCTATCCTTCAGATCCCGCAACTTGCTGTAAGCGGGCAGGACTTTGGAGAAGAACACATAGATGAGGAATGCGGCGATGAAAAGGAGGAGAACTGATATTATGATGTACTTCGCTGTCCTGCGTTTAGTCCCGCCGACAAAGGAAAAGGCCCTTCGAACTAAAGAGGTACGTGGTGTACGTTCTTCGTGTGGCAAAGGCTCGTAAGAGGAAAGAGGGTGTTGCGCTCGAGTAGTGTTTGCGTGAGGCGCGGGTGGAGGTGGTGGCTGGAGGGGAGCCGCAGCCTCTGAGCTATGGATATGTATGTTGTGCGCTGTAGCGAATTCATGCGCTTTTTCGTCGCTCAGACTCACATCGCTGAATTGTGCTTCGTGACTTCCGCCCATTGGGTCCTCGCTGTGCACACGTTCTGAGTCACATGACGTATGGCCTCCGTCGTGGCCGTTCAAGTACTCGGTAAAACGCGACCGCACACCCTCCTCATCCATTGGCGACACCGGCGGAGTCGAAGCCAGCGCCTCGCTCCGCCTCTTCGACCTCCCTCCGTCGCGCAAGTAATCGGGCGTCTGGCTCCCGTTTCTCTGTTGCCTCAGCCACTTTCGAAGCGCTTCTGCTTCTCTGAAGGGCCCGGATATCTCGCTGTAGTGGACTACTTTGCTGCCTTGTGATGTGGCGGAGGCTGAGGTGTTTGTGCGGTGGATGGGGAGAGGGTAGCGAGGGCTGGGCGGGGATTGGATCTGGACAGTGTAAGGCCTTGGGCTGTCTTGATGGGCGGTGCGGTTGTAACCGTGGGAGGGGTGTTTGGTCGGGGGTGCCAGATAGGCATGAGTGGGAAGCTGCAGGAGTGTACCAGTTCAGTGCTGCCGCGTGCGGTAGTAAGTAGAAGAGATGCTGCAGAGTGCTTGCAGAAGGGCAAATGAGAAAGTGTTGAAGGTGAAGCTTCGACGAGGTGTAGTATTAATATTGCAAGAAAATGGTCTACGCGGCGTAAGGGCAATCAGGTCAGCCACGCCCACGTCACATCTACCCTCCCCAAGTCATGGTCTGCCAGCCTATCGAACATGGTCGGGCTGACATCGATGTCGGTGGGTTGACACCCCGTGCCTAGCCCTCGTTAGTCAACCACTCTGATCCACTTTGCAAGGAGGACTCACAGCGATCCACGACAGTCAAGTCAACGCTGACTGTCTTTCCGTCCTCTCTTCTTCGTCTCGCTCGGATCTTCTTTCCACAGAGGGGGTTTTGGTTGGGATCGCTGCCGATCTGCACCGCGTCAAAGGTGAAGTGCGACACGGCGACAATGGGGGAGTCGTCGTTGCTTTCGATCCCGCAGGCCCCGAGGGCGGGGTTGTAGTATGTCAAGTCGCCGGTGAAGGTCTGGGAATTACTGGGCAGGGGCAGGTTTTGGTCTCTGCAAGTGCAAGAGTCAGTCACTGCAGGCGATGGAAACATATGCCAAAGACTCACTTGTGCTTGTTGCCCAGTCCTACACCCAGGCCTACGGCAAGCGCAATGACGGCAAGCAATGCTCCGAGAAGAACCAGGAGGAAGGTGCGACGCTTGAGGCCGACGTAGCGCTTGTACGGGGGCAGCACGCGGTCGAAGCGGTCTGCAATGGCCCAGCGCGTGCTTGCCGATCCGAGATGCAGTCTCTTTCTGGTCGCGGTTCCCTCCTCTGGCAATTCCCAGTCCGGTGCATTGAACGAGCTCCCTTGGGCCCCATGCACTGGCTCCGGGACCTTCACTTCCTCGGCTCCGGTGGCCATTGCGGCGCGTGCTAGGTAGTGCGCGGTGAGTCGCGGTACGGTGAACTATGTATGTACGAAAAAGTATTATGAACAAAGAGCGGGGTATCACAGAATAGAAACTAGAGCATGGCGTAAAGAGCGGCAGCGTCAGGCAACGCTTGGGCGGGGGGCAATTGCGGTGCGAATGCGACGGGGAGGAGTGAAGTGGAGCGTGGAGGAACATGTGGGTCACAGCTTGGGGAAAGGGGCGTGCGCGGCCGCTGATGGTTCGGCGATGGCTGCAGGACAAACGCCGAGGCCTACCCGAGATAATCAACCCAGCGTCCTGTGCAACGTGATAGACTTGCTCGAGACCTTCACCTTCACCAACCAGACCGAACCCTCACGCGACCCCCTGGAACCCGCTCAGTCTCGTCACAGCCACCCGGCTGCCCACCGTAGCTTTGCCTCGAGAGTGAAGATCCCGATCACAGGTGGCCGCCCACCGCCACCACTCGGCATCCGGCCTGTTCCTACACAAATCCCCACCATGGCGGAACAAACGCTCAACATACCGCAAATCATCGTCTTCATCGCCGTCACCGTCCTGATTGTGCGATGGTTCCTCAAGCCCTCGGGTGCAGGCCAACCCTCGTCCGCCAGCAACCGCGCCGCACGACTCAACCCCGCGCAAATCGACCACCTCGTGCAGATGTTCCCGCAGCTCGACCGACGCACTGTCGCCTGGAACCTGAACAGGACGGGTGGAAATGCGCAGGCGATTACCGAGACGCTTCTTGCGGGGGGAACGTTGCAGCAGGTAAGGACCTGAGCTGCAGAAAGCTGTTGAAGCGTCGCTAATGCGTGAGGGCAGCCTCCGACGTCCTTCCAGATCCCGCCCTCGAGAACCGCTACACCCTCCGCCGGCCAGCGCCAAGCACCCCGCCAGCCCGCGAAGCCCGCGCAGCCAGACCTCATCACCCGCTACAACCTCGCTTCTAAGCTCGGGCAAGCCGCCGAGTCGAGTGCGGTGGAGACGCCCAAGGGGAAGGCGTGGTCGCAGGATAAGAATGAGCGGCAGGCAAATCTGCAGCGGAGGAGAGAAGAGATGATTCTTGCTGCGCGGCGGAAACTGGAGGAGAAGGCAAAGGCAGAGCAGAAGTCGGCATGAGGCCAAGAGACATTGACATGTGCTTGCGAGCTCGAAACAGCATGGACAACGCTCAGGGGGTAGTTCGATAGAGCAGAGCTGGCCAGATGAAGGATGTGTCGAGTGAGTGCATATCCCCAGCAGCACAATGAGCCTGAAACTGAACCTAATCGCTGAGGAAGCGATCCCAATGACAATCTATCGTGTTCTAGGATGGCTTAGCATACCCTATCTATTTGCTCAATCATAGATAGTGTCCATTCTCAAGACTACCTATGGTAACCGCTACTAAGCTCGACAATCCGACTAGGTGGTTTTGCTTCATCTGAGACTAGCCCTGGTATCACCGCATACTTCAGACTCCACAATTCACTGCAGAACACGCACGGCCTCGCAGCATGCACTCCATCACACCACATCTCACGTCGCACACGCTCACCTAGTTCGGCCCGACAGCAACCATAGTTCACGCCAACGTCAGCACCAACCAATCACCACCATTTCCTACCACTAGCCCCCAGAAGCATACACGCGCGGGAACCTTTTGTATGCAGGGCGCTCTTCCCGCGGCAACTCCGCATCCCTCCCGCGGGACCGCTTCTCCTCACCTTCGCGTGCGCCATTGCGTCTGAATGCGACACCACGCCAATGATGTTGGAAGTAGGATGCTCGTCACGCAGACCCTGATATAGAAGTCGGAGACGTGGCGAATGGCACTGCAGCGGATGCGCGGTCGTCAGCTGAGACTGAGGGGGGCAGCGTCCCTGTGGCATGGTAGAGCCGATGAGGGGAGGTGTATGCGGAGGGCCGGATCAGTGGAAGAGAGCATAAGTAGGCACGCGACACCGCGTCTTGAGGAGTTTATTTCTTATACATCAAACCAATTGCACTTGAAGTAATACAACAGTGCAGTTCACACATCCTCTGTGGCGCAGTACTAATCCTACACGTGCTACCCACCTTCACGCTGTACCTGTGGCACTGTACCCATCACTTCGGTCTTCTCAGGCCCACATCCTATACACCTATCCACTTCTCCATCTCACTCCTCACCATGCCCGCCACAACACGCACCCTCGAGACCATGATCCTGCAAGCGCACCGCGCAAAGGGCATCCGGTACCCGACCTCCTCCCAGAAGCAATCTTTCAAGACCTGGTACTCGTACGCGCTGCGGCGGGGCGGGGCCGGGAATGTAGAAGCAAAAGGCTTGCGCGAGTATGGCAGGCAGGCGAGGGACCTCACGCCGAGCGGGAGGACGTATATGTAGACGTGTAAGGGGTGAGTTTGTGATGGTTTGAAGGGGATTGGGACGAGTGCTGACTGGTGTTAGGGAACATGCAAGATTGTGTACGGCTCGTGTTGAGCGCGGGGACCATTCAAGATGTAGCATTGGCGCAGGCGTTTAGGGCTTGTTCGGCATGACTTTGACACTGGAGGTTTGGGTATCCACAAAGATTGAGATGTCTCCAGTGAACCAAATGTACTAAGATGATTCGATGCCTGTATGATGACGACGCTGCCTCGCACCCACCAATGTTGACTGTGGATATATGAACTGTGCCTACATTGACTTTTGTCCTTCAACATTCGCCTTTTCCCTTGATGCTTAGTGCGGCGAGTCTATGAAACAAGCACGTACACAATAGTCCCCTCTCTGCAATCACACAAGAGGTCTAGACTTACCGGGTTCGGGGGTTCGGCCTTCCTAACAAGTGCATCTGGTAGTCCTCCGCTACCGAATAGCCATACCCTGCAGCCGAGTCACCTCTGCGATCGAATAGTCACCCTCACATCCGATAGACCATCATGCCCCTCCACATACCCTGATATGTCATCCGCGGATGTTTCTTTTTGCTCTTCCATCTACCAGTCCCAACGATCAGCGCGCAACTCCTCAAGAAGTCAAATTGTCGGATTTGCCTGGTTCGACACGCACAGGCCCTCCTTTTAATCCCAGGCAAGTCGCTCCAGCACGTCGGTCTTTCTTGAATACCACTCTCAGGATCACCACACTCAGGTGCACTCTACACCTCCCCGTTCGGCGTCGTGCCCAAGATTCTTCATCTGCTCGAGATGCTCTTCGAGCACCTTGCGCTCGATATCCCAGCCTATGCGCATCCTGAGTGACCAAACAATCGTAAGAGAAGCATGATATGAACTTGTGGATAGACTTCGAATAGATATGCTCGCTCCATATTCGAGCCCTGGAGCAGGGGCGATCCAATGTCGTCTGGTTCTTTGGGCCTTGCCGACGCCCGACTTTGGCGATCAGGGGCTTTGTGCCTTCGGACTACATAGATTCATGGTTCTGGACTAATTTGCGGAAACCTCGCTAGGTATTCCAGTCTCTCTGGGGTCAGGAGGCGCTGCCTAGGATGAGCTCTAGGCTGCTGTGTTTTTTTATATTGTTGTGTGGTGTCTGCATTGTTGCGAAATTACTGTTAGTAGCAGAGACGGGTACAATGGAGCGGATCAACACAATAAAACAGGCAACACGGAAGGCAGTGTATGTGGAGGATGGTCCGCACCGTGGTTTCTTCCCCATTAACTCTTAAGCAAGCTCCCTCCCATCATAAACTCAGTATCTATCAACAAGTCCACGACTATTATCATCTCAGCACCCGGTTATCAATTTTACCTCCGGAAACCACATCGTCAACTGACCGAAGCGCACTGATCTACCTCCAGAAATCTTTCTTGCTTAGTTTTTCTACCAATGGCTCCTCCAAATGAAGCCATTTTCCACAAAGATCAGATGCATGTTATGTGAAGCTATCCTATGGCATGTGCGATTTGCGGCGAGAGCCTTAACTAAGAGAGCACTTTCAGAAACACGCACGCTCCCATCCGCCTGCAAGCGTGCCGCCATGTGTTCGGAATGAGTTGCATCGTTGACTGGACGAACACAACATCTCAGGCTAATCATGACAAGTGTCCTATCTGCCCCAAAAGGTCCTTTATCAAGGAAGAACTACAGCCTTCATCAAGCGGCACTGACAGGTTGAATAGGGCTCGGTACAACTCCCGCCACCATATCGTGGAGCCGCGCAACGGGTATAGAGGCAACCCACGCTACGCTGCGAGGGCAGAGATGATTAGCGAGAACGTGGAGTTGTCTCGCCCGGGAGAGAGAGAGGGGGGGGCGGGGGGGCATGGGGTGCAAGTTAATCCATGCTTCATCGAAATCTCCATGTCCCGTCATGCCTCACGCTGCAAGATCTTAGCCCCAGCTTGGGAGCTTAACACACCTCGAATGGACCCACGTTCCTTCGACGCGTCATCCCAGCAACGAGCTCCACGCCATGAGAACGTGCATCCGTCTCGTGCGTGTAATGTACCTCAATGCAACGCAGGCCGCACTCAGCCACCTCCATCCAGGATCTGCAACGTGTCTCAGGAAAACCGAGGCTACGGTCTCCCTGCGCCGCCTGTTTACCACACGACAGCGCCATCAACGCGCGATATCGTGTATGTTGATGCTCGTCGCAAACCAAGCCTCATTTCGCGCAGCCAAGGACCATCGCCGCCACTGGAAGAGTACGAACGTTATCGTGCAGGCGGAAATACGCGCTCGGGGTCGAGCACCGAGGATATCTGGACAGCTTCGGATGAAATGAGAGTATTGGGGCCTGAATGGTACCAGGCTCTATCTCTGGGGTTCTGCATGGACACTGTACTCTGTGCTTGCGCTTGTTCCATTGTGGTTCCGGAATGGATGCAGGTGTACTGTGCATTGATCAATCCCAGGCGTGGTAATCACGGTTAAACTTCTTTGTTGAACTGTATGGTGAATAGGACATGGATATGCTACGTACTAAATGTAATTATAATGAAGATTCTTATACAAGCCTTCGCCTTCAATGTTTGAATGATATTTCTGGTATGTGTAAGCCCCCCGGGGCTCTACCGTGACCATCCTTACCCATGGTTCCTAGCTCACATCCTGTGAGCCGGTAATTCTTCGATGGCACCGTTATGGGCAGAATACTGTTGGTTGTAAGCAGTATACTGAGGCACTGGACTCTGAGGTGACTGAGGTGGTGGTGCAGAAGTACTTCCGACTTCTACGGCATAGGGATACGTTGTGGCCTCGGGTATTTTATTTGGGGGAGGCGCCACAGCCATGCCGACGTACGGCTTACTTTCCTGAGGAGGAGGTACTGCTGTGTAGCTCGGTTGAGCCGGTGTCGTTGCGCGCCTGCGACGGGTGAGGATTATCGCTGCTACAACCACTGCACCGATCACTGCTAGACCTCCTACAACACCGCCCACAATGGCTCCTATAGGTGTAGATTTCTTAGGCTTAGCTGACCCGGGTAGTGTGCCGGACGTTTCAAGAGGGCTTGACTGTGATCCGGTGGACGAGGCGGCCGTGGCTGAAGAGGCTTTAGATGCGGAAGAGGGGTCGCTTGCGTTGTCGCTTGAGCTCGCGCTCGAGGTACTCCGCGCAGAAGCTGAGACGGGTTCTAGTTACATCATCAGCTTGATAACTTCTTTTCTATACTTCGAGAATATTACCGGTCGGGGTAACTTTGTACATCGTGAACCCAGTCTCAGTCACCACATCGCAGTAGAAATTTGTGAGTGGTGCTGTGTCGTAAACGTCCTGATACAACAAGTTGGAGCTGCATGTACTGCTCTGGGCTGCTCCACTACACGCAGGAACAAGTTAGCAACACGTTAATGGCCTCAGCTATAGAATCAACATACCAAGCCGTTGTTGTCGAGCCGATCACAAAGGTGCCGGCAGAGCATGTTCCAATGTTGCATGGATTCGCTTGACACACCGCAAACAGGCTACCCGACGTTGCGACCATTCCGCCTTCAGATAGAACAGTCACAGTACCCCCTAGTCATCGTCAGGACAGATACATTGCCTGGTATAACTGTACTTACAAAGAACTGTTCCATCTTGGAAGCCAGTCGAATAGTACCCAACCGTCGTAGCTGCTCTCGGATGCAGAGCAGGCGAGGGTGTGATTGTAGCTGTTGGAGCCGACAACACTACAGCCGCAGCGAAATGGCTCCAGAGTGCAAGACATAGATACCTAGACATAGTTTTCGAACGTGGTTCAGGGCGGCTTGAGGGTCTTTTCATTGAGATTCGCGCGCAGGTGGAAGCCTGCCATCTATGTACTTTGGTCGGGGATGAATACGAGCTGTCTGTTGCGCGATTCGAAATTAGCGCCGTGCAACGTGGGCGCAGTTTTGGCGTTGTCAAAATGTACGTTTATAGAAGCGGCTGAGGAACCGCGTCGTTTGGAGCGCTTGGGATCAACGTGGATGTGGTTGTCGGTGCATCAACCAGTTATGCACTATCGTAACCATGCACTTCCCTTTTCCCATCATTATCATAGATAATAATTAGTGTCCACAAGATGGTTCCTATGATTCCGTGCCAGCAGCAGTCGTGATCTTGATGATCTTCAGCTGAGGCGTCCGAAATACTACCGTCCCGTATTCGGCTGCACCGTTGCTCGCGGCGCAGAGCCATGGGCCAATGTCCGGTTTGTACTTGCCTTTTCCAGTCGCAGCTCAAACCTAATTAATCCAAACTAATGGGCAAAGCTTCGGTCTTCTGCCGATCAGCTCGATAGATAATTAACGATGTTCTTCACCGGTTGAAGATGCTGATTGCCTTGCGCAGTTAATATTTAGTATTGGTAAAAGCGCGTATCCTGCAGAGCTCTGGTATCATATCTCATTTCCCAACCACCACCCACACATGCTTCAGACATCCTCAAAACACTCCACAACCACAGCATAAAAGCCCCCGTTCCTGAAACTGTCGTAGACCGCGGTATTCATGCTTCCCATGGTCTTGTATTTGACTCTGCTGCCCAGTCTCGTCCCGTCGTCCCTCTCAGCGTTACGGAAGTAATCGTTTCCCACGAATGGCACCTCTAATTTCCTCCTTACGAAGTTGTAGCATCGTTTGCTGGCTTTGCCCAGGATTGGTGTCGCATCCGGGTTCGCAAGATAGCGAGTGCGCACTGCAGCGTAGGTCGCACACGCCTCGTGAATGCAGTCGGCATTCCACTGTTGTACTGCTTCTAGAGAGCGAGAGTTCGCCGGCAAGTAGCGAAGGAAGATGGTTTGTAGATAGTCGAGGGCTAGGGAGAAGCGTGAGCGCGAGTCAAGATGTGTGGTTGTGTTAATCCGCTCAGAGAGTGTGAGCCACAGCTCATATGCTATTCCGGCACCAGGCCCATCGCTGGATGGGGTGGTAGGCTCGGTACACTCGCTAAGGCAACGGCGCGTGAGCAACTTGAACTTTGGAGCCAGAGCGTAAAGGAACTGCATGTGAAGTGCTCGTAAGTCCAGCGCTTGGCATAGAGCGACTAGATGAGCGGCTGCCAGCTGGGCAAGAATGTCGAGTGAGGTGAGAGTGTATCGGGCCGATATGAGGGCCAAAGAGTTGATGGCCTGGAAACCCATTTCTGCGAACTGGACGTTGGATCCCACTGCATTAGCTAAAAATCCTAGCTCACTTTGGAGACTGGCGGCCATGGTATCGGTCCCTTTGAAGAGACCGGATTGGCTTGGCTCGTCGACAACCAGGAACGGCGCCAGACCTTTGCTCGTCGTCGGATTAATTATCTCTGTGCATTGCGCGAACATGATCTGTCCCAGGCTCTGACATCCTTGGCGGATTTTCTCCATTGCTGAAGTTACCGACTTCGCCATGAAATTTGCCCCGTGAATCATCTTGCCTGATTGGTCTATCAGAGGAGCATCAGTCGCAGAATTGATTTCTATAAGAATTTGGGAGTGCGCAAGCTGCAGGTCTTCTAGACAAGGACCTATCCATTGTGGCGAAGCTCTGACGGGATATTTATCGGACCGGGCCATGACTAGAGAGTCAGTGTAAGTCAAGAAGGTGGGGGCTAGGGTACGAAGTTCCTGTCAAAGACGTATCGACTTCGTACCTCGGAGTCGCGTACATTCGTCTTTGGCCGAGTCCCAAACAATGAGCTTAGACCCTTCAATGAATGATCGTAAGTTCCTCGCACACTCGGATTGTCCTTGGTGAGGACGAAGCTCAGACAACAGAGGATGGAAACACATATCGGCAGCACATAATGCTTCCGCGGCCATCGCTGTCAATACCTGCACAGTTGCAGCAAGGCAAACCGCCTCATGTACTGCAAGCGCACTTACACCCGACGATGACGATGTTCCGATTAACAGCGCCATGCCCTCTTTGGCGCGCACTTCGAGCGGCTCAATCTCTGCATACGTCAGGGCTTCATCAGCAGGTACCAATCTGCGTCCGCCCTGAATGCGGTCCCCAATCCAGGCTTGTACAGAGGGTTTACCGGCAAGCACACTTGCAACATAGGACTGATTGACCATATCCCCAACGCCAGATATTGAGCCTCGCAATGGGACTCTAGGAACCACGTCCATGTTGAGGAGTTGAGTGAGCCTTTCCAAAAGAACAGGCCGCACACCTACACTCGGGTACGCCAACGAGTTGGCTCGAATCAGCATCTGAGCCCTGACCCATGATTCTGGCATGGTAGTGTTTTCAATAGGATCAAGTAGCGGAATAGCCGAAGAAAACGCGCGAGTGGCATTCGATATATCGATTTCAGTCTCGCCAGACAGAATCGCGTAATGGCTATCACGTATCATGTCTCCCTGTACGATTTCGATTGCTGATACGCGTATAGGAGCAGCGCTATCATAACTCAAAGGTCTGAATGAGCCTACTATCATCAGTAAGCGCATGTCAATTGGTATAGACCTATAGGTACCTGACATAGATTCACCTTCAACTAATTCGCCATATTTGGCTTCGGTGTGTCTCCGTATGGTTTCCGACATCTCTTCACTCATGCCTACATCCTGTCCGTACCTAATGCTAGATTAGCGGCGGTCGGGGTCTGTTGGTGCACACGTACCTAGCACAGGCGACGACGGACGCAACACTAAGGCTGCGTCCATCAATGACGATCTCCTCGTCCTGTGAGCGAAGCTTCTCATGCAAGTCACGCCAGTGCGAAACGAGCAAGCGGCTGAACTCTCCAGCCGCCATGCTCTGTGATTTTGCAAAGGCCCAATCAGCACTTCGTCTTCGCTTCCCCGCAAAGTAAGTGGCAGGTGCACATGCAGCACGTTGAAAAGGCGAACAGCAGAGTGCAGCCCTAATGTTAAAAGCGGTGAGCTCTCTTTCACCGAGTCAGATTCGGTTCGCGTAGTCACGAGATTCCTTCGTACCCCTGCAAAATCGCCTAATCTGCCGCCTCGCGCGGTATCGCTCCTACGATCTGTACAGACGAGGAGGCGAGTCAAGAATGCATGTTCGTACAAGACTCAAATGGCGCTCTCCACGTGGTAAAAGTTGCAAATGAAATGTAAACAGGCCAATGGTATTGGATTAAAGTGAATCGGAGGATGGAGATGTGCTGCAGGAATCATTTAACCGGTTTCGCACCGTCTAGATGTAGCTAGATCCAACGGAAAGACGCTCCATGTGTCAGTGGATCCAGCCCAGTTTTGAGCCTGATGAATCGTAATCGTATCCTCGTACTTTCCCATGCGGTATGGACTACCACAACAGTAGAGAGGCGGTATCTTGCGCGTTTCAAGTACGCATAGCGTAGAAAGCGAGCCAATAAGATACAAACTCGACTGTCTTCCGACGGACTGATCGTCTTGTTCCGATTGCCGCGAGTCGCGAGCCCCCACAAACTGGTGTATACAGCTTGGCAACGTCTTTGGCTCTTGTTCTTGGTAGAGCCGCGCCTCTCTTGTCTATCTCAATCCACTTCTTGGACAACTCTTTGATATCATTTCTGCTCTTTCCAGTGTCAAGCGTCGCCCAAAACCTATTCTCCACTGCCCATCGCATCAGTTCCGTTGCTAGCCAGTCCGATATCTCCGCTGCAGTCGTCCGCGGGGATTCCAAGCACAGGAAATGGAAGTCTATCAATGACTTTCGTCGCAACACTTCCGTCTTGCGCATCTCCACTACCACCTCTGCCCGTCCCTGTCCTTTCGCGCAGCGTCTTGCATTGGCTCGCGTTGTTGGTATGAGCAATGTTTCCCGTACAGATAGAGCGCTCTGGGACGGACTTGTGGAAGAAACTGAAAGTTCTGCAAGCTATCGCCTCGGGCCCAAGTCGCCAGGCTTACGCTGTCAAAAGGCAGTAAGTCTGCGTTGATGAGTCACCCCCGATTCCTAGCCTCTGGCGATGTCGGGTCTTTTGGTATAGCGTGAAAATTAAAGCGGACCAACGACCAGGCCTCTTGAGCTTAAGGAGTGGTCAGGTTCACGCTGTCATCATCCGCATCTTTCAAGCCGCAAGCAAAGAAAGCCTTAACGGCACGAGGATCGAATGATTTGGACAACGGATGTCTCTTGAACCCAGCCTCGGCTTTAGCACGTGAATCCAGTGCCCGCGTCGTACGGACGAGGTCAAAGCAGCGTTCGGTCCTGGTGGATGTGCGTCTACAATGAAAGGGTCGATGTGAATAAGGGAATGGAAGAGGCGTTAATGGATCAATGTCAAATTGGCCCTGTGACAAGTCAGAACAGGACATGCTAATTCACCTGGACCACTGTATTTCTCGCATACAGCATGGCTGGGCTGCACTTAGATATGAGCACATCCCATACTATGCCCTAGACCTACGAAATGTGGCTTCATCCTTTCTCGGACGTTGTTGACCATCAGTAACAGATCGCATGAATGGTACATTCATCTGGAATCATCGCCCAAAACGTCCGCATTCCTAGCGTAGCTTTTACCCTGGAGTGCATATTCAGCCATCCAAATAGATCGCGCTTCATCGCCTTTGGAACTATCTAGTATCTCATCCCACAAAGCTTCGTAGCATTCCTTTCGTCGTTAGCTGATGGGGCTCAGGGTCACATCGCAGTCCATACTTTTGGAAAACCATTCCCATAGCTCGCTATGATGGTCACCGCGTTCTCTGATGGTGCAGTGCTGTTGCGTGAGCGAGATTCCCTGACGGCAAGGAACAGATCTGCATCGTTCCTCGTGAGCGCATGTGGGTACTCCCGGATCAACTGAGTGGGAGACCACTGCTCGGTAACCACGAACTTTTCGGTAGACATTGTATGTAGCGATCAAATTTGTAAAACGTGTTGAATGAAGAGGACCCAGTACAGGGGCTCGCCTTATCTAGGGTTGTCCTTACATCGGCCACTAAGTGGCATCGGCTCACAGTTGAGTCCCGCTAAGACGTCACGGTTTACCCTCGCGTAAGCCCTACTCCTCATTTGATGGTTGTGTGCATTGATGTGGTTGCCACCTCGTTTTGAAATTGCTGCATAACAATTGCTACCAAGAGTTGAACGTCGTGGTAATGGTGGAAGTAGATTTGTTGGTGAATTGATAGATTAGGCTCCAGACCCCGCACAACGTGCAACGACTCCAGTAGCTTATAACCTTCGAGGAGCTTGGCTTGCCTCCTCCTTATATACTCAATATTTGTATCTTAATTCCAAGTTCTCACGATCAGTCAAGTCGCTAAACTCGATGTCCGGCCGATGTTGAATCTGTGCTTTGTCACGCCTCTTGTTCTCCAACCTGTAGTATCCAAGCAGTATCACGACTGCAACAACGACAGTTGAGTCTACTGCAACAATCGTAATCTTTGCAGGTGTAAACTCCGGAGCATCCTCGTCGCGGAACGTAAGCGGACCGAGGATGTTTCCCAGGCAAAATGACATGAGAAGGATCGCGTTCATGGTGACCTTCTTGGTGTGGCCCTATGGGAGATCAGATTATGGGGAGAAATTGTGGAACAAACGGCTTACCGCAAAATTACAAGCCGCAAACGAGTAAGAAAGCGGGAGGAAGGCGCCGGTAACATGCGTAAAGTAGTTGCCCACCAACCTTCCGGCGCGATTGCCGGTCGGGAGAAATGCGATTAAGCCTCCGCCCAGTATACCGCCCCACGCCGTCCAGACGATCTGCATAACGCCGCGTGAGTTGTACCGCGCTGCAATCTGGGTGCCAGTGATGACGCTGACAACTGCAATAAACCCCCCGGGGATTTGAAGCAGCGCAGTGACCTTGTTGCTGAAGCCGAAGGATTTGATAAGTACGCTCTGGAAGGATCCCACCGCGCCATTAGGTACACTTGCAGCAGTTGTGATGTACGCCAGAAGCCAGACCTGTGGATCGCGCATCGTCTCAAGGAACTGATAGAACTTGAAGTGTTTGTTTTCAATGCCGGTGTTGTTTTCGCGGAGACGCTCGACCGCCACAACTTTTTCCGCGTGCGACAACCGACTTGACATTGGATTGTCTGGTAGAAAGAGTATCACGACAATACCTGCCGCCACGGTGACTATACCAACTACGAGGAACATGATTTGCCAGTTGTTGAAGCGAGTCCCTTTGTAATGCTGGAAGCCGTACGAAATCAGGGAGCCAGCCATGACAGCCATCCCAACCCCCATGTACCAGAAGCCTACTCTTTTCGGTTGCTCGTGACTGCATTTGCAGATGTCAGTAATGCTAGACTAACTTTTGACGGCATCCTGAAGTCACGTACCGCTTGTACCACATTGACGTGATGAGGATGAGCGAGGGGCTGATTGCGGACTCAAACATGCCCAGCAAGAACCGGCAGGCCGCGAGCGAGGCGTAGGAGTTACACGCCGCAGTGCAAGCGACCACTGTGCCCCAGAGGCAGACCATCGTTCCGAGATACTTTGCGAGAGGGAACCTTTGCATCATGAATGCATGAGGCATCTCGAATAAAAGGAATGCCAGGTAGAAAAGCCAGGAGAGGTTCCCGTATTGCTCGGTCGTTATGTTTGCGTCTTCAAAGATACCCATTACAGCCGCGTAATTGACTTTTTGTTGTCAGTTTACGGTAGCATGGGGTCTGATATCCACTCACAGAGCGACTTGTCGAGGTATTGGAGAAAGTAGCAGGCAAACATGATAGGCACGATCATCCAATCAATGCGCTTCACTAGCTTCTTCTCATCAACCACATTGCGCTCTTCTCCCGTCTCGTTCAACTTCAAGAACTCGAGTGCCTTGTCCGAATCCTTATATATGGCCTTCTCCGGGCCTAGGTCGTCTACGTTCGCCGACGTCTGCCTTGCATGTTGGATCTCGTCTCTACGCATGACGTCTTCGTGCTCTGCTCTTTCTCACTCGGGACGAATATGACTCAGAACAACTGTCGACTTGGAAAAAGGAGGCATGTGCTCTCTTATAACACGGTTGTCTTCGGTAGTACTTCTGCACTCCGACAACCACAATGACACCAAGACACCCACCATTGATAATAAGACCTCCCTGCCATATTCATCGACATTTGCTTGCTGCATTGGGCAGGTCGCCATTGAGGAGCATTGCTTGGAAAAGGAGTGGCGGGAAGTTGCTGCGCGCGGATTGGCACGAGGTGGCCTTCGTGTGGGTAGTACGACGGTTGGGGATTGCCGGTGCGGGGGATGAGATAGCTTATCGCCTATCAAGGCGAGCGGCAAATGCTTGAGACTTCCGGGCACATGCATGAAAATGAGGAAGCATTACTCTTGTTCCGAGTTCATTGAGATGTTCCAAGACCATTCTCAACTCAATTGATTGTCTGCAACCCTAATGGCGCAAACTTGCCATAAGTGTAAGACAAGTCACGTGCCTTTGCACAGTCCACGGGTCAACGGGTTGATCTCGAATATGTGACGCCCCAACGCAGACTTCTCGAACGAAGACGTCGAGAGGTTCTAGATAACTAACTATCACAGGACCCAAGAGCGATTTAGACAGCCCCAAGTGCCGCGTGTTTTGTCGCCACAGCTTAACAAGGACGGTGGCCAAGTTGCTCTAGGATGAACACATAGGAGCACCGCTTTAGACACTTGGTAGCCATCAAATTCAGTAAGAAACATACGAGGCGTAGTAGACAAATGATAAAATGCCCGCCATGTGACGTGGCACTGAAGACTGAAGACTGAAAACTTTAAGGGCCATAGGAGGAAGGTGCATTTGAACTCTTGTTTACAGCAAGACATGAATGAAGACTCCGAGGACGGTTCCAGAGAGGGCGAAGGCGGCACCGCATGTGGCATGGCTGTATCTCTGGCCAGTCTCAAAAAAGAAGTGGCTACGGCGGGGAGGATGAGAGGATGGCGGCAAAGCATTATAGATTCGAGAGCTGGCTCGGTCGTACTGTTCCGCTTAGAACACCGCGCGTAACGCGGACATTAGTGTTGATGGTACCTAATTGCCTCAGATATACGATGCACCAGAGCCTTGAGATGACTGAAGCAGAGGAACTGCTGCACCAGATTGTACTTCGCGTACCGCGGAAGGTGCGCACGTAGAGAAGCAACTGTTGTATAGGATACGAGGTCGTGCAGGTTGCCAGAGTAAGGCATAGATGCAGGTCCAACCCCCCCCCCCCCCCCCAACCAACAGAGAAACTTAAGGAACCTGATATTAGCTAGCCATAACGCGCGCTATTACAAGTCGGGTCCATAATAACTCAGTACTGAAGTGACAGCGGAAACTGCGTTAGACGGCAGGGGTGCTTACCTAGCTTCCAAGTCCCAAAAGATAGGCGAGTCGGCAGTGGTGATCAGATACATGGCCAGCATATGGCTTTCGGAATTTAGCATTCAACATTCAGAGTTAGGCGATGTCTCGTTCAGTCCCTGCAGGACAAATGCTCCGTTAGTTCCCGCTTGTCCCGTGGCTCTCGGTCAAGAATTGCACGCATTCGCGAGATGTCGATTAGCCTGAAGATGGAGTCGTCCCTCCATTGGACTATCGAAGGTACAGACCCTTACGATGCAGCAAAGACAAGTGTGTCAGCAGCGGGGATGTGTAACATTTGGCTTTTCGCGGGGTTTGTTCGATGCAGGGTCGTGGGCGAGGACCAAGGCGAGAATTAGCAAATTGATGCAGAAGACGCCATACGAGCAAGGGTCTGCGTCTACGCGAATGAGGTCAATGTCACGGCTCTTTGTGGGCTAGCCTAGCCTCAACGCCTCGATAATAGCAAAAGCGCGAGATTGGTGGAAGATATGTATGGCACATCGTGAGAGAAGCCACCAATGGTATATTCGACAAGAGGCGTCTCGTCGCATACATGCGACCCGTCGACTGCGGGTAATCTGCCAGAAAAGATTATTGCCGCGTTGAGGCAGCAGTGCAGTCATGTGCGAGATCGATGACGGACCGCTAGTAAATACTGTGATACAGTTGGTGCTTGGTCTACTCGGTTCCTAGGTCCGTTACGCCGACCTGCGCGTATCGACAGATAGTCGTGTTCGTCAAGGCCTTATCAACGAGCGCAAACGGCTGTGACATCGTGTATTGGCAGCGCCTTGGACGAGATGCGGCGATGGTGAAGCAATACCTGCCTAGGGAGAAGATTGACTCTGGTACGCGTATGCGTTCTGACGTGGCGGCCGCTGCGAAGTGTGTTCATGGCTGAGAGTCGCCGCTGGGACAGCTGCCCTTTGATAATTTGTGGCTCGTGACGATGGGTTGATAATGCACCACCGAGTGCATTGGTGGGAGGATGCCGGTGGCGGCGAACGTAATCGGCAGATCGGCTTACGTCGGCATCGCCACGTGTGGCAGCCTCAACCTCGACATGAGGACAGTGGTCCTTCGCCTCAAACCTCCCATCGCGCGACGATCCGCGCTCTTCTCAGCGGCCGATGCAGCTCACCAATGTGGGCCCGCCACATTTGGTAGTTCTTAATGCTCAACGGTCGCATCCTGCTGCTGGTGCGTCAACCCTGGAATACGAGGCTGCTTGTCACGAGAAGAGCTGCAAATTCCATTTCTTGCGCACGCACCAATGGTCCGTTCCATGCCCTGTCCGCCGCCTCTGTGGACGCATCGGAGCAGCAGGCCCTCCTATTTCTGTTGCAGCCACCCGTCTCCCTTGTAGCCGACCAAAAGTCGGTGACTGCCTGCCACACTTGCAGCTCCTGCGGTTAGTGCGCCTCACGCCTCGCTCAGGACCGAGACACCGAAGTTCGGCCCTGTGTGAACCTCCAGTCAATATTGTGAACCATCCAAGGGTGCGGGTGGGATTTCCATTCAAGGAAGACCGATTGTCATTAACTCGGTGCCGAACAACGCTTCTTGCCTCGGTGCATAAAGTGATGCCGGACAGCTCAAGTGCAAGGTGGACGCGGACAAGACGATGTAGCCACGCAGCAGCCACACGTCGTCCGTGAACTGATTAAGCACCACGAGCTCCGGCAAGGTCCGCTGCGGTACAGACGCCAGTTCGCGCGGGAAGATACTGCCGCTCGTACTGTACCGGTATGCGTTCTGGAAGCCCATCGCGTTCTGTAAACCCAACCACACCCCATCAGCCAGGGGCCTGACTACACTGCTGCACACCTGACTAACCGAACGGCCGCCCGGTGCTCGTGGCCGCTCATGGCAGTTGTTGCAGCTGGGGTCAGAAAACAGCCAATGACCATCGGGAGTTATCACAGACCCGAAGAGGCGTAGCGCACGCTTTCACGCAGACCCCTGCTCACGGTGCAACGCTGCCGGCCACTCGAGGTCAAGAATAACAACACTAAAAGGCTTGTTTCCTCCCGCGCCCAGACCACCGGACAGCCATGTTGTCAAAAAAACACTAGACACCACGCCATTGTGCCGCTCGCAGAGCAGCCATGCACGAACATGCCAGGGTCCGTGGTCTTGAGCAACCCCTGTCCTGCGGGCCCGTTCATCTCCAGTAGCTCACAGCTCGATTCCGAGAGCGTTGTAGTACTACCCTTCTATAAGACCCTCAGCCTGCCCTCGATGGTGTAAGCTCGTCTCTACACATAAGCATCTCCAATCCGATCCATACGCCCTCGACTACTACCTCGACCATTGTTTTGTGCAATCCGTTCCTTAGCTCAGCAACAAACAACTTCAGCCTTGTCAAGTGCAATCGCCTTCACGCGTCATCAGCGTGCAGCAACGTCTTCATCAATCATCATCATTCTCCGTAACAGCAATGGATTCTCAGTCTTATGATGCATGGTGGTCGCAAGGCAACTATTCCATGCCACCTCATCAGACGACCATATTCGAGCTGCCACCGGATCTGTCAAAAGTTCCCAGCCTTAGTGGGTCGCCTGTGAGTACCCTAGCAATGCGTCGTAACCTCAAGTCTCATGATCGCAAGGTCTCTTCTACCTACGACCAGTTCCCCGGCGCTCTTCCACAAGAATATTATCCTCAGATCGCTGGCGAAGCAATGCACTTCGGCAATTACCAAATTCCCATGACACCACCCGAGTTTAGTTCCGATCACGATAGCCCGTACTGCAGTCCACGACCACCTCCGAGTGTCGAGCCAGTTTACTCCCACACTCAGATGTCCCAGCAAATGGGTCAACTCTCCGCGCCCACAGAACGACAGCACACGACTTCAGGGGTAAGACTTCTACGCATGAAACTATGGTTGCTTTGCTAACACCATGTAGAGGAGACGAGCGCAGAACCGAGCAGCACAACGCGCATTCAGAGAGCGCAAGGAAAAGCACGCGCGCGACTTAGAAATCCAATTAGCTGCCCTCAACGAAAAGTACAGCAAGCTCGAAACCTCACATACAGAGCTCAACGCCGCGTATGAGAAGCTCCGTAAGACCATCGAGCTACTCACTCAAGACGATGATGCCGACGGCGACGAAGAGGAGGGCAAACTATCCAGACGGAGAAGCAGTAACCCAGAGACGCTTCGGAAACTTCTGGAGATAATACATGGCGACTTCAAGGGGGTTGCAGTCAAAAACGAAAATCCGTAGGTTGGGTTGAACATGTTTGTCTGCTTGTATTCTTCATCTTAGCCGGGCGCTGTAGGCGTTAAAGAGTTTCAACTACGTTCTTTTTCTCATTTTTAATGGTCATGATTCAGCGTGGGAAGGTTCTGCAGGATGATGGGCTTTGATCCCTTCAATTGGCAGCAGGTGCCAATGAACGCTGTAGAGCAGCGGACTTTCAACTTAGATATGACGATCCACCTAGATTCACGATCCTATGGAAGCACATAGCTTCTAATGCAACACCTAATTAGTCACACTGTACCTTTGCCAGTGTCTGGGAATAAGATGATAGCCCCCAGCCCAATCGGGCTCAGCTGATGCCCATCAGCTCGGGCCCCTTGCAACCGACGACTCAAGCCCGGTACCTTGAACACCCTTCTATGCGCTCTGAGGGCCTTCTAGTCCACCAGGATGGCATCAGCAACGGCTGTGACGATCCAATGAGACAGCCTATCACAGTAACGAGCGTTGTAGCCCCGGGATACCGGACCCCCAAAACCGTCCCCGCATACCGGGCGCTGCCACGGTGGCTGACCCTGGGCAATTTCCCGGGTACCGGTTACGGCGGCATCATTGTGAGCTACGATAACCTACATACAGTACGGTTTGTGCGACTATCAGTTGCTGTTTTAGCACAAGCGGATGGACTGGGACCGACTACTTCTTGGACATAGAGTAGCCTACGGAGGTCCCTACCAGGAACCTTTGAAACAAAGTTGGTTGCGATGGGCCGCTATAGCGGCATGTAGCGTAGTCTTTGCTGCTATTTGCAGCTAAGTAGTCTAGCGGCTAAGGCCGACTACCTTGGTAGAATGACGCGCGTTAGCGATGTGAAGGGCGCATCAAATCAGGCACGGGGCAAGAGGCATACCGTAGTCGCCGGACTGGGACACACACCATGTGGGTTGTATCAGTTAGCTACACGGTACACCGAACACCGATCACAAAATGGGGTCGGCTACACCCGTCCTGTTGATCACGCATGGGGATGGACCCTGCAAGCCCCAGTTCCAGCGCCTATCTGTACCTGATGCGTCGACAGCTGACGGCTGCACTCTGCCGCGCACAGACTGCTAGGGTCCGAAAAGCTTAGCCTTGCCGCTATGGTAACGATTCCGGTTTAGTCGATGCTGGCGATCTATTCAAGGTACTGTCGGAATATGGAGGGTCGCATGTGCATTCAGGGCGCAGCTACCGCGGGTAATCCCGAGCGCAATGTCGTGAGATGTTGTCAGATACGCGGGATTGACAATCTGAGGTTATGTGGTGGGCTGTAGAAGCGCGTATACGAGGGTTTTCTAAGACAGTGTCCGGACTCTGGGCCATTCGACGTAGTGGAGGAGTGTTGCGAGAGGACGTGGTGTACCTAGCTAGGCTAGTTATTGCCGGCGTGTAGGAAAAATGCACTGTACTATAGTAGGCTGGTAGAACAACCCCTGCTATACTTTCCAGCGCCCAACCTGCTTCACCAGGCTCCGGTCGCCTACCGAAAGGCTTTGGTTCACCTTCCGAAAGACCGTTCGTGTTCGCGTCTTGCGACCGCAACTCAGTAGCCCGTGGTATCAATCGGCTAATGCATTAGTGCAGCCCTGTGAAAAAGAAACGTCGAACGCCGGTCCTCCACGATACCAAAACAAGCTGTCAACCCCGGAAAGGACAGAGAGTACGGTTGTGTAAGTGGAGGCTCAAAAGCTTGACTCGTGCGCTCGCGTCGAGGTGAGCGCACGTGCCACCACCTAGAAAATGATGCTAAAATTAGCGTCCAGCCTTCAAGCCTTTTGGGTGCCAGCTGAACGGTAGGTTTGAACAAGAAAAACATGATGCATCTGAACACCGCGGATTGGACAATGGCGGATAGGGGAAAGCCTCGCAGCGTGCATAGTGCCTCATTTTGTTATTTTGAGAACTTAGGAAGTTGCGGTGGAGGACAAGCATGCAACTTCGCCGCCACTTCGCTTGCCGTTACAGGTGTAAATGCAATCACGGGCCGGCATTTGCGCAGTGAGTCTGTGTGGAGAAGACCGACGTTGTCGGTGTGCTGTGCAGGGCGAGGCCCCAGTCCTTCCATGCCACGCATCAGCACCTTAACGCAGAGCCGCATGGCAAAAATAGGCCTGAATAAAACTCGCGGAATCCTGTACCGCCCCCTCGGGAAATGAAGTGTAGGAGGACGAGGGACGGTCGGTGCGTGTTGCGTCATGCATGTGTACCTGGGTATGTCTTCAAGACTCGTGTAAGATTCGAGGGACTAGGTGGGGGCTGATTCACCCAACGGAGATTCGATGGGTGGCAAACTGAGTCCTGTAATCTTGTAATTTGGGGCCACACCGTTAAAACATCGATGGCTGCCCGCGCGGGTATGTATCTACTGACACTCCCTATACCTGTTGGTGGGATACAGATTAGCAATAGATATTGGCAACATGGCCGATAGCCCGATGTGCACGATGGGCGCGAACAACACCGTGACGGAGAAGGATACGAATACGAATGAGGTAACGTGGAGGCTGCTGATTCACTCCAAATACAAGTCGCTAATCGCTCGAATAGTCATTACTCGTTGCCCGACATCATCGACGGCGTTCCCACATTGTCTTCGTCATACATTACCCCTCCGCTCCGCGACCATGTCACACTCATCCATCTGTTCCTAAGAACGTTCGATTGCGCAATGCGTGCCGTCGCCTTCCCATGCTTTCCAACCCGCTTCCACCGCGACAGCCTATGATGTAAATTCCTCGAACCATGCAACATCCTTCCTAACAGGCGATGTTCCGCGCATAGGCACCCGTACCTTGTCCCTCAGGTGCCTCTTCGAAATCCGCCTCCGTCAATGCCCTCGTATAAAAGACACACGCCGTCTCTAGTTGGCCACCCGGGCTACCGTAGTATCCTGGCGGCACGACCATATTTTCGGCCCAGAATGCGCCTATAGTCCAATCAGCTAAGCTACAAAGTTGGGTTCATGTACGACAATGTCTCTGTCTAAGACATATCGATTCGATACCGGGGAGTATCGTACCCTTGCATTCGATGCTAGTGCCATAACCATAGCATTGTTCGAGACATTGTTGCGCCATTTGTGTTGTGTTGGAAGAGGGTGAGGGGTAGTATGCGGCGTACAGCTCAACAGATTTGACGGAGGGTGCCGGGATGAAATCAGAAGGCGCAGAGGCAGTTTGCTCGTGCGGATCGCTCAGTTTGCATGTGTCCGGTATAGGCTTTGTTGATGGGCCGCCAGCTCGTTCTGAGAGGGTCGTTGGGAGCGCTGATGTAAGAGTCGCGAAAGCGTTGAAGAGGATTGTTGAGAGAAGCATCGTGATGGAAGTCGGTCAACTGGTTGTATAGGAGTCAAAGTGGCGCCGGGATATGTATTGAGACTTTATCGGAAATGATATAGATGTGATGGATCGCGAAATCGTTATAGGCGTTATTCGTGCGATGAAGCTCGAGATAAATATGTTTCTGTTGGTGGCTGGCACGCAAATCAATAGATCCTTTTCAGGCCTCCAGGCGAGCACGGTCTGCATATACGCATCCTATGCCCTTTCTAATATCGCACAACGTATCACACGAGGTATGTCATTGCCCCATTTGGAGGTGGATACTGTGCCTCGTGCGACACGGAATCGGCGACGATTCGTCCCAGCGGCGGTGCAATGATGTTGGATGCAGGGAAAGGCAGAGTGTTCAGCGACGATCTTCGTTGCAGTATGGGGCTGATGCACCGCCGCATTCCGTCATTGGCAGGGTGAGGAGGCTGGTCATTAGTTAGCTAACTCTTCGAATAGATTGATCACGTGTTGGCAGGATGGCGGTGTCAATCATCACTTTATTGGACGAGGCACGACCCTCATCTTGCACGTCAATGTCTCACAACACGAGCGGCGCAACTGTTGCGCTGTAATATCGCAATTGTTGAGCACAGGATGATTAAGACAATGTAATGGTTTGGGAGAGCGAAAATGGCGGAATCAACGAACCCATCGAGAAGATCGCATCCTGAATGTTGTGGGTAGTCAGGACGTGGATCGTTTCTTCAAATTCAGTTTATCTCCGATGAAGAACCAATTCAGTCGTCCGAGGTCTGACAAAAGCGTAGCGACAACGCGCGACGGTGGTAGTCCGAGGGAAACGTTTGACTTATTGTTGTAGAAAGGTTGTGTTAATTGCTGTACATTTATGTATACATCCTTGCTCTTTATCCCCCGCTATGCAATCTTCGATGCCAACGAATATGTATCGAGAAGTGACACAAAATGTGCACCTAGATGAACAACTTCGAACCATGATACTTAACACCCTCCGTGTACTCGATCGCCGCAACAGAATCCGTGCGCTCCGGGAAGCCCTCGAACGAGCGGGCGTATGTCGCCACCGAGTGGGCGATGAGCTGTTCGCAATCAACGTGGATTCCAGAAGCGTTCGCAAGTCAAAAACATACCTTGGTATTTACAACCCAAGCAGTGACATTCACATTGCTCAAATCATCACACAGCTGATGATAGCACGGGTCGTACCAGTCGCCCGCCTTACCTCCAAATTGCTCAGCCTCTTCTTTGGTCTTGACGCCTTCGGCCCCTGTGGCGATGCCTCCACCAGGAATACCGTGACGAATGAAGCCATCGTAATCGCTGCGACCATCAAATGGAATAAACGTGTAATTGAGTCCATGATCCTTATACCAGTCGATGTACAGATCCCTCAATTCTTCGGAACCGTTGGGGTTAGCTGCATTAGTCGCATTGTAGATCTGGTACGCGAAGTTTGGACTGGCCATCATGTCGTAATCCATAAAGAGGCGGATTTTCTGGTTTTCCTCTTTGGGCAACGAAGCCACGTAGTAGTCGGAGCCGAGGAGGCCTTCTTCTTCGCCTGCCCACCAGCCAAAGCGGACACAATTAGATACATTGAACTTGGTGAGCTGACTTGCAACTTCCAGCAGACTGATAGAGCCGGAGCCGTCATCGTTGATTCCAGGGCCTTCAGCGACACTGTCGCTGTGTGCGCCGAGCATGACGCAGTTTTCTGGATCACCGAACGTAGTCTGTGCAATGATGTTCGTGGTTGCAATCTGCTTAACCTCGGCATCGATGTACGCAATCGCATCGACGTATTTCTTGTTCTTGAGCTTTTTGAGGATGGGCTTCGCATCTTCGCTGCCAATACCAAAAGTCGCGACGTGGTTTGGTGACGGGGTGCCGAGGGTTCCTCCAATACCGTCCTTGCTTCCTAAGTCATAGACGACCACTGCGGCCGCACCCTTTACACCTGCATGCTCGGATTTAGTTCCGAAAGGGCATGTACCGCGCTTGATGAAGGCGATGTTGCCCTTCACCGAGCTTGGAAAGTCGCCCAGCTGACAGCCCTCGTTCTCAACGAGGATCACAGTGCCATGTACAGGCTCCCTGTTCTTTGTTGGGGGCGTCAAACCGAACGGCGACGCTGATTTTGGCACCTCATTGCCCAGGACAAGGCGAGACTCGAAAATATTCCCAGAAACAGCAGGGAAGGACTGGTTCGAGATGTCGTAGTAGTGTCCCAGAGCTAGAATGGTTTCGTATATATACGAGAGCGTGCCATCATGTCCTGCAATCCGGTTAGCTCGGTACGACAACAGGGCACGTGGGAAATCTACCAGCACTACCAATCACTCGGGTTGGGTGGTTGTACTCTTCCTCACCCAGCTTTGCGATCTCGTACAGCTTCTTCGCACGTGCAAACAACTTGTCCCCACTGATGAGGTCTTGTAGCGCTGATGAGTTGACCAGCGGCTTCTCTCCATGATAATCACCGGCAGGCTGGATGGGCGCCTGTTTCGAGGAAGAGAGCAGGGGAATCTGGAGCGCCGACGCGCCTGCCGCGAGGACGCCCAGCGAAGAGATGGATGCCCGCATATTTGTGATGATGGACGATGCAGGCAGCGCGATGGGCGACGAGATAGCAGTGAGGCTGGGGGCTGGGTCGAATGACTCCTAGTGGCGGGCCGGTTGAAACGCTAGCCTGGCTCGGATGGGTCATGAAGCAACGCCAGCGCGATAAGGCATCACAAACCAGATGGTTAAAACTTGCATGTGCACGAAACAACTAAAGTGCCTTTTAGATGGCAATGCAACAACCTGATCAGCACAGCGCGGGAACATTGTGAGGTGCCAGGAGCAGTTGCCTCGAGAGCTCGAGTCGTGCACAACCACGCGATGTCGAAGAACGGCCATCTGGAATAGAAAGAGTTATGCGAGCATACTATTTGCGCTGTAATACTAAAGGCGGGGTCACGGGGATGCACAAAAGCCTCTTTCCATTTGCCGTCTCTGGAAGAGCCCCACCACAGCCATATCCCAACCAACGACCATCGGGAGTCCACTTCATACCACTGTTCTCCCACCATTTGAACGAGCTTGTGCAAATAATCATGGGGTCAACGAAATAGTATGAGGGAATCCCTGCGCATGGGTTCGAGCAGGTGTGTGCGCGATCGCGCTGCTTCCGGGCATACCTGGGCATTGTCACGGCCGTCAATCGTGAAATCGTTCCGCGGAATAGAATTATGACAATGCCGTCGAATTGCACAGTGAAGTGCAAAGCAGTCCGCCCATATCGACTACGACATTGGTCATTGGTATGTAGACAGCACTCGAAGTCCAGCCCAGCCAGCCGAACGCTGTAACGGCGCGTGCGGGCTGCTTGAAGAAGACACGAGAGATACCGCGCCCAAGGATGCTGTTCTTTTTGTTGATAGAAATGCGCAGTGACAGCGGGTGGTAGTTGTTCTCGACGTTTTGCTGCGCGACGTTCATTTCATAGTCCACTCGCGCGTCTTCGCCATCTACCCCTGAACGAACAGCCTCCGCTGCGGCTCTTTCCGGGCCATACATGTTGAAGTTAATGCTTTGGTATTGGGCTTCGTCCACAGAATCGGAGATTGTTCCAGCCTTGGCGGTAAGATAGAAGTCGTAAAGCCCAGCGGCCAGGATGGAATCACTGACAACCAGGAAATCTATCCGGTGATCAGACCGTTGAGTATGGAGCCAATGAATGAGCTCAGCATACTGCTAAAAGCAGAAGCAGAGGGCGAGAGCTAACACCCGTTGGATGACATTGTGGGACGGGTGTAAGGCCTGGATGCAGTTTTGAAAATGATGTATCACCCCACGAGGCAGCAACGCGCTGCCAAAACTTTTGGTCCAACCTGCAGCTGGCGTTTTGGTGGAAGGTTTTACATACAGAAAATTTGGGGGCTATTGAGGAATTGATTTCGTCAGGTGTTACACAAAGATCACAAAGGCAATCCGTGGCCGCAGGTAACTTGTGTTCGCCCCGTCAGCCTTGTTAGGCAGGACAAATCAAGGGAGTCGATATATAGATAAGGGAACCGATTTCGTCACGTTGAGCGTAGTCATATCTAACGTGGCATTTAGACATTATTTCCAGAACCGATTCGTTTTCAAACATTCGCACTTCTTGGTGTCATCAGTCATTGCAGGTTATTTCGAGTCCCTCTCAGGTGTCCTTGTTCAAGCGTCTCTCGTGAACTCTGACCGCTGCCGCCATCTCTCCCCATACCTGAAAACCAACATTGGGATCGGTGCGAGCGCCAGACTTAGCAAACTCAACAATGTAAAAGCCAGCCCGTATCCAAGCTCTTCGGCCAGCGGGCCGGCCGCTAACGGTAGGAAAGTCCCCATTAAACATCTTGTTACGATGACGCCGGTCAGTGCTGAAGCAGAATACAGCCCACACGCATCAACTACATATGCGGAGAGCGGAACCATGGTCATGAGCAGTGTGGAGCCCATTAAGCCCACAGAGAGCAGAAGGAGCGCTGCAGGCAATTGTAGTTGCGCAATCCAACCATACGCGAGCACCGTAAATGGCAGGAGAATTCCGCCAGTGATCGCTAACGGCAAGCGATACTCTGGGCGACCCTTTTTTGAGGAGCTCCTGTCCCGAAGCCGAATATAGATGCGATCCAGGCTCGAGTTACACACCAAAACACTGACGAACGAGCCGACGCCTGCTACATGTCAGTCTAAATTTGTATACAAAATGAGGGTTCTTACTGAAACAAAGAAATGACGAGCCGATTTGAGATGGCGAGAATCCATATCGATCTTCAAGAATGCCAGGCAGCGTCGTACTTAAAACGTAGAAGTAACTGAACAGGACTGATCCAAATAGCGACATCGCGAGAAGCACACTAGATCCGAAGAGGACGGTAAATGGCCGTTTGATCGCGTACCAGAGTCTATGTCCGGCTTCATCTTTAGTAGCTCCAGAAATTTCCTGGTTGGCTTCTTCTTGAATATGCATGACTTTGCGCTTCAAGATGACCATCTTGTACGTTTCGCGAAAGCACGTCACAAACGCGATTTCGCACGTCAGCGCCAAAGCAGTCGCAATGAGTAATACGGTGCGCCACCCGAGTGTTTGCGCGATAATGCCTCCACACGCAGGCCCGATTGCACCTCCTAGAAGGGGAGCCAACATGAGGAGACTCATGGCGGAGCCTCGTTTTTCGTTGTCGAAGATGTCCCCAATGATAGCAGGCCCGAGAACGTTGGTCGCAACAGCGGCTCCAGTCAAAGCTCGGGCGCCAATGAACAATGCGGTACTTTCACTGACTGCAGCCAGGAGCGATGCAGAAATGAAGAGTATATTGCATGCGTTCATGACCGGGTACCTTCCGTAGATCTCACTGAGAGGTGCAATCAAGAACGGGCCGGTGGCTTCTCCCAACTCCCAAATTGTCACCAAGAGGGCCGAAACTGACGGCCCCGCTGTATGGTTAGATAACTCGTCGACGATGGTGTTTGCTACAGGCACGACGGAGATACAAGTAAATGTTCTGTAAGTTATCAGCAGCTGACACTAAATTTGATAACGAAAATACTCACACTGTAAATGCTGTGAAAGCAAGAAGTGACACCATTGCCCACTTATATGCCACCGGCCATTCTCTGGGGTTCTCAATGTCACCCTCCTCGAAGTCTAGTATGACGCCTGTGTGCTTGATGCCATCCTGCAGAGTTTCCGGGATGGACGCGAGCAACGGCTGCTGCTCGTCAACGGTCATGGCGTCTGTCGTCTGCTTCACTGATCACGCTAATCAAGTCAAAGAAACCTGAAAGCAACAAGAAGATTATGGTAGGAGTGGAGAAGTATGTATCGAAATGTCGAGAATCATTTTTTAGAGGGGCGGCCCCCGTCGCGCCCTGCATGTCGCCTTCAGTAAGTGACTTTTAGTTGCATTAGCGCACCATTCCGGGCTAGAGAACGCAGCCAACCACAAATTTTCTAGCCAATGAAAGACATCTCCTCCCGCGGATAGCCGAGTCTTACGACGAACACCTTGTTTGGCTGTCTCGTTGTCCACACTCCATCTCCATCCTGATCGAGCTTCGAGTTTGCGAAGTCTTCTTCTGTTGGTTTGCTTTTGCGCTTGCTTAGCCGATCTGCATGCGATCCAATCGAAAAACCTCACTTTGAGGGCTGGAATTCCCTCACAAGATCTGGAACTATAATCCATCACCACAAGTTCCTACGGTACTATGCCAAGGGCTTCAGTACTTTCTTCCTTCTCGTGGGATAACATGGGATGCTGAAGCGTCTGTCTGCATCAGTCAGGTGTTGTTCCTCCCGTGCACATGGTAACTCCAGATGGTACCTAGGTACGGCTGCGGATATATGATGGACCCTTCAAACATGTGTAATACATCGCAGGCGACGGCGACCAAAGAAGTCCACTAACATATGGCAACACAATTCATAAAGCATTCTAGACTTCAGCCTCTGATACCGACCTTGTCACCCTCCGCACCATATCATTCTACTTAGATGAATAGACCAGATGTGGCTCCTTGTCTTGCGGAGACAAACCCACCAACGGCATTTCGCTGTTCAATTTAAACAGTTTTAATAACGCCATGTGGCTGACTGCCACTTCTGGATGGTAAAAGTGCTCAGCTGATGCCATATAGCCGCAATAACCAGGATGCCATGAGTGGCTAAATACCGAACGCAATATCCCTACGGCTCCAGACACCGGAGGATCGGCTCCAACCCCACCAAACACATGGAGCAATAATTTGAAATCCGGGGTGCAGCACCCTTATAACTTCACCAGCCACGGCTGTAGATCAATCACGTCTTCATTCCGATTCTACAATGGCGCGAGCTCTTGTTTTAGCTGCCGCAGCGGCGACCTTGTTCCAAACAACGCATTCGCAATGCACTCCAGCCAGCACGAGCAAGACGTATGATTATATTGTCATTGGTTCGGGAGCTGGTGGTATCCCAATCGCGGATCGACTGAGTGAAGCGGGCAAGACGGTATTGCTGCTCGAGAAGGGTCCACCATCAAGTGGGAGATGGGGTGGCACTATGAAGCCATCGTGGCTTCAAGGCACGAATCTGACTCGCTTCGACGTACCAGGACTTTTCAATCAGATATGGGCGGATGGCAACGGAGTTGCGTGTGATGACACAGGCGTTATGGCAGGCTGGTGAGTATCCAAACACACGGCTGCGTATTTCTCCACTGGCTTGCGTCTCTGACGCAATTCACAGTGTTCTAGGAGGAGGTGTGGCCGTGAACAGTGCGTTATGGTGGAAACCGCATCCCGCGGACTGGGACCGCAACTTTCCAGATGGATGGAAGTCGACCGACATGGCCAAGTCGACCGAGAAAGTCTTCCAAAGAATTCCCGGTGTACGTTCGTAAATGAAATTGAAGGCACGTTTTGTTAACAACGTATACAGACCACTATACCGTCTACAGACGGCAAATTATACCTCCAACAAGGTTTCGATAGGGTATCGAAAGGTTTAGACGTCGCTGGCTTCAAACAGCTCAACAAGCCAAATGACTATCCAGACCAGAAGAACTTCACATATGGACACCCTGAATTTTTCATCGAGCATGCTGAGAGGCAAGGTCCTCTGAGGACTTACTTAGAGACTGCTTCCGCGCGCACTGACAAGTTCACACTGTGGACGAACACAAACGCAAGAAGGGTGGTGCGGACCAAGGGTCATGTCACCGGAGTCGAATTAGAATGCAAAAACGGAGCTGGCCATTCGGGAACCGTCAATGTGACGCCTGGTACAGGTCGCGTCATCGTTTCCGCAGGCACGATGGGTTCGGCGAAGCTTTTGTTCAGAAGTAGGTCAAGAAACGTTTGGAAAAGTCTTTACTAAACTCGACAGGTGGTATTGGCCCAACCGATCAGCTCAACGTTGTGAAAAGCTCGTCGACTGACGGAGCTACGATGATCTCGCAAGATCAATGGATCAACCTTCCGGTTGGTTATAATCTAGATGACCATGTTGGCGTACGTACAGGACGTCTTGGGAGCGAAAGTGGGTTATGCTAACGTCTCTGCAGACTGACATCCAGATCTCTCATCCAGACATCGTTTTCTATGATTTCTACGCTGCCTACAACAACCCGGTTGCAGCTGATAAAGACGCCTACTTGAGTTCGTATCCGATTCACGACAAGTCAAAAGAGCGAACTAACACATCTTGTAGAGAGCAGAACAGGTATATTGACGCAAGTCGCGCCCAACTTGGGCCCCATCGTAAGCGCATGTTACACCGCGATGATCGAATTGTTTCACTGACTGATTCCTAGGCCTGGACTCAACACACACCCTCGGACGGAATCGTTCGCCATATTCAATGGCAAGCTCGTATTGAGGGCAATACCAAGAGTACAGTTTGTATCGCCATATAACCCAGATCGAGCTAATTCTCTCAGCGGCAATGACCATCACTCAATATCTCGGCAATGGCGCCATCTCTCGTGGTCGATTGACCATCACGCCCCAATTGAACACCCAAGTCGCTACTCCTCCTTACCTGAGGAATGCGACAGATAAAGAAGCCGTGATTCAGGGCATTGACACCATGCGAAAGGCCCTGAGCAACGTTCCGAACTTGACTTGGATCAAGCCTACAAGCGGCCAGGACACCACAGCCTTTGTCAACTCGGTATGTCTACCTACAAACTTTTGTAGCACTAAATTAATGATTCCCAGATTCCGACCATCCCCGCCTCACGCAACTCGAATCACTGGACTGGCACTAATAAGATCGGCACGGATGATGGCCGCAGTGGTGGAACTGCTGTCGTCGACCTTGATACCAAGGTGTACGGAACAGATAACCTCTTCGTCGTTGATGCGTCAATATTTCCAGGAATGACCACCGGTAACCCCTCTGCGGCTATCATCATTGCTTCGGAGAAGGCTGCTGAGAGGATCCTCGCGCTCCAAGCCCCAGCAAAATCGCGTGTGATGAGGGATGCGCAATAGAGTAGACGAGGTACCGAGGCTGAGATAGTAACCACACACTTCATGTAGCTGAGCGGAACTCTTCGACGTAAGACTGTCATTTCCACATGATTCCACTCGTTCAAACACTACTTAATTTGGATGCGGCCGACTGCGCCTTTGCGTCCAGATGCCCAGCATACCCCACCTTTGATACACTGCACAGCAAAGAATTCGTTGCGGTGCTCATCTGTCAGGCCTTCCCATGTAACACCTCCGTCCCGTGTCAAGTTGGTGCCGGTTTGGCCACCAGCTACTGCCAGCTTCGATTTTCCCGGAAGCCATGATACTGCCGAACGATATTCCAGCGCTGAGTTCGACGAGGTCCAAGTTACTCCGCCATTGCGAGTATATGCCACATTGTTTTTGCTCGCAGGTACGCCGGTACTGAAACTACCCCCAACGACGAGACCGTTCCGAGAATCGCGAAATGCGACCGAGTTCATCCCGTACCCTGAGTAGCCGAGCTCGACGTTCGGATCGCCCACAAGGCTGGTGTTCGCGTCTTTCCAACTGCGTCCATTCGAGCTGCGGAAAACACGCGAAGGATTGGGACTACCTCCGGTGACGATATACCACCGTCCAGCGACAAAGGCAATGCATGTACCACTTGCAGCGAACGCTGCTTGGCCTTGGGCTTCTAGACCCGTAGTAGTGACTTCTCTCCAGCTCTTACCACCATCGTGAGTTTCCAAAAGACCCATGCTTCCGTCTGTAGCATTTGCAGGGTCTTGCAATAACAGGCCGTGATGCTTGTTCTCCCAAGCAAGGCTGTCGTAGAAAATTGGATTCTTTGGAGTTCTTGATTTGCGCCAACGTTTGCCCCCATCTTCTGTATACCACACGCTCGTTTGATTCAGGCTTCCATCGCCAGCAGCCATAGCAACGGCAACTTGAGCAGAAAAGGCTTCAATATCGCGGAAATCCAGGATGACAGGGTATGTACCTGTTGCATTGGTGAAAGTCTCTTTGTGCGTAATCGTGAGGTCGCTCCAAGAGGTTCCGCCATCAGTGGTTCGATAGACAGAGTTGTTGGTTCCCGAGACCCAGACGATCCTGTCGGAGACCACAGATAGCCCGCGAAAGCCAGCCGTGACTCGACCGTTGTTACCCTGTATTGGTTTGGTTTGCCATTTGTTGCTGCTACTCTTCGTTGGGCTACTGCACGACAGAGAGAAGAATGGAACCAAGAGAGCCAGTGTGAGGTGCATGATGAGCTGGAGAATTTGAGTTGAAAGGCTTGAAGATGGAGCGGGGGAATTTGCGAGGTCGTACCTGGACCGCGCCCGCTCCCGCGTTCCTTGGGAGTTTCCTCATTGGGGTCTGACGCGCGAGTCAGCTCTAACCGGATCGTGGCTAAACGATTGCGCATCTCGGGAGAGCGCGTGTGGCAAGTTGCAGGACAGGATGGATTTTCCACTAAACGTATTACTCTCGTCGGCTCTGAGAATAAACCTTCATTTGTACTTAACACCAGCCATTTTAGCGTGGGTACTCAGGCAGTAGAAATGGAGAAACGGATGTGTTCTAAAGCCAATATAGGAATCAGCAAATCGTCTCTCAAGATCGTCGCATGACATAGCTCATGGTTATTAGGCCTTCGATATGTTGCATTGGCCATTCTCAAGATAAAGAGGAAGCTCCGGTTAGGTCATACCTTGAGTAAACCTGGTGCGTGGCTTGGGTACTCGACCCATTAGATCTATGGTCAGATTGATAGGTTAGATTGATAGGCGAAGAGAATCGTTTCTGATATGCATACATCTGGGCAAGATATCGAAAGGGATTCTGAGTCCTCAGCATCTCATATGGAGGATGCGCACGATGAGGCCGGCTTGTCTAATCGGTGGGAGGCAATAACCAGCGATTTCGACTTGAAGACTTGGCCAGAGTCTTCGAAGGACAGGCTGAAAGCTGCTGCCTGCGGGTTAGGTGTGGACGCAGGAGGGCGAGCGGAATCGAGTCAAAAGCTCAAAGTTTGGATTGCTACCCAATTCTCCAATTTCATCATTATATAAGGCCTTGACTTTGTGTGTCACATGACTGTGACAAGGTAGATCTTGTCTTTTGACCGGCAGCATATTATGGATCTATCCTACACCGGTCTGTCGGCGATGGAACATTTGAGAACGTTGTAGAGTGTTTTGTCAGTCATGCGCAAGTCAGAGCAACGGACAACACCGAGACGATGAGGGAGATGAACTCGTTTTACAATTGGGTTGAGATTGTATAGTACAGTTTCAGTTATTAATTGGCGAAGTATGGCATGCTATTGACAATTTCAATTTTGCTTGCAGGGAAATTCGCTGATAAAATGTCAAATCTTTCATTACGACATCGCAAATCAGGTCAGACCATCTGCCGATCAGGATCTTTACACATTTCGAATTCATGGGCTGCTTATCGTCATACTGCAGGTGGGATACAGGAGGTTACGGTGATACGACAGCGAGCTAGGTAAAGAGCTACATGAACTTGAAAGCCACCAATCTCAAACACCTTTGGCCACAGATTGTCGGCCAATATACTAATCGCATACATGTCCAAACCTCAGTCGACGAAGCCATGCTACTGTCCTCACGAAAGTGAAGTCCGACCCTATCTGCTACGACAACGTGCAGCGCCTGATAATTCAATGCTGCGCCGTCGGACTGCATGTCTAATCCCTGAACAGTAAGCGCCAAGCCAATTGCCCCTCACAATTCACTGTATATACACCTATGAGTTGCAATTGCCTGACTGGTCAGCACGTTCTGATTCGAGAACAGCCACAGCACACACGCTGAGCAACACAATGCTGCATCACTGGTTTAACTGAGCGATCCTGTTATGGTCGATTTCCCGCCCAGTCTACCTCCACCATGCTCGCGTCTGCGTTTCGAAACTCAAATGTGGTCAACTATCTCAATGATACTTATGCGCATTTGAAGCGATATTCTTCGTGACACTCACCTAACCTATTCAAGCGGCAGGTGCCTCTGGCACATAGAAGGTGCGCACAACCCTATCGTGGCGACTTCAACTTCTGAACACTCCATCACTCTTCACTTTGTCGCCGTACTTCGTTTCATCTCCAATATGTGCAATGCGCGACTTGCCCTGGCATTGCTCGCCACTTGTGCCGCCGATTCTTTCAGCAATTATGGAGAGATTGACCAAGCATGCACCATGCTTGAGTCTGAGCTGCCCGGCTGTGTATACTACCCTAACAGTACGGCTTTCGAGCAGTCAGTTGCCTCATATATATATGCGGGGTCACGGCTTCGACCAAATTGTATTCTCGGTCCAAAACAAGCTGAAGACGTCCAAAAGGCAGTGCAAGTCCTCACCCAGTATCCGTCTGTGGAGTTCGCTGTTCGGAGCGGAGGGCACAATATCAACAAAGGTATGGAACTTCTAAGAAGCTTCTCTGATGTCATTAACATGCGGGCAGGATTCGCGAACACTGACCTCGGTGTGACGATTGATCTCGCTGCACTCGATGATGTAGAAGTCAGCAGCGACAAAAGCTACGTATCGATCGGAGTGGGTGCTCGGTGGGGAAAAGTGTATGCTACTGTCGAGCAACAAGGTCTTAGTATGCCAGGAGGCAGAGTCTCCTCAGTGGGCACGGGCGGATTCATAACAGGCGGCACGTCCATTGTACACAATCACAACACCACCGTTCATGCTGACATTTTCCTATAGGCGGGATCTCATATTACTCCCCCGAAAGAGGCTGGGCCTGCGACTCTGTCAAAAGCTTCGACATCGTCCTTGCAAACGGTTCCCTCATCAATGCCAACGCCCAGTCCAATGCAGACCTGTTCAGAGCCCTCAAAGGAGGTTCGAACAACTTTGGCATAGTGACGCATTTCGAACTCGATGTATTCGAGCAAGGACCACTTACCGGCGGTTCAATGGACTATGGCAACGTAACGGGCGAGCAGGTCGTGAACACAATTACGTCCTTCAAACAGCCACAGATGTTCGACAAGCATGCAATGCTAATCGCCATCTTCTCATACCAAGCTCATAAACATCTATTCTCTCATTCGGCAACGTTCTTCCATACACGCCCTGAAAAATATTTTGGGAGCACATTGGAGGCGTTTACGAGGGTCGAGCCGCAAACGAATGTGACGTTACCCGTGATGAACAACACAGCAGGATTCTTTGCAGGTTTGTCAGGGTCCTATGATCCTTCGTACGCGCCGAATAACTTGTAAGTGGAAATGCCTCCTCTTCTCACTGAGGGTTGTGTAAGAGCTGATCGCGACCAGTATGCATTGGACTTGCCTCCAATTCCGCGTTACCAAAACAATCCTACACAAAATCAACGGGCTGTACCGAGAGCATTCCCTCAGGCTCGCCAATGTACCTGCCTACCGCAGCGCAAATCTAACCGTCTTCCTCGTCCTGCAATCGGTACCCGCAACCAGGCCAGGGAACAGTCTGGGCTTCGAACCTGATTCGCATCCAGAAAAGGACCAGCTTAACCTACTGATCATGTATCAATATGACGAAGGCCGAATGGAAGTCGCGTTGCAGCGAGAGATCAACAGGTTGACGAAGGAGGTGGAGGATATTGCGAGGGAGGAGCGTGCGCTCAGTCAATTCATATACCTTAACTATGCAGGCAGTGACCAGAAAGTCCTCGAGGGGTATGGAAAGAAGAGCGTAGAAAAGTTGAAGAGGGTCGCTGCGGAGTATGATCCAGATGGCGTGTTCCAGAAGCAAGTGAGGGGAGGGTTCAAGCTGTCAGACGTGCATTTCTAGGCGCGTCGCCAGACAGCAGACCCTTGCTCGGAAAGTGAGGGCAGTAGCAGCACAACCAGTGGCTTTGAGGCAGCCCGTAGACAGCGGTCATTTTCGTGCTTCGTCGCCCAGCCATCGATTAGCAGTCTAGTTCCATCTTGCATCCGTGTGTGCGATAACAAGACACTAGCTACTCGTGTCTGCAGTCCCGGTAAATGCCGTTTGTCGAGGGTGCCGTTGGAAGAGAGCCGGGAAAGGCCGCAACATGACTCGTATGTCGAGCAAACAAGCTGCAACGAAGGCTCGAACGCCCGCTTCCAAACCAAGCCGCAATGGTGGCGCGGGGAAGACGACGAAAATCATGGTGTCGGCGGAACATGGTTCAGCCGACTCCGCCTCGGCCGCTTTGCTGGGGCTACCGGAGCTGTATGACGCTCTGACGCTCTGACGCTCCGACGCTAAATTTCGAGGTTGCTAATCAATCATCATCGCCACGACTCATTGCGCGACTTGCACCTCTGCGCCCACTCTTCTGATCTCGGACCTTTCCCTACTACAAGGAGCGTTGTGGGCGCTCATATCGTCTTTCGCTTCACGGCCACCCAGACCCCTCGATACCGTGGCAATTCCAAGCGCCGCTACCGGACACGCGACGATGCTCCATGGACAGCACCTGCCGTGGCGGGCAGCCCTTCGCCACGCTTCACGGTCGGCGGTGAGGGCCGCACCTTCCACCGTCCCCTCGCCCTACCTCCCCGCCCAATGCACAGCATCATTTGCGCGATGCCCGCGCCGGTACACGTCGCCCCCCGCGGCACTGCTCACCTCGCGCAGCTTCTCGACATCGATGAGCCGGCGGAAGGAGCAGAAGCCGAAGACGCCGCCCGAGACATCGGAAGAGCCGAAGGAGGAAGGCGAGGAGGAGCAGAACAAGCAGCCCAAGGCACAGGACGACGCCGACAGCGTGGAGGCGAAGAGCAAGGCGCCTGAGCCGATACCAACAGCAAGCGACACGAAGGGCAGCTCGGCAGGAGGTGGAGCCGCAGGCGCAGGAGGCGACGGAGGCGGCAAGAAGCGCAAGCAGTCGGACAAATCCCTCGTAAAGCCCTCGATACCCGACGTGTACCCCCAGGTCATGGCGATACCCATCGCCAAACGGCCCCTGTTCCCGGGCTTCTACAAGGCCATTACCATACGCAACAAGGAGGTTGGCCAGGCTATTGCCGAGATGGTGAAGCGCGGCCAGCCATACATTGGCGCCTTCTTGCTCAAGGACGACGAGGCCGACAAGGACGTGATCGACGACCCGAGCGAGGTGTATGATGTCGGCACATTCTGCCAGGTCACCAGCGCTTTTCCCATCGGGGCGGATGACAACTTCGCAATGACGTGCGTGCTGTACCCGCACCGGAGAATCAAGATGACGGAGCTGAAGCCGCCTGGCGCGAACAAGCCTCAGGAGAGCTCAGCCGAGGGCGTCGAGGGGGCTGACGGAGCCTCGGTGGCTGAGAGCACATTGATGGAGGCTGCTGTCAAAGAGCCGGAAGCCGAGCAAGCGAAGGGCGATGTCGTGGCAAGCTTCGAGGAGAGCAGCGCTGACGCCACAAAGGCGCCCCGCTACTACGAGGCGACATCATTCCTCAAAGGCAAGGACGTCAGCATCGCGAACGTTGAGAACCTCTTCGAAGAGCCATTCGACATCAAGGGCAACAAGGTCATCCCAGCCCTCGTCAGCGAGATCGTGAACACATTCAAAGCTGTCGCCCTTCTCAACCCGCTATTCCGCGACCACATTTCTACCTTCTCCGTGCAGACCACTATGAATGTGGGCGAGGATCCCGTCAAACTGGCTGATTTCGCAGCTGCCGTGGCACAGGCAGACTCCCACGAGCTGCAGGAGGCACTGGAGGAGTTGAATGTGGAACAGCGACTGAGCAAGGCCCTCATCGTGCTCAAGAAGGAGCTCATGAATGCTGAGCTCCAGTCGAAGATTGTCAAGGATGTTGAAAACAAGATTACTAAGAAGCAGCGCGAATACTGGCTCCTGGAACAAATGAAGGGCATCAAGCGTGAGCTTGGAATCGAGTCCGACGGCAAAGACAAGCTTCTTGAAAAGTTCAACGACAAGGCTAGCAAGCTGGCCATGCCAGAAGCTGTCAAGAAGGTCTTCGACGAAGAAATCAGTAAGCTCGGTCATCTTGAACCCAACGCATCTGAGTTCAACGTCACGCGAAACTACCTCGACTGGCTCACGCAGCTTCCGTGGGGTCAAAGGAGCGCCGAGAACTTTGGTATCAAGCACGCACGAGAGGTGCTTGATGAGGACCACTACGGTCTCAAGGACGTAAAGGATCGCATTCTGGAATTCATTGCAGTCGGCAAGCTCCGTGGTACGGTCGAAGGAAAGATATTGTGCTTGGTTGGACCTCCCGGTGTTGGTAAAACTTCAATCGGAAAATCCGTTGCGCGAGCACTCAACCGACAGTATTACCGCTTCAGTGTCGGTGGTTTGTCGGATGTAGCCGAGATTAAGGGCCACCGAAGGACCTACGTTGGCGCGCTACCTGGTCGCATTATCCAGGCACTCAAGAAGTGTCAGACTGAGAACCCATTGATCTTGATTGACGAGGTCGACAAGATTGGTCGTGGCCATAACGGCGACCCTTCCTCGGCACTGCTTGAGCTTCTTGACCCCGAACAGAACAGCAGCTTCCTAGACCACTACCTCGATGTTCCCGTCGACCTGTCAAAAGTACTTTTTGTATGCACGGCAAACATGCTGGACACCATTCCTCGCCCGTTGCTCGATCGTATGGAAATAATCGAGTTGTCTGGATACGTTGCGGATGAGAAGATTGCCATCGCTGAACGTTATCTTGCACCGCAAGCTAAGGTGATCAATGGTCTCGATAAAGCAGACGTTATCCTTGAAAAGGAAGCCATTGTCGAGTTGATTAACAAGTACTGCCGCGAATCAGGCGTTCGGAACCTCAAGAAACAGATCGAAAAGGTTTACAGGAAGTCAGCCCTAAAGATCGTGACTGACCTAGGCGAGGAAGTTTTCCCAGAATCCGAAGCACTCACTGAAGAAGGCAAGACCGCGCAGCAAGAAGCCGAGAAGGATCAGACCGACGTGAAAGAAACATCAGAGAACGTCGAGAAGGAGACCACCGAGAAGCCGCGAGTTGCGCTTCAGGTGCCGGATAGCGTCCACGTCTCTATCAACAAGGACAACCTGAAGGATTATGTTGGACCACCGGTATTCACATCTGACAGGCTGTACGATGTCGCGCCTCCAGGCGTCGCTATGGGTCTTGCCTGGACCTCGATGGGTGGTGCTGCGCTCTACGTTGAATCAATCTTAGAGAAGGCGCTCTCTGCTAAGTCCTCCCCTGGACTTGAACGCACTGGCTCTCTCAAGAACGTCATGAAGGAGTCCACAATTGTGGCGTACTCGTTCGCCAAGAGCTTGCTCGCCCGCGAATTCCCTAAGAACAAGTTCTTCGAACACGCACAAATTCATTTGCATTGCCCAGAAGGCGCAACACCGAAGGACGGCCCTAGCGCTGGTATAACCATGGCGACCAGTCTGTTGGGTCTTGCACTCAATAGTAAAGTCCGGGAAGGTGTAGCAATGACCGGAGAGCTCACCGTAACCGGCAAGGTCTTGAGGATAGGTGGTTTGAGGGAGAAGACTGTAGCGGCGAGACGAGCTGGGGCGACAACGGTCATCTTCCCGGCCGACAACATGTCAGATTGGCTTGAGCTACCTGAGGTACGTGATGTCGTTCTCCAATCGTAAAGATTTACACTAACAACTGTACAGAACATCAAAGAGGGTATCGAAGGCCGACCTGTCTCGTGGTACAATGAAGTCTTTGACCTTGTCTTCCCGGGCCTTGACAAGGATGCCAGTAGTAAGCTATGGGAGAAGGAGCTGAAGTCGAAGAAGGGAGATCGCAAGAGGAAGGAATACAAGAAGCGTGAGGATGACGAGGAAGAAAGCGGGGATGAGGACGATTGAGCGATCGTTGAGCGAAGATGTGTAAGATATGTACAGTGTCGACGATGAGCATCGCATACCAGGCGTAATTCTTTGGCATTTGCTTGCATAGGGTAACGACATTGTAATCCCCCTCTAAGCATGTAGACAGACCTTGCAAGCTTGCTTATTTCTGAGCTAGCTGCCTGTAGATCTTTACGATTATGTTGTCAATACTATACTTGCTCGAAGTATGAGTCCTGCTTGGTCGTTCTGGATACCACCGTGGCTTTATAATGATACAATTCACCTTTTTGCAAAGAGGCATAGGTAAAACAGATGTTGTGACTGCCAACAAGGTCTCTGAATTTGCCAAGCGGTGTGAGAGGTGGTCTGTGTGCTGTGTCGTCATAGCTTACCCATGGACATGCCCAACTCCGGTACACACCACTTAACAAACCTCGGATCCTTCACCGACGCCACACAAGCACAGCCACGAGTGAATTCACGCCCGCGAATACTTTGCATACCCAAATATGGAGGTCGTGTACAAGAAGGTTGATGAGTACGTGGATTCTTTGGCTCCACAAATCCAACCCCGCGTTGCCGCCGAGCTTGATGTCTTCCAGCAGAAGACCATCGACAGTCTCGAAGACCAGGTTATCGACGCGTTTCGCTCGCTCTTTAAGAAGGATTCGAACAAAGATGGGTCGCGGGGTGACTTGAACGACACAGCTCCGGATGCGTATGGCGGCCAGTCGTTGCCTTTCGCCGATGAAATTGCCAAGTTGACGCGTAACTTCGGCAAGATCTCTGATGAGGCGGGCGATGACCTTCGTGATATCTTCAACCTGACCGAAGGCCGCGATGGCCCCGGAGAGGTACAAGCGCGGGGGGAGGAGTCCGCCAGAGGCTCGGGGGCCAGAGGATTTCTTGCTTCGGCCCTCGATGTTGTACAGGACCATCTAGACGATAATAGGAAGAGCTCGGGCGGTGCCGGGTTCCAGCTTGACGGGCTGCTCGGTGTGATCAGCAACACAGTCAAAGATGCCTCCCGTAATCCGGAAGAAAAGGCCCGTCTTATTAGCCCGGAGATCAAGGAGAAGGTGGGAGCGAAGCTGCGCGAACAGCACACTACAATCGCAGAACAATTCACGCGTATAGCGCTTGAACATATCAAGCGCTGGCTCCGTGGCAATACCAGTTCCCGAGACTTGGGCGACGGTGCTAAAGCCGAGATTGAAGATCAGGTCAAGGACATCGTTAAAGGCATCGGTGGCCTGTTCGGAAAGAAGCATGCGAATGAAGAGTCATCCAGGGGTTTCAATGAGCGCGCACAAGGCGATAATGCCGATGAGCGAAGCGGCGGATTCTCGAAGGTCATCAGCGATAAGCTAAGCACCGGTCTTGCGAAGGTCCACCGCGAAGTGCGTCTTGAATTCAGGAAGATCCTGGGCGCGATCGAGAGGCAGTTGTTCGAGTTGCTACCCGATCAATTCCAGCGTCCTTTGGAGAAGATTTTGGGCGGCAACCCCTTCGATGCACAGCTCGACCGCGACGCGGAGCCAAATGCGGACCGTGGCTTCGGCGACGATATCAAGGCTAAGCTTCTTGATAAGATTCGAGATCTGGTTAGGAAGGTACAGGAGAGCCTGCGCGAGAACATCCTGGGTGTAGTCAACGGCGGCCATCGCAAGTTCGAGCGCGAGAGCTGGGTATTTGTTCAAAACATTGTGGAGCAGAAGGTGCAACGGTACCTTCCCGATGTGAAGATCAGTGTCCCTGATGATATTGGAAATGAGGGTGTCAGTGTAGGTGCGCCGACAGCTGGAGTCCAACTCGGACAAAACACTGCTCCTGCGCAGGGAAGATACAATAGTCCGGTAACTCAAGAACAGCATAGTGGACAATCACATCAACAGCAGGAGTATGATACTCCCGCCCAGTCCCAGTACCGTCAAGATTACCGCAGCGACAACAGCTCCCAGTACCAGAGCTCGAGACCCGAACAGCAGCATGAGTACCGCCAAGAGCAGCACCAACGCCAAGACTACCGCCCTGAATATGATCAGCCGTATCAACATCAACAACCGTCGCAATACCAGTCAAGCCAACCGCAAGGGTACAACCAGGATCACGGCTATCAGCAGCACCAGGACTATCCCTCGGGTGGAAGATATCAGGGTAATCAAGACTACCAGCGGCACGAACCCAATCAGGGCTACCAGCAGCATGGTGGATATGAGCACTCACAGGGCGAATATCGGGGCAGCCAGGGCTATGGAGGAGGCCCGGGTTACCAAGGGGGTCAAGGGTATGGACAAAATCCTCAATACTAAGCTATTGAGCGTGACTTGAGGCATAGCGAGGTTGACATGAAGATTGAGTTGAATGATGCACCATAGGGAGAGCTTCATAGGCCCGTGACGAGAGATTTTGACTCGACACTTTGCCATCTGACATGACGAAAGACGTGTTGAGACCAGTCCTCCAACGTGACTGAGTCATAATGAAAATGAAGTGACATTTGTTTCCAGGAGAGAATATGACTCTCAATGTCCTTGATATTTCCATCACCTTGAGTGATTCGTTGAACTTCGAAAAATCAATGATGGTGCTTTGGGACAAAATGAGAAACAAGATTCAAATGCTTGACTTTTCGCGAGCAGGTAGTTAATTTAGCACCGAGGGTGGAGCTATTATTCAACACTTATGACTTTGTTTTCTATCTGGGTTGTCGGGCACTTCGCTGAAGCTCCTAACGGACGGATTTCGATGGGATCAATTGCACATTACAGTTTCAATGGTCGAAGGGCTGCCGAACAACATAAAGATGTAATATCTATTGGATATCATTTCCAAGATTGCTATGATACCAAATTATCTAGCTCTGTACTGCTATAGAGTGTAGAGAGAAGTGTGGTAGACGCTAGAATAAGCTAGGCATTGAAGGACCGTTTGGTAGAAGCATCTGATGGAGGTTTCGATCACAAGCGCATCATGTTTGCAAATGCAGTCGGATCAGATCGACGCCCAAAATTCCAAGGTTCATTATCTGTCGTTGCTGCCGCATCGATGTTAGCAAATGATCGATATCAGAGCCGGAGGAGTCAGCAAAGGCACCACGTGCCTCGAGTGCAGCAGGGAAAGCCACAAGTTTTTCAATTTTTTCAATTTTTTTTTTTTTTTGCAATCTACGAGTCCTGTACCTCCCGTCTACTCATTGGACAACGCAGAGATGAAGTCCAATCACAAAAAGAGTGGGTCCCCATCGACGACTTGTACAAGTCTCGACGCGCTAGCCCCTCGCGGCGCTAGCTCATCCAATCCAGAAGCCGGTCGTGAATGATTCACACGTCAAGTGCGCGCCGAAGCAGCCTACTTCAACCTCGTCAGATTTGTTTGATTTGCTCATTACCCACGCGGACAAATCATCTTGTACACAGCGGACATGGCAGAAGCGCAAAGACCGAAAATCGGCGTGGGCGTCGTGATCCACAACGGCGCTGGCAACATTGTGATGGGCGAGCGAGCGGGTTCGCATGGTGCTGGTGCGTTTTTTCGTACAGATTGCCTGAAGCGTCAACGTGTTCGGCTAGCTTTGTGCCAGTGCTAATGGCAAACAGGCACTATGCAATGTCCGGGGGGCCATCTTGAGTACGGCGAGTCGTTCGCCGAGTGTGCGAAGCGCGAGGTGCTCGAGGAGACGGGACTGGAGGTGGGCAATGTCAAGTTTCTCGTTGCGACGAATGATGTGTTTGGGGAGGGGAAGCACTATGTGACTGTCTTTGTGACGTGTACGATTGTCGGCGAGAACACGGTGCCACAGGTACGTGTTCTGCTTCGCTTGAGATACAAGATAAAGCTGAATGTTGGGGAAGCCGATGGAACCGGAGAAGTGCGCGCGGTGGGACTGGATACCTTGGGCGCAAATGTGGGCTTGGGCGAAGGAGCAGGCAGAGGCGGAGGCTGGAGGAAAGAGCGTGAACAAGCAGATGTTTTTGCCGCTGGTGAACTTGTATCGGGAGTATCCTGGTATGGAGCACTGTCTGGCGTAGCCGTTAGTGATGCGATCAAAGTACATATACATCAACCTCGACCGGTTCCTGAAGGCGATTTGTGACTGCACAGGGCATCCCATGTGTTACTAAACAGCACATCCACGGAGCAAGAACTAGATGATGTCGAATTAAAAACCGACATGTTATGTCGTAGAGGACACTGGGTGGGATCGAAGTGTGGTAAAGCATGAGTGAGATGGAAGACCGGAGACGTCAATGGACATTGCCAGGACCAACGGCGGGGCGCAGTACCTCTCCAAGTACCGATTCGGATGCACTGAGATTGTCTTTCTATTTATGACTCGGTTGTACTACAAGGCTGACCACAGCACCGATACTCGCTTATCCCAACCGAATGGGTGGCAGACCATGTTACTGGCCCTCCGGAGTTCTCGTATAGGGAACGTCCAAACACACACAAGTCAGAAAGGTCTCGTGCCACAATGCTGCGTAGGGCTGATGCACTTGAGTAAAATCCGACTAGAAGTGGATAAGACGGTGGGCTTTGGGGAATAATGTGGGGAAACAGATTGTGCTGACTGTGACGCCCCGTGCCCTGCGAACCGATTTGGACCTCTTGTAGACTCCCGTTCGCCGAGCATGTTCTACTTGCTGGAGCGATGCAGCACCCCGTGCAGATGCGTATGTGAACCATTTGAGTTTCCCGGTCCGAGACTGTGTTGTGATGACGCGGAACTTGTTCCAGATTTTGGACCTATCGTGCGGTAGATGGAATTGTGGAGGAACCTGTAAGGTGCAGGTGTTTTAGCGGAAATGAAACAGGTATCTACATTGTAGACTACCTCAGACGTCAGTCGGATAAACACCAGCCTCGCAACGGAGATTTGCGATGACTAAGGTGCCGTGGTAGAGTCCGTTGTTGCCGTACAGCCATGCTGACTGCGTTAGCCGGCGACTCTCCCCCATGCTGCGACGTCGAGGCGTGAGCATGCGAGGCTGGGCTGTTGCATTTTCCGGAGATGATGGACACAGACCTTGGCGGCTGATGTTGAGTCGGCTACCGGAATGCATCTCATGGTCTCTGGATTAGGGAAGGCGCGAGCCGAATCATTGGCATCTATCAACACGTCGACGATGACCTTTCACTTGGTTACAAAGTGACACCTGACAGAATTGATAGTCACAAGGGAAGGATAGTATAGGTTTTCACATAAACCATAGCTGTGTAGAGCGTACCATCATCGAGTCATGCGTCTGGACCAGAGTGAGCATGGATCCAAAAATACAGCGGCCCACCCCGATATCACGTGAGGCTAAGCTTTCCAAGGGTCAAGGTCCCGTCATGGCTACCTGGCTACGAACATGGTCCATCATCGAATCCTTCTTTGGATATCGATGCTGCTCTTTCGTGTTTCGCCCCGCTGCGATGCAGGCCATCCTGCCGGCCGTGAGGCCACTTGACGAACGCCTACGCACGGGAAAAGAAACGGGCTGCACACCACCGGTGGACTAATGCCGCGCTCGAGCTTTGCTGTCGCAGCGCTGGACGACAGCACCCATCAAGTACGAGGGTGTGCAGGATGCCGACCAATGCCGTGAGCCTGCACGACGCGCATGTGCCTGGACAAGCGACCGTCTCCTCGGCTGTCTTACTTTGCGACGTCTGGCTGCTGTCACTTGCCTTCCGCTTTCAGATGACACCCGCCTGTCAGGCCACGAGCGGCTCTGCACAGCACGATGCTAACTTTGCTCTAGGAGAACCTTCACGCCGACAGCACATGATTGCCAGGCTCAACAAGTCTCAGGCTCCCTTGTTGCTTGGTCTGAAAGCAGCGGTTGAGGCTGGAGACCCGCGCAACTCGGCATATTCTGCGCTTTGCCATTGGGAGCCTAGAGCGGTGTGGCACAGCTGGACCTCCGAAGACCACACCAGCGAGAAACCTTCTCTTTTCCGCTCCGCCCTCGCCCTGTGACAAGAGACCGGGTTTGGGCGAATCGCAGTCGTGTTCTCCCTTTGCAGAATCTCCGCCGAGGAATAGCGCCGTGTCCGAAGGCCCCCAACCTTTCGCTTGCTCCAAACTTGGCCTACCAGAGCGCGTAGCAGGGATGGCTCGCATAACCTAGGATCGTCGCTGTTCCTGGCATCAGCTCCAGTGGCGCTGGCGTGAGATCTCTTGCACCGGCGACCCTCCCGCAGATTCTGCCCTGTGATTGTTTCCCGTTCTGCCACCTTGTCCCTCGAACGGCTCCCCACAGAACAGACTCACATGCCTGCACACAAAAGCGTTGCAACAGGGACGTGTGAACCAGTTTCCGAGCATGGTCCGCTCCGACACTGGGGGCCCGCATACCTAAATCGGAAGACCGTAGAAACGATTTCCGATCAAGGACACAGACGCCATCTGCGCCGCCGCAGGGCAACAGTCAGCATAGGCATTGCGGGGCTCTCTACTGCGGCTTGCACTATACTGAGACTCCCCGACTGCACGCTGAATGACCAACAGTATACCTAATCGATTGTTCTTCGTGTCGCCGGCTTAAGACATCGTGTTGCTATCTCAGGTATAGCAACAGGTGATTGTAGTCTGCCTTCTCGAGGTAGACAGGAACGACTCATTGTGGTGTAGGCTCGTTTCACTGATGCACCTAGCTGTCTAAGCTTTTGCAAGAGTCCGGACTGGCGCCAGGAACAGGCCTCGCGCACAGATGGCGCATGCATCCAGCCCACTAGTGCCCGCCTTCTTTCACCTCGCAGGGGCCACCGGTGCTGTTTGCGAGCGTAACATTGCGCCGGCATCCGTGCACATGGCCGGCGGCCATCCGAATGCTCACCACCTACAGCCCCGCCGTGATGGCGTCCTGCTTGTATAAAGGCAGGTTGGTTCCGCTGCTCTAGTCAATCATCACAGCACACTTCACCAACAACTTCACAGTCCTTCCTTCTACAGAGGCTTGCCTCCAGTCATTCTTTCTTACAACTAACTTCGATACACTCTTTTCGAGACACACATTCACTCACCAACGCACTTGCAACACTTACCCATTCCACCAACCCGCCAACCACCCAAATCAATCAACATGTTCACTGCTTCCTACATCATCGCTGCTAGCCAGCTTTTCGCTTTCGCCTTCGGCGCTCCCCTCGTCGGTGCCAGCCCCAAGCAAGCTCGTTCCCTGGTGGCACGCACTGCTTACAAGGTCTTCGGCGGTGACGGCACCCCGGCTCAGGGCTGGCCTCAGGAGTCTGAATGGAAGTCTTTCGAGGACCTCTGGAGCGCTAATGTCGCCACCACTCTCCAGTCTTGCACTCAGTTCGGCATGGACAACAACAGCCAGGAGGAGTCCGACAACATCAAGAAGGCTATCCAGGAGGTCTCTGGCACCAGCGGTGTCAAGGCCGAGTTCCTCCTCGCCATCGTCATGCAGGAGTCCAAGGGCTGCGTCCGCGCCCCGACTACCAACTACGGCTTCGACAACCCGGGACTCATGCAGTCCTTCCAGGGAACCCACTCTTGCAACCCTAACGGCCAGGGTGTTGTTCCTTGCCCATACGACATGATCAAGGGCATGATCGAGGACGGTGCCGGTCTCAACGGTGACGTCGGTCTCAAGGAGGGTCTTGCCCAGGTTGGTGGCGACGATGTCTCCAAGTACTACAAGGCTTCCCGCATCTACAACTCGGGTTCCATTGCTGGCGACGGCAACCTCAACGGCGGCATTGCCACCCACTGCTACGCCACCGACGTTGCCAACCGTCTGATCGGCTGGACTGATGCCGACCAGCACGGCTGCGACGAGGCCACCATCGGCAGCGTCGGCGGTGGTTCTGCCAACACTGCTCCCGCCGGTCCCTCTGACGGCGGTGAGACCACCACCCCGGTCGACACCACCACCCCTCCTGCTACTGGCGGCTGCGCGAAGACCTGGACTCCCAATGCCGGCGACAACTGCTCCACCAGCGGTGTTGACTTTGCCACCTTCCAGTCGCTCAACCCCTCTATTGACGCCAACTGCGCCAACCTCCAGGCCGGCACCGCCTACTGCGTTCCCAACTAAGCGCGCAACGAAACGACCAAAACGATGACACCGACCAACTAACCAAGCAGCTTACTTTCTAGTGACGGAGACTCGACGACGGGGACTGTGAAGGAGTTGTTTGGTGTGGGCTGTGAATCCTTTTTCCTTTCTCGACTTTCGCTTTTCACTTCTTGTGTTACACACCCTATTTTGTCGCATTTACATCTTGTTCCTTACACATCTACAACCTCCGATATACACACCAACGCACGCATGGAACAGGGACGGGGGCTACGGGAAATGCTTGGGACGAATCTTTGTTGCTTTCTATTGGGGGTTTTTGCTAGGCATTTCAGCGATAGCGCGTCTGGTCCTTCTCATGTTTTCCGCTGCCATATTTACTCTCCTATAGACTCCTTCGCGCGAATCACGAATATACCTTTACAAAAAAAATTACTGTTGCAAGTGCAAAAAAGGCCGGTTCAAGGTTCTGCCTGGTGAATGTTTCTCCTCTCAGGCCCGCCCACGGCGGCGCCGCACTTCGGACTTCCCGAAGCAACGACCCAGCCCAGCACACGCGCCACCGACCCACAGGGAGCCACCCTACCATCACCACACGAAGGTCCCGCTCCAAGCATCAACAAGCACCTTGCGTGCCTGACGATCCCTCGCCCACGCGCGGCCCAGCCCCCCGTACCCTGAAACACCACTCAGAGTGCGCGGCCTACGACCTCACCAGCACACCGTCGGCAAAAAGGAAGGTGACGACGCAGCCCACCCTCCCGTCATCTGCGCGCATCCCCCATGTTTCAAGTTTCAAGTTTCGTTTTGGCCAGCGGCGACCTGCCGTTCCTGTCTGCAGCCCCGCGCTTCCAGTTCTGCGGTTATTCGCTAGGTTTGACAGATGCCGCGTGGGCCTGAGTGCTGCGTGCTCTAACGGCATCAACTACCTGCAAATGCAATTGCCTACTGCGAGCGCTTATCGATAGCGTGACGTAAGGCGCTTCGTTGTTGCATTGCCTCGGGCTTGCTTGGGCACGACCTGGTCGTGTCTCGGGCTGAGCTTACGACATGCCAACCCAGAGGTTGAGTGCCTGACTGTGTTATGCGACTCAGCACTCGGCATAAAATCGCTAAAGCACTCAATAAATCGATGTTGACCGACCCAGCTGAGGCGGACAGCGGAACGAGACTAAGAGGCAGTACTAACGAGCACAGCCACATATTCGAGTCAGGACTCAGTACAGTCAGTATACCACAGACAAGAGATCAATACTTCCAGTAACTTGGATCACTACGCTATGTTGATCCATCTATCATCGGTGCAGAATCGAAATATCGGTATCTAAAAGAACAGCCACTTTGCTCCCCAACCTATGCTACCCGTCGACCCAAATCCCACCCGCCATGCTAAATGCACAATCGTCGCTCATGCTGCTAATTCCAAATATATCTACAGGTGCTGTAACCTCCACTTAACTATCCTCTGAATCTGTTAAGCCGGTTTGACTAGCGACGTTGCTATCGCATTGATAGACACCTTCTGGTAGATCAGACGATCAACCGGAGAACCTAAATCGACTGGCTTCTAGCCTACCAAGGCCCTCACGGGGCGCCACATTTCTCCGCCTGTAGCTCGTCGTGAAGTCTTGCAGGATGGTGCGGATCATGCGAATGTCTCCCGTCTGGATTCGCTGTCTAATATTGTTTAGGAAGCGCTCGCTTTCTTGTGGCGTGATGCTACCCTGAGGCAGCATCCCTACAGTCTGTTGCACCCAGCCCGCGACTTGTTCTGGCATCAATTCGAACAAGTCAAGCAGCACACCCGATGCATCCGGGAAGCAGCCTTCGGGGAAGCTGTACATCATGCCTGTCATGATGCGTTGTACAAGTTGTATGCCGGCAGCAGCCACAAGTTGCTTCACACGTGTCTGTATCTGCTCGGGGACTTCGTGGCGGGAGTTGTCGAAGCTGCTGGATGGTGACAAATTCCGGCCGTAGCCGAGGAGGTCTCGCAAGAAGTGAAGAGTTGCAATGATAGGCTCTTCTTTTAGCAGCGTGAGAGACGAGCAGGCAGCCAGGAGGATGGTGTCCATGAGCGATGACGATATGGACTCAATCGGGTAATACATAGCCATCTCGCCAGCCAAGCGGAAGAAATCCTCGATCATGTCGGGAAGATCTTCTGGCGGAAGATCGCTGAGTATTCTCAGGAAGGTCTTAGCTTGCTGTTCGTAAAATTGGAAGACATCGTTCGTCAGGCTTGAGTCAAACTCCTCCGCACCGGCTGAGAACTCGCGGACGATGGATGCTGTGGCCCATAGGAAGCAGCCCTGTCTCGATGATTCGAATCCTTGTACGAGTTGAGTCGCGAGCAACGGAAGTAATGGCCGCATCGCCGTCCTGTATGATAGTACCATATATCGCCAGCATCGGCACACTCTCTCGAGAACCGGAACGCTCTTCGAGAAATGCGATACAATGTTGCCAAGCATGGGAAATATCTCTTGGCAGTACTTGACTGCTGGGTGTTCTTGTGCCGCCGGCACTTGCGGCCTCACCACTTCAATGAAGATGGTAAGAAGGTTGATTTTGTCTGCCAGAAGCTTCTGCGACGGGTCGTCCTTGGCTTCGTTCGCGATAGACATAATGCTCTGCAGCACCGGGTCGCAGTACAGCTTTAGCGTAGGATACAGCTGCTCCAGGGGTACTTTTGCCATGACAGAAGCAACACCATCCGTTATCTCCTCTTGGCTGCTGACAGGTAGGACGTCGAGATATTTGGCGTAGAATTGTTGGAGAGGTCCAATGAAACCGACGAGGGAGCTCGCGCAGTCATTGCAGAAGAATTTGAAGGAAAGAGCTGCAGCACGTGTTACGTCTTTCGAGGTGTGGTCGAAAGCGCCCATGATGTAGTCAAGTTGAGGTTGTAGGGTATCTGGATGTTGCGCAGTCCATTCGGTGTACCTACCCAATGCCATGACAGCTTGGAAACGGACTTTGGGATGGTCTGGGATTTGCACCATAACTGGGATGAGTTGAGGCAGCATGACGTTCTCGTCGGGTGGTACCATGCGCCCCATAGCCCGCACAGCGAACAACGGAGCCTCCAGTTTTTGCCATTCAGGAACGTGATTTGGACCTGCCTGCGAAGCATATGTTTGTACCCACGCCTGGATGAGGTTGTACGGTTTCTGAAGGCATTCTGTGACGCTCATAACCTCACAGCAGTCTTTCAACACGTCGCCCATCTGATGTCGGAATTCGCGGAACTTCTCCTCCTGCTCGCGATCTCCCTCGAAAAGATCTTTCTCGTCGCCGCTTTCCGGTTTTGGATACTCCAAGTGGCCAATCATGATGTCGACAAGCTTGGAGTATATATCTGCCATTTGGTGTCGAGCAGGCGTGTACTTCTCGAGCGTAAGATACTGCTTCAGGTCATACCAGAACTTGAAGGTATGAGATATGGCGTCCCGCTCCTTGTCCAATGCCGCTGTCTCCAGGATAGCTTCAACCAGTCCGCCGAACTGGTCAGGTATCCTTGCGATAAGCAAGCACCACGCCTCTCCTGCTTCGGCGAAGATCCGAGCAATGCCCTTGTACGTCTCTGTGTCTTCTTCCTCAGCCGCCCGAGCAAGTGTTGGTCGCAATGCCAGCACCTGGGGATACAGCACCAAAATCGTGTTGGTTGACTCGTCGACGTCCCTAGTCTCGGCGATCAATGCACACACACATTCGACAGCGGCCTCGAAGGCATCCGGTGCTGATAGAGCCGCGAAGATGACTCCCAGCAGAGGCGACTTAATAATGTCGTCCATCGCGACTTCTCGCATCCAGGATGTAATGCAGTTCAGTAGCTGAGGATTTTGAGAGGCGGCGGCTACTTGAGTCAGCGCAGAAACATAGCAGCGGAAAGAACGTACGGGATGATTGAGCATACTGCACGAGGAGGTTCAGGGCCTGTTGGGCGTTTTCCTCGATCAATTCGGACGTCCTCATTTGCAACTCGGTTTCCTGACAAATCCAAGCATTAGATTGTGACTCTGATGTTATACCACGATACCAAGGTGAGGAAATGCTGGTAGGTGGCTGGTGGTGGAGCATGGTGTTTCGACCGAACGTACTGTAAGAGCGATTTTCCGGCCATGTGTGACCTCTTCTGGCAGAACACGGAGGAAATCTAGAACGCAAGGCAGGGTGGCAGGGTCTGAGCCCAGTGTTGATAATATCAAGGGTAGGACATCCTTCCACTCTGTCATCTGTATCGCCAGGTTCGCCAGGCATACGCACAGCTGCAGCCGGATAGGCTTAGGACCAGCATGGAAGGTCGCCAAGTTTCTGATAATGGTCTCGCGCAGCTTCGGGAGCGTCTCGCGGGGCAGCTGGTGCAAGTCATAGACGATCTGTGGTTGTGAGCGCTGCGCTTCAGTTGGCGGAAGCAACCCACCTTGCCCTTGAGTGTGGTGACCGCAAACAGCTTTGCCGCAGCGTCCACGTTGTTGGCTTCAAGCATGGCAAGTGTCGTCGTCCATGCCTCGTCCTATGCCAGCCCGTCAGCTTGCGCTCCGTTCATGCCATGTTCATGCGCCATACCGATTTCTGGAACTGCTCGAGGAACTGGTGCGCCTGCTCTTTCTGTGCACGGTCGGCGCCAGAGGACATGGTGTTGTGCGCCGCCAGCACCGGCGCGAAGACGTTCTGCACACCGTTGGATGCCATGGTGGGCGGTCCCGCGGGGGCTATACGGGAGCGAGCAAGGCGCAGATATATTCGTGGTGGGGTGAGTCGCGGCTATCGAGGGTTCGCAGGCTCGAGGCAGGTGCGCCGGTCAGGAAGGCGGCTGCTGTATGAAGGTGGGGTGGTCCAAGGTTTGTTTGCGGGGGGGGCAAGAAGTTGCGTCTATGGACAAAGTCGTGTCCCGCCGCGCGCCAAGAAAGCTCGTTTCTCACCGCCCGCTATTTTCCCAGAGCTTCACCTGCCCGACCTATCCACCCCCACAACGTCGTGGACGCGCCATCCCGAACAAGACCACTTACAATCATGACTGGAGGCAGAGGTACGATGTGACGCCCGTGTTGTTGCGCGCAGGAGCTAACCAAGCACACAGGCCGCGGTGGGCAGAAAGGTGCGCCTTCCCCAGCACGTAACAGTCGCGACTTCCCGATTTTGACGTACTCGCAGTGCTCTTGCCACCTATCAACTTCATCTTCAAGCTTCTGCAGCAGCGCGCGACCGTGTCGATATGGCTGTACGAGAACTTGGGCATGCGCATCGAGGGAAAGCTTCGGGTACGCACAGGCGCCGCATTGACAGCTGTGCACCGCGCTGACAGCTCGCAGGGGTTCGATGAGTTCATGAATCTAGTTATCGACGACGCCGTCGAGGTCACATTGGCAAAGAAAGAGACCCCAGAAGAGCGGAGGAAGCTTGGTGAGTGCATTCACCTATCTGGCACGCGCCAGCGCATTGCTAACTCTATCCAGGCCAAGTCCTCCTCAAAGGAGACAACATTTCACTTATCCAGCAAATCAACAACTGAGCTCTCAACATAAGAGTTTCCTTCCACAAGCGCCATGACGAGACGCAGCTTCCAGGGGTAGTTAGAGGTTTAGTAGGAGGACATGGCACACCGTTTATGTTTAGGCTCTGCGCAGCTCTCCATCGCCAGTGATCAGGGCATCGAGACGGAAATCGGACTTGTCCATTGGGACGGCTTCGTTTGGCGAGAGCAGCTGCTCCGTCAGGGCCAGGCCGACTATCGTGGTTAGTTAGAATACCCACCCGAAATGAAAACCAGTGTTTCTTACCGCGAAAAGGCACCCGCGATGCATCGTGGCAGCGACGCAGAAAGTAGTCATAGTATCCCTTGCCGTGACCCAGCCGACCAAAGTTGGAGTCGAATGCCATGCCCGGCATTACGATGAGATCCAGCCCGGCATCTTCGCTCCCAATCGTGATGTCTCCGTGGGAAGCGCCTTTGCCGCCGAAAGAGTTGGCACGGTTCGGGATCGAGTCCTCACTAGGGGTAGGAATGTTCCATCGGTCGGGCTGCAACGACTCAAAGTCATTCATAGAGTGGAGCTCGACCATGTCCATGATGGATTTGGGTTGACCTTCTCTTGGAGCATCGAGAGTGTATGTGTAAGGAATGAAAACGGTTTTACCCTGAGAAAGTGCATCGCGAACAATGCCAGTCGTAGATATCTCGCCTGCAGGCATGGACAGATAGACGCTTATCCGCCTCGCAGCTTTGTACTCTGGCATGCCCAGCAGCGTATTTATGGCATTCGAAGCTGTGACGGTGCTAACTCAGCATCACTCCCCTTGCCGTGATACAGAAACAAATGACCTACTCTGCGAAGCAGCTGATGCATCAGGAACATCGGCGAGTATTTTCTTGATCTTCGTTCTCAGGTCTTTCTTCAATGCTGCCACTGCCGCCATGTTGATGTTTTCTGGCTGTGTTGAACGGACCGGGACTGCGACAGCAATCTAAGACGGGCCACTCGGCTGGCACAACTGGTTGTGCTTCAGTTGGCGTGTAAAAAGCGGCATTCGGCCTCTGACTCTGCGAAGGACGCCCGATTCGCACCGACCAGGCGGTGATGCAAGTGTTGGGTGGCTTGACGATCCCGCAACGCTAGCGGCGGCGTAATCCCTGTCGCTGTCACGGTCGCAGCTGCTCCATTCTTGACTCCTGGCGAAACCGGGCAGCGCCTCTACAACAATTGCATTGCACTCCTCCGCACCGCACTGCAAGCCTCTCCACACCTTCGCGCACGGTCTCCGACCATCCACGCTCGCTACATCGCCGCATAGTTGAGAGATGCGCGCCTCGCTTGCGACACTGCTGCTCGGCGCAGGCCTAGCGGCCGCGCAAGCATCATTCGCAGACTTGGTCGGCACCTGGAGCAGCAAGTCGAATTCGACGCTGACCGGACCGGTATGGAACACAGTCTGCCTGTGAATGGCGTCACAGCTGACGGGCGACAGGGCTTCTATGACCCAACGAACGATAGATTCACGGAACCGAAGCACACAGGCATCTCGTACTCGTTTTCTGCAGATGGCCACTTCGAAGAAGCATACTACCGCGCCGTCGCAAATCGTACGCTACCCCACTCGCTGCCTCCTTCGGTGTGCATACAAGCGGCCAGCACGTGCTAACGAACGCTGCAGCATCGAACCCACGCTGTCCCAAGGGCATAATCCAGTGGCAACACGGAAGCTTTAAGAAGCTCGACAATGGCTCGCTCGCTCTCGAACCCATCAAGGACGATGGACGCCAACTGTACTCGGACCCTTGCACATACAAAAACTCCATCTACACGCGATACAACACCACCGAGTTGTTTGAAGTATGTCAGCCATGCACATTCATTTGCTTGTAAACATATTTCATACTCGCTAGCGAAGATGCTAACCGTGGGGCAGCGCTATGAAGTGCTCACAGACGGATACACGAAGAAGACACGGCTGAACCTCTACAAGTTCGACGGGTCGCCGCTCATGCCGCTCTACTTGGCCATGTCACCGCCCCAAATGCTTCCAACCTCGACCCTCAACCCACTCACCACCTCCACCGCCGGCGCAAAGCCCACCGGCAAGGTCAAGCGCTCCGATCTCCCTCTCAACGTGCTCAGCAAGCGGACACCCCAGCAACAGCAGGCGGATCGATGGTGGTGGTTTGGTGTCTTCCTGACTGCTTCGGGCGGTATCCTCTACTATTTTTTCTAAGCATGAACACACTTGGGAGACGGTTACGTCTGCAACCTGTGTCACATACTCGGCTTGGACGCCGCGTCCGTTGGCTTGGGTTTTGGCAGGGATCGAATAATGAAGCGACGTTGCAGATTTTCTATTGGAAGCAGCCTTTGGACAGCATCAGCATTGGGACGGTGACCACGATTTGGACGTGTCGCCGGCGTTATTGGGGATGCGTTGTGAAGAGATGGAGTTTCGGCGTTTATATTACGGGGAGGCTAGACCTGGCACTGCCATAGGGACGAAGGGATGTCACGATCTGTAAGCCTCTATGCGGGATATTTGAAACAAATAGAATAATTACACATGCAATGAAGTGGTGCGCTGTGGGTACCAGTCCTGCCTGCATGAGGCCCGTGCGAAAGAGCGGGTTGAGCAGGTAGAAGAAGGCCCTGCTGAAGGACGCGTTCTGGCCATCGTGGAATGGACTGCTGTCGGACAGGCTGGCAGACGCATATCAACCTGGCATTGCAACGAGAAGTGAGAAAGTGTCTTGATTTAGGGTCGGCGAATAGCAGGGCCGTACAGATCAACGGTAGTGCTTGCTCAACGGTGTCATGGTGTTTTCCACACGCTGTTCCTTTGGGCTCTTCTTAAGATTGCTGGATGGCTTGCACCATCTGCTCCAGTAAATCCTTCTATTGGTTCTTGAACCGTTCAGCGGGCGCGGTTGTCCTCGAGGCAGCAGGATACTCAAGGATGCATCCAAGCCACAGCAGCAAAGAGCATCAGGTTACTCAGGGTAGCACGTCAAAGTCGAAGCACGTAAACGTCCGCCCCTGCCTGTAACACATGGATAACGTATTGGTATGAACAACGTATGGTACCTACCTGGCTGCTAAGGGAAGTAAAGCGTAGAACGTATTTATATCAGCAAATTGGAAATCGTGAACCCCCACCGACTCGCCGCTTCTCTGCACGCCAGCCCCAACGTCAACCGCAATCCAACCGACGTCGTGCATGTACAAGGACGCGTTTACTAGCGCGTGTAGTCCACACCCTGAAGCTCCTCTCCACCAGGTCGGGAGCGGCCGTACAACGGCCTCGTTTCTCTCTCAAGTCTCTCGAGGCGCTGGCGCTGTTCGTTCCAGTGAGAAATACCCTGCGTCCTTGACACTGTAGCCGCTGCGTTACGAGAAGCGCTGTCGAGCGGGGGTTGGGTCTCGGGCAACATGCAACCATTCGCGGAAGATCTGAGCGCACTGCCCATCGAGCGTCTGTGCCTCAAGCCATGGTCGTATGCAGACAAGTCCGCCATGTACGCAGTTTGGCGATTTTGTGAGTTTGAGATATTACTCCGCACGGAAGCGGCGCCTTCTCTCCTGGTTATCGCAGGCAGTGCGCCTTGACGCAGGTTTGGTAGCGAAGGCCGTGGATCGGGGCGACGCAGAAAGTCGGCCGGATGCGTGCATGGCTCGCGATCTTTTCCACGTTCGACTGCTGCGGAGAGACTTCCTCGGGCGAGATCATCGGCCGACACCCTCTTCCTTTGGACTACAGACGCCCATGCCTCCGGCAGGGGAGGTTGCGGCTTCGGGACATGCCTTTGAAGATTTGTGAAGTTCCACTGAGAAGTTGGATTCGGCTCTGGGATGACAGAGGACGTGGTTCTTGGTGGTTCAGAATAGTTGTGCACAGGAAGGTTTGCTCGCATGTTCATAGGACGCGGGGATTCGGTGTACCAGTCACTGGGCCTGGGAAGGTATTCTGAACGAGCCGTAAGCGACTGAGGGCGTACTGCAGGAAGGCTATCGAAGGTTACAGAACGTCGTTGAGTCTTTGCTCGCGGTGCAGTGGTGGTGGTGTTGTCAATTATTTCGTGACACTGTATGGTGGAAGACGATGGTATCTCATATCCTGGAGCTGAGAGCTCACGCAGTGTCCTGTCCGCAAAGTTTCTCGGTGGCAATGGGTTGATCTGTCGCATCTCTGATACTTTAGGCCCCATTGGGGGGACAAATCTATTCCCAGTCGGCGGTACTGGTTTGTTACTGCCTCGGCACTCAAATTCGCCGCTCCCAAGTCTCGGTGAAGTCGTTGGCGAGGTCTTGGTCGAGCGACTTAGAGTCTCCCTAAGGCGGTCGACTGCCTCAGAGAGAACAACACACTGTTGGCATTTTTGTACTGGAGCCTTGATACCAATTCCAAGATAAGGAGAAGCCGTATTATTTCTGACTTGGTTCTGCCAGCCCATGTACATGTGTTCGACACCTGCAGAAGCAGTACCGCACAGAGGCACATGATTATTTTGACAGACGGCATGACGCGCAGTCTGGGCAGACTTCTCTTTTCTCTCATCTCGGGTAGATTGAGCCGTTTTCCTTGAATCATTGAAGAGCCAGTGATCCTGGAAGGTCGGGTCCTCTTCTACGCTTGCTCTTCGTATAGTGGCACGAGGATCTGTGGCAGCTGGGGAAATGGTTTCCAACAAAGGATCCGCCACACGTTTTGAGATACCCGGCGCAAGACGAAGTGGCTCTTGTAGGGTGTCCATCCTCGTGTCGCGAGACTTGATAGTAGAGCCTGTAGGTTGTCCTCTGATGATAGTAAACATATCATCGCCCTTTGGCGCAGTGGTGAGATTCTCATAGCCTTTAGAAGTAATGAGGATATCGTCCTCGATCCGAACGCCTCCTACTGGAAAATATTTATAAAGTACCTCGGTATTAATATATTTAGAATGCACTGGAGATGGTAGGTAGAAGTGGCTGAACACATATGCGGAGAAGTAGCTAAAGTTTCTCAGTCAGTCCTCACTTCTGCGGTGGTTTCTGCAAACCAAAACTTACATTCCTGGCTCCACGGTGACCACGTTACCCTCTTCTAGATGCGGGCTCTGGGGATCTGTTGGGGCCATGCACTGTTTCGTGTCGTAGACGGGCAGATGGAAGTCTTCAGGATATAGTGAAGGAACCTGCGATTCGTCAAAATTTATGGACGCACTGTCCGAGCGGGCAAATTCACCTTGTCGTACTTAGGATGCTTGTACAAGCTCATCAACTCCTGTTGCCCTACATCATGCACTTCCAACCCCACATGATGGCCTAAGCCGTGGGGAAAGAAAGCCTTGCTAGTGCCTGCCTTAAATATCTCCTCCCGTGTACCGTTGTGCAGCAGACCAAGTTTTAGCAAGCCGTCGATGGCAATCTGATGCGCGAATACGTGAAGATCCAAGTACCGCACGCCTGGAGCTAGCTTCTGAATGCAAGCTTCTTGCATGCGCTCAACAAGCTTGTAGATGTTCTCGGCCTCTTTCGACGGCCAGGACTTAGAAAGAGGGAATGTTCGCGTGATATCGGATGCGTATAGCTCGTACTCACATCCAGCGTCCAGACACATGAGTTGGCGGTCTTCGAAGTCTTCATTATTGGCATCATAGTGCAGGGTGCCGGCGTTCGGCCCAGAGGCTGCAATTATGTCATAAGCCTGTTGCTTTGCTTGATGTGACACACAAGTGTTCAGAAACTGTCCTTCGACTTGGGCTTCGTTGTGGAATTTGGTGATGTTGGCAAGGACTTGCTTGTGTGCTTTGGACGAAATTTCGTTTGCCTTGCGAATCAATTTGATCTCATGGTCATCTTTAATCATCCGACACTGATACATCGCGGGCAGCAACGAAGTGCAATCCACGGGCCAGGGAAATCGCAAAGGCGGCATTTGCTCCTTGTGCAGGACATAGAGTTGCTGATCATGTCGGTAGTGAAGGAACCAGTCATGTATCCAAGACTCCACTTGGTCTGTGTGGAAAACCTCGTCAACGTCGTACTTATCCATAGCCTCTGCAGGAGTTGAGCCGCGGCCATTCCAAACAACGCGATCCGGGTTGATACGCGGAATGAACAAGGTGAGAATATCTCGCCTGATGTCATACGCCAATTGACAGCTCGTTTCGTTGCAGCCGCTCATATAGTAAAAATACCGGCGCTGGCGAAAAGGCGCGGGCATGTCACTATCCTCATTGCTTCTTGCTGGTGCACCAGGGAGGTAAATCAAGCCCTCAGCCACATCCAGGCGCTCACGCACCCGCCGTGCATGTTGCTTCGCTGTTCCCTCATCATCAGCATCCACCGCACGATCGATTTCTCAGCATCAGAACAAACTTACCTGGATATTTCTCCAAAGGACCCTCTGCCTCAAGATGCAACCAGTACTCCCCTTGTCGCACCCCATGCAGCCGCTCCGCAAGCTTCAAACCATCGAGATTCGTCGCTAAGTCGTCCATCTCGTGACCAAGGCCTCGAACCTGCGAAGCACACTGCAAGAAACAAGCAGCTAGAAAAGCAATTGAAGCCCGCGATGCGGACAGCAGTGCGCTATGTGTGCTTAAAGTCTTAGACCGGTGAAGCAATGTACAGACTAGCGCAAAGTGGCACAAGCACCTGCAGGCCTCCGGTGAAAAAATCTCACTATGCTTCAGGCTGGCCCTATTGCATATCTTCCGCCCCCTGATTGACCGGCGAGCAAGCGAACGATGCCGGAAAAAGAAAGGCGATGTTTGGTGATGCGGAGCAGCTGTGAAGGAGATGCATGAGAATGAGGGCGCGCTGATGTTGCTGAGGTCGCCGCCTCACTACCCCGCTTGCTGTCCTATTTTACGAGCGAACCACAGCGTGACTCGTGTGTGATACACCACGAAGACGATCTAGCTACGCTTTTCTTACAATTGAAGGCGAACCATAGACGTGCGACAGTGACGGCGGATCTCCTTCGTGTCCCGCGTGTGCTTGAAAGTGGCGGTCGGTCCCGGCGTTGATTGGCTGTCGAGTTCCGGCTAGACTCACCGGAATTCCAAGGTTTCCATTTCAGAACAAGGCAACGAAAGGTGTGCACCACAAATTACATATAGTTGTCGTATACTTGGGTTGATAGAGGAGCAAACACCGGTTTTCTTCTATTCAAGAAGCTGCTGTGTCGCCCGTGGCTCTTTCCGTCAGTGTTTGCCTGTCAGATGTAATCACTTCAACCTCTACGGGAGTAGCCAAAATGGTCGATATATCATCAAGCTCACTCACCGACTTGCTGACAATTCTGTTGCACGATGCATCATCTAGAGCGATCGTGACCCCAACTCCATGTCGCTTATAGTGTGGTATCAAGTCCGCTCCTAACCTCATAAAATCATACCAACAACAACAGCCTTAAGGGCAGACACTCACGGGTTCTCGAATGTACAATTCGAGTTTGACTAGAGTAGGATGTGAGCGAACGTACCAATGCCATGTAGCAGTGGTATCCTGAAATCGGCCAGTGGTAACATCGGTCAAGTCGGGATCACAGAGTCAATGGACTGTAAGGAGCGCCCGTGGGTCACAAGTCCTCAACGAAAAGTCACTGTCCTGTCACTTATCGTTCGGGTCCATAGTCTCAGACCATCGAGCAGTGCATTGGCGAGACAGATGTGTAGAGACATCAAACTTAGTAGACTGACTAGCATCGGAATACCTTTTACCGTCGGTCTCCTGCGGTGCGAACGCCCGGCAAGAGATCCCATCTATACACTCGTATTAGCAAATGTATACATCGTAACACACATCTTGACACTATATAATATGTATTAGTGCTGCTCGCAACCTAGTAAGACCTGCTTTCGATCCCTCTTCGGTTGGTTCCATCATGGTGCACTACGCGCGCAGGTGCAGTGCGTGCCGAAGCGCTCATGGCTTGCATAACGACCACGCCAGCTAGACTTCGGAAAGCCCGAGTCTGCTCGTGAAGCCGCTTTCTTTCTTGGTTGTTGAGACCTTTCGAGCGTCGGAGATCGGGCTTTTGCCTCCGTGGTAGCCAGCGCAGGACCCGACTAACTGATCTCGTAACACCACAAACAAAGCCCGCACACACATGGACTTGACTTTTGTGGCTGCATGATCCTTGGTCCTATTGCTGCACTGAACCATGGGACAGTCGTCTTCGCTTGTCTTAACAATAGTGGTCGCAGAGTCTAATGCGGAGACCCGTCGTACCAATACCGTGGCGCATGCGCATTGTCTCCGGGCCGCACATCTTCACGCACAAAGACACGTGAAAAGGCGCGCATCCCACTACATCACAGTGCTTAGCAGAGGAGCTTTAGAATTCATCGGTCGAACATCTTTGATTACGCTGCACTAGTCTTCAGTTGCAGATCCTACCACACTCAATATTAAAATCCTATTCCGCCAAAGTATTCACCACACCAAATCAATTCCAACCCTGTTTTCAAGGAGCGTGTGCATACTCAATCTATCTAAGGAGTGCATATGTATCCAGTTATCCCAAACTAATACCATAAAATTCGTAAAAGAGTCGTGAAGCATGCGTTTTGGCAAACGCGCAAGGAGCGTTTAGAAAATGTAACAAATACATCCAAGAAATGAGCAATTTGCTTATGCGAGGGCAAGGAAGGCCAAAGCACCTGCAAGGAGAGCCATGGCGGGCTTCTGGGCCGAAGCGGCTCCAGGGAATTCCGCAGGGGCGGTGGTGGATGGCTGGGGAACAGGCGTGACGCTGTAGCCGGGCGCAGTACCAGCAGGAGGAGCGGGAGGAGCGGGAGTGTAGCCACTGGGAACGACAGTCGGTGCAGGGTAAGAAGTTGTGACAGTCGAGGTGATCACAGTGGTCGAGTAGGTCACGGTCGTGTATCCAGGAACGTACGGAGGAGGAATGACGGTGGTGTAGACCGGGGGTGGCGGAGGAGCACTCGGGGTCTCGTATCCAGGAACAGAGTGCGTGACGACAGTGGTGTATCCCGGAACGGAGGGAGTAACCACGATAGTGCTGTAGCCCGGAGCAGACGGGGTGATGACAGTGGTGCACGGGACAGTGACAGTCTTAGTAGTCGTGTAAGTAGTGGTGATGTACGGGACCGAGGCATTGTGCGAAGGGTACGGCGGGGGAACCACGCTGTACGACGACGGTGCCGGAGGTGCCGTAGGGTAGTGGGTCGACGGCTTTCATGAAGTTAGTGTCACGATCGATAAAAGTGATTTTTCGGATGACTTACGGGAGCGGGAGTGTAGGGAGGGGGGGTTGAGACCTTGTACGAAGATGGAGGAGGCGGGGGAGGAACGTAGTAGGAGGATGGGGGAGGAGCGCTGTACGAGGGCGCAGGAGCGCTGTACGAAGGAGGGGGGGCGCTGTGCGAAGGAGGGGGAGCACTGTACGAAGGAGGGGGAGCGCTGTACGAAGGAGGGGGAGCGCTGTACGAAGGAGGGGGAGCGCTGTACGAGGGAGGAGGCGGGGGAGGAACATAGTAGGAGGACGAGGGAGGAGCGCTGTACGACGGGGGAGGCGGCACATAACCCGTAGAGTGTACAGGAGGTGTGTACACGGGGTAGGAGGCCGGAGGAGGGGTCTGGATTGGTTAGCATTGATACAGTGAATGTGTTATCATGTGACATACAGAGTACTCCGGAGTCGACGAAGCAGCCGGAGTAGAGTAGACCGGGGTGGAGTGCTCAGGCTTCGAGGCGCTGTAGGGAGGAGGGACGTAGGCAGACGATGAGGGAACAGCATAGGATCCAGTTCCGTATCCTTCGTGGCCGTAACCACCGTCCTGGTATCCACCGGGAGCGGCAGCAACGTAGCCCGCAAGGGCGATGATGGAAAGAGAGTTCCTCATGTTTGTTCAGTAGACGACGAACGGGACAGCGACAGTATGGTTGACAGGCAGTCGGTATATATAGCGAAAGTTACAGCACAACCGTAGCGAGCGAGTTGCGACCGGTAAGAGGTTGGAGGAAATAACCAGAGGTTGGATCGATCCAAATTACTGTGCGATGTGAGGCTCAAGAGACGGTCAGAGGAGGGCGGGTGAGCCCATATGTACTGCAAGAGGGAGGCTAGCACATGCACTGCTAGCCTCTGGATACTCGGATCCCAGCAACCATTATTGATGCTGTGAAAACGGCAAGGTTGCATGTGCCAAGCGAAGCTTAGGGCAAGCTACATCCAGCCTTGCCCGTATCGGAGGGAAGGTGTAGGTTTCGAGCAAGGTTGGCAATGGAGCGAGCTCTCGTATGACTGGGGCAGAAAGCTAGGACCGGCGGCCTGAGGATAACGAACGAGGCAATGCGATAGCTGCAGATCGTTCTCCGATAGGCCCACCAGTGACCTGGCAACCCTGGGTATGCGGCCTCACACCGAAGCTATGCGATCAGTTGAGATGCCAGCCTCAAGGCTGCATACGGGCTTGACTGGGATATCCTCAGTAAGCAGTACGTTAGGTCCGCGGTCGCATCTATGGCCCATGCGATTTGCCAAAAAAGCAGAGGTTGAAGCATGCGGTGAATCCATGCAGCACCGTGTCCCCGGCAAGTGCCAGCGCTGTGAGCTTAGTCTCTGGAACATGGTGATAGACCGCATCAGGAGACATAGTTTCGTTGATCCGTCCAGTTCATCATCATAGACTCGGCCGTATCTTCGGCAGGTACGCTCGAGTGGAAAGTCGCGCGACCAGCCTGAGTATGATGCAATGGCACCTGGCAACCGTTTGCTAGCGCCGTTCGCTCCCCGCACGGGCCAGTAGTGAGGGTTGAGCAACTAAAATAGTAGCACGACGATCAATGCGGGCCCACTTCAGCATGTGTTGTGCCCACCAGCCCTATTGAGGGAGACGGCCCCGAGCATGTTGCGCAGCTACCGCTTGAGGACCAAGAGCGACAAGCTGATGGAGGCGATTGCTGAGCTGATGGCGCCCATTTGCCCAGCGCGCGATGCGACGGTCTGTCACACTTGATCAGCATGCTCGTTTGTCAGCTCGGCCACGTTGCGCCGTTGATGGCGCGGAGGGAGGCGTCTGCATTCGCGCGGACACCGGGGGTGTCGCGCAGAGGCTGGTTGCATGGCTGGTTGCTGTCGCGATGGCGGGGTACAGCGTCCCGGAGGCTTTGGAGGTCGGAGGCACGATGGCTTTGGTGCCGCGCTGGCCAACGCCCGCGGCACACGACGGCGATCCTCGCAGGGCTCTTTATCGAAACGCATGGGCGCGGCCCTGTGCGCGGGCTTGCGGCGTCGCGGTTGGACGCTGGCGGAGGCTGGAAATCCTGCCGCCGGCCCTCGCTTACACGCCGCAGCCCCCGCCATGATATCACCAGCATCTTGCATCCTACTGTTCTGCCGTCGAGCGGTCTCTCACAAGTGTCGGGTGCGTTGACGATCTGGTGTGTGGTGTGCACGTTGCCTTACAGGCTCTGCTCCTAGGCCGCCCCGCGCGTTTTGAGTTGTTCCTGCAGCAGTTGCGGCCGCCGTCGAGTCGGTCTCTGACGGAGGTCCACCCAGCTGTTGGCCCATCTGACTGAGCACCCGCTAGCCAGCCATCTAGCTTCGCGCTGCTGTAGGTACTTCTACGGGATAAAGCAATCAACCCGCTCCTCCGGCAACGACTCCGTGGCCGCTCTGCGCGATTCAAGCCGCGCAAGCCGTGAACCATAGTTGACAGCGACCTTGCACATACCGTCGGGCTGTGCCGAGAGAACGTCTTTGGTCCTCGACGGTTCGAGACATCGTCTCTGCCCCGCATTGAGATGGCGCGCGTGCATCCAACCGACGAAAACACTGTAGGACGAGCCTCTTGTACTCGATGTTCGGCACTGGATAATGTTGCGCAAACAACCTTTCTTTCGGTGGCTTACAGAAACCCAAAAATCAATTCATCGGGCGGCATGACGCAGTATCGAAAGTATTGGGCAGCGCCAACTGCCACTATCGATAGGTTTCCGGATGGGACCGGTGACAGGCCTGGCTCATGCTGGCAGTGCCGCGCGAGAGGCATAGAGACCAATCCAAGAGCGTGAAACGCGGTGGGGAATCGTTGCATTTATTGATAACAGGGCGAGTATATCCACTCAGGCACTGTCAGACTGACCGCTTGCATCCAAAATCAGGGTAGGTACGAACCGGGGTTCTTAGTCGTCATCGTCGCTGTCGCTCCCACTATCCCAACCTTCATCGTACTCTTCTGCCATTGTCTGCAGTCCGTTACAGATTGTCTCGCGCTCATCAATGCCAACCATGTGCATGCGGCGCACAATCTGCTCAACCGCCCGGACCTGATCAGCAACTGCTGTGCTAGTCGTGAGCCCCGAGTGCACGGCGACTTTTTGGCCTTTTCCCGTGCCAATGTCGAATATCGATGCTGGAAAGCTATCGAGGAGTGGGAAAAGCAGCGGTGCAGCAAACCTGTTTGAGTGTTGATTAGCTATCTTCACAAAATCGCTTAAAACACGAGAATAGCACTCGCGGAAAATCTTGGTAGTATCGAGATCCAATAGTACAATAGAATGACTCGTTTCGCGTACTCGGGGCCACGCGTAATCATACGAGCGGGTGGTGACATAGAATGCAACATACCTCTGCAAGGCCGGGCCATCTCCGAACCTATCGTGAGGGTCACGGTCTTCAGTCAGGTTCCAGTCGCCTCGCGCTGCTTCCGCTCTACCGAAAACATGGCTTCGCTTTGTAGGCCGTGACGCCCCAATCCTGTAGTCTTTGGTGAAAGTGTCGATATCGAACTTGGTCAGTTGCTCATCGCTATCGCTCGGTTGATGCGACGTGGTGGACCCAGCCTTTTCCGCCTGGGCAATCTGTGCTGATGCTTTCTCGGACAACACATCTGGATCAGCGATGCTCAATTCCAATTTAGCAATTCGACGCTTTCCAGTGCTGTTGAAGGTCGCTTCTAGATCCTGGAGAGTCCCTCTACCGCCAAGAGCAGTCCTCAGCCGTGAAGATATTGTTACGCTTTCCAAAGCTACCGCTTGAAGGGCTCCAACGTGCCATGGTGAGGTATCAACCATAGAGAGATAAGACGGGAGCTTGATCGGCACGTTGGTGATTGGGATGTACACGGAGGACTGCTCCGCAAGTGTGTGAAGGGAGCGTGCGGAGTTTTCGATCTGCTGCAATCGTTTCTCCTGCTTTTGTTAGCAACAAACTCATTTTGCACAGAGCGCACGTACGCGTGGAGTCGACATATTGCCTCCTTGATCCCCGAGGCCCCATGTCCAGATGCTCAGCTTTCCATAATCGTCTCGTAGTCTGTCAAGCCATCCACTAGCCCATCCGCCCCAAGCATCGTCTATGCCAGTCATGATCTGTATACCCTGCATCCCATCGCTCTCTTCGGCGAAGGGTCTCAGATCGCGGTCCACCAAGTCCTCGTCTCTTTCCATCTTCTCGAAGAGCTCCATACCGACTTCCCACTTCTCGAAAGGCATGAGACTATCGTTCATATCGAACTCGGACAGATGTACAAGCGACTTGGGGTGGTAGAAGACGCGCGAATAATCGGACCAGTATCGCACAGTCGACGTAGTAAGGGGTGGGGGATCAAGGCCTGCATCAAGGTGTGTCTGATACGGGGATGGCTGAATTGGTGCAGCGCGTTGAACGATTGGCTTTGACGGCCATACTCCAGATCGATCCACGTTAACATCTTCTTCGGCCTCGTAGAGGGTATTGACTCTTTTCATGCTACCGAAAGCACCCTTCAGGTCGTAGATCAGGGTCCTCGGTGTGTATGTATCGGAGCCATCTGGGGCGACCCCCGCTCGGAAATGGATGTCATGGTTGACTGGCGACTCCTCATCAGGTGGGTAGGTAAAGTAGGACTCCTGGAAAGCGTATTAGAGATTATGAGGGCATGATATTGACGGCCGACATTTTATGTGTTGACACTGATCGGACAAGTGACACAGCAGTGTGAAGCATTCTCGTAATGAATATTGCACTGCATCGGCATGACAACAGATGTAAGAAGTGGAGGGAGATATGTATAAGCATACCTGCGTGTTCCAGAAATGGGTCCCCAAGTAGTTGCTCTGCTGACCGAACTGTAGCGTTAAAATCTCATGCATTGCAGCACTAGAGTACGCCTGCGGTTGCGTAAGCTTTGCGGGTAGTTAATAGCAATGTTCCGAAGCACCCGAATTTGGTCTGATAGAAGGATGTAGTCGTGGCTATTGGTTAGGGTGAAGTTATTGAGTGCGGCGGTGGGGCACAGGACCGCGCGTCACTTCCGTGTTGAGCGGGGCAATCTGGGGAAGGCACGACCACAACGCAACGGACACGAACAAGAATTCAGCACGACCAAAGGGGAGCTGTACAACCCCTAATCGAACATCGTAAGTTTGTGCCTCGTGCCTTGGCGTCTTGGCTTAGAATGATTATCGAGAGACTATAGTCTCGGGTACCAACAGAAAAAGCATGACGTATATTTCAGTGCTCTCGTTCGTGCCCTTCGGGATTCAATTCTTGTCTCTCGTTTTTGGCTATCAGAAAACCTCCTGTGCAGTTTAATCCGGCACTGGTGAGCTTAGATATACCTAGATATGGTTGTTGAAGACGCGCTCGCGAGTACACTAGGATTGGGAGCGGATCTGGATGACCGAGAGAGAGAGGTGCGTTTGTTGGTATATGTTGTTCATCAAATTAAAACAGCCGTTACTGTATCATTGCTACGCTAAAGCCACAATTTGCTCGCAAGAGTGATCGTGGCCTACAAGAGTTTACTATGCATTTGTCCTTAGGACCGCTCTTCAAAAATCAAGTATACCGGTGAACAGAGCACCTGTGCCAATAATCATAATCATTGAAATTTGCTAACCCATCAACTGCAATTGGTCCGTCGGCGGCCACCTCGTCTGCGCAAAGCTCAGACAGCGCTTGATACTTTGCAGATACTTTCGTGTGATCTCGTCGCTCATGATATGTGCCGCGTTCTTATCGCTTTCGTGTAACTTCTCTCGTGCGCTTCGCTCGTGGATACCCACCATGGTCACGCCAATGGGCCACGCCGCCTTGCCGATGCTCAGTCTGAGGTACCCGTCGTTCGCGTCGACATATCTCCGCTCTTGCGCCGCGAGCACGATTTCTACCACGGGCTCGAGGATACTGTCGGGTAGGTCGTACTGCTCCATTTTCTTGAAGAGCGGGCGCAGGTTCTCGCGGGCTTGTACCATCGCATTGTAGGCTTGCTTTCCGGGGTAGCTGTTCTTTACTTCGATAGTCCGCCGGGCTAGAGTGTTCTCCCATTCTTCCAGCACCATGGTGAAGTAGCTCGCAAGTTGTCTGAACAGGAACTCCCGACCGTCCTTGTCCTTTGGTATGGTGAGGCTGACTAGCATGTCCTTCTCCGGTACGAGCTGCAGCGTCGTGGGTATTGGCCCGTTCGTCATGATCGCCTTGAGGCTATCTGCCCCGACCCGCTTCTTGTAACGCTTCAGCCGCTGTTTGTGCGTCTCTCCAAACAAGATCGCTGGCTCGTCCAGCGCCCTCAGCTTCGCGAAGAGCTCCTCTTCTTCTATGTCCTCATCTTCCGGAACTGGAGTGCCTTCCTCACCTTCCTCCTTCTTCGGTGGTAGGTCTGGTAGCCCCAATCGTTTTCTCCGTCGACGCTCTTCTTCCTCCGCTTCTTGTTCCCTCTTCCGCCGCGACTCTTCTGCAAATTTCCTCCGCTTTTCGCGCCGTTCTTCTTCCTTGGCTGCATCGTCTTCTTCCGCCTTTCGCTTGCGCGCGATTCGATCTTCGCGTGCTTTCTCGGCAGCTTCTTGCTCCGCGCGGTATGCAGCCTGTCGTTGGGCTTCGAGCTCGCTGCGTTTGAGGAATTTCTTGTCGCTCGATTCCGCGGGTGGTGCCTTCTGCTTGGCCTTGGTGATCAACGAAGCCAAATTCATGGCGGCGGGGTGTAGTGTTTACGAAAGCCAGATCCTGGATGTTGAAAGGGGCAGTGTGAGCTGTGAGCAAAGGTGAGGAGTGCTTGCGTTTCTGGTTGACTTGCGCCGGGTGGAGGTTTCACCGCTGCCGATGCACGCGCTAGTGTGAGCTTCCCCATATCGCGAGGACTATAGCTCGTTCCTACCCATCAATCCGCGCCATATGTCATAGAGCCTACATTCGGAGTAACCGCAATCTCCACACCGACACCGGCATACTCGACTCCTAATACACGCCGTTGCAATCACCGCACAAGCGATCCAAATCCAGAGCTCCAAAGCTACCACAGCACGCGCACTCGAGCGCGACATGGCCTCCCCACCACCTCCCGCAAAGGTCGACCGCCAGACCACGACCCCGTTCCTCCTACGCCTATTCTACAAACAGAATGCGTTCCACCACCCGGACGACTTCGACCCCGCCCGCCGCCTACCACCGAACCTCCAGATCTACACATGGCAAAGCTGCACACTGCGCGAGCTCTCCTCCTTACTTCTCACCACACTGCCGAACCTACTGCCGCAGCCATATGCCGGCACGCGCGTTGCCTTCCGCCTGATATATGGAGACGTTAATGGGCCTCAGCGACCAGGCACACCAGCGCGATTCACGACCAGGGATCTGGGCAGTGTGATTGTTGGAGCGCAGACACCGGCGGATCAGGACAAGGAAAGTGACGAGAAGATGGATGTCACTGAAGCGTTGAAGCAGCTGGATGGAGACCCCGACAAGAGTCTCGCGGATGCGAAGTTCGTCATTGGAGATTACGTCTCGTGCGCCGTCTTTCCTCCACATGCGGACGGTAGTGTTCAAGCCGCACCGCCTCCTCCGCCAGTTGGTCCCACAAGAGGTCCGCCACCGCGAGACGGGTTTGGTGGACGAGGCGGCGGAAGAGAGTATGCAAACGGCTACGGAGGGCGAGGTGGACACGAAGGCTTTGGGCGGGGCGGAGGCAGAGGCGGGGGCCGCTTTGACGACAGAAGGGACTTTGGGGGAGTCCCATCCGGCGAGTGGCGAAGAGGCGAGGCTCCACCCGAGAGGGAACCAGGCTACGGGTGGCGAGGAGGACGCGAAGGTGGACGCGGACGCGGAAGAGGGCGATGGTAGGGTGAAATTGATCTCCCAGAGCAACACCATTCACCCTTGACTTTTCCAGTGGCATAGTAACATTGCCCTGCTCACTCCGTCGTAGGTCTGATCCCAGCCATGGTGGGAAAGAGGATCTTTCTATCGACGGAGCATGGAGCCTTTCAACACGACGAGCGAGCACTGTCCGGAAGGTCTAGACGACTATGAGACTTCCTGGCCGAGGATCGCCTTCCATGTTTGCTTCTGTCAAGTCCATGAGCTCTTCACAGACCATGCATTTCCCAACACACAAGTGGCTCGGAAATATGCAATGCATGCATACTCCAAAAGCACGAGACTGTGGACACCGTAGTGGTAATATGTATATCCCTAAGAAGAACGCCTGACTGTCACACAATGTGATTGATCCTCACAATACATCGTTACAGCTCGAAACCATTCGGAGAAAGTTTTGGGCCTAGCGTTCAGTTGATGTATCTCACTTGTACACGGTATAATCAAGATAATCCGATTGCTCGGGTCTGTCTACACTTTAGCCCACCGCTTCCAAGACTGTCGCACCTCCACTGTTCGTTTACACGAATTAGCACTCAGAAAGTCACACCCATTGTTTCACCCTTCTCAGGGGCCCTTCCTTTCAGTGCTGCCTCTCCTAAACCGATGCCTCTCTTCCTCGCACCCATCACGGCGAAAAGACACCTTCCGACAGCCTCCAGATCACCCAGAAGCGTGACATGGCCTCTCTCGCTTGGCACCACGCCCCCTCGAACGACCCTGTAGCCTTGTGGAACCATAGCCGCCTTTGCCAACACCACACCATCTCCGCTCGCGAAAGCAAGTTCGTCATATGCAGAAGTAAGCTTGATTGCTTCTCGGCTTTCCACTTTCGCGCCATAGACCGTAGGCGTGGACTTTCCATAGATTAGGGCAATGGGCGGATAAGCGTTTGACGAAGTGTGCTCCGGGCGATGGTCGAGCTCTTCCTTGAATTGCTTGATCTCAGCGAGAGTGCGAGTGAGATAGGCGACAGCCTGATCGTGTGGAATTGTACTAGTACTGCTAGGCGAAGAATGCGCAACATCTGTCTGCATCTTAGGTTCAAAACCAGTCGCCTGTGCGCCTCCTTCCGCAACCATGTCCACAGCGTTGCGAGCAGTGTCTCGTACAGCCGCACTGGCTGAGTTGTGGGAGCCGCTGGAACCTGTATTGCTGTCGTCGCCTTTCGGTGTACTCATGCTGTTCTTGCGTCCCGGAAGCGTTGGCAGGGCTTGTGACATGGCATTCAGCAAACCGCTCACACTCAGATTTGAAGTTGGCGCTGGAGCAGCCACTGGGATAGCTGGGGCAATGCACGGCGACAGCCTGTATTCTTCCCACATCTTAGGGTCAAAGAAGTCGACCCGATATTGTTCTTTGGTGTGTTTATTGATGAAGCATTGCCCATCTAGAGGCAGAAGTGCATAGGATGTGCGAATGGTAAAGTTCACCTGCGCTGTCAGCACGCGAGACGAAAGCAGGACGTCATCTCCGTTGCGGAAGGGTCCCAAAATATTGATACAACGCTGAGGTACGCCTGCGTAAACGACCCCAGCCACCAGGTCAGGGCGTTGGTTGATCACGTGGCGAGTGATCAGCCCACCCAGGGAATGCGCAACTACGATCGCCCCGCGTCTGTCTGGCGGTACGCCCGGCTGGTTGCAGGGCAGATTTTCAAGAAACTTGATCATGCGACGGCTGAGCAGATGGGGCGACAGTCTCCAGTCGTAACCGTAATCGTGGACTCTTAGGTGGCCATTCCTCGCATTTTCTGATGCTCGCAAGCGCTTGAATAGACGTTTGGCAATGTCAACAGGTCCAATGTGCGTGAGCATGCCGCCCGGAATGATGCGTTCTTCCATGGTTTCTTCGTCCTCGGGATGAAGTCCGATTTCTAGATCTACCTTGCGGAGGTTAAGTCCAACTTTGATAGGAACCCAAAGCTGGCGGTGAGGCGGTTCAGCAGAACGAAGAATCGAGCCCCGGTAGCCACCAAGGATCACGAGATCGCCTTCCAGATCGTTCAGAGCGGCTGTAAAATAAGGATGCGATGCTGCGCTGCCGGCACCCGTTCCCCGCGCATCCGCTGAGGGGACTTTGGCTCCCGATCGCCGTAAGGAAGCTCGCCTTAGCGGTTTGTTGGCGTTATTGGCCAGAAAACTGACTCGCATGTTGAATGCGTCACCGTTCGCTGCTCGTGGTGTCGACGTACCACTCTGTTTTCGAAACAAGTCTTCCCTAGAAGAAAAGCTAAAATTAGGCATAGAAGGGACAGAGAGCTTGAAATTTGAATCTTGCCAGCTATCCTTGATCGCCTTCAGCCTACTGTTCACCTGCTCTGAAACATGCTCGAATCGTGAGTCGTCGCCGAGTGAGGATGCAATCGATCGAGAGCGGTAAAGCAACAAAGATCCTTCCGAATTTGATCTGCGCAGAATCGGTGGCGGCCGCATGTTGACCTCGGGTTTGGGCGCTTCTGGGGGAGTGATGGTTCCGTCCGTGTCCTCTGTATCCCCGCCTGTCTCTGGGCTGGAATCTTGTCGAGAGACGGAATCGGCGGTGGTATTTTGCGGTCGGGTTAGGCTGCGTGAGCGGGATCTACTCCTTCCACGGATGGGCTTCGCGAGAGAGGTGCCGTCGTGCTGCGATAGCGTCTCAGATGGTCCGCGGCGCATGGGCTGGGAGACGCGGTTGCGGTACTGTGGCGCATGTGCATATGGATGTCGGCCAACATTGTCAAAGGACGAAACGGAGAAACTTGGGAGTGAGAAATTGAGCAGGCTTGACGTCTTTGGAATGGACGGCAGATTGAACGGTATATACTTTTTGAGATAGTCACTCGCACCCCCAGACATGGTTCGTCGCCTAGACTTGGTATTGAGGGTATCGCGTAGTGCAGCTCGGTGATTATCCTGCTTGGTGAAAGTTTTGGGCTGCGCCCGCCACGGTGAGGGCAGGCGGGCAGGACGCTCTTTCTCTGAAGCTTCGGCTCCGCGAGTTTGCGCCGACGCTCGAGAAGCGGGCGGATCGCGGGGAAACTCGCGGGGTATGGGCAGAGGGCTCGGTTCTGGAGGCTGTTCCCAGCCCTCAAAAAGCGCACCGCCGTCGCTGTCCTCGAGCGCGGCCGCTTTCTCCGCAGCAGGTGTCTTGGGCGAGGTCAGGCGCGTCTGCTGCTGGCCAATGCTAATGCCTATGGCCGACTGCACCGTCTCCAGCTGCAGTGTCCGCTCGTAGGGCGTCTCGTCTTCGGAAGGTGTGAGATCAGCATCCATGATGGAAGCGAAGTGGATGTCGGCGAGAGCATTCTGGCGGCTTTGGTGGGCACCGGCCGCGGCGGTCGCATGCCCATCCATTGTGTTATTGTGCTGCTGGGGGCTCGTGGAGGAGGAAAGGTGGCATGGAGCCAAATCTCGGGGTCAGGCTCAATGTGGATTCAGTCGCGGTGGCAGTGTCTGTGTATCCGCGCGCTCCCGTGCGAGGCCAATCCCTGACAATGGTTCTTTGGTTGTGTGCGGGACAAGGGAGCGGCGCGGTACAGAGCCATCGTCGAGCTCAGTGACGGGCAAGCTAGCCCGGATGTCGCGCCTTCCGTCATTCCGTTGGAGGAAGCGGCGATGATGAAGTGTGGCAGTTGCGGCTGCCCTTGACCCCGCGCCACAAGACACCAAACGCCAAGTGAACCGTTTGAGCCCCGCCATGCGCTGTGCGGCTACGGGCCCTGGCAGCTTTAACCCAACATCCTGGAGCGTGTTGTTTGTTACTCGGTCCCGTCTGCTCGATGGTCTTCAGTTTCTGGGTGACGCGCGCACCGCCTCAGCGTCAGCCGGCTGAGACCGCGGACTGACATCAGCGGCCAGCCCTGCACGCTAGCAGCCACCAATCGTATGGCTCGTACGAAGTATGCATTCGCGGTAGAGGCGTCTCATGCCAGAGGGCGCGTCTTTCGTCGTACGCGCTCTGATGGAGCAAAGTCGACGCATGTTCTGCGTTGCCCTGCTGGCTTCGGTTGGTACTCACGGTTTCTCAGCTGCTGACCTTAGCATGTCATGATTTCTGACGCTGCGGCATGTCGGGGCGTTCGGTCATATGGGGAGACGTCTTTCCTTCGCCGACTCAAAGCCCACTGAGCGGTCCGCCGCTATTGACCGATTCGGACTGGTACCTCGTTGCTTGGGCGCTCTCACCAGGCAGTTTGGTGAACTCAACCAGCATCGAGTGCCTCGTTGAGATGAACCAATGTGACATACCGTGGACTGGTTCTCTTTATTGACAGACATTCGAGAGCGAGAACAAGGACCAAGAGCTCGGTAGTACTGTCGCAGTATCGGTCAGTCAAGTTATAGCCGAAGTCCGCAAACCTCGTGGTTCACTGGCTGTTCAGTTTCGTGCCTCCTGTCTCCTGTGCTTGTTCAAGCTTGCCATGTACTGTCCAAGACATGAATAAACTTTGGTCTCCGAACGCCGAAACAGGACACTTGACTAGCATTTCTATACCGTTTGAATATATCTGGCTGCATCCTCTCTCCAACAATCACTTTTCGGACGGAATTTCTCAATCTTGATCTTCTTTTCACCATGTCAGCTATGCTACTCTTACCAGCGCCTGTGGCTTCCAATTCCTTCAAGATCGGACAGTTGCTTGCAGATCCACTGCATCCTGATGTCGACTCGTTTCATAATGAGAATGATATGCTTTCTCTGAGAGCACCAACAGTACAGACCCATTTCAGAGAAATGCTCGAGTGCGATGACGCTGGTCAGTTCATCGGACGGCATTCTCACACTTCCACTTCCAACGAGAGATCTGTTTTGATTGAGGCCGAAAAAATGTCCCATACTACGCTAAGAGACCCGCTCTCCGCGTTTCGATACGTCAGTCGTCGAGCATCAAGCCAAGCCTATCTACACCAGGCGGCATTACACCGTAAACCACTTTACTACGTCACTGCCATTCAAACATTGTCCAATTACCACTACATGGACGACGATCCCAATATTGCGATCGCTAAAAAGCCTCAAGTGCGTCGGCACGACTCAGGAATCTCCTTGAATGAGCAAGATGGCAACGTCATCCTAGCGGTCGAGCTGACGAAAGTCTACTGCCGCATCGGGTCACCAGATGAGCCACAACGACCGAGCGACATTGGTTATGCATACAAATACTATCCACTCCAGGGAGAAGAACAGCGCCAACTTGCTGTTGGATTCGGGCCGGCCGTCGATTACCAGGAATTCAGAAATCTCGTCGGTATCTCGAGCGACTCGGACTACACTGACGCGAGCGCCGATTCGGATTCCTTTGATGAAGATGAGGACGAGGGTTGCATGTGTTGTTCCTCCTCAATTTCGAACGCATCCTACCGACGGTACTAATTCTCGGCTTTCTCGTGTTGTTTCCGTCTCGCCTTGTCCGCATAAAGTCGTTCTTTAGCTTATTTCGCTAAGCCTGTCACCCGGTAATAGACTCTCATTCTCTCCTGTTTCTCTTGCAATACAGACTTCTCTTGAAGAATAATGCGCTGTCGGGTCTTTTCCGCTTTGTTGTGTGCTACGCCCAGCCTTACATATATAAGATCTCACTTCTGTGGTAATGCAATGCACTTTCACAGTTTGATCAAGTCATTTTGCAATGGAGGCTTCGGCTCACCTCTCTGGGCAGAAGCTGGCGCTTGCCCGATACGTGACTCTGATGGAAAAGTTGCAGCAGTGAGTGACCCTCCCCTCCTGCTCTACGGTTCGATTACCATATCTATCGACACACCAAAAGCTTTGATCTGCGGTAGTCTGATTATCCAGCGTCTCTGTATGACGATAATACAGTCATCACACACACTCTTCTCCTATGCGCGGGTTGCTAAGAGGTATTCGACTCTGGGAATTCCCAAGTACTCTTTGAACCCCGTTGCCACCGTCAAATGCACATCAATTCCGCTACGCTGGCCACTTGTTCCACAGCGATATGCTTATCGGACTGCGCATGCATATAGTCACGAAATATATGCACACTACACTACACGTTTCGGAAGCCTAATGGACGTCATTATCGACAATGCCCGAACGCATCATTCACAATGTATCTCGCTACACCGTGAGCCACTGGATGCTGAGTCTCAGCAACGTGTACTCACCCGTGTGGCGAGTAGCACAACAGTGCACCTAATGTTCTGGTGAGTGTCGGCCTTGAAGCATAGTGAAAGAGTTCACATATTGTACAGCCATGACGATTCTTCACGATGTCCTTGAGGGGGTATTCACAACGTCAAGTCGACTTACAGAGATGGCCTTATAAACATTCTCAGCGGTAGTATCAACTCGACAACTCCAAGCAACACCTGCACACTGCAACCGCAATCGCAATTGCAAGTCCAAAGCAAGAACTTCAACTTCCAACACTCCAAACCTCAACGAAGAGAACCATGGCAACTACTCAAGCCAACTCCCTTGGCGGCTGGACCGTCACCTTCGCTACTACTGTCTTCTGGGCAATGCTCTCATGGACCATGTTCTTGGTCATCGACTACCGCAAGCGCACGGAGAAGCCGTGTCTTATGACCTCGATTCTGCTTTTCGTTCACCTCTGGTTGGCTTGCTTGTTTCTTGCTGCTGCAAAAGTTGCCGAGAATCATAGTGATTCGCTGCTTGTCTGGCTCTGTTTTCAACTCGTCTTCAGGTATTACAAGACCCTTGTTCTCACCTACTTTAACTTTAGGTACAAGCCGTCTGTAGCCTCTGCAAACTTCGCCCTTCGATCAACTGATGTATCTGTCATCGTGCCCACTGTTGGTACAGACGTGAGCGCCACGTTCAAGGAGATGGTAAGCAGCATTCTCTGGAACAATCCGAAGCGCTTGATCTTCTCCACCACCACGGAGCATGCGAAAAAGAGCGTTGAGGAAGTCCTTCCTGGTATCCTGGCCAATCTCAAACTTGGTGAGTCCGCATACCAAACCCAATGGAAACTTCCATCACTCGAAGTCTATACGGAAATCTCGGTTGTCTCTGCCCAGGTTGCAAGCAAGCGGGAGCAATTCATCCAGGGCGTAAACATGGTGAGTACGTCCATCATTGCCTCTGCTGACGATACCGTCTCGTGGCACCCTAACTTTTTTTCTGGGGCTCTTCCAGCATTTGCGGACAGCCTGGTAGGGTTCGTCGGTACCCACAAGTGGGTGAAGCGTCTTCCTTGCCCTCCCACAGACTCCTCCCTTTCGTGGTTCACCAATCAGTGGAACAACTACTGCTTCCGGTTTTGGAACCTGGTCGGTGCGCTATACTTGATCCGTCACAACTTCGAAGCTCGTGGTTCCGACGCAACTGACGGTGGTATTTTCTGTGTGTCTGGCCGTACTCACCTCGTTCGCTCGGACATCGTCCAAGATCAGGCCTTCCAGGACGAGTTCTTGGATGAGCGCATCTTGAATTCGCTGATTGAGGGTGGAATCGGCCCTATCAATGCCGACGACGATAACTTCCTGACTCGGTGGGTCTTCTACAAGAAGAACATGAAGGTCAAGTTCCAGGATTCTGAGGAGGCCACGATTACGACGGTTCTTGGTAAGGATGGCGGCAAGCGTTTTAAGGATCAGTGCCTGCGCTGGAGCCGCACTACGATGCGCCAGAACCCACAAGTGCTTTTCATCGATCGAACGGCTTGGTGGATGCATCCTATTACTGTCTGGACCACGTACTTGCCTTGGCTGTACAACGCCGCTTTGATCTGGGACCCGCTCATGGTAGGTACGCTCTACTTCTCCAAGTTTAACCAAGACAGTAAGCACCGCTTCACACTGATGGCTATCCTGATCGGTTTCATCTGGGCGACGAAGCTCATCAAGGCCGCGCCTTGGTTCTTGAAGCATCCGCTGGACTTCTTTCTCTTTGTTTTTCCTTTCCCAGTGTTCGCGATCTTCGTGTATGGTCACTCCATCCTGAAGATCTGGACCGCCTTCACCTTCTGGGACCTTGCATGGACGGGGAGGAAGCTTCCTACCGACGCCAAGGCGAAGGAGGAGTAGAGTTTGGAGTAGTCCTGGCGTGTAGCGACAGTAAGTGAGCTACAATTTCCTTTTATTTTCCCTCTTGACCTTATCCTTATCAGGTCCTGCACATTCAACGAAAGACATATCGAAGTAAATCAGACCCGTCTTTGTAGAGAACTCGAATTGCAGCTGGTAGACCACCGATGAGCTATTGAGTCTCAGAGACCTTGTAGGTGACTCCGCAGTTGTCAGTGCATGTGTGATTGTTGGTTAGCTCGTATGGGCGGATGATTCCCTTCCGAAAGATAGAACGGGCGGGGACCTTAATGGGATCACTCTGGTAGGCCTTCCAAGCCTTCCTAGGCCGTGTTAGGATGCCGTTTCCCGCACATATTGTATGTAGTTACCATATATACAAGTCGTACTTGCACTGATTAACCAAAACGAAGTTGCCGTTTCTCTGATCCTTGGCCACGGGAGGACTGTTGATGACAACAGACTGGGCGAGGTTGCGGTACTCAGGGACGTACCCAGGAACGTCTTCGAAGAGGTACTGAAGGTTCGTTGTATCCAAGGCGACCGACAGGGCGGACAGTATCTGTAGAAGCAGGAACAAAATGATTAAAAGTTTGTGAAGAATCTGTTGGAGGTCCGTCTGTTAAAATGATGGTAGTGTTAACGAAATTGTGTACAAACAAACTGACCTTATATAGAAGTTCTAGTCGATCGAGCTCGAGGTTTTGAGCCTAATCGAGTGCACCAGCCACAGGCAATAGTGAAGGCAGGCGCGACTTCTCCAAAACGGCCTCTCTTCACAGGCTCACAAGTTCACTTATACCCAGCCCTAAGCAATCTAAAACGAGTTCTTCTGACCCCAGACAAACGAGCGATCGCGCTTGGGACATAATTGTACACGATTGCTATCAGTCGAGCGGATGTGAATGCATACATCACGTGATCTGGTTTCAATTGCTAGCATAGCGGGTGCGATCTTAGATGACTAGAACAATCTAAACTTGGGCGAGTGCGAGCTTTCCAGTGTTTCCTCCTCGCTCAATTCCTCTGTACAGCGTCTGCGATTGTATGCTACAGGTAACATTCAATGTTGTTGTGCCTGCGGGCTATCTGCATCCGGGTGAACTCGTGAATATGCCGCCAGACTGCCCGAGCTTACGCCTCTCAGCATTCGTGTGTCATAAGCATACGGTATGGAAGGCACGCATCAGTTGAATGTTTAGGTTTGCTCGCCACAAAATTTTTTTTTTTTTTTTTTTTCAAAAGTCTATTGAGTGTAAGAACGGTGCGGCATGCGGGTGAGACCCCCTGGTATAGTAGATCTATGTTCCGCATCGCTGATTGGTATCAACAGCGAAGTGATAAGCGAACGGACGGAGATACTTCCTCTTTCAATGAATGACTATGTCGCGTCTGAGCTAATGGGCAAAGGCCACATGGGTACCTCTCATTCATCGACCAAAGTGAAAGCCTCCGAGCAGTATTTTTTCATTACTTGTTTTGGTACATGAAGTACGAGCTAATCCATGGTAGGAAGACTCTTTGCTGTGCCAAAGGGTCGTGGAAATGCGGCTGAGAACTTGCATTCTCCGTGCTGATATTCCAAGGAAAGTGCATACTCTTTATCAAGCTCGCCAATCTTGACAGCAATGTTAGCTTCGGGTCGGCAGATTTTCCTGAAGGATCGATGTAACGCGGGGAAGAAAGCACAAGCGATGGCGAGGGCCAATCACAACGAGCGCCGAAGTCTCAGACGCTGCTCACTCACGCTGTACAATGATGTTCTTATCGTGCCACGCAAGGTAAGCTTATTACCAAGCGTCTAGGCGGTCTGCTATTCCTGTGCCCCTTCAGCAAAGCGGGACTACCAATATCTTGAGTCCAATTAACAAACACGAAGGGTTGCACGACGCCCGAACCCCGGCCTCGAGCTGCTCTCCAACATCTCGATTCGGGAAAGTATGGCCATCTCGTACCGCTACATCGGAATGTAGTCCAGCGTCTAGATGGCGATGTTTCTGGGATTGTGTTGCGCTGACGCCGACTGGACGAATGAGATTGAAGTGTTTTGCAAGGTCTAATTGCACGATGTGAAGACATTTAGTCTCGTGAGAGATAACCGGTGTGAGAGTCTAAAAGGTGTTTTGAGTCTTTGTCTTGGGCCGAAGCCGCTGTCCCAAAAGTATTTATTCTGACATTGCTCGCATCCGAATTGCTGACCCGCCAACGAGGTCATTCCCGACACTCTGGAGATACTTCTTAGGCGACAACATCGTTGGATTAGCTGCGAAAATGAATCAAGTGGATAATATGGATCAACCAAAGATCGCCAACGAGAAAGTGGGCTCTTTCGTCTCAGTCGCATACGGCGATGTGGAGCCACAAGGATGGGATGCGCAGAACACCAAAAGGCTTCTGCGGAAGCTCGACTGGCACATCATCCCGTTCATGTCCTTGATCTATTTGTAAGTGCCGACACGCTCCTCAGTTAGGCGCCCTCTGACTTGGTTTTGTGTAGGTTGTGTTTCCTCGACCGTACGAACATAGGCAACGCGCGTCTCGATCACTTAGAGCAGGACCTTAAACTGCATGGCCTACAGTACAATGACTGCCTCGCAATCCTCTTTCCATTCTATATCGCAGCGGAGATTCCCTCGAACATAATGATGAAGCGAGTGCGGCCATCCATTTGGCTGACGTTCATCATGTTCTGTTGGTCTGTGTCCATGATCGGACAGGGCTTTGTAAAGAATTATTCTGGACTAATGGCGACGCGAGTGTTTCTAGGAGTCTTCGAGGGTGGTTTGTTTCCGGGCGTGAACTACTTTATTACGCAGTGGTACGTGCGGAAGGAGTGTGGCTTCCGCATGGCTCTCTTCTTCAGTGCGGCGACACTTGCTGGGGCCTTCGGAGGTATTTTGGCAAGAGGTATCGCGGAGATGAACGGCGTCGGTGGAAGAGCAGCCTGGGCCTGGATTTTCATTCTGGAAGGTCTGCTTTCTGTGGTCGTTAGTCTTGCCGCATACTGGTGTATCTACGACTACCCTTCCACGTACGTTCGGTCCAACCCTTATTCTCCATCTCCTGATTGACATGATACAGTGCTCGGTTTCTTACTGAGACAGAACGGGAGGAAGTCCAACGCAGGCTGCAGGCTGAACAAGGCCATTTGTCGAACGACTTCGACATGAAGTACGTGTGGCAAGCCATCGGCGACTGGAAGATCTACATCCATATGTTCATTTGCATGGCAGGTTTCTGTCCCATCTACAGCTTCGCTCTCTTCCTCCCGACAATCATCAAGAGTATGGGCTACACCGCGAATGAGGCGCAGCTGATGTCCGTTCCGCCATATGTTGCGGCGTGCTTCTTCACAATCATCGCGAGCTGGTATGCTGATCGTGTTGGTAAGCGGGGTATCTTCATGTTGGGCTTCCAGCTTGTGGCTCTCCTTGGCTTTAGCTTGTTGTGCGGCAGTGGTAAAGCCAGCGTGCAGTATGCTGGCACAGTGTTTGCTGCGATTGGTATCTACCCGCAGATCCCTCTTGGTATGGCATGGAATAGTGGTAATATTGGAGGGAGCTTGAAGCGAGGCACTGGTATCGCGATGCAGGTCATGGGAGGCAACTGTGGTGGTATAATCGCGTCGTACGTTTATGTCTCAAGAGACGGCCCCAGATACATCACCGGGCACAGTATTTTGATTGGAGTCGTGAGGTAAGTTCTTGAACCTTCACCAGGTCATAGCATCGACTGACACAAAGCAGCGCTGCGTTTTTCCTGACCTTATTTATGTCGACATGGTGCCGATTAGAGAACGCGCGCCGCGATAAGGTTGCAGCTGAGCGGGGTGTCCAGGATTTGACGGAAGAGCAGAAGTTGCTCGAGAGAGAGTTGGCCGATAACGTGCCTTGGTTCAGATATGCCGTGTAAAGTTTAACGTTTTCGGTCTGAGTAGATAGTCTGCGACGCCGACGGGTTCTCATCTTCTTTGCTGCCTAGAGGAGACACGAGAATTGCGTATATATTTAGCACAACTTGCGGGTGCGAAGTCGGTCCTACACCCCAACCTCCCCCCGAAAAGCAAAAAGAAGCGAGCAGACCTGCAGGCACTTGTACAAGTTCCCGCCGTTCCCGTCGTCACTCCCATCTATCATTACATCACTACATCACACCGTTGGTCTTCGTCTCACGCTAAGATGACCAACACCTCTCCAGCTATCGCAAAAGGCAAAGCTAGGGCGGATGACAACGACGCATCGAGTTCGTCTACTTCGCGGCCGCCCCCACGTCCACGTACCCCGCCGCCCCAGCCACCCGTACAACAGCCGATCTGCGCAACACCGTCGTCATCCACAGTTCTAGCGACGTCGAGTTCAAAGCGCAAGCGTCAAACTCGCATAGATTACTACTTTGGCAGCAAAAAACAACGCATCAGTCCCATTGCATTCGAACTGTCGCCTGAAGAGAAAAAGGACGTCAAAGCCCTTTATGAGGACATCAAAAAAGAGGAACGGGAAGCTAAGAAAGCCGAGCGAAAGGTGAATCAACAACTGAAGCGCGAAACGGAGGACGCCGCTGCGCGTGAGAGACAGAAGAAGACCCGTCGTCGCCAAAATTGGAACATCTGGTGCGAGCGCAATGCGAAACCCAAAGCTACGTTCGAGATCCCGGAAAACCTCCCTAGGGGTGAGTTATGGGCTATGCACAGATCCATAACGATGTGCGAAAAGGAATTCGGCCTGAGAAGGACGGAAGTTTTCTGCCTAGAGCACTGCTGCAAGCCAAACTGGCGAACTGAAGGCGACACAGATATCACCTTGTTCCGAATGGACGATGTACAGAAACTGGCGTGGCGAAAAGAAGCGATGCTAGCTGGTGTAGAGTGCAGTAACGAGGAAGATCTGATTGCTGAAGGCAGATTACTGTTCCTCCAAAAGCAGATGGCTAAGGAAGGCTAGCAACGAGGCACCTACCAGTCAAGCATGCCTATGATTGCCGGAATCACGACGAAGTCTTGTGATGTTGTGAGAAGTGCACAACAACCACGGACATGCATCTTCTTCTTGTAGTTATACTTCACAGCTCCGTTGTAGCACTTTCCTCACCATGACTGCGGACATCAACAATGTTCCAGTTCGATGGACTACGCTCAAAGGCCTAAACAACCTAGGGTCGTACGGTGATCCTCTCGGCAACTTAATCAAACTGCTAAGCTGCCCCCAAGAAATAGGACGGGATGTCTGGTCCGCGTCGCCTCGGATCGGAAGCATTATGGGTAGTCCGGGGGTATTGTTCCAGGGCTGTTCATTGTTCGTTTTGATGTAGTCGTTATGAAGCTTCATGTTGAAGGCCACCCTAACTGTAAGTATCCTTCATACTTGCTCGAAATGGCGCAGCATCATACTGAGACTATATATTTTCGTATAGTAGGAGAGGGAAGAGAGGAAGGCCATGATGACTACGGATCAAGGGGAATAAAGTAGTACAATGGGAAGAGGAGCACTGCCTCGCGGAATGAACAGAAGTACTCAGATGAAAGCTATCTAAGGTACGATATGAGGCGGAGAACTCTTTTCGGGACCCAAACAAACAGAACTCAACAATGCGTCCGCAAAACGGGCGGAGTACGGGAATGAGAAAGACTGGGTCCAGACATATTATGTTCTTGGTAGCCTTTGATCATTTATTTGAAGATTTCCCTCAGAACAGACTAAAAGTGCGAGATAGAATCAAGAAGTAGCTTTGTAAGAATTGTCTATTTGCATTCCTTCTCCATATAAAGACGCGATCACCAATGCTGACAGCCAAGCAGCTAAGGACAACACCAAGCCGTGAGGCTGAGTCCACGCTCACAGCTTAATTGGCCCAGTCACTAAACACACGTGCTGTCGTCAGCAGGAATTGCGAAACGTGATTTCTACACCAGACAAGTTCAGCCTCATTTAGGAGCTGGAGTATGGTTGTCGCCGCGCTGAAAGTGGACGCTGTGGAGGATCCGTTGGGAGCGCTTGATAAAGTGGCTCGGGCTTATTAGTGTTATTTTGGAGCGTGATTCGTGATGCGGATAGAATACATCCGAGGGCTTGAGTGTTGCCGCTGGAGCTGAAGAGGATGCTAGAGAAGTTATGGGGGCGAGAGGAAGAAGTATAAGATGCCTGCTTGAGGAGGTAGAGAAGAGCATCAACTCGACAGACTTATACGCTTCTCTACGACCTTCTTACCATTCTTCCCTCTTATCTCTCACCTCCCTAAAGTTCGATCGAATCGTACTCTGCACCTATAGCCAAGATGCGTACTTCTACTGCTCTCTTCGCGCTCGCTGCTACAACCTCTACGGTCATCGCTCGCCCGGGAGCTTGGCAATACACCACCGATCTCGAGATCATCGTCTCTCTCAGCAATTCCGATAAGGCTCTCGGATCTCGCACCGGCTTCCTCCAAGGTCAGCGACAGGAGCAGCCCCCGGACAACTCCAAGGGCCCCTTCAAGACGGTCAACATCATCGTCGGCAAGAACGTCGAAAACAAGGACATCCGCTGCAAGCTCATCGCACCTGGTGGCCAGCCTATCAAGGCGCGCCGCGGCGAGAACAACGTCGACCAGACCTTCGCCGACGCCGGCAAGGGCGAGTGGGCGTTCCTCGAAGACAGCGAGGTTGAGAGCATTATTTGCGATCCGGCCTTCAAGAAGGGCGATGGCAGCGGCAACGGAGGCGATGCTGCAGGGAAGATCGTCAGAGTCGTTCTAAGCGACCAGGCCACGGAGACGGGCGTTGCGTTCGAACTCGCATCTGATAAACGCGATGAGGAGGCCATCAAGCCCTCCACTGTCTTCTCGGCCATCGAGATCCAGGCACCAGCCGATGTCAAGGCCACACTTCGCTGCCAGATCGAGGACAAGTCGGGCAATATCATTGTTGCTACGCGCGGACCCAACACTGACAAGACTTTCTCGGATGCTGGGAAGGGCGCATGGGATTTCAAGATCCCAAAGAGGGCCCAGGTCAGCAAGATTATATGCGACCCGGCCTTCAAGGCGGATCCTATTACGAGCAACTAATTCCTAGGGTCCAAGAAGAATAGAAGATGATGGTAGCGGATCGGGCGACGAAGGGAATAGAGGCATTGTTATGGCGTTAGTTTTTCCTCATGCTTGATTGGTTTAGATTGCATATTTTCCAGTTGTAGATAATCTTTAAGTTCAAATACAGGCAGTATTAGCTCTGTTAGCACGCGTCTTTGGCACACTCACTACCTTTGGTATGCTAGTCCCATTCGCGAGTGCGCATGTGCGAGTGACTCAGGAGTTGATCCGTGCCCAAATGTAGCACCACAAAGGGCTCCGCGTCGCCCTTTGTAATGATTCGTTCATCTGATTGCAAACACTTTCTGTTCGCCGAAGAGTCAGGTGAATGAAGCTGTCAGTGCCGCCGCCCTTGCCATGGCTGAGAAGGGCGAGCTAAGCCACATCTAAACTACATTAGGCAACTGCACTGGCTGCCTCGCCTGACCACCCACTCTCCTGAAGCGGTCCGTAGACTTACTTGTGTTTGCTGGAAAGGCGCCTTCTAGATTCTCAGTTGCTGCCTGGCGAAGACCCGGAAAATTCTGGGAGGTCGCTAAATTTATAAACGACCCGGAAGCCCCAGTCTTTCAACGCCATCGGGAGCTTGGTAGAGATACCAGTTCCTTGATCGCAAGCATCTTCATCATTTGACCATCGTGTCCTTCCTGGAGACGTGATGTCACCACCTGCGGCGACTGCTTCGCCTGCCCTCCGCCGGCGCCTTCTCGCTGACATTGCAGAGGTTCAGCAGGATCCCTATCCGAGCGTGCACCTATACCTCAACGACGAGGACATCACACACGCCTGCCTGGTCCTGGCACCACCGGGAGAGAAGCCGCTGCACCTGGAGATCAAGTTCCCAACCAACTATCCACTTCAGGCCCCGCACGTGACGATCCAGAGTCACGTCGACCACCCAAATATCTTCGATAGCTACATCTGCGCCACGATTTTGAATACCGAGGAGGGATGGACTCCAGCGTACACCCTCAAAGGCATCTTGATCCAACTCTTGAGCTTCTTCTCGAGCGACATCATCGAGCAGGATTACGGCGGTGAGGTGGATCTCGCAAGCTACAGGGCACATAAGAGGGCCCGGCGGGAGATCTCCAGTCAGTATCGCTCAAATAAAAGAGACTGGGACAACACTTGGTCTTACGAGTGCTACTGCTGCGGTTTCAACAAATCGTGGAACAACTCGATGCCGAAAGCAAGGTCGCAGGAGCTTCAAGCCCCGCGGGCCGTAGGTCCATCCGAACGCACGAAGCTTTTGGAGCTTCCCGACGAAGTCATCCTCAATATCCTGTCATGGATGGACACTACAGACGTGATCTCTTTTGCCGACGCCATACCTACCATCAAGCACATGCTGACCTCTTACGACTTCGTTCGTCTTCGGGAACTGCAGTGCTTTTGCTTGAAGAAGTCTTTCATGAAGGCCAAACTTGGTATTGGCGTCTCAATCACCGGTGGCAGGAAGCCAATCTTTCGTTCGGAATTCGATCTGCTGTCGAACGAGGCTTACAACCTGTTCGACGTTCGCAGGTCTGTACAAGGCGTATGGTTCGACAAGTGGCTCCCAATACCCCTCTCGCGTCGCCACTGGAAGACGGTGCAGCAGAATGCAGGCCATGCGTTGGAAGGATTACGCGTGGCTGCAAAGCTGCAAGAGACGGATAAGGTGGCTGTCCTCTATCACTTCATGAATACAATTGTGGTGCAGTTCTCCAACGATGCCGCACGGTCTTGGAAGAAGCCAGATTCGCGGAGCACGTTGTCGCATGCGTCTGAGAAGGCAGTCGAGGCTTACTTCGCCCTGTTCCACCTGCTTCTTTGCTTCGCGACCGAGAATCCAATTACTGTGAACCATGCAAACCGCATGGTCGCGCGCTTCCTTGCCGGGCCACGCACCAAGACGCATTTTCCGGACCTTGGCCAGCTGCTTGTGGCAGCACTGATCTCTGATACAGGGCTCACGCAAGAGTTAACCTTCCAAATCATCAAGGAAGCTATCCTCCGCAATGTGGTTTGGATGCTCGACACCAAAGGCGCTGCTATGGCCGAATTGGCATATCTAGAGCCTACAACCGTGTCGGACTATCGTCTCCAGAGAACCTTCGAAGGATCGCGCACATCGTACCGCCTCCTCATGTTCCTCAAGCTCTTCTCCTCCATGGCGCGAACGCCCGGTAAGACACTCGTGCAGTTGCGTGAAGAGCTCTTCGACACGCACAGCGCGCCTCCGCCTGGAGTATCTGCCATTATGGCCCAGAGAATCCGCGCAATTCAAGCCATCGACTCCTTCCCGAAGTTTCTGACAGTAATGGGCATTACTCAGATGCCATCCAGGTCAGAGTTCACCGCCTTCTTAAGGCGCACAATTAGCGAAAGCGTCGATGCCAACTATTCGCGCATGCCCATGACCCAGAGCCAGCTGTATCTGATTCGGAGGATGTGGGAGCCGACGGTGGAGCGATCGAGGGAGGTACAGATCACACCGCAGCTAGAGGTCTGGTTCGAACGTGGGGAGAAATGGTATGGAAATGGGTGGAATGGCCGACCGAGTTTCTTTCCTTCAGAGGGTCGAGAGGGTACAGGCGGCCGTGGCCGTGGTCGTGGCCGCGGTGGTAGGCGAGGATAGCACTGCTTCTGACGAGATAAGTGGGCATGGTATGCATGCTCGAATGGTGGCGGGAGAATTTGGTGGCACAAAGGGTACCAGTGCCTACCGCGGACAAGTGTATGCGGCTGGCCCTAGATAATCACCAATGGATGGCGGTCTTGAATAAACACTTTACTGTGTCCAGTCTCACCAGAATAAGATGTGAGAAATAGACAGGGGGACAAGTGAGTGAGTGTGAACACGCCCAGTATTACAAACGCGCAATTGACGCGTGCGAGTCATGCGGGATGCCCTTGCTCTTGGGCTCGAGTCAAAAAAACCCCTTTCACTGTCACTTTCTCGCCTGCGCCTGCCATCTGTATCGTATCGCGCCGCGCCGCGCCGCGCGTTGTTTACGCAGACCGACCCATTCAAAGCCGCCGCATCCATGCCATCGTTTAATGCGTGGAACACGCACGTGCCGTTTCAAAGGCCCGGGGCTGTTCCGTCGCCGCTACTGCCGGACCAACGCTTGGTTTATATGAGATGCACGGATGCGAGTGGATGTGCGCACGGGATGGCAGTGTTTCGGGAGCCAAGCAAAAAGTTTTAAATGCCGCCTTGTTGCCTCAGATTGTTTCTTCAGATCACGGACTTCGACAAGGTGATTTGGCAGGTGCTTCTTGAGGCTGAGGGAAGGAAAATTGCACGTGAGTGGGTCACGTTTCGGGAACGGATATGAAAGCAGGAGCTCTGAGATGAAGCATCGCGGTGAGGATGATCGATGCGGCTGGTCACGGGTCGTAGAAGGCAAGAGATGAGCCACGGGATGGGACTACGAGCAATTCGAGCAGCGCGTATGGTGCCGGGTATCAGCAAAAGTTATGAGATCTCTAGCAGCGAGCTCTGGTTATCACGATGACTGTCTGCCATTGCTTCGACGATAGCGGATCAGCCTCAAGTTTCACAACGCAGGACTCTCCGCTATGCCTCAGGTCCAGCCCCACACAGACCATCTATTGCAGGCAACATTGGGTGGGCTGATAACGTAGCGTCCGTACGTCAATGACGCGGAATTGGACCCATAGCTACGCATATACTGACATGAGCAATCTCGTGTACAGACCACTCCTGACGAGGGTAACATAAGAATGCTTAGCCCAGAAACATGTGGCTCACCTCTTGGCTCTCCAGTGTCTTTTCCGTTCTGTTTCCGTTCTTTTCCTTTGCGTGACGTCTTTTGTCGTTTCGTTTCTTCATTTCTTGTGCCGTGCACCTTCTTTCTTTTGTACGTCTGTCTCTGCCGAGTAGACTGGTCTGCCCTTTGATTCTTCCACCGTGCTGGTCGCTTTCTGTATCTTGTTCAGATCGACAGTTCCGACTATCCTTTACTTCCGTTCTCATTCGTCTCTTCTTGTCCATCACACTGGTGTTCATATTCCCCAACAACATTCTTAGGTTGAGATGGCGTCCCACAATACCGGGCGCATCTCCCACTCATTCGCGCGGAAACAAAATCGCCAAACAATCTGGCCAACTCCAGACCCAACGACATCGGACATCCAGCTTAGTGCACCTTGGCCCGGTCGCTATGGTTCCTTCGCAGCCCCAAATAAACGATGGACCAGTGCCTTCGACACCGAAGCTCGTGCTTCGCGCATGAGTTTTCTCGTGGACGGCACGCTGCTACCGCGGGCACCCGTAGCAAACAACCAGCACGAGCAGTGGGTGGGCAAAAGGGCGGAGCGGAGGCAGACGTGGCTAGCTCCTGTTGCCCAGGCGGGGGACCCAGAGAAGGTATGGAGTGGGGAGTTTGATGTCGAGAGGCGCCCGAGTTGGGTGGGAAGAGAGTCGGGGGCGTTGGTTGACGACGATGAGATAGCATTGCTGAAGGAGAAGGAGCAATTCCTGGTGTGTTGGGAGGAGGGCGATATCGAAAACCCGTTGAACTTTGGAAAGGGAAGGAAGTGGATGAACGCAATGGTTCTCGCTTTCGCCTGCTTCATGGTGTCGATCGCATCATCGGGTTTCTCTCAAGGTAAACTACCCTCGACTCTGGCTGAAGAGACAACACGCCTAATATATTACAGGCACACGAGACTTGAGGACGGAGTTCAATGTCGACCAGGTAGTGGCCTTAATGACCACATCCGCCTTTGTACTTGGCTTTGCGGTCGGTGCACTTGTACTGTCGCCTTTGAGCGAAGTTTATGGCCGTCGCGAGCTGTACATCTCGACCTTTGGCGCGTTCGTCTTGCTCACCGGAGCTTTATTCTTCTCCTCGTCGATGACTATGGTCATTGTGCTACGTTTCCTGGGCGGGCTTGCAGGATCCTTCACGCAGGCAGTCGCTCCAGCTGTAGTCGCCGACATGTTCGACGCGCAAGAACGTGGACTGGTTCTCAGTATCTTCACACTTGCGGGTCTTCTGGGTCAGAATCTTGGGCCCATCATCTCTGGGTTCCTCGATGCCTACCACGGCTGGCGCAGCATCGTCATCTTCGTCACTGCGGCGTCCCTTCCCACCTGGCTTGTCCTGACCTTCACCTTCCCGGAGACATACGCGCCTGTGCTACTTCAGCGCCGCGCGAACAGATTGACCAGAGAGACTGGGAAGCAACATGTTGTTGCAGGGGCTACGCCGAAGCCAATCAGCACACAACTACGCGTTGGTGCACTGCGTCCCTGGATCATGCTCATCTACGAGCCCATAGTCACCCTTCTATCGCTCTTTCTCTCTGTCGTCCACGGTACGCTCTTCCTTCTCTTCGCGGCCTACCCCATTGTATTCCAACAAGTCCGCGGCTGGCCTCAAGGCATTGCATCGCTTCCCTTCCTTGCGCTGGTCATCGGGATCATCCTCTCCCTTTTCTACGTTGCATTGATTGATCAGAGGCGCTATGCTCGTGTATTAGCGCGCAACAATGGCATCGCACCCCCCGAAGCGCGTCTCCCACCCGCCATGCTCGGCGCCATTGTCCTTCCTATCGGCCTCTTCTGGTTCGCGTGGACCAACGGACCCGAAACCTTCTGGTTGATCAGCGTGAGCGCTGGCGTGTTCTTTGGCTTTGGCATGGTTCTCCTGTACATGAGTCTTACGAATTATCTCGTCGATTCGTACCTGGCGTATTCGGCATCCGCACTTGCCGCGAGTACTGTGCTGCGGTCCTGCGCGGGTGCGGCATTCCCTTTGTTTACTAATAAGTTGTATGAGAAGTTAGGCATACACTGGGCGTCAAGCATTCCGGGCTTCATGGCATTGGTGTTCGTGCCATGTCTGGCCGGGTTCTACCGATGGGGACATATTTTGAGGACCAAGACACGGTTTGGGCAGGAAGCCGCTGCTGCTTTGGCAGCGCAGGCACAGAAGTGAGCGTTCCGCAAGAGTATTATTGTATATAAGCTTTTCTTGAACTCATTGAGCAACACGCAAATGTGAACTGCACCATACACGGATTTACTATCGTCTTTGTTAAAGTGACTTCATAGCATAGAGGCACCAGCAAAAGCATTCCTGAACGATGTTGACTTCGCACGTTCCAGAGAAGATTCGAGGCATACTTGCTCCGATTGCCTTTAGTTTGGTTGATTTGGGAAGATCAAGTTGGGAACAGAAGTTATAAATGCCACCGCTCTCTGTTCCACACCTGTCCTCCGCTTTCTTATACCAGAAGAAAAGATGCTTCTTCCTACCATGATTGTCAAGTGAGTTTAGAAGTCGACTGTGTAGTGATTGATGTTTTCGGTTTTGACAATGTGGGTTTGGGGGCGCACGATGCATTTACTGACACAAGGGCAATTGATAAGACGAAGAAATTTAGACAGAGGTTTGGAGCGGGCGTGAGATGGTCGCCAGAGATGAGTGCTATGGAATGCCAGATATTAAATCAATTCGCAGCGGAGTGCACGCATTTACATGTATGCTTATTATGGTGAATGTGCATGTGACCCATGGGATAAACAGGTAGCGAAGGCCTGCGTTCCTATCACTTGCGGAGAGACCTGCGAGTCGACTGTCGATACGCAAATTTACTGGAGAAGATCTTCAGAGTACGATGGAAGTAGGCGGACTGGTGCAAGGCGGACGGTACACGCAGCTGGACATTACCGAAGATTAGACGTCGCGGATCGGAAATGAAAATTCCAGGATTGCACCATGTACATAGATGAATCGCTCACTCTCATGGTAGGCACCGGTGGTATCACTATCCCTCATTGCTTTTGACCTGCCTCAGCGGCGCTTTTTGCCTGCCAAGGGCTTTCATTTCTCATAGACTGAAGAAACATACACAGCCCGATGGACTCCGAATCCTAGTCCCAAATGCATTGATTGAACCATCGAAATCTCATCCCATTGTCGCCCAGCCCGCTCCGCATTGCCTCAGCATCCCAGCTGTCTATACCAATCGCTTAAAACTTGGTGAAAGACTTGACAGCCTTGCCGGTTCGGGGAAGCACACGGAGGACGTTGAAACGGACGGTCTTGGAGAGGGGTCGGCACTGGCCGACGATGACCTGGTCACCGGGCTCGACACGGAAAGCGGGAGAGACGTGGGCGGCGAGGTTCTTGTGGCGCTTCTCGTAACGGGAGTACTTGGGAACGAAGTGGAGGTACTCGCGGCGGATGACGAGGGTACCTATTTTCCATTAGCCTTTTCTTACTTCCAAATCTTGCAAAGCCGATTGCGCGAGCCTCTCGGTTGGCAAAATGTGTGTACGTACGGTGCATCTTGGTGGAGACGACAGTGCCGGTCAGGATACGGCCACGGATCGAGACCATACCGGTGAAGGGGCACTTCTTGTCGATGTAGGAGCCCTCAATGGCGGTCTTGGGCGTGCGGAAGCCCAGACCAACATCCTTATACCATCGCCTGGTGCGGGTGTTCTTGCGGGGACCAGTGGCCTTGTGGTTCAAGAAGATGTGCGGCTACATGTGGAATCAGTATTGCGGGACTTTGAAATGCGACGCGGCGGATGCGAGTGGTAGTACCTGCTTCTGGAAAGCGCGCTCGGACTGGACACTGTTTCTCAATCAGCATGCGGCCTCGTTTGCAGACTGTTGCGACGTACGTGAGCTCGGTGGCCATGGTTGCGGTCGGGATGTGTTGTCGGTCTGTTGGTCAGTCGTAGTCGTGAGGGCGTCGAAAATCGCAGTGGTGGCTACTAAGCGAGCTGCTACGACTTGGCGCAGAAAGGTGTCACGGATTATTGTGGTGCCGCACCCGCGCTAGCCAATGGGGAGATGCCGCGGCATGCAACCCCTCAAGCTCTCAAAATAATCTCATCTCCAAACAACGGCTTGGATGTCCCCAATCAGCTTCTGTTAAGCCATCACGGTTACTATGGATCCTACCAGGCAGTTCATGGATAGGCTCGGAGTCACCGTCGACTCCAAGTCATCTTACCTCTTGGTCGCCGTACTTCTAGTCGCTGGCACATACGCTCTCGCCGTACCCATTATAAGCTTCATTCGTGTTTTGTTCAGTCTGTTCATACTACCTGGAAAATCTGTGAGCTGCCTTGTGCTTCATTATGGTTCTGGATACTAATGTCAGCAGCTATCTTCCTACGGGCCCCGAGGCTCATGGGCGCTGATCACTGGTGCCAGTGATGGCATTGGAAAGGAATTTGCTCTTTCCCTCGCCGCAAAAGGCTACAGCCTCCTCCTCGTTTCGCGCACGCAATCCAAACTCGACACTCTTGCCTCTGAAATCTCTACCAAATATGGCCCCAAGATCTCCGTGAAGACGCTCGCCATGGACTTCGGCCAGAACAAGGACAGCGACTACGCTGCGCTGAGGAAGCTCATTGATGGCTTGGACGTCAGTATTCTGATAAATAATGTGGGACAGAGCCACAGCATCCCTGTACCATTCGTCGAGACACCCGCCGATGAGATGAACAACATCATCACCATCAACTGCATGGCTACCCTGAAGGTCACGCAGACAGTTGCGCCCGGCATGATCTCGCGCAAGCGCGGTCTCATCCTCACCATGGCTTCTACCGGTGGCTTCTTCCCCACGCCTCTCCTTGCAACCTACTCTGGCAGCAAGGCGTTCCTCCAGCAGTGGTCCACCGCTCTCGCCTCTGAACTCGAACCCCACGGTGTGCACGTCCAGTGTGTACAGTCCCACCTTGTTACTACTGCCATGTCCAAGATTCGCAAGTCGTCCGCTCTGGTACCCAACCCGCGCCAGTTTGTGAGAAGTGTCCTGGGCAAGCTTGGCAGGAGTGGTGGTGCGCAGAACGTTGCTTTCACCAGCGCTCCGTACTGGAGCCACGGATTGATGATCTGGTTCTTGTCTAGGTTCATTGGCGAGAGGGCACCTATCGTTGTGAAAATCAACAAAAGCATGCACGAGGATATCCGAAAGCGGGCACTGAGAAAAGCCGCGAGAGATGCGAAGAAGCAGTAGGCGACGAAAAAGGATTGAGTAGACCAAAAGGACCTTGATGAACGTTGGTCGAGTCACAGATTGCAGGGAAGTTTGATGTATAATCTACACGACAACGGTGGTCCATTAAACAATATAAACATTAGATGTCAAGTCAATATCCATTTCCCCGATTGAGATTAACATGATCGCTCCACAATATTATCTGGTCGCTCCTATACTACGCCGCTCCTGAGTTTCCTGCCGGCTCATTCTACTGCCCCAAATAATACTCCCTCTGCAGAAACATCCACACCAAGCTCCCCGTACTTATAATGACCGGTCCCGCCAACGGCGCCCCCCACCTCGTGGTCCCAAAAACCCACCACTCGCTCATATAATGCGCCCACGCAACCCCATACGTCCACATCCCCAACTCAAACATCGCCTTCTCGTTGATATGGTACGCGACATACAGCCTCAGGATGCCCGTGAGTGCCGTCCAGGTACCCCACTTGCGGCCAGACAGGGGCGTCACTTGCGAGGGGAGCTCGCCGGGCTGTAGCGGGGTGGGTTTGGAGGACGGCGAGGTGTATTGCGTGAGGTTGGAGGGGATCTTGGTGTTATCCGGGTTGGGGTTGTACATGCGGGCAGCGTAGTGGAGAGTTGTGTAGGCTTGTATGGAGTTGGCGATGGAGATTACGGAGACCTAGGGGTAATTTGTTAGAGGCGCATTAATTGTGACAAACGAACACTGCATGTGTGTTCGTGAAGGTGGTTGGGGCTACGTACGAGGAGCAGCCATTTTGGCAGCAAGCCCTCGAACGGGGGGAGGTGCGAGGTGATGTCTAGGCCCATTGTGTCTCTTACAAGGCGGGCGAAGATGAAGTGGTCTTGCGAGAGAGAGAGTTCTCGGAATGATTGAGGGTAATTGAGGACGGCGTGTCGGCTGGTCAAATGTTTTGCTTGCGATATGATGCTCGGAAAACATTCGCAGGGGTTCGGAAAGGCATGGTCTGTGCGTGACAGGTACCTCACATCGTTCCCCGCGATTTGTGGTCCTCCGCGAATCCAATCTTCAAATCGTTGATCGTTCAGAACGAAGAGGCAACATTTTTGAGAGGTGTATCGACATGATCTGGTAATGGGCGGTTAGCTTCGATAGGGTGGAACGTCTCGTCAACCCTCCCTTGGAAAACGGTCGCTGGCTGGCATGGGCTCATTGTTCGATCGTGGTTTAGCATGATGATTCTGGCAGAAATCTGTTACTGAAGGAACCCCCTGTCTTTGGAATGTAGATCCAATCGTGTGTGCCATCGAACCGGCGTACATGATTTTACGGGAAGATTGAACGGTATGATTCAATATCAGATGTCAATACTCCCCACGGCCACTTTCACAAGTTCGAAAACTTCGAAATATCTCAAGATCTCGTATATATTCAAAATGCATCCAACGTGGTATCTCCAACATCAAGGATCGATATATGTACATCGAATTCCAACCTTCAAATAGAATTGCGCGTGAACACAAGGCTCGGCAGCGAGCTTACTGCTTCTGCTGCTCCTGGCATACATGGGTCGCATTGCCAGCATGGCCGTTGGTAAGGTGCTCGAGCTTCTTGCGGTAAAGTTCCCCATCGCACGCACGTAATCGCTCCGCGGCCTGCTCAGGAGTGATGTCCCGCTGAGGTTCGCCCAACATTTCGTAACCGACCTGGAACTTCCGAACTGTTGCGCTACGAAGGAGCGGCGGGTAGAAGTGGATATGGAAGTGGCTCGATTCAATCTCTTCTTCAGTCCCCTGCAGCGGTGCTTGATGCAAGCCCATGCCTACACAAAGATTAGTCTGTGTCCTAAGACCGAACCAAAACTTGACTTACTGTACGGGAACTGGGTTTCGAACAGGTTGTCGTATCGCCGAGTGATTTCTGCCATGCACTCGGCCAGCTGCTGCCTCTCCGCGTTGCTGAAATCGACCAATGCACGCTTATGCTGCTTGCTTATAATCATAACCTCAAACGGCCATACGGCCCAGTAAGGCACTCCGGCCCAGAAGGACTCGTTTTCGAACACGGTCCGTTCCTTTTGATCAGATTCCAATTTTGCATAGTCTACCAGCAGATGACAGCCACTTTGCTCTTGCCTGTATTTCTTAAGTTGCTGGAGTTCCGTGTTTGGCTCCTCGGGCAATGATGTCGTCGTCCACACTTGACCGTGAGGGTGGGGGTTCGAGCATCCCATGGTTGTGCCCTTATTTTCAAATATCTGCATGTACCGATACTGGGCGTTCGGAATAGCGATATCACCTTGGGAAAAGGCGGGTAGTGACAACGCCTTAGCGGCCTCGGCTAGTGGTGACTTCGGGTCCAGATGGGCCGTGTACAAGTTTGTCCAGGTCTCGATAATGGGGATAATCTCGGCAGGGGCCATATCCGCGAGAGTCAAGTGGTGCGAAGGAGAGAAACAGATGACATAGCATTTTCCCGTCACTGCTTCGGCTTTGAGCAGTCGACTCGCCAGGGAACCCTCGTTCTGCTCGGGGTGGTACTCTTCCTGCTCTTCCTTGACGGCGCTGTAGTCGTTTACGAAGACAAAAGTTTCCGTGAATTTTGGATTTTTGGAGCCATTTGCACGCGTGTTACTCGGACACAGGTAGCACTGTCAGGAGTCAGCTGTGTACGTAGTGGGGCACAGCGTGGACGCTTCGTACCTCGGGGTCGTAGTCTGGGAGCGACGTCCTGGACGGCTTCTCCTGCAGACCTCTGGAAAAATATAAGCATTGGCTTTCAAGTCCTGCCAAGTGCTTGACTTACTGCCACGGACGCTTGTTCCGGTGCGGCGAGACCAGGACCCAGCTGCCTCGCAGCAGGTTGAAGCGGCGGTGCGAGATGTCGTTCAGTATCGGCTCGCCCATGGTGAACACACAATCGCCAATACGCGGCCAGACCAGAGCGTGGGAGCACGGGATATTTAAAAGTGCCGCTGGCGGAACTACCGAGGATTTCGCAAGCACATGGTCCCTGTTGCGACGATAATATAGTGAATGTGACGCAGGCGTAGTGCGGGAACGATTCCGGAAGGAGCAGCGTGCCCGGAAGCCGGGGTGGTAGCTCTTGCCAAGTTGCAACGTAGGGAAAGAGCCTCACCACGCGCCATCAATTCAACACCCTAGTTGCCCGTTTGAGCTAGCTATACCCGCGCATCGACTGCAAGTGGGTTGCGGAAATGGCCGCAATGATGCCCAGCGCCTCCATGGCCAACGACTACGACAACGATGCGCTGGAGCGGGACCTGATTGACCCGGACGATGGTGAGCTGCCTCTCCCACGCCTGCAACACCGCGCCGGAGATGCTATTGAGCCAGCTAGCGTGTCAACCTCCGGAGCAACTTACGGAAGCTGTATCTCACGGCGTAGTGTTGTATGTTAGCTAGCGCTCACAGCTGACACGTGTATAGCGACGCTGGACGACCTTGACGACCCCATACAAGGCACCTCCGACCGCGCACCGCTCACGGGAAACATTGGATCAAGATCTGGAGCAAGCACACAGTCCTACTTGACGTCTGCGGTGGGCGGCGAGGACCGTCGCGCGCCAACGAACACGATAGACGAGACAGTATGGGAGACGCTGTCGCGAGACCTGCTGGCGATATGGGAGAAGCTAAAGCAAGTGCTGTGGCCCAAGTACCTGCTGGGAGGCATCATGCAACGCGGAGGAGGCATAGGGGCTGCTGAACGCGGAGAGGCTGATGGTGTTGGCGGTGGCCTCGGAGGGCTTGCTGGCAGATGGCCGGACGCGGATGTCATTCTGCAGGGCGGCATGAGTGAAGGTCTGCGAGACTGGGATCTATGGGGTCCGCTCATCTTCTGCTTGCTGCTGAGCTTGTTCCTCTCCCGAGGCGCAAAGGATGACCAGAAAGACTTCGTATTCTCTGGCATATTCGCAATGGTTTGGCTGGGAGAAGCCGTGGTGACCATGCAGATCAAGCTGCTGGGCGGCAACATGTGAGTTATGGTTGTACACGACAGGAGCAAAGACTGACAGCAACAGTGCCTTCTTCCAGTCTGTCTCCATCATCGGCTACACCCTCTTTCCCCTCGTAATTGCATCGGCACTCAGTGCGACCGGCATTGTGCCCATGCTGGTCCGCATTCCAGTCTATCTCGTGCTCATCGCGTGGTCTTTGGCAGCGGGGATCAGTATCATGGGTGGCTCAGGCGTTGTGCGAAATCGCGTCGGCATTGCTGTGTATCCTCTGTTTGTGTTCTACATCGCGCTGGGCTGCATCTGTTTCATTAGCTAGCGCTTGTGCTTGTGGTCTTGTATTATAGCTATGGGTTAGCGGTGGGATTGGGCAATGTGGGTTGGCTCAAGAGTGTAAAGTCATACGCATAGCCAGCGCCAAGTTGACAATGGTAAAGATAGGCTGCGCATGGAATGATAGCATGTATGCCTGAGACTGCACCGTCTCTGGGTCGTTGCAAGTGTACCCATGTGCTTTCAGAGTCTCGAAAGCCGAGCGGTCGCTACCACAGCGATGGCTCGCCGAGTGCATCGACGCAAACAAAGCGCCCCACCATGCATTTGTCCCGCGTCATTGGCCTTTTTGCGCCGCCGACCTACTCGACCAGTCCAGGCGCCTATGGGTCTGCGCGTCTACTTACGGCCATTCACCAGGCGGACCGAACTGCATGTTCAATGCAGGCGTGCCGTTGCGGCGTGAAAGCCAGAGGTCCAGACGGCCCGCACGCGTAAATAGTACTGCGCGAGTATCTACAGGCGCCGGCGCAGCTAGCCAAACGGCTGCCAGCGAAGCGTCCAAGCTTTGGAACCGTCATCTCCCACTTCCCTTCACCACCACACGGTCCCGCTCGGCTCGCTCTCCTGTCCGGCAACGGCCAGCAAATTTGTACACACCGCCTTTGCAAACTCCCACGAACACCACCCCACACGACAGCCCTTCTTCTCGTCGCTGCTAAGCGCTCCCGCCACAGCCTCAGCAGAGCTGTCTCGCACCCTCCGATTCTTCACCCGCACGACCCACTGCTCACGAGGGCAATCCAAGCACATATCCACAACCAGGCCCATCCTCTCGACACGGCCACTCCATACTACTCCCGCCGGAGATAGCCTTGCCGAAGCGGGCGAGCCGCGACTTGTAAACACCAGTGGATCCCCACCTCTCGCACACTACGTACCCCACTGCGTTGGCGCGTCGCCTCTCGCACCATGGTTGATAAGCCGCTGAGTGTAGCGGCAGGCGAACGAGCATCCGCAGCAAAGTCCGACCAGCTTGCTTCGCCGGCGCGGAGCGACAGGAGCAGTGATAGCGAAGGTCGGCCAGTGAGGGAGAAGCTGAAAGAGACCCGCATTGATGCGCAGGGAACAGCAGATCAAGCCCCCAGCTCCGATCAGGCCATGGCCGACGCTGCTCCCAATGGCCAAGTCGGTGAAGCCAGCACCTCAGGATCAGACAACGAGAGGGGTCGGCTGCGGCGCAAGCGAAGCCGCGAAGATTTTGAGGATGTAGCCGAGGATGCGAAGCCGTTAGGCAAGAAGCACGAGCGACACACACGCAAGAAGTCGAGAGACATCACCAGCCCCATGGGCTCCGACACCGAGCTGTTGAAGAAGAAGGCCAATGGCACCATTGCTCCTATCGCCGAGAACGATGGCGACGTCAACGCTCCCTCCACTGCTACTTCCACCAGTAGACAGGCAACTCCCGAGGGAGTTGCTTCAGATAAGGATGGAGCTACCGTGACCAGCCCCAAGAACAAACGGAAGCTTGAGCAGACTGCAGTCAGCAACGATACAGCAGCTGGACCATCCGGAGCCACGAGCACAACAACAAAGCCAGAAGAGCGCGACACAAAGCGGCCAAGGGACCGAGTCGATTCCGACCTTGTGTCGAAGGTCGCCGAAACCACATCCAAGGTATGTTACACGTAACCACATGCGACAGGACGGTGCTGACAGCTCCTAGATCCCTCCTGGCAGTGGCTTCTCCAATACCTCTGCCGCATCGCCGTTTGCAACGATGGCTCCCAAGTCCGCTGCGAAACCTGCTGAGCCTTCCACGAAAGATCAACCTCAGACTTCAGAATCGGCTTTTAAAAGCTCTGGCTTTGGAGCATTCGCTAGTTCAACCGCGTCACCATTCGCAGCCGCAGCCAAGACTACTACCCCTTCCCCTTTCGGCGCAGCCACCGTCAACAAGCTATCCTCTTTCGCATCGAAACCCGCCGCACCAGCATCCACCTCAAGCGGCTTCGCTGGCCTTGGCGGCGCTACGTCGTCCTTCGCCAATGCCTCGAGCGCGGGAGGCTCGGCTTTTGGAGGCTCACTGGGCGGGAGTGCGTTTGGAAGTGTCATCGGAGGCAAGCCTGGGCTCTCCACGTTTGGAGGCGGTGGTAGCATCACTGGCTTAAAGGAAAAGACCGCCCCTGAATTTGGAGCCGCAGAGACGAAGGCCGCTTCAGACTCAGAAGGAGACGATGATGCTGGCGATGACCAAGACGGAGAATCCGGCGGGAACGAGGCCGAACGACGGACTAGTCAACATTTGCTCTCTTCTACTGGACCGCTTGAAACGGGTGAAGAAAACGAGGATGCTGCATGGACAGGCCGCGCAAAACTTTACACTTTTGTCAATCAAGACGGAAAGAAGTCCTGGCAAGAGCGTGGCGTCGGACCGTTAAAGCTGAACGTTACCCGGGAAGAGCCATACAAGGCCAGGTTTGTCCTCCGTGCTGATGGTACGCATCGCCTGCTGTTGAACGTGGCGGTCACAAGCAAGTTGAGATTTGGAGATGCATCTGGCAATGAGCCCAATGATGGCAGATTGCTCTTCGCTGCACCCACTACTACTGGCGAAGTCGAGTCACACATGCTCAGGGTAACTAGCGGCCCCCTTCCTGAACACATAGCCAGATCGGCTGACACAGCCCAGTTAAAGGTAGAGCGCGCCGCTGAGCTCTGGAGGCAGGTAGATGAGATTAAGTCCTCGAAGATGTATGCTTGAGTCATGTATACGCGAGAAGCCCTGTTGGATACGCGTTTTACATCATGATCTGTTTGTTTTGCATTTCAGCGGGCTCATCGCATCCCTATACGTTCCAGCCAATCCCGGCATCTTTGGAAAATTTATACGGCTGGCATAGAGTCCATTGGTCACGTCACGAAGAGATGCGTTTACATGAGTATACGGTCGACATTAAGCATCCATCAGAGGGGTAGTAGGGGGTAAGACGGGTGCTACGCATGGGAAATGCGAGCAGGCCTAGTGCTGCATATGGAGTTAGATACCAGGGGCTAAGCATGCACTGTGCACTACTATGATGAGCCTTTCGTCTGTCCATCCATATCTTGGATATGTTTGATGTGCCCATAACCTAAAATAATTGCAACTTTGTTTCCAAATATCTGGTTCTTGAGTCACAATAAATTCAATTGCGTGTGTCACTGTGGTCAATTCCGCCGGTGAGTCAGCCCCATAATTACCACGCCTTCTTATCTGGGATTAGATACCGTCCTTCGACGTCGATCAATCGCTAACGCGCATTCAGGTCCCCTGCGCCAATTAGAGCTAAGGCACTTTATGTACATCAAGCTTCGCTCCCGTTGCTTGAATTTATCTTCCATCCATCGTTTAAATCAATGTAATACTATGGACGCCATCTTGAGATCCCTTGCCAACGTAAATGAGACGCCGGCCACCTTTTTCGGTCCAGCGCTTCAAGGCCACGATGTTGAATTCGACTTTACATTGCTGTTCGAGAAAATTATACTGAGCATTCTGCCCTCTGCGTTGTTCCTACTTTATGCTCCTCTGAGAGCATATTGGCTTCGAAGCGAGCAGAAGAAGGCGAAATGGAGTCGCTTGGTGATGGGGAAACAGGTGCGAACACCAACACGATCTCCAGGCTCATAATAATTCCCGTTGTAGCTGCTATATATTATGCTTTTCGCCGCACAGCTTTCTCTCCTTGTCTTTACGGCAACATCGCGCGGCATCGCCGGTTCACAGTCAGCCATTGTAGCACACACCCTCCTAGTGACTGTCGTCCTAGCATCAAGCGGACTTTCTCTCCTTGAACATGTCAGGTCACCGCGGAGCTCCGATGCAATCAATGTCTACCTCTTCTTCAGCACGATATTCGATGCGGTGCAAGTACGCACTTTCTGGATACATCCACTCCCAACGACTGTATCAGTCGCAGCTAGTGTGTGCGTCGCTTTTAAATCCGTACTCCTCATTGCAGAAGCGCAGAACAAGATCGCATGGTTAATGGAAGATTGTCGGAGTCTAGCGCCAGAGACACTCAGCGGTGTGTATGCGAGAAGAGTGTTCTGGTGGCTTAACGGATTAATGTATCGGGGGTACAGAGCCACGTTCCGGCCAGTGGATTTAATGGCCATCAAGGAAGAATTTGGGTCGAAACGGCTGTTGGCTGCCCTCCAATCCAAATCCGATGGGAAATCTTTGCTGATAGTCTGCCTTCGAGCTTTCAAGCTGGATGTGGCCTTCCTGGTAGTCCCTAGGACGATGATGTTGGCACTGAGCTATACGCAGCCGTTCCTATTCCAGGCCATCATCGCACATCTCGATAAAAGTTCTGAAGACCGGGACCCAATCGTTGGATACGGCTTGATAGCAGCAACTGGACTTCTCTACCTTTCTCTCGCCATCAGTAAGACCTATTACCAACACAAGACATATCAACTGGTTGTCAAAGTTCGCGGTACACTCGTGAGCATGTTGTATGATCGCACGCTGGAGTCAGCTCCTGGCGCTTTGAGCGACCGAGCGCCTGTTACGCTAATGAGCGTTGATGTTGACGGTGTGACTGACGTTGTCCCAGTCTACAACGAGATCTGGGCTGGCACAGTAGAGGTTGGCATTGCTGTCTACTTGCTACAGAGACTGCTGGGCGTTGTGTGGATTGTGCCGTTCGGCATTGCCTTTTGTAAGTTATGCATACGCATCACCCAACAACATTGACTAATAAAGAATGACCTGAACAGTGAGCTCTGGACTTGCCGTATATCTGTCACGACAGATGGGCCCGCGACAAGCGAAGTGGAACGCCGTAACTCAAGAGCGCGTGTCAGCGACTTCAACTGTCCTAGGCTTCATCAAGTCTATCAAAATGATGGGCTTCTCGAAGTACGTTATCGGAGATATTCAGGCGTTGAGAGACAAAGAGATCCGCACGTTCAGGGTATTCAGACGGTTTACCGTGTTCCTGAATGCGCTTGGTGAGAATGGTCACCTCAGGCTTGCATTGAAATACTGACAAGGCTCAGCAAACTTGCCATTTTATGCTGGACCCGTACTAACATTCGCCATCTTTGCGCTCCTCGGCAAGGGAAGCTTCACCATTGAAAGGGCCTTCACTTCCCTAACGCTAATCTCGCTACTCGAGATGTCGACGCTGAAGTTCATCGCGTCATTGCCACAAATTGCGTCAGCCGCAGGTTGTCTCAAACGATTGGAAAAATTCTGTTCGGAAGTTCACCCATTGGTTTCAAATCCCTCCTCCGCAGCGTTGAATCTGAACCATAATGGGTCGATGGGAGACAGCGAACCTCGAGTGGAGCCGGATAACAACGGCCAACGGGCACTGTTCTCCTTCAAGGATGTCACGCTGAAGACTGGCGCAGACACCAGTAGCTTTTCTCTCCGCAATGTCAACCTTAATATTAACCGAGGCCAACTTGTCGGTATCACTGGACCAGCAGGCTGTGGAAAGACGACACTGATCAAAGCCCTCCTCAATCGCCTGCCCATCATCGAAGGAGGATATGTGCAAAGATCAAATGAGTCGATTATGTACTGTGCTCAGACACCGTGGATTCCCAGCGGTACAGTAAGGGACGCTATCAGTGGCCAAACCCAGTCCGATGAGATGTGGTACAGCAAAGTCATAGGCGCATGCAGCCTTACCGAAGACTTTAAGTCTCTTAGTGCGGCAGACCAGACAGATGTGGGAAGTCAGGGATCGAACTTGAGCGGCGGACAGAAGCAGAGAGTAGTAGGTCCAATAGCGATTCGATGCGTAAAGAGGACGTGGCTAAGCAGATCCTATAGGCCCTTGCCAGAGCCTTGTTTTCCAGGCAGAAGATCTTCATCCTCGATGATATATTGAGCGGTATGGACGCGCACACTACAGCTCATATCTGCCGCGCAGTGTTTGGTGCAGAGGGTCTGCTTCGTGAGCTTGGTGCTACCGTAATAGTCGCATCGCACTCTTGTGAGTCTACTCTCCTTGTTACAACCGTTATCCGCCAAGCACTCACTCATATAAGTAAACGTCCTTCGACACATGGATACTTTAGTGAAGTTCACCTTGGATGGCCACATCGAACAGCTGCAATCATCACAAGAGATCATGGCAGAAACCGAACCTAGCTTGTATCCAACAAAGCTGACACAATCTGTTGAGACTGATGCGAATACAAATCGCGAAGATACAAAAGCAGTCTCTATAGTGGAAACCGAGGAATTCGATACGGCCCGAAAAATAGGGGATTGGGCGATATACAAATATTACATACAGTCAGTTGGCTGGTGGCGCATTGGACTGCTTGCTGGCTCTCACCTACTCAATGCAGCACTGGACAATTTCCCAAGTAGGTTTTCAGACCTCCACGCTCCCTTCTTTCTGCTGACATGTTCAAGCCCTCTGGTTGAAACAATGGTCATCCTTTGCTCAAACACCAGATGCACCTGATCGGACCACCTTCTACCTCAGTATATACGGTGTGACGGCTCTCCTGGGGCTTATGTGCCTTCTATTTGGCATCTGGTTCATATACATGGTCATGATTCCGGCTGCCGGGAAGAACATGCATAATACCCTGTTGGGCACGGTGATCCAGTAACTAAAGCCATGAAGGGCGCTGATACACTTTACTAACACAAAGACAGTGCAAAACAATCCTTCCACGACACTACGCCGACTGGCACAACACTCAATCGCTTCACTCAAGACATGCAGCACATTGACCGTGACGTGCCCTCAGCCACTCTACGATGCATGCACGCAACCGTTGAGTGTCTAGCCGCATTTGTTCTGCTATCTATCAGTGCCTCTTATACTGCAGCTCTCATCCCACTTCTTCTGGTTGCCTTATACTATCTCCAGAAGTTCTATCTGCGCACCAGTCGTCAATTGCGACTTCTCGATATCGAAGCTCGCGCACCGCTCTTTACCGTTTTCCAGGAGAGTGTCGACGGCCTCGACACCATCGTTCCTCTCGGTTGGTGTACCAAATGGAGAGAGACACTGTTCACTACGCTCGATGCCTCGCAGAAGCCGTACTATCTCCTGTTCTGCATTCAACGCTGGCTCATCCTCGTGCTAGGTTTCGTGGTGGCGGCGATGGCAACGGTGCTCGTTACCTTTGCAACTCAGGTGAAAGGGTTGAGCAGCGCTGGTTCTGTTGGTGTTGGTTTGATTGCGCTGCTCAATTTCAATGATCGTTTGAATCTGCTTATTGTCGAGTGGACGACGCTAGAGACGAGTCTCGGTGCAATTGCGAGATTGAAAGCGTTCTCGCACGAGACTGCGAGTGAAGAAGACGTACCGGATGCAGTCGTATCTGATCAGTGGCCTAGCCAGGGGAGCGTCGAGTTCAGGAACGTGAGTGCAAAGTATCGGTAGGACTCCCTCTGAAACACTAATCATCAAGGCCCTAACTAACATATACAGTGCTGACCTCCCGCCCGTACTCAACGATCTTTCCTTCGCCATCCCTTCCGGCTCCACGTGCGCCATAGTCGGCCGCACAGGCAGCGGAAAGTCGACGACGCTCTCCGTCCTCCTACGCCTCGTCAACCCCTCCTCCGGCTCCATCATCATAGACGGGCACCCGCACACTTCCATCCCGCTTCAAGCCCTCCGCTCCCGCATCGCCTGCCTCCCACAACAACCCTACCTCCTCCCAGGCAGCCTCCACCGCAACCTCGACCCAGACTCCCACCGCACCGACGCCGACCTCCGCGCCGCCCTCGACCGCGTTCGTCTCTGGCCCGTCTTCGTAGCAGCCGCGCAGTCCACCTCGCCCGCCACAGTCCTCGATCACCCGCTCAACCCCGCCGCCCTGTCCCCGGGCCAGACGCAGCTACTCGTTCTCGCGCGCACGCTGCTTATTCGGCCGCGACCCAGGATCCTTATCCTTGACGAAGTCACGTCTAGTCTAGACGATGCTAGCGAGGAGGTCATGCAGCAGCTTCTTCGCGAGGAGTTCGTGGGGAAGGGGTGTACGGTTATTGCGGTTGCGCATCGGTTGAGGGGAGTGATGGATTTTGGGCAGGTCATTGTGTTGGATGGGGGGCGAGTTTCAGAAAGGGGAATTCCAAGGGTATTGGCGGGGCAGGAAGGGAGTGTGTTTGGGGGGATGTGTGGAGAACAGGGTATCACTGCGTAGGAGAGAGTCTTCAGGGGTAATATGTGTAGAGGGGGATTTACGGGTATAGGAGAAGCAGGAGAAGCACATGGAAATAGTGTGCCCGCGGACGTCCATCGAAGCTTTTGCCCCTGCTTGGGAAGTGCGGGCGCGTTGTGGCTTGACCGTGAAGAGTTTGCGACCATCCATTGTGTGTCTCTTGCTTGTCGACTTGTCGCAACGTCCACCAGAAAAGAACAACGACCGAACAATTCGACGCTATCAAGTACGGCCCGGCAGACTGTTTCATCAGTGTTCATACACGTCATTAACTCTCAAGACTGTATGAAAACATCTCCACAAATGCCATGTTCCAGCACACCAGCTTGCTGTTTGACGCACCACACCCATTATGTTTTACCCACCCACACACGCTGTCTCATTCCATAAAGCCCGAAATCCACGCCATTTGTCCTTGCCAACCCGCCAACCTCACTTTGCAGCACCTTACACACCCCTTATAGCATATCACCGCCTCCATACACCATCCATACACCGACTCCCTCTTCCAAATGCCCACGATGCGCCGCTCTACAGCTTCCCCCTCTTCGACACGCCTCGACCCCAGCATCCGCTACTACATTCACCGCACGCCCGGCAACGCCATCGTCCCGCTGATCCCAGCTGACCAGCTTCCCTTCCGGCTGAAGGATTATCCGAGGCATCTGAGCCACAGAGAGTTGAGCGCGGGTGGATGGAATTTTGTGGGAGAGACGAGCGGGATTGCGTGGCCGCTTGCGTTGTGCTATTCATCTAGAGATGCCGCACTGGACTCGCGTGGCAAGGAGATATCAGAGCTGAGTGGAGACGTCCATGGAGGAGACGCTGGTGTAGCCAAGATAGAAGCTGTAACTCACGTGCCGGGGACGGGGGAGACGACCGGGAGAATCGCTGCGGACGGGGACGCAGTACTACTGGGCGAAGACGAGGGAGAAGTGAAACAAATCGCTTTCAGGTCTTCTGAAGCTATGTCCATCCCGGACAAGGTTGCAGCACGCGCGAGCTGCGCCGCCTCGGTGGGAAGGACTACGACCCGATCCCCTTCTCTGACGGAGAGCCTGGCGGCTATCTACGCCCAGGAGGCGCGCCGCGTGGGCTACACGAAATGCTCTCCCCTCGCGGCAGAAGAGAAAGAGCACTGCCGCCACTGGATCAAGACTGGTGCTTGCAAGTGGACCACCGCCAAAGAAGGGTGTCGGTACAAGCACACAATGCCCTCTGTAGAAAAATTAGCCGAGATTGGGATTACGGGTGTGCCGCGGTGGTTCGGGGAGCGTGACCCGAACCCAAAAGCACAGGGGGTGGTGCCATGTGCAGAAGAAGAAGGGGGCTCGCGTACGCGGGTGGGAGACGCTTCGCAAGGGAAAGCTGGCGGGATGTGCGGTGTGTACACCACCAACTCGGTCGACGAGCCAATGCTCATGGACATGGATGACGCGAGCGGGGCGGAGGATCCTGAGGTTGTTGCAGAGACGACGAGCGCCCAGGGTCTCGCTGCAAAGACAGCGGAGACCGCCTCAGGGGCGAGTATTTCTTCGCCCGTCCAGAGCGGCGTCTCCGTAGATGCGATGCGCAACGAAGCATCAGCAGGCCACCCTCTCCCCACGCTTCCTAGCAGCGGTGCACCCCCGAAAGCGAGGCTCGCTCCGACAGTCCCAGACTCGCAGGTCCCTCCCCTCGATACCTCGTCCATCCCCAATGTCGCGGTCACGCACTCCTCCCTTTCTACCCCTCCTCCAAACATGAAGACATCGTCCCCCGCTCCTGCTACCGCACCTCGCTCGCAGTCACTTCAGCCCAAGGACCCGCGCAGCACCCCATGCAGTCCCCAAACCGGAAGTCCACGTGCGGTGCTACATACAAAGAAGGACGCTGTGTCCCGCTGGAAGAACGAAGAGGCTGCGGAGCGTAAGAGAATGAGGAAGGGTGAAAGGAGTTCGAAGAGAAAGGCGCGTGTGTCGCAGCACAGGGCTCCGGACCAGAAGAAGGGAGGGAGAGTGGGACGGAAGGGGGTGAAAATGGAGGCTCAGGGTGTAGCTGTGGCTATTCAGGCAGATGGATGATGTACAACGGGGCAGTCGATCGACGGGCACTTCTTTTTTGTTGTTGCCACTATGTTTCCACCTTTTCTGTACAGGTCCTATTTTCTTCTTACTTGAAGTTCTGATTTTCGCGCAAGCAGTGAGGGAAGAGCATGCGCGCAGGTAGGATTCCAGGACCGTAATAATGACTTTTATGTACACAATGCACTATATTCACGCCCCTCCATTTCATGAGGAACTCGTCCAGCCCAATCCGCCAGCCCACCACCCAGAATCAGCCCATATCCGATTCTCCATGCTCGCCACCTCGACAGCCTGCGCCAGCTTCCGCCGATCAACATGCAAATCCTCATGCCCATTCGCCGTCACCCTCGGGCTCTCCTTCGGGCTGGGCGTCGTCGAAGAATCAGGCGTAGCCTCCGAGACGCGGCTAGGCGAGACGGAGCGCGGTGTCGAGGCGCTGGACGTGGAAGAGGAAGGGTACGAAGAAGGTATGGCGCCGAGGATGCGGCCGGCTGCGAAGACGCAGCCCCCCACGGCATGCCGGATGAGCGAGTCGCCGGCCAAGCTGCCGATAATGAAGACGTTTTTTGCGACCTCTAGGGAGGCCTCGGCTTTGGCGCGCAGCGTGCGACCGGAGATGAGAGTCGGCGTGCCAGAGGGTGTGTCGAAGGGGCCGAGCTCTTGGAGTAGTGAGGGCGAGAGGAAGTCTAGGGTGCCGCGGCGTCCGACTACGTATGCGAGGCCGCCTACCTGGCGGGTGATTTCTTCGCCGGATTCCAGGCGGAGGGTTACTTGGGCGATGCCTGTGGCGTCGGAGATAGAGCTGTGGAGGACTTGGGCATTGGGGAAGCCTTCGTAGAACGAGGCCCAGTCTCGCTGGGTGGAGAAGGGATTCGACTTGCGCCGTAACAGCGGAGATCGGGCCGAACGGGTCTTCTTGGAGGATATGGACGCAAGCTTCATCTGCTTGTACACAGTTGCATATTCGGGATATGCCGAGTGGTGGCAGCCACGGAGCGGCGACGGCCGCGTGCTGGGCGCCCATTGATAGAGATGGATGATTTTGCGATTTGGCGGCGCAGAAATGATAACGTCTGCGGCCGAGAATCCCGAACCGACGACAAGGAGAGGCACATCTTCTGCATCGATCTGGGCAATGGGTGCAAGCAGAGGCGGCGGCGGGATGTTGACGGTGAAGATGCCGGAAGCCAGCACCAAGTGCTTGCAGCGAATGCCCAGGGAGCCAATGGCAAAGCCCTTGGCCGTGCGATACACGTCGTCCACCCTCATGCCCGTGTAGACGGCGTCCGCAATGCCCACGGCTCCTGGATAAGCCTCCAGATAGGCGGCGACTTGTTGGCGCGACGGCCTCACGAAATCGCACTGGGCGGCGTCGGCGCTCTTCGCCATGTGCTCGGCATACGAGTACCCGGGCAGGCTCAGCTGCTCTGCGTAGCTCAGGGTGCCGATGTTGGCGCTCGCATTGACGGGGCTGTCGACCCACTGGCCGCCGGGCTGCGGAGTGTCGCCAATGGCCACGTGGGCAACGGCGCGCTCCGGCTCATATCGCCATTGTATACACGAGGTGGGGTTGATCTCCGTGTCCGCGTTGGGCCGCAGGAGCGTGTCCAGCAGCGTGTTGACGGGCAGGGCGGCCGTCGAGTAGCGGATCGAGGACAGGAAGTGGTCGTGCAGGTCGGGGGTGAGGTGGAGCAGGCTGAGCTCGCGGCGGAGCCTCTGGTCCAGCAGCGCGTCATGGTGGCCGCCGACATAGTAGGGAATGTGGCCGTGGAGGATGTACGACAGGATGAGCGCCGACGGACCGTTTCCTGCGGATTAATCAGCCCCTCGCGTTCGCAGCGCGGGGTGCGGCGGCGTCACGCACCTATGATGACCGTGTCCACGCATTGTGGAAGCGAACCCGCCATGAAAGGCTTCTCAGCACGGCAGCAGCAAAGGCCATGAGGGAGCCGGCGAGGGAAGAGAACGGAGTCGGTCCGGGGGCAAGCATAGTTAGTCTACGACCTCAAAATGACGGCTTTTCAAGAGGGCCCACGCTAGACTTCCTCTCCGTGGGGCGGCGACCCCACGTCCCGGGGTCCACTTCCTCATCAGATCCGCGATGAGCGCCTGCAAATTGACTGCTCGCGTCACGCTCGCATCCTGCAGCCATGCAGTGCAAAGGGCGCAGAGCGAAATCAAGCACACGCGCCTCCATGCACGTCTTTAGTCATTGCCAGAGGTAATCACAAAAACGACACCATACTTCCTAGCTGGTATGAGGTATAACGCTGACAAATACGTCAAAAGAGATCCGTCTCCAGAAAACAGCAGTCGAGTCCAAGAATCACGCCAAACTTTCTCACCTGGTATCGCGCTCCAAGCCACCCCAAGAGATCCTCCACGCGTCATTAAAAAACTGCCATGAGAAGCCATTCACCAACAACAATCTCAGTATCGGTACGTCACGGTACCCCGGTCTGTGATGGGCGAGACATCGCTTCCGTGGCGCTGATGCGGCTCCTCGGGAGTCTTTGGTCTGTTGCCGGCAGGGTAGTCACGAGCATACTCCTCTTCCTCTGTGAGATTGCTCTTCGCGGCTCCGTGCATCGTGATGTTGTTTGCAGCGCTCTCTTGTCGACCCAAGTACGAGGGTGTTTGCTGATACCCTTGACGGTACGGCGTGTAGCTGTTTGTAGGCGCACTCTCGCCGGTCGGACCTGGCGGCGGCCCGGCTGGGGCAGAATATGTATGATGGTCTGCAAATGGATCATCTTGGGCTTCCTGCGCCGTGTTGCTGTTACTGCGTGGCCGACCCGGACCTGCTTGCAATGCTGGTGGGAGCGGCAAGTCATCTGTCTTGTAGCTGGCCGGGTTGTTCGCCTTCGGCTCGTTGGACTCAAGCCCAAGGGGCGGCAGAATTGGTATCTCACTCTGTGGCGCTGATTGTTGCGCTGGCGGGGGACTATATGTGGTGGCCGGCGCGGGTGCGGGTGGCAGAGCACTGTAGTTATTGTTGTTGTAGGTGCTGCCCGGAACTGGTGGCGAAGGTGATGCTCCGATTGCGCGGCGGGCCTGCAGCACGGCACGTTGATGCTTGGATGCAGCCAGCGAGAGCTGCTCGTTCGTCTCGATCAGCGTGAGCATGGTATCGTCATCGGGTGGCGGGTTGTCGCAATTGATGTACGTCTGCACGCTTCGCTGCGCTGACGTGCAGCGCTCTGCAAACTCCTTCACAAGATCGTTCCCTAGCAGTTCATTTGCAGGGGTGGATTGCACGAGCTGTAGGAGGAGTTTGGCAGACGTCCTGGCCTCTTCGATGCGCGCGGCCAGTTCCACCGGGGCAGGGAGACCTCCGGCACGGTGCCCTGAATTGAATCCCTGTGGTAAGTTCGGGTCAGGCCATCGGGGGGCTTGCATTATACCTCCTCCGTTCCGAGGAACGTGTTTCGCAGCGTCTGCCATGAGCTTCTTCTCCTTTGCCCACATGGCAAACAGTGTGTTCAGGTTCGTATCATATGCCTTGTCCCTGTGTATCGAATCCAGCGTCTCCCTCAGGATCTGCGACACACTGGGGTCTCTTCCATTGCGCAGCAGGTGCTTGACCGTATCAGCGAACTGTTTGTCGAGGTTCTTCGTGAAGGAAGCGCCTGGGTTGTCGGCTAGGATCCTTATGAGCATCACGGCATTGTACTGCACATGCGGGCGGTCGTAGTTCTCTTTGGAGAGAAACTTGCGGATTTGGTTGGCGGCAGCCTGGGCCGCTTGGGGGCTGGCGACGGCCGACTCGACGATGGTGGGCAAGTGGAGGACTTCTTCGCCCTGTGCCTGTCAGCTCTGGCGTTGGATTGCTACCGCGATACACACCGAGTTTGCTGCGCCGGATTCGCAGAAGAGTCTCTGTTGTTGTGAGCGCAGTTCTCGCGGCGGCCTCGCATGCGACTCACCACCCCCCTTGCGGCATTCGCTTCGGGAGTGTCGACATTGTCCGCGACGGGCTCTTCGTTTGCTACACACAGCAGTCAGCCGGCGCGCTCGCGTACCGTCGATCCTGGCGAGCAAAATAGCATACAGTTGGTGCGCTTGATCAAGCTCGTGAAGCGCTTCTTGAGCACCATGGCAACAGCCTAGCGGGGCAGGACTCGAGGACGTCTGATCGAAGGGAGGGGCAGCGCGCGACCTTCAGACAGGCGTGAGACGTTCAAATGGCCGCTAGAGTAAAGGCTGCGCACTGCGTAGTCGTGCGACCGTGTGTTGGTATTTGGCGAAAGCTGTCGGATATGTACAATGTGGTACCCGTGTAGTGAATCCTCCAGCAACCACTACAAGTCCGTGCTCTACCTTCTTGCACAGCCTCACCGTCGCCTAGATTTTGAGAGCGCGACGTCAAAGGCCGCGTCGTCCAAATGCTTGGTGGCGCCGGCTGCTTCCCATCACTCGTGCCTCCAGCCTGGTTATCCGCTCCAAACACCTATGAGAATGGCTTGCCTACGCAGCGGGCTCTCAGGGTCCACTAACAGCAGCGTAGTCGGTGGTTAGTGCGACTCGGCCCAAGATCATCACCGCCGCACGCACGCGTCCACGGTTGACTTGACGCACAAGGCAAGTAGCACGTTGCGCAAATCGGCATTCTGCCGGATGCTGTCCGACGACCATGCAGGAGCAACGAGCATATCAGGAAATAGTACAGCAGAAACGACAAACTCCCGTGCTGCCTACCCCGTGCTACATCCAGAAAGAGCATGCACCTGCAGCCTGGTCTGCCCACCCTGGCACACATCATACCTCCCGTGTCAAGAGACGCGATTTGAAGTGACAAGCTTCGACGAGGCTCACGTGCTTGGCCATGCACCTGCGAGGACTATGAGGCACAGCCCTGGCGTCAGCTCCACCTCCCCACACGCCACACGTTGGCGATCAGCTGCACGTCTCAGCACTCGCGCATACGTCAGTCGTTGCTGCTCGCCCAACACGGCGCTTGCTACACGTTCCCACCTTGCCAAGTTTACTCTGGCGCCATGACAGAGTCCAGCTGCCTGCCTCGCATCTTGTGCAAAACCCTCCCCGCCCCTCCTGACCTGCACTCGCCTTAGACACCCATCACGCCCCCTCCTCGACGGTTCCATCAAAATGCAGAAAGATGCCGCCCCCGAAGTGCCTGCTGGCGATGTCACCACAAGACGATACCACGAAAGTGACGCAGAAAGAGAGTTTCGCATCCAGAGAGGCTTCCCAGAATTTGAAAAAGACATGCCGTCCTTAGGCGACAGATTCAAGTTCTCGCTCAAGGACAATTTGACGTCCTACCTTGGCTCCAAGAACCCGTTTTATGCGCCCGTGGACCCGCAGAAGGACTACGTGTGGCTGCTCGACAATACCGCCTACCAGAACAGACTGGGGAGGTGGAAGGCCGAATATGTCGCTTGTTATTTCGTCAAAAACAGCGGAAAGGACCTTTCCGCGGTCGTAGGCTGGGTTGCCGACAAGGTTGGGCTGGCCAAGGACGAGCAGGCCGAGGCCACCATCGAGAAGAGGATACAGCCTTTGCTGGACCAGATTTTACCGGCGCATTCCGTCACAGTCGACCTTCAGGGCATGGAGGTTCGTCTGGGCCCAAGCGGCCGCGACGGTATCAGTACCGACGAGATTGCCATTCCTGGGCACGGTTACAAGGATGGAGAGGTCATCACTTCAAAGGCTGTCAATGCTGACGCCACGCCAATCAACACTACCTTTGCCACTGCGAAAGGCTGGGCCATCATCAGCGACGTCGATGACACGATCAAGAAGACTCTGACCAGTTCACCGGTCGGTATCTTGAAGACAACCTTTGTAGACGACCCAGAGCCCATCCGAGGAATGCCAGAGCTATACAAGCATCTTATGCAGAAACTTGGTGAGTGCATGCGATGTTTGTATGCACTTGAACAAATACTAATCAAATCAGATACTCCACCAGTATGGTACTTGTCCGCCTCCCCTTACAACCTCTACCCCTTCCTGCGCCAATTCCGCGAAACCTACTTTCCCGCTGGTACCCTCGTTCTCCGCGACGCCTCGTGGATGAACCTCGCCGGCTTCCTAGCAAACCTCACCCAAGGCACAGAAGCCTACAAAGTCGACCGGATGGAGAAGATCTACGAGTGGTTCCCAAAGCGCAAGTTCATCTGCATCGGCGACAGCACCCAGAGCGACCCCGAAGCTTACGGCGAGATGTTCCGCAAGCATCCCAAGTGGATCGGCGCCATCTACATCCGAAAGGTGGTGGATGTTGCGGAGACGAATGAGAGCGAGAAGAACAAGCCGGAGCGGTTCGAGAAGGCCTTCAAAGACGTGCCGAGGGAGGCGTGGCATGTGTTTGAGGATCCGAGTGAGCTGTACGCCAAGGTGGACGCACTCGTTGCGGCGGCGAAGTGAGAAACTTCTCCCTCTTCGAAGGCACGGTCAGCAAAGCGCCGTTGGTGTCTCCATGTGTGTGAGCTTGCGGTCCTCTTTTTACGTTGTCGGTATACCCTAGCGCCTTACTAGTATTCATAGTCTTTATCACCAGCGATTGCAGGCATGGTCCAGTTCGGTATTGTATCAATGTCCTATCATAAGTCCAGTACTACGAATGTTCCTGTATTTTCCACACAACACTATGCCTCGCCTCGACATGCCTGTCGAGATTTGACGCGCCCCGCCAAAGTTCAAACACCCTGCCTCGGATTCCGCGCTGAAACGCGTTCCGTCGTCAATCACACAACCCTGCCCCATCCAAGCTGCCACCTCAAAATGTTCAACTTTTGGGCATCCACAACTTCCGCTGGCAGCAAATGTCAAGATCCATCCCCGTCCCAACAATACACGTGCACAGCCCATCTCTTGTATCGACCACCACCCCACGCACGATGCAAGATCGAGAAAGCCTCCTTACGAGCGACACCGACCACGAGAAACACTGGCAATCCGCAGAATTTGAAGACGCCCGGCCGTCAAGCAAGAAACATGCGATACTGGCGGCGCTCAAAGACTACTTTTACCTGATGGCGACGGGCCTGCTCCTGCTCATCATCACGCTCCAACTCGCCATCTGGCGCACCGTCTCCCCTCCCACATGCGCTACACAAGTCGGCTCCTCGTACAGAGACCTGGCGCCAGAGTTTCCAGTGGAGGTGATACAGTGGGCCGCAGATGCCTCCTTCGTGCCCCTCACCGCGTCTGCATTTCTCCAACCCCGCGTGCAAGCACAGTGGGAAACCCTGTTCCCGCCCTCGGCCAACGCAGCCTTCCCCGCCGACGGCCTGGTGTACAATTCGACCAGCGTAACGCACCAGCTGCACTGCGTGTACATCATGGGCAAGATCTTCTCGTCGGTCGTGACGGGGGTGGCGGCGGAGGATATGCCCGAGCCCGGCGACTACGAGGCGCATTTCTTGCACTGTGTGGATTACATGCGGCAGGCGGCCATGTGTGCGGGGGATGTGGCCATTGAGCCGAGGGGGGAGAGGGAGGGGGAGAGGGGCGCGGTCAGCCTGGAGAATGCGTTCAATGGAAAACATGTGTGCAAGGCATATGGCAGCGTAAGGGAGTATTTGGAGCAGGAGCTGAGGGCGGGGAGGAGGGATATCCTGCCGTTGGATGATTAGGGCAACGCCGGAAGCAATGTGCTTGGTCTGACTTCATGTACTCATTACAAATCTATTCGTGATTCTGTTCTGTTCTATTTTACTTTTCCTCTAGCCCGTAGAAAGCATCGTCTAGACAATGACCTTGTGCGGCGCGTCCTTCTCCTCGGGCTCGCCGAAGATGTTGACGGGCCACCTGGGCTTGTTGGCGATGTACGGGATGTTGAAGCGGCGCGGCGACTTCTTGCCAATCTCCTCGACCTTTTCAAAGTCCTCTTTGGACAGCTCAATCTCCTTGAAGTTCTCCTGGATGCGCGATGCGGTGACGGACTTGGGAATGACCGAGTGGCCGCCGACCTGCGCCCACGCGAGGATGACCTGTGCGGGGGTCGCCTTGTTGGCTTCGGCAATGGCCTTGATGGTGTCGTGCTGGACGAGAAGGGGCTCGCCGATCATGTTGTTACCGAAGGCCTGGTGGGGTTAATTCACTGCGAGCTGCTGGAAGGTTTGGTGTAGGAGGATGCTTACAGAGTACTCGGTGACGTGGATGCCCTTCTCCGCGCAGTACTTGATGAGCTCTGGCTGGAGGAGACGCGGGTGGCGCTCGATTTGGTTGGCAGCGGGGGTAACACCAGTGGCGTCAATGAGCGCTTGGAGGTGCTCCTTGGTGTGGTTTGAGACACCGACGGCGCGAGCCTTCTCCTTGGGCAATTTGGTCATCGCCTTCCAGGTGTCGACGATGGAGATGTCGTCGAGCATCTTGACGTCGCCATCAGGGTGGTCAGACTTGTCCTGCAGGGGGAACAGGTTCTGGTTGACGTCGCCGCGCTCGTCGAAGGCAACGGGGAAGTGGACAAGGTAGAGGTCTAGGTAGTCGAGGCCGAGCTCAGCCAGGCAGTCGTCGAGCGCTGCGGCAACGTGCTCGGGGCGGTGCTGGGAGTTCCAGAGCTTGGAAACAAGGAAGAGGTCCTCGCGCTTGATGCCGAGCTCGCTGAACGCCCGCTTGAGAGCATTCGCAATCTCCTTCTGGTTGCCGTAGACCTTGGCGAAATCAATGTGCTTGTAGCCCGCCTTGAGGGCCTCGTAGACGGCAGCCTCGACCTGACCGGGCTCTGCTTGCCATGTTCCAAAGCCCAATGTACTGTGGGTCATCATCAGTAAAATAGTTGCTGGAGGGCTTCTCTTGAGTACTCACGGGATGGAGGCACCAGTGTTGAGCTTTGCAGTTTTTCCGAGAGACATGTTGATGGAAGTGAATGCAAGTGTGCGGGTTTGTGGAATTGAAAGGACTGACAAAATTTGTGGGCGATGAAGTAGCTACTGAGGCACTGACGCGGGGCGAAGTTGGAGGGGTTGGCTGGTGGGGTTTTGGCGCGTTTTCTCCATCGAGAACTCCATCCGCTCCGCGGGTCCACTTTTTCGCGCGTAGCTGCGGCTCTTAGACGTCATCGATTGGTGTATCGACCGTTCAAGCCCGCGGCAGTGGTTATGGCCACCATGAACCGGGAAAAACCTCGGCTTTGAGGCTCAAAAGCTCGGCGCGCCGCTGCTTGGTTGGCGGGACAATCTGCACAGGGCTGCTGGCAAGGCGCTTGAAGTGCCTGCTAAAAGTGCCAGCTCGAGGTGTTTAACCGTCCTCGTCCAAAGTTCTCCTACATCGCACTTTTTTCGGCGAAATCAACTCGATGCGAACTGCTCGATGAAACACAACGGCTAGACCCGTTCTACACAGATAAATATGTGTGAACTCATCCAATTCAAGCGAAAGTTCTAGCATAGATCTCACCACGTCTCCAACTTTAAGCGGCCCAATTGCGGTGTGGAGAATACAGGATATCTAAGATCATGCTTGATCTTCCACAGTTACATAGGTGCCTCTTATCCGCTTGATGTTCGAAGATTTCAGGGTGCTGTGAATACAGCCAATTCTATTTTTGCACACCCGATCATCTTTCAAAGCAGCATTCACTTCCGGTCTGAATTGCCCCCTAGAAATAAACCAACGTCATACGCTCAACAAATCTATGTTGACCTCTCCCACCGGTAATATGAGTTATTCACAGGCCGAAAAGAAATCTCTGATTTGGGTTCAAGTCGCCGGATACATGAGACTATCCTATCTCAAAACTCTGTCAGTGTAAGATGGAGGTGGACTCATTATCATTCAAGGTTACCCCGATACAAGCTGTTACTGTAGGTGACCGGTCACACTCTGTTTGGAAGCCCCTTTAATAAATCATTCGACGCTGCAGATTCCCGACATTAGTCCTCAAAGAGTCTGCCGTTTGCGTCAACTTCGTGGTCATCATGCATGGTGCAAGATCTTCGATCGATATCTTGCGGCGATGCTGAGGAATGTTGCTCCATGTTTTAGACATCTATGTGCTGGCTGATTCACTAAAGAGTCATACTTCTGAGTAATCCATGTGCTAATAGAAATCTTAGTGTTGCCAGAGATTGGAGCCAGAAGAAAAGCCACGAGGATCAGATGATGGAAAATGCCTTCACGAGGGAGGAAGCTGCGTAAAATCAGTCAGCGAGCAGTAGCTTTTGCCACATTGCTCATACGCTGCAATTTGCCAAGTGTGAACAGCACTTCGTGTACAAGCAAGTCACAGTAGGAAATCCATACATAAAATGAGGCCACTCGATCATATTGTCAACATACATGCATGACGGTCTCTGCCTACGAACCCCTCTTCCTGGAAATGTGCGACACGCCACGCCGCGCCGCGGAGCCCATGCGGATGCACGTGCACACGTGCACACGCGAACGAGCGCGTGCCGCCATCGAAGGCATCAACGCGCTGACCACCCCTTCATCCGAAACCCAGACCGATGACTCCTCCACCATACGCCTGCCTCCTTTCCCCGCCCACTAGATATCCTCCAGGCAGCGACGCTCAAACCAAGACGCCATCTCACGAGCAAGGTATAGCTCAAGCGAGAACACTGCGTCAGGCGTGCATCTAGCCGCCCTCCCCTTTCATACACCATCTGTGCATGACTACTGTGCTGCTCCAATCCTCCGCATAGGCGCAAAACCAGAGTCCTAGGGCCGAGCGTTGTGAGACCAATCCAGCAAGACCCCTACCAACCGAGCCCAGCTGGGTGGCCTGCCTTCATTGCTGCGAGTCCGAGCTCGATGGTGTGCCCACGCCTCTAGCTGGTGGCAGAACCGATCGGTATGAGAAAAGAAAGATGAATGAAGTAATAGGGTATCTTGGGTAGGTCGAACCAGGACATCTGCGTCGGAAAGGATGTGCATTGCTGGCTGGGGAAGGCTTATATTGCTATTCTGCTTCGAGATGTTGAATGGAGCTTAGAAGGAAACACGTAAAGATAGGTGATTCCATCGCGAAGTTTGAGCCTGCGTTGCCGCACATCGAAGCAGGGCGCGGGGATGAGTGGAGAATGTAGCGTGGAGCAAACGCGGCGTCACGGGTCTTCGAAGTCGGTCATGCCATCAAAGAGATCGGTCACAACCTTGAGCATAGGCTCAAGGAGACTGTTATCATCGCCAGCCTCCCCTCCGAAAAATCTGACCCGCTGGGCCTCCAAGGCTTGCTCTCTCGTGGATTCGTAATAGAGGCGGCGATCCTGCCATGCTGCGTACGTTTGATGCCAGTGGTTTGCGGACGTAGTCGCGATGGGAACATGGGTATTCTGCGGCTGCGAAACGGAACTCGTGGTACTCGTAAAAGATGAACTGGTATCGGTAGAAAGAGTTCGAATATGATTTGAATTTGATTTATTACCGTCGCGGTGACGGGGACGGCTCCTTGTTCGCTTCCTGTTGTGACGCTTGCTCATATTGATAGGAAGATCTTCGGCGACGAACAGGACGAAAAGGAAAATGGCGACGACCGCGAGGGATGAAAGTGATGATCGGAAAATGCAGGAACGGAACCGGAAAAAATCCTACCAAGACATTTATACATAACCTATCCATATGCCACATCACGCCCTAGTCACCCAGTCAGGAGGCGGAGTGACTCAAAGATGGTGTGAGAACGCAAAGTGGATCAGTCGACCCGTGCTCGCTGCTGACTGGCCAGGCGTGACTCCTTACACCGCCAAGCAGCCTCGTGCCGCGGTGAGGTGGCGAAGCCGATATCGCTGTTGGGCTTTCGCGAGCCTCGCGGACTCATTTCGCCCAACAAAAATGGACACATCATCCATCTCTTCTCGAATTCCTCCTTTGCTCTGCATTGCGACATGCAAAACGTACGCCACATGCGCGGCGCCCTTCGCGTAGTGTGGCTTTGCGGGCGCGGCGCCTAGAAGAGAGGATTGCAAATTGCACAAGTGGCTGTGCTCGAGGTCACTCGTCCTTTATCAACGTGAGGTGTGGCAGACATACTCGGAATGACCAGGACATTAAGCACAGGGCAGATCCAGTACGAACATGGCCGATCAAAAACGAATTTCCAAGGGCGCATTCGAACCGGTCCGCAGTCACAAGGCGTTTCCGTATGAGATCGCGATGTCCGATGTGAAAATTATACTGTATCCTTTCAAAGTCGCATTCGGCGCCTCGTGCCTCTTCAGAGGCCTGGGAGATGTTGACATCATGGCCGGTGCCTAACGAGATGACTATCGAAACGCATTAGCTGCTGGCAAAGCCCGCGTGCCTAACGTTTCCAGTTCATATTCTTCTCAGTTCGTCGCGCATAAAGGGCGCATAGGCCCAATGTTGCCTACCATACGATCGATAAGCGGATTGAACATCATACCGATAGTCCAAGGGTAGGAGGCCTCTGCCTAGGCCGCACTGACCGGGTTGGTACGAGGTGCACACGAGGTGCAAATGTCTATAGTATGGAAGCATGTTGATCTTGGAGAATTGGAACAGTCCTGCCTGAGGATTCTAGGATCAAAAGTAAGCCTACGACGGCCCCATATCGGCGCTTTTTACTCCCGGTACGCCGACCTAGGGCTACGTAGTAAGCTACCGGCTCTCCACCATGTCTTTCACCGACGGCAGGAACAGAAGCCGTTCCCAACCACTCGTATCGTACCAGCTCCCCTCTTGACGCGTAACCCCCATATCATAACGGGATCTGATGTCACTTGCGTCAGAGCCGTTTGTTTAAATTGTATGCCAACCTCTCGAATCTTGCTTGGCTGTATTCCAGATAGGCAGTGCCTTGGTATAAGTAGGGTAGCTGCGCTGTCACTTGTTTTCTTTGCTTCACCCACTTCCTGTTCTAGATCTGTCAGCAAAGAATTGAGAATGTCCGTAACAAGATCAGCATTCGTGCTTAGCTTTGGTAGGTAGATCTGATGAAGATACTTCCAACACAAAATTACTCACAATGATAGCATTGCTTACGCATGGTCAATACGGCCCTGGCGGTCAATATGGACCTGACGGTAGTAACGAAGGCTATTCTAGCGCTTTCAACGGAGGGGGGAGCAGTTCCTCTAACAACGGTGGCTTCATTTCAGGTAATGGAATTTTGGGAGGAAATACTGCACTGTAAGCGATGTCTCCAATTATTTCTGTCGTGACAATACTAATTTGACTTTTATGTTCAGTATCGCACATGGCGTCCTCGCGTCGTTCGCATTCGTAATCCTCTTTCCCACGGGTTCGATACTCATTCGGTTGGCGTCTTTCAAGGGCGTTTGGCTTGTCCACGGCCTCTTTCAAATCTTCGCATATCTCGTGTACATCGCAGCCTTCGCCTTAGGAGTCTGGATGACGCAACAAGCCCCCGCACAAGCCAACCTCATCGGGCGATACCATCCGATCATTGGCATAGTGCTCTTTGTCGTCTTGTTCATTCAGCCAGTTCTCGGCTTGATCCACCACTTCCGATATAAGAAAGTCGGACGCCGCACTTTCTGGTCGTACGGACATCTCTGGCTGGGACGACTACTCATTCCACTAGGAATGATCAATGGCGGACTCGGTCTGTTGCTGGCAACTGAAACTGGCTACGGTCGGCCGACGACTGGCCAGATTATCCCTTATGGTGTAGTCGCAGGTATCACGTCGTTATTATGGCTGAAAGCCGCCATTGTTGGGGAACGAAGGAGGACTAAAGCGCAGGAGGTGCCAGTGGGAGTATACAAGGAGCAGTACGCTTGAAGGCCACGTTGAGGATCAGGAACGTTTAGTGTCTGCGAGTATTTGGACCGCAGGTGCATCCGGCAACGGTCGTGATATTCTCTGTGAACCTTTGGAATTGTCGCTGGTGACAATAGATCTGGATAACCGCACATTGAGGGTCCGGGAGACTTCCTGTCACGCGGGAGGAACCCTTGGGGAAACGGATATTGGGAAGCACCACGAGGCATGCCGTGCCTACGAGCAAAACGGAAGGCACGACGGAAGATGACAAAACAGCCTCGGCCGCTCTGCACTCTTCCTATTTTGGACCCCGCTGCGGTGGGAGCAAGCACTGTCCGAGTGCAGATATGTGAATCCTACGTATATATCGAATGTAATCACTATCTTACCACAGGTAGAGATAGCCAGTCTTCGCAATTGTACACACTCGGCAGACCCTACTCAACGCTTATCGTCCCCTTAGTGGCACGTAGATATTGCTCGGGTGTTTATTCGCTCCTATCAAGCCTGGGGGCCGTGTTTCCGCGCGGAGGGGACTAACCGTCACTAACAATCAATATGCATGCCTCTGCCGTTAGCTGCCCTACCGCAAAGGGTGTGCCCGAGGTCGATCGTTCGGAGGGCGTTCGGAACAAAGGAGATGTGCAAGGTACACTCCCGTAGAAATGCAATCCAGCTTGCATCGGGCAACGGCTTAGTGGGGTTGCGATGACTGACGGCGGGCCGCAGAAACCTGGAGGGGGCAAAAAACGTGCACCCCGGTTATACTTGCAGTTGAAGACGTTTGAGGGTTTGCATCGGCTCTACGAGACTTTGAACATCAATGGGATCTGGAGCGTTGAGATCGGTCGATAGACGAAACACAATGCTTCCAGAACCCTCAGCCCTGCAACCACAACCTCAAAAGCTTTCGTCGCGCAGGCAAGGCTGATGAACAAGTGTAAGCGAGTGGAGTAGACTAGCCGTGATTTGGCTGCTGCTGGGGTCTGAGACCCACCTTTCTTACACTATTAATAGGAATAAGCAGTGGGCTGAACTGTTCTCGCTCTGGTGGAGAAGGGCTTTCACCAGAGAATTGGAGTGCTCAAACGGAATGCGGACAGGCATGGGTCCTGAGGCTACATGCGCGAACGGATCGAGGCTGACTGCTTAGAGGGCATGAACTTGCACAAGCAATGTCTACCCGCTTAGCGTTTGTTCGCTTGCATGTAAGGCTAGCGAGGCTCCGTTGCGTCACCTCGCACTGCTTGGATGCGCATGGCAATGATGGATACTGTTTAGTACAGATGTTGGTGAGGCTGCCGCGCGCCCGTGTTCTCGAGGCTGCAGTGGTTCACCGTGCTCCGCGCTGGGCGTGAGCATTCCAGATCTCATGGCACGGCAATATCGCAGGCTCCATGGTCCGCACGTAACGCGCATAGTGTAGCACTGCCACCGCCGGGCTCCATGCACACATGCGGTAGACTGCCGGGCGTCCACTGGCGTGCGGCTCGCTGTCCTCAATTTGCTGCAGGCGTGCACGTACGGCTGATAGCACCGGGGTCCAGCTTTAGGGTGCCCGCGGCGCTTTTACATGGAGCTCGCGCTCCAGCAGAGTAATGCTGGCTTGACCAGCTGGGAGAACATCGCGCATGGTGCTGTTCAGTCGCGCCCTGGTCGCCCGCTGATCCCGCTGGCAGTGTTTATTCTCGTTAGCTGAGGCGTCAGAGTTCCTCTCTTGTACGCCAGCCCCGCCCTCTCTCTGCAAGAGATTCCGGGCTGCACTCGCGCTCCTCTGCCATGCCTTCGCTCCCCTGGAGTAAGTCGAATCGCTCGCACTCGTCTGTCGAAACCTCGTCCGGCCACCCGTCTCCAGTGCCTTCGGGGCCTGGGTCTAGTAAGTGAGCGCCTGGCCGCCCGGTGCATCTTGCGGCTGACACGCGAAGCACTCGCCGTCAACGAGACGGGCGCGAGATACCCACCCTCGGAGCAGCTTGCGCAACAGCAGCAGCCTGCGCAGATCCCAGCGGGCGTTCCCCAACCGCCGCAGTTTCGGCAGCAACAGCAGCCGTTCCCGCAGCGCGCAACGAGCCATCGCCATTCCTCGGGCATTGCGCTCGACCAGCAGACGCTCCAGCAGCTACAGGGCGGTCCGCAGCCTACCCAGGGCTACGACCAGCAGCCCCGCAGAGGTTCCTACCAGCCGCAGTCCTCATACACGCCCGAGCCTAAGAAGCAAGGCCTCCGCAGCCGCCTCGGGCTTACAAGCCACAAAGACGAGGACCGCTCCAAGTCAAGCAAGGTTGGCCGGCGACAATCGGTGCGCAAGAGCGACCCGCGCGAGCTCGAATTCCGGCAGCGCGAGGAGGAGCACCGCCTGCGGGCTGCGCAGTGGAACCAGCGGCACGGGCAGCACGGCGGGTCCAGCTCGCATCTCGCGCCCTCGGACGAGCACGACGAGGACGACCTCGACCCATTCCTGCAACAGGAGGACGAGCAGCCCCGAGTGCCGCCGAAAGACGCGCAATTCCAGCATCCGCAGCAGTACTCGCCCAACCCGCACCAGGAGCAATATAATCGGCCCCCACTCGCTAGAGTGAGCACGGAGGGAAGTTATCACGCCCAAGGCGGGGTAGACCACTACAGCCCCGAACACCAGGGTCTGCAACCACAACAACACCCGCCCTCGTACCAGAACTACCAGCAGCCCCCTGGCCAGCGCCCCTCTAATCCAAACGACTACCAAGCCTACCCGCCCCCGCAGAACGCACCCAGCCCGCTCGTCGGCGGCGCACAAGTGCCTCCTCCGCCGCAGCAGACCTACTACCAGTACCAAGCCCAGCAGGCCGCGCAGCTCGCGCAGCAGCAATCGCCGCAGGGACCGCCAGAGCCGCAGGTGCAGAACCCTCGCTACTCGCAGCAATCGCAGCCTTCCCCACAACAGCCTCAGCCGCACCAGGGCCAAGACTTCCAGCAGGTGCAGCACGGTCGCTCGCCGTCGCAAGCACAGGGCGAGCCCAACGCCCCTCCGCCCTCGCAAACAGTCCCCCAGATTGTGCAGGGTGGTCAGCCGATTGACGGCCAACACTCGCAGCAGCTCCGCCCCCCGTCATCGCACGCGTCGCTTGCCCCGCCGTCGCCCCTCCAATCACAGCCTCCCACTTTCCAGGCTTACGACCAGCAGGGACAGCCGTCCCCATCCACTGATCTTCACTCGCAGAGCGTAACGCCGCCGCAGCAAGACAACATGGCTCCGGCGAACAGCGGCCAGCGCAATACCTTGAGGAAGGTCAACGATGGTGGCCAGCAACAGGCTCCGCCCTCGAGGGAGAGCTCTCTCCTCCAGCAGAGCTCAACACAAGGTCAGGCTCAAGGACAACCGCCTGTATCGCCGGGCATTCAGACTTTTGGCGCTAACGTCGTGCCAACAGCATCGCAGGGGCAGCCATACAGGGGAGAGAAGGGCCAGACCTCGCAAAGTGGAGAGATGGGACGGGCCACACCACCGCCGCGCACTACGACAGACATGTCGGACGACGAGATAGCTCAATTGGTCAAAGAACACGACGTTTTGCGTAAGCCTCCCAATTTGACGTACACCACGTAATTCTGACCCATCGCAGGTGAAAAATACCAAAAAGTAAAGCGATACTTCTTCGAGCAGCAAACCCAAGTGCACCAACTTCAGAACACCCTCGCGAACCAACGTCTCTCCTTGTCACGCACGTCATGGGATGACAGCGAATATGGCACTCGGTTCAACAGGCTTGATGGTTTGATAGCCCAGCTTTCCTTCGCAATTCGCAAGGATTGGAAGGCGATACCACCCTGGCTGCAGCCTGTCGTGAACAAGACTGCCGTAGAAACTGGCAAACAGGAGATGACTGCGGTCGGACGTGCTTTCATCTCGCAATGGCTGGTCGAAAACATATTCGACAAGTACTTTCATCCTGATCTAGAGACGGGGCTCTCGACACAGCTGAAAACCATTCAACTCAATATACGGAAATATGCTGCAACCTGCCACACCACTGAAGACGAAGATGCTTTGAATGCGAAGGTTATCAACTGGCGGCTGGCAACCCTAGAAGGATTGGCCGATCAATTGAAAGCTGCCCAATCAGGACCGAATCGAGCAACATTGACCGAAACACTCAACGAGAAGCTCATCGCTTCTATACAGATGTATCTCAACGACCCTGCGCCACCTGACCTAAATGGAGGAGTTCCTATGATTGTGGAGCTAGCCATAAGTGTCGCACAGCATCTTCCATTGGAAAGCAGAGAGGTCCAGATTGATTACTTCTACCCTGGACAAGCCCTCGTGTCCGAATTCATGAAGATGGAGTCTGGCATTCCTGCTTTGACAGACCCTATTCGAGAAATCGACGAAACGGATCGTGCTTCTTTGCGAAGTGTCGCTTCTAAGTTGGATGACAACGCATCAATTGGCGAGCCCGAACAGTCAAGCCAGCAGCCTAGTAAGGAGCCAGCAGACAAGAAACGCAGCATGTTCGGATTCGGTGGGTCAAAGAAGCCATCCCAGAATCAAGCTACACTGGGTAAGTCGCTGGGTCACCAGCCTAATCCAAGCCAGCAAAGTCTGTCGCAGTCCACCAAAGACGACGCTCCTCAACCGAGGGTTCGCTTGTCCGTTGGAGTAGCGGTGCAAATTCGCGGCAAGAGCATTTTAATTAAGGCCCCAGTGTACAGCACCTGAGTCTAGTGGCATGAGCTATGGTCATGTATTGAACGCATTTCAGCGAGTCTTAGAACGCACGATTGGATATGAAACTCTCCTTGATTTACTTCACTTCCCACGTGCGCTTTGCTTAGGGTATATTCTTAGAACGTCGGAGGCTTGACGATGGATGGTTCTGAATGTATGTAAACCGCCCCTCTATGGCGGCGAAAAGAGCTCAAGAGTGGATACCCTTGGAGTTGATAAAAATACCAACCCCCTGCCGTTGCTCCAATCGAGCTTTGCAACGTATGCGCCTCGTGCACTACATTCGATCAAGGAAAGGAGTGGAGTTATCATCATGATACATACATACTACTCGTACATTGAATCCACGACTCTCTCTTTGGCTCGGTCGAATGCTGCTGTGCTTGAAGGGCCTCGGAAGGGTCTCGGAAGTGGGCGGCGCTCTCCGTATCTGATTGGCTATATGTCCGGCTTTTTGTTTACCCTCGTCAACACTCGACCACCAGAGCATTGCATATCCACCTGGAGCCATGGAGACTGCAGACGTCTCTCCACAGTACAAAGGTAAGAAAATCCCTCGCTCACCATCGAGACCACGCTCACAACTATAGCGACCTCACTCTCGGCTCCATCACCAACCGCATCCCACATCGCGTGCCTCACCGGCGCCCGCCTGCAGATCCGCTCCCTCGCTACCTTCGAGCTCGTTCGCAATATACCCCTCCCCCAATCACATGATGTGCGCCGGTCGCAGATAGCATGGTCTCCGCCGTCCGTATCCCCGAGCGGCGCTGCCACGCCGCCTCGACGCTCCTCTGTGCTTCCACAGCGATCGCACCGCATCCTCGTAGCGGACGATGATACTACACGCGTCTTCGATTTACGAGATGACAAATGGAACGCTATCATCAGCAACGGGTCTGGCGGCATGGGTAAGAATGTGACTGTGGAGTTTGGGCGAGACGAGGACGAAGTACTGGTCTGGAGTGACTTTGCGAGCCGGGTCATGGTGTGGTGCCTGAAGACCGGACGCACGGTAGATATTCGAGATCCGAAGTTCAGTGGGAAAGATAGTAGAGGATGGGGGTATAGGCCATGTAGCGAAGAGAAGGGTGTCAGCGGTAGAGGGAGCGTGCTCGCGCTGTTGTGCCGTAGCCCGGGCGTGGACATGCTCATGCTTCTTGCACCTAAGACGTATGATGTGATAAAGAGGGTGGAGCTGGCGACGCAGGATGCACAAGGGGTACGGTGGAGCTCTGATGGGAGATGGCTTGCGGTTTGGGACGCGGCAAGTGTTGGATACAATTTGTGCATATACACGGCGGATGGACATCTTTACCGTACCATATCGCGCGAGATTCCGGATGAACTGAGCGAATGGGGAATCGAAGGCCTGGGGATCAAGACATTAGAGTGGGTTCCTGGGAATGATTGGCTGGCCGTTGGTGGGTGGGATCGTCGAGTGCGGATACTGTCCACGAAGACGTTCTCTCCGGTTGTGTATCTGGATCATACGGCACAGATATGTGTTCCACGCGCATCGGTATACACGGAGCAAGTTGACGCACGAGGGTTCAGGAGTTTCGAACTTGCTCAGCAACCTGTTACACCGCCGAAGGCGCCTGTGGAGAAGAACGACACCGGACTTATGAAGCAGGGCATCAGTACCATGGCCTTCAACAAAGACGGCACACTTTGCGCAACGCGAGACGACTCCACACCGACAACAGTGTGGATATGGGATTTACGCAGTCTTCAACCGATGACGATTCTCATACTACACTCCCCTATTAAGGCGCTGCAATGGCACCCACACTATCCGTCACATCTCCTCATTCAGTCCGTGCACGATTCACCCACGCTGTACCTCAACACTGCACAGCCTCTTTCTGGCTCAACATCCTCTTCCGACTTGACGACTGTTCCACCAACTATCCTCTCACTCGCAGATAACATGACCAAACCTGCCGGGTCCGCACCGGTGAGATGGACTACAAGATGGCTCAATACAGAGCCAGATAGGAAGCCCGCGATGGTAGTCGGGCACCAGCAAGGCTACATCCTCGTCTGGCCCGAGGGCAAAGACCAAATCCTGCGATTCGAGGGGCAAGACGACGACGAGAGCGACGACAGTTTGTACGACATACTGACGGGACGAACGCCCGTGCCTCCGCTGCGGGACAGTGCGCGGAGGATTAGCCACGGTAGCGAAGACGCGGGAGAGGATGTATACGACATCGGGGCGCAGTCTGTGCAAGGCCTTGACAGCACGAGCAGCTTTGACGATACGTTTCGGGAGAAGAGAGAAGCGAGGAGTCGGGGGAGGAGCGTGTTTGATGAGAGTGGGCTGGATGAGATGTTCTGAGGGTTTCCTTTAGGGAAAGGGAATAGGAAGGCGTTGTGGTGTTGCTGGGATACCCATTTGTCTGATCGCGGCTTCACAGTCATGATATCCACCATTGTATTCGAGGTCATAATGTTCACATTCCAAGCATTAAGCGTGACATCCAGTCCCAAATCCATATCCATATCCATATCCATATTCATACAACATCATGTTCCCCTCACCCCACAACTAAACTATTTTTTCTCATCATCCTGGAACCCCCACCGCCCTGTCTGATCCAGGCCCAGCGGATTCTGGCCATTCTGCTCCTTGCCGCCCAGACTCTCCTTCTTGCTGTAGCTGTCCACGTTGTTGCCGCCGAGTACCTCAGACCGCTCTTCCTTCTCGCCCAGAAGCGGGCCCAGGACGCCGCGTGTGCTGCCGCCGAGGGCTTTGCCGAGGGGACCGGTGATGCCTTTTTCGAGAGGCGCGCCGATGGGGCGGAGGCCGGTTTCGAGGGCCTTGCCTGAGGGGCGTTAGTAGGAAAGAGGAGGCATGGGTGGAGGCACACACCAATAGGGTCGCCGATGGGCGCGAGAAGGCCTCCTGAGCCTTTGCTCCCTTCCTCTTCCTCGTCCTTGTTCGTCGTGGGGACGTGCTGTGTTTCTTCGTTGTTCGACATGTTGATGGCGGTGGTATAGAGCAGATGAAGCTGGATGTGGTTGGAAGCAGGATTTGAGTCGGGAACTGCAAGTGCCAATGCGGGCAGTCTGTCTCTAGAATCCTTATGTACAGCTAGACAGGCCACATGTGAATTCCAGGCTCCGGCTCTAGTGACGTCAGACGGTCGCCCTCGTGTCACGGGTCACGTCGACGGGAGAGCATCACGATGGACGACGGCGCCAGCTCCGCTCTAACGCTGTCAGGTATAGCCGACGTTGCATGCACTGGTGCGCCGTGCGCCTCTCGCGCGTGTCACTGGAACTGCACCTGCATGCACTTGCACGCTTCGGGTGTGCTCCACCTGGGCCTGTGGTGCTTGCCGTCTTGTTTCCGCCGGCACTTCGCAGAGCGATGCAGATACTTCACAGTTTTGCACGCCGTACAACGGCGACGAAAGCGACGAAACGACACGGGTAGCCGACGCTGAAACCGGGGCGGGGCGGTACCGCATCGCACAGGGAACAGGATAGGATGCGATGCGAGAACTCGCAGTGTGCACACACCCGGCGTCGAGAAACTTTGAACATCCCGCCTCGCCTGCGCCGTATTCCTAGCGCCTACATCGCCGAGGCCGCATCCTGAGCTCCTCTGCGATCTTCTCTTGCGACGACCATGTCTACGCCCGGCAGCTATGCATCGCCAGGCTCTGCAGCCTCGCCGACGAGCAGTGTCGCGAGCTCGGCGCCGTCGCCCTACGTTGCCGTCGACGGCAGCGACCTCACGTGAGCACCGCCTATCCCATCTGCCTCGTGAGGAGCGTTCGAGCTGAAGGACTGGCAGCTTTCCAAGCGAATGTCCCGAGAACGGGAAGGTAATCTTTCCGACGAGAGACATGTACAGCACTATCACGGGCGCGCGGTACTATTCTCGCATTCACGCCCAACTGCCGTTCCAGCTGTGGCCTATGCTTATCGACATAATCAGCTTCTAGTATGTCTTTTTTCTCTATTCGTACTGCATCATCATGCCCACCTATCACGTCGATAGCAACGTCAACATGCATATTGCATTTCCCAAGTATACCATGCTAACCCGCTAGCCCCGGCTTGTCGGACACCTTCCTCACAGCACACCGCAACATCATATTGATATATGACATGGACCTATCTGCACATGAGAGACACTACCAGACTGTACTACAAATGCTGCAGAGTCAAAAGATAGGCTGGGACGTCAATCGGTGCGTGTATGCGAGAGCGACGCCGGGAGAGGTGGGGTTCGCGTTTGCAAGAGGAGGGGGCAGGAGAACGCCGGGGTTGATGATGGTGGACATAGGGAGAGGTGGGGGTTGAAGAAGAGACTTAGATGTCGGTCCAAAGGAATTAAATTGGGGGAGGACCGGTTCGCGAGAGCTCATGCATGGGCGCGATAGCGCACAGAGAGCGCGACGGTCGACGACAAGCATTGCTGGCAAGAGCGCGGAGAAAGAGTAGCGCGATGGCCTACTGGGAAAGGTACTATACGAATGCAAGAGCTGGAATAAGCTGAAATGTGAGAGGAGAGGGTATTCTGGTCGCCTGGTCTGATAATTTTATGGTTTATCCCGCCCTGAGGACTAAATCTTGCATCTGCTCACCAATTTATGCCAGAGTGTCAATCAATCAGATATCGGCACACAAAAGAGTCAAATCACAGCTTTTGTATGTGCCTATCACTTCGCGTAGCGCTCTCGCCGCCCTCCACGTACATCATTCACCTCGCTAGCCCACACCCACCCACCCACCAAAATAACCCCGTTCAAACTTTCCAGCTATATATATTTTAAGAACACTCTTCAGGTCATCTTCGGTCATACGGCTGCAGAGGCCTGCCTTCACCGGCCCGCCCTCAACACCTAGCGCCACCGATCCCGAACCGCGAGGCGGGGTCGGATGGTGTTGAGTCAACTGCACCCTTACTTGGCATACCTGCGGTAAGCCACCCTCTTCCCCTGTCTTCTGGGAAGTTGTAAGATATTCCAAACACTAAGCTGAGCCGTCGGTCCGTGTGACGGTATCACTGCGATGCGCCAGCGCCAGTGCCAAAGGCAGAGCGAGGTGGGAGGTATATGATAAGCTGTATGACCGGAGATCTTTTTTTTTTGGTGGGTGAGTAAGAAGGTGGTAGTTCAGTGGTAAGGAGCTATGCAGCTGTGGGCGGTGAAGAGGACTGGGAATGCATCGATGAATGCACAGCCAAGGCAACTCACAGGTTGGTCTAGATGGAGAGTGCCACAGACGCTGAAGCCTTTATGAGCAGTACGACTTGCGAACTCGTAGCTTGGTGGGGGACCTCGCGCAGGTCATTGTTGTGGCTGCCTTCGGTCTTTTTGTCTGAGACAGCGCGTTTGTTTGTTCCTCACTTCACTGACTAAATTCAATTGCCTAACTACACCCGGCGTCTTTGTCCAGCGCATTTCAACTACTTTGTTTGCACACAGCCTTCCATTTCTTTTCCCCAGTCAACTTTACAATGCGGCACCGCGCGTATATACCTTTCGCATGCGCGCTCGCCCACGTACCCTAGAACCAGCACAGAAAGAACACTGACTACACTCCAAATCCAAACCCACAACATGCCCACAAACTACAACACCGGCTACTGGAACCCGGAATGGGACCCCATCGGCAAACCCGAACCCCGCGACACCACCTTCACCCTCACCGTCTATACTCCCCCACGCCCACCCCCAAAGTACCTCCCCGCCTTCCTCACGCGCGAACCCCTCGACACAAAGCCTTTCCACGTCATCCGCGCCAAGAGCCCGACACCAGACTACACACACTTTGAGCGCCGCGATCTTTCCGACATGCCAACCAAGATTGTCAAAACCAAGGCGTATCGGGTCCCTGCGGCGCTGCGATGTAAGCATCTGCGTGAGTCTACGGTGTGCAATGAGGGGTGCTATGTGTTGGAGAAGGGGGGAAAGGAGGTGAGGAGGTTCAGGTGTCTTCGGGAGGAGTGTGAGGGACATGTGTATTGTGGGAATGTTAAGGAGGATGACGAGGGGGTGAAGTGTTTTGGGAAGAAGGGAGAGAGGCTGGTGTGTATTGAGGGGTTGCCTTGATATCGGAGTGAAGGGGTAAGCGTATTCGCTGTACTTGGGCGTTCCCATGCACCTAAACTACCCATCACTATTTCACCTCACCGTGTCACTTACTCTACGAAACCCTATCAGCTCTTCAGTGAAATTAACATGCGCCATCGAAAATGTTTTTCGTTGAAGCCAGAGCAGCAAGCACAACAACCATGCTTACCTTGTGCGCACCAGCGCGTGAGCCAGCGTTGCGAATACTCGTTCTCCATTCCGAAGCTCGTCCAGGCACAAAGGTGAAGAAAGAATGGTTGACGACGAATCGCCATAAATACCAGGATAATTGGTCGTGTGGCTGCAGCCATGAAAGCTCAGCTGCCAGGCTGAACCAATGAAGCCGAATCATTCGTATAATCAAGCGATTCAGCCCTCATGCACCGCAGCATTTAATTTGTCCATGTGCCTCTTCAGCCTTGGTGAATCAGTCCTTCCAAGTCCCTTCCCAAAGTGAAGTCGACTTCGTCTTCGTCCATTAGTTATGGTTTTTCTTCTATGCGGAATAGCCTATCACATCGTCAGGACGACCGCAATACCGCTTACATTCAGCATAAACCAGACAAGTACACTGCCAACAAACAACCAAACTGTCCTTCAGCATGAGTTCGCGCAATCCTGGGTGGGCGCCTCACCTGTGCGGTCGACATGGGAAATCCTATATGCTTGTCTTGCAGCGCTCGTCACGTCTTTTTCCTCTTTTGTTCAGCTTAATCCACCCGCGTACCAAGAGAGGTGGCAGTCTGTATTTCTCCGCAAGGCAAAGTGGGTCATTATAACAATCTTGATACCCGAGGCCGCGGTCTTGATGGCCTGGCTACAGTGGAGGTGCGCTGTGACACTACAGAAAAGCTTGGTACCAGACCGCCATTCACGACGAAAAAACAGTATGTGAGACTCGGGCCGGGAAGATGTGTCGATCTAATGTTCTAGCTCGCTCACGGTCAGCGATTTTCTCTCTTACTTATCCATATTTATCTGGGATGTCGAACATACTCTATATTTAGCATAGAGTGGTCGTCTGGACGACCGACATGCACAATACCATCGACCGCATGACCCTGACACCAGTCGCCATCCGCACACTGGCAGAGCTCGGAGTCTTCGTCGATGTACATACGACGCAGATTACTGATCTACAGCGTGTCGATGTGCTCGGTCGCACGGTCGCTGTCTGGCAGCTTACGTGGCTACTCATCACTGTCCTCGGCCGCCGGGTACAGAACCTTCCTATCTCGCTATTGGAACTTAACACGGCTGTCAATGTGGCATTTGCCATGTGCTTACCACTGATGTGGTGGCGTAATCCGAACAACATTTCTCACCCCCTGACGGTGCTGGAAGACAAGCCCAGCCGAAGCATCGTGGCTATGATGCTTATGGCTACAAGCATGACAAAAAACATAGTATTTGAGCTGGGACATGAATCAGTGGACCCTCGCGGTATGATCGAGCTCGATTATCTCTGTCTCGCAGGTGACGATTCCCCTCTGTCAAACGAACTCGTCCAAAAAACAGCCGATCCCGTTATTGCCTCAGTATATTCTCCGGTCTTCGGTGTAAGTCCAATTTCAGTCGATCAATGGGATCCTCATCTTCTGTTTGCGCCATGTCGCAAGTTGTTCACGAGCGGGGCACAAATCGCACTCTCTGCAAAAGATTTGCGCAGATGGTCGATGGCATCCCTAGCGCTCCGAAGCCCTACTCGTGTTGGTATAACACTTCCCACACAGGGTAGCAACGTCCAAGAGACAGCAGGTCGCTTCCGTCATTGTCTCGTTGATCGCGCTCGAAATCTCGAGTTCGACTCTCACTATCGCGACAATGTCGACGGAAGGGTTTTCGTTTATATGGCCGTGGTGCTTGTCTTGCATGGAGCTTTGCATCTTACAGCGTGGAACTGGGTCTTTCCTACTCCCACCGAAAAGCTCTTCTGGCGCGTCTCCTGTTTTGGCTTGATTGGAGGTTTCGTTATCGTTGTTCCTGTAGGCAGATTCACCGAGTACATTTATGGGCGTGGACTTGCGTGGCAGACAGAGAAAACTGGGTTCTTGAATCAAGGTGTAGTAGTACTTCTCCGGATCATACGCCAGATTACTCGTATAAGTGCAGTGCTTTTGGGAGGTTTCCTGGCAGCTTGTAGCATCTACCTGTTCTTAGCAAGTTTCCTTGCGCTGAGGAGGAGTCCAAGTGGAGTTTATGCGAGGTTGGAATGGTCATCGTATCTTCCGGTTCTGAGCTGAGGGCATGGGAATGAGACGAATGGTCATGACTATACAGAGTGATCCGATGCAGAGCTATCAAGTGTTGCGGTTCTTCGTGCCCCTTTTCTGATAATGGAAAATTCTCAGGTCTACGCTATGTCGTCAACTTGCGCATATCGCAATTGCCCCTGAATCATCGCGTGGTTCACGTCAAGTCGGTTTGCAAACCCCAGAAACTTCTCGAACACCTCAGGAAGCCGCAGCCGCCTCTTTCACCATGAAACATAACTTCGGCGTCTTCTTCCCGCTGAATTGTTCTCCAACATCAAACACCATCTTTTCAATCTCGCACTTTAATCCACACTTCTCATACAATGGTCGTCCAGCATCCGTACTCTCAATAATGGCACCAACACCCTTCTCTTCCGCAGCCTTCAGTCCCGCATTCACCAGCGCAGCACCAGCACCGAGCCGCCTATACTCCGGATGCACAGCTAGAAGCTCAAGAACTAGGGCACAGGCGATGTTAGCTTCCAAGCCCAGTTTGCTGGTCGTAAATTCCGCCACTCACCATAAACTCCCTTCCCCTCCGCTCCCACTACCGCCGCTGTCCTTGGCTTAACATACTCCCTCCATAGCGCCCTCATCCACTCCCTAGCCCCATCCTCAGGCCAGTACTTGCTCACCCCCTCCTCGCCCTCCGCCTCATCCAGCGTCTGCGGTGGCTTCTCAGTCATGTACGTCCAGATCCCTATCCCGATGACAACTTCCCCGCCGTCTTCCGACGCAGCCACAGCTCTCAGGAATTGGGAGTTTGGCGCGCTGTGCTTCCATGCTAGGAGACGCTCGGCGCCGGAGGCTTGGCCGGCGGGCGTGGTGTGTGCGAGGAAGTAGGCGTTGATAAAGGGTGCGTCCGTACCAAAGGAGAGGGACATCATGCGGAAAGTTTCGGGGATATCACGGTCTGAGAGGGGAGCGATTTGAACGTCGGTGGATGGCGCCATTGTTCTTGAGTATGCATATGTCGTTGTGGTGAGGTTGGCTAAGTTGGGAATTTGTGATCGCGAGTTTCGGAAAAGGAAGTCACAATCCTAGGCTGCGAAAATACCAAAATATGGTCTAATTTGTGTACGCATATATACGATTGGTGACTCGATTAATCAGTCATTGGACCGTAGTGCGGGGTAGTAAGGCTGTCGGAGACTTCTACGTACAAAGGCTGACTTGATTTGCTGCCAGTCTTTAGGCGTCTGTGGCGTATATTCAAGCACTAGCTAGGATAACGTTAAGATTTAGCCTCGTGTAAACGTAGTCACGAGACAGGAGTGAGACTTGCAAATCGGTTAGGATCGTGTGAGGATGAGCCAAGAAAGGAATGAAATAGGTGGTAGAGATTGGTATCAAATGTTGGTCATTCCTGGTATAACGCCAATGATAAGAGAAGATATTGCAGCTGAACGCACACCTTAATACTCAGCGAATCTCAAACACCACGGAAGGAATATGGCCAGTATGCTCCTTATCTGTGGGGTCGCCCTCATTCTGAAGCAGCATGGCCTCGCCGTCCATCATGCCATGTATATAACACTCCCCCAACATCTTGTAAGAGTACCATCCATCGTCACCATACCGCTCTTTTAGCGCTTCCTTGAGATCTTGCATAGCTTTTTCTTGGTTCCTGATATCTTCTGGCGTTCGCTCCTTCTTCTTAGGCTCTTCTTGACTGAAGAAGGTAGTCTTAACCCTTTTTTGGAGCTTTTTGATCTCGTTGTGATTTCTGTCTCTCTCCTTTGACTTCTCTCTGGCCTTTTGCATTGCTTCCCGTTGCGGTGGCTTGATCCAGCTTGGTCGGACTGGGAGTCTTGGATTTGTCTCGAAAGTTGCCGCTGATGTGTCGACTCTACTCGGCAAAAGTGTAGCTACGGAGCTGGCCATGGCGTCGTCGGAGTCGAATAATTCTTGAGCTCCAGATATGGTATGCCCATCTCCTGTATCGTGGAGACCAGCAGTCCCCGCATAGCTGGGGCCTGAAATGTCGCCGTTGCCCTCCTGATATAAATGCGCCTGTTCAAGCTTCTTCTGAGCGAGCATCTTTTCCAGCAGTTCGACGGTAACGACCGTTTGCATGTATCTGGTCTGCGAATCCTTTTGGATGGTATAAGACACACGAGACGATCCCAGAGAACCAGCTTGTGTTTGCTTTTGGTAGTCTATGGCGTAGCTCTGCTCATCGTCAGTAAAACATTTCTCGTTATCAGTATATTCATGCCACCCGTTTCTCTGTCTCCACACGCAGAACCGCTCAAAGTCATTCTTTTTCTTCATCTGCTCTACCATGTTCATAATATCCCTCCACTCTTCCACTCTGCGTTCTTTCCTCTCTTTGATAATCTCTTTCCACCGGCGGAAAGCTTTCAGCTGGTACTCGAATTCCCACCAGTCCACTAGGCGCTTCCGGGTGTTGGTGCCGTCTTTCAATGTCTCGTGGACAAAGCCGTAGTCCTCCTCCTTCGCTGAAGTAGATTGTGCCGGTCTTCCTGTTGATATTCCAGTCGATGCTCTGCTTGGCTGGGTTGTCTCAACCTCCTTGCTGTGGCCATTCACCTTCGAGCTTTCAGCAGAACCCTGTTTTCTTGCTAGCGTAGCACGTCTCTCTTTCTCCAATCGAGTTGCGATAGGAGGCCAAGCCTTTTTTCTGTTTTCCACTCTGAAATCATCGAATGCTTTAAGTGCATCTCTGATCAAGTCTTGATCTGATTCGGGATCGACCGGGCCTTGAAGTGTTAGGATGTTGTTGCGAAACCATTTCGACTTTTTCAGCCATTGACGGATGAGAGTTGCCATCTCAGCACGTTTACGTAGCTCATGCTGGTGCCTACGCGCCTTGACATCTTTCCAGCAGCTGTATACCATATTAACGAGAAAGTTGGCCTCCCACTCAAGTTCTTTTTGATACACGCTTGGCTCTTTCATGGAGCTTTTTCGAAGTACCACTGGAACACTCAGGCCATAGAAAATGCACACTAGATCGCCCTCTTTTACGTCTTTATCCACGAGGCCAAAACGCCCCTTCCTGGTCTTGACAAGAGCGCGATTCCAGATGACTGCTTGGACTCGGCGGCAAAATTGGGAGACCACCGAGTTTCGCTCCCAGTAAATCAAGTCAGCAGTGTTCACCGCCCCGCTCTGGTATCCTCCTTTGTTGAAAGACTCCGCACAAGCCTTTGAGTAGTATACCGGTGGATTCTTTCCGTCTTTTCCGCGGTCAGCAACGAGTGTTCTCCAGAAAGCTTCTGGCGGTTTCCCCTTAGCATCCTCCCAGCCAGCAAGTTCTGCCCATTCTCTTGGAATCTGGCCGTTCAGCGAAGCCTGCTCCACTCGTTCGATGCTGTCAAGCTCAAAACCTCTGACGTACATGCTGTAATGGTTGAGTTCTGGGTCAGATCTTTTGCGGAACTTTAGCGTCTTCGTGTCAACCTTTTTGGTTTCTGCGGCCGCGTAGATCTTGTGTGTGGTACTGGGGAGGCCGACAAGAGGGTCTGCATTCTTCCGGCTCATTTTAAGACCCGTGATGCCAGCTTGTTGGTACATGCCAAATGGAGCTCCACTGAGCTGTGGAACCCAAGAAGGCAATTCCATGTCTTCTTTTTTCTTCGCCTCGTAGCTCTCAATCTCACCCTGCAATTTCTTTGATTCCTCGCCCTGATCTTGAGGTTGAGCGCTATCACGTCGACTGCCGAAGGAAGAGCCTCGATGAATTGGACGCCGCTGACTTTCGACTCGCTCTTTCTTCATGTCACTAATCTTCCGTTGGTGCTCCTTTTCTTGCTGTACCTTCGTCGCATTGAGCATCTTTTGGTTCGTGGCCCATGGTCGGCATATGACGTCCAAAGCTCGGCTTGGGTCGACTTGCATGGATCTTGCAATAGCGAACTCGATGAATTCTCTGCAAACATCCACGTAAGGCAGATCATAATTTACGTTGTATCGTTTACGTTGGGTGAAAACTTCAAGACCTTGGCGGACATAGTCGGTAGATCTATGATCATCGGTATGTCGGCTCGCGGCTTGTGGAGTGGTGTCTTTTGCGATGGCAAGAAGCGCATAAATTGTGTCATGTGGCATCGTGGTATCAAAGATCGTAAGGCTGGAGACCAGGTATTCGAGGCTGAGAAGTGGTCGCATCTGATTTTTGGCTACCACAGTGGACTTTTCTGGCTTATTTTCACTGCCATTCGGTGTTAAGTTGGCCACGTCTTCATCGTTATCAGAGTCGGAGTCAACATCCTCATCCTCATGCTTATCCTTCTCTTCACTGATCTGGTGCTCTTGCTTGAAATCTCGGAAGAGACGATCTGTCGCATCAACGAGCAGGCTGGCGCCCAGAGCGGACACATACTCGAACAATCCAGGAACGTGTTTATCTCTCGAGTCCTTTCTCATCACCTCAGACAACCGATGGGTAGCTGTTTCGACCTCAACAAAGAGCTCCACAGCGACGGCGAAATCTCTCCATCCAATAGAATGCTCTCCGCAATATACAGTCGCCTCTTGTGCCAAGGCAATTTCCTGTACAACCCATCTCCGAGAGAACTTAGCTAAAATTAGTGTAAATTTACAGGTAAGGTCAAGGAGATTTACCCAAGGTCGTTGCATTAATTCTAACAGTGCCTCCCATTTTTCGCTTGCGTCGCGCTGTTCGCATAGCCTGTCAAAATCTTTCAAGTGCAACACTTCGTTCTCAATGAACCGTAGAGCAAGGCAACTTGAGTCATTTGCCGTCCCAAGCCAGATGCAAACCTTGCTCGCTTTCCCATATATCTCAAACATCATTTCCACCTGGTGATTCTTTTCTTCAAGATCTGGAAGCCACTTGAGCAGCTGTTCATCGTGGGTAATGAGTAGGAGCAGACTGACTTTCTTGATCGATGCACACGGCATCCACCCATAGATAACGGTCCTTAGTCCGGTACCGAAGTGCTTTCAGAGCCTCAAATAGGTTGGGCTGGACCTTCTTCACATATATCTTGTTCTTTTGCCTGATGTTGATGAAGTTCTCCTTTTGCTCCTTTCCCCAGCACCACGATAAAGCCTCATACTTCTCAATACCATCTGTGCCACTCTCGATCAACTCGCATTCGACGTCGGGGTTTTGTGGATTGCTTGGATAGAGCTTGAGTATACGAATAGCGCCGCGCTTTCGCGCAATTTTGGCATAAGTGTATGGCTTGTGGTTCCCTACATGTTGCTGGTTCTTCTTGGCTTGTGGCTCACAGCATGCATTGCGCCCATCAGCGCCATTCTGGTGGGAGTGTCCATGAGTAGAAGCCATCACTTCGCGCCGCACAGTAACTATCCTCGCTCCCTGATCGAGTCTCAAGGCGCAATAAATAGGTTTCAGGTCCGGCGCGGAGTCCCAAATCCAATTCGGATTTGACCGAAGCTGCTATCCTAGAAAGCAACCTGTTCGACCAAACTGCATCAGCAATCCTGCATGGCGTTCACGGCATTACGAACAGCTGCAGATGTCGTCCTTTCATTGGTTCACCTGAGCGGTTCGGGGGGCGAGAACGACGACAAGGCTGGGAAAAGCAAAAGCGCGATTGGACAGCTGCTAGACGAGATGCAAGGCTGAAAAAGCCAAGACCAAGGTGGTACGCCGCATGCAGGAGAGGAGCAGATCTCGAGCTGATAAATGCGAAAGAAGACATCTGTGCGCATGAACGACCGTTCATTGCTATTTATTGCCCTATATCATGGGAAACGCCGGCCCCACACGATGTTTGTGAAACGATGAGCCGTTTCCGACATGTCGTCACATTGTAGCGTAGCTCCGAATCCATATCGATGCTTCGCGGCTGCTGTATGATCACGGTCATACGATTGTGGCTCGCCCCAATGCTCTAAAAACAAAGAATATTAGTTCTGGATCGTCCGACGTACAGCTTAGTCAACACAGCGGACTCGACGATAAGTGCACTACTGACTCTAGGGTCACCTAGGTATCTTCGTGACCGGTCTGGTAGAACATTGTGTAACTCTGTGACATCGTAATCAGTAATATTGCGTGGGCAATATTTGTGGTCTGGAAGCGGAAACCAAGAGACAATAACCCATGAAGGAAGAAGAGGAGGCCGCGGGGGAGCTATCATTTGTGTTGCGACCCGGCCCAAGCGGAGGCCGAAGTCGGTCGGTGGTTTCTTCTCTACCTACTACCGCCCACCCATAAACTCAGGCTTGAACGCCCTCACGCCGCCCGCTTTCATCAGCTCCCTCAGCGCCATCGTTGCATACTGGCTAGATGCAAGCTGCATTTTGAGCACCACTGCAATCTTATTCGCCGCCTCGTCTGCCATCTCGACATCCTCCCCATTCTGCACCTCCTCCTTCCCTTCTTCCTTCCTCACTTTCTGCAAGTCTGTCTCGACAAACTGCTCCTCAGGCCTGAAATAGCTGTGGACTGAGTATTCAAGAGGCTTCAGCGGCCGGGCAAGGAACTTCCTGTAACCCCCGCTCAGACTGACTTCCCTCCAGGGCCGGCGCATGTTGTGCGGATCCAGGCCTCCGCCCCTCTCGCTACCCATAAACTCCTCGTAGAACTTGGCGATCTCGTTCCTTGGGTATTCGACGTCGAAGCCTGGCTGCGGCAGCACAACGTCGAAGATGGTATACTGTCCACTCGCTGCTTCCTCTGCGGTCAGAGCACGGGCGCGCTCGAACTGGTCGTCCGCTGCGAGAGCACTATCGTCGCCTGCGGGGTTTATGACAATTTCGCCGTCTTGATCAATGGAGTCCTTAGTCGCGACTTCGGCATTGGCTTCCTTGTCTTTGTGCTCGTGAACAAGAACGAGGTCACCTTCCACGACCTTAGAGCCGTACGTGCTCCAGCGCTTGCCAGCTACTGTGTTCCACACGAGACTCTGATAGGCATGCACATACATCAGACGCAGCTGGCGTGGGATAATCTGGAGAGCGCCCTGCCAATCGCTCGTCCTGTCGTATCTTCCGCTTTTGCTGTTCCTGGAACTTAGGTGCTGGACGATGCTTCGCTCCGCCTTGAACTTGTATGGTAAGATTTCGAGAGCAGGACCGCCTTTGCCGGTGGTTTTCCAGATGTGTAAAGCTTTTGCGCGGTTTCTGTCATCCTGCGATATCATGATCGAGGGGTCTTCCGGCCTGCCTTCGGCAGCAGCGAGCGCGGTATCGCTGTAGGCTAGCAGATCTTCCACTGCGCCTTTCAGGTTGTTCTGGAGCATTTTCAGCCCCACGGTGTCGGTGCTAGCTGCGAAGGAACCGAATCGCTGCAGACCATAGTAGTTGATGAAGCCTTCTTTCGAGAAGTCTGTGATCGCCTTTGAAACAATGTCGTTGGCAAGCTTGACGCGCTGCTCCAGGTCCAGCCCCTCTTCGTTCTGGAAGTGGCAGTCACGTAGCGTTATGACGAACTCATTGCCTTTGAGATCGCCTAGGCCAAGGTCTCTTTTCTCATACGAGTAGTCGCCAACAGCCGCACTGAAGAGCATCTTGTTGAAATGGTTTATGCGCTCGGCAGTCTGGCGCTTTACGCAAACACGCTGGACAGTGCATGCGCGCCTGTCCTTCGTGCCTGCAAAGCTAAACGGGTTTTTACCTCCACCCAACTTGCTACCCAAGAAGCCGATGACTTCCATGGTGTCTTTGTTCTCCTTGTATAGCGTGAAATGCAAGTATTCACCACCCAGCTCTTCCCACGCAAGCTGTCCTTTTCGGCGATCCGGGCCGTTCTCACGGTTGTTGCCTCGATCTCCCCTCTCCTTCTTGTTCTTCCCTTTGCGTTCCTTTGGTGGAACCGCTTTAATGCGCAGCGACTGGTCGGCCTCCATGGAGCTTTCGAGCAGATTGGGGAAAATCCGGCGTAGCGACTGGTGAGCGCGTGTACGAACGTCTTTATCTGTAATTGGAGGCGCGATGACAGCTCTAAAGTCTTTTGCTTTCCGGTCTTCTTTCCTGCGTATCGCACGGACAAGCGCAACGATGTCCTTGGTAGTATCCTCTCCAAAGATTGCATGAAGGTCTGCCAAGTCCGCCTCCTGTACCACGAAAGTCTCGTCTTCTTTTGGAGGCTCTACTGCCTCTTTGCTGGTTGGCGCATTGTTGGCGGGGCCATTCTCCGTTTCAGCAGGCGGCGCAACTCCGTTCTCCTGGACCGCGCCCATTCCGCTCCCAACAGTCGTCTCCTGCACGACACTCTCTTCGAGCTTGAGTTTCGCAACAGGACCGCTCTCCTCCAACGCCTCTATTTTCCTCTTGGGGTTGCCATTCGCGCTCTCCTTGGCAGTCACTACCTCCTCCTCCTCCTTCTGCTCGGGCTTTCCCTCGACACCCGCCTTCCTTAAATGCAGAACCTCTCCATCGAGCCCAATCTCGTTCACCAAAAAGTCCGTGTACCGCTGCTTTAGCACGCCGGTGAATCCCAGGTTGTCCGGGCACACGTACTCGGTGATGCCGGCTCTGGCTTCGCGCTCGAGGTCGTGCTCGTTGGTGCTGGTGGGCGTGTCGGAGACGATTGGCGCTTTGGGGAGCGCCTCTGCGGAGGGCTCGTCAAGGCGCGCGCGTTTTGCGGGGCGCGCGTTTATGTCTGAGGGCTCGGACATGGCGAATGTGTGTGTTGTGTGTGAAAGCTTGAAGAGCTGCAGGGTAAGTTTTCGAGAGCTATGTTTTTTTGCGGGGCAGGATTAGGCGAGGGGCGCTTTGGCGCGGCGCCGGGTAGGGCAGGGCGAAGTGCACTGGGTGGACATCACAGTAGACGATGGAGGCATTTTGCATTTCATTGGTTTCAGATTTGGTTCATCTTTCGTTGCATTTCGTTCGGTTGCTCTACATATTGTATGCGCGTCCTTGACTAGTCGCCTATACAATTCCTTCACTTCAGTCCACCACCACGTCCCATCACTTCCAGCAACTCGGGTATAACATGTCTTGCTGTTGCTGTGCTTCGCGCGACATTCAAGGTTCTTGAGCGAGAGTAAGAAAGGTAGATACATGCTTCATGCTATGCTGATCAATAGGGCCCCGCAAGAGGGAAAGAAGTAAGTCTAAATCGAGGAGGTATCTCGCGGCCAAATGAAGAAGAGAAATAGGAGACTCGTCAGCCTGAGGAGCAGGCACGGACGCATCTACGCCTGGGCAAAGATGCCCAGCGTGGCGCAGAAGTTGGACCTGTTGTCGCTGTCGAGCGCAAGACCCTTGCCATCCTGCGTGATCATGTTGACAGACGCTTTGGAGGACAGACCAAACACGTTGATGTTGGTCGACTTCGCGTCAATCTCGTTGATGTGCTCCTGGCAGTTGTTGGCCGCGACGCAGTCCTGGCTGTAGTCCTGGAAGAAGCTGTATGTGCCCGCACCGTACACCCAGATGTTGTCGCTCTCGATGATCCGCACCGCCCAGGCTGTCTTGTCGCTCTTGGCGCTCATGTCCGGATCGAAGTACTTATCGTTCTTCTTGAAGGGCTGCAGCGCGTTGGGGTTGGGCTGGTAGTACGGCGTCTCGGTCTGGATGGCGCCGAGGTAGATGTCCTTTGCGCCCTGGAAGTGGTACTGAGAGAGGACAGAGTGCTCCGAAGCGGTGCCGTAGAGCCAGACGGGTCCCTGCGACTCGACGAGCATGCCACGTCCGTTGTAGATGTCGATCTGATTGTGGTCCTTGAGGTCGAGCTCGTGGTCGGCGGTCCACAGCCAGACATTCTCGAAATAGCCGTTGGAGTTCTTGGTGATGTGGAGCTGCATGAAGGAACCGATGCATTTGGGGTCGGCGTCGTGCGTGGTGCCGTTCTGCTTGCTGCACGTGTCGGACTGGAGCTCAGTACCTTGGAAACCACCAACGCGGAAGTGGACGTCCCAAAGACCAGCGGCGCCGTTCTCGGCATTGATGTTCCACTCCATGAGGATAGCACCGGGAGCGGGTCCCTTGGTGGTGATGATGGAGTCGGACATCTCGAAGGCACCCTTGTCGCCGGTCTGTTTGCCGACCTGGAAGAGCGGCTTGGGGTTCTCCATGTCCTCAAAGTTGGCACCGGTAGCCATTAGGAGAGGGTAGGTCTCACCGACGATCTTGATGTTCTTCTCGGCAGGGATGACGATGGTGTCGGAGAGGATGTAGGCACCGTGATCGATCCAGAGGACCTGGCCATCGGTGAGACCATCTATGGCAGCTTGCACAGCCTTGGTGTCGTCGGTCTTACCGTCACCCTTTGCACCAGCAGTCTTCAGGCTGACGAACTGGCCGGCAGCAACGTCAGCGTAAAGAGGCTTGCTGCGCTCGAAGAGACCACCGTCTTTACCGAGAAGGCTCTGGGGCTTCGTAGGTCCGTTCTGAACATTGCCCTGGACGCGGCCCTGGGTGCCGCCAGAGGCAAGAGCGTTACCCTGAGCCCAGGTCTTGACAATCGAACCACCAGCGAGGAGCTTTTTGCCTTGAAAGTCTTGGACAGCTGTCTCGGTGCCAGAGAAGTCAACATTGTCGATGATGAGGGTGCCACCACCGACGGGAATGCTGGTCTCGGAGAAAGAAGTGTTGACACCGATAGGGGTGGAAATGTACTTGCTGTCCAAGAGGAGCACAGAGCCGACAGTCTGGTTATTAGGAGCGTTGGCCATATCGAGACCGACCTTGCAGCCGTTGAAGGTGTTTGACTTCATGGTCCAGAGCCAGTTCCAGTTCATGTAGATACCGGTACCGCACTTGTTGAAGGTCATGTTACGGGTAGTGAATTGTTGGCTACCGAGGAAAGCACCAATGGCACCGCCGTTGAAGACGAGGTCAGTCATGAAACCACCGGAGCCGTTGTCTTGGAAGATACCCTTTTGGGCCTGGCCCTCGGGTGTGCTGGCATCGGCCATGTTGAAGACGACATTCTGGATGCTGGTAGCTTGTGAGACCTGCCAGTGCACACCGGCGGCGGCCTTAGCAGCCGAGATATCAATGATGAAGTTGCGAATGGAACGGTAGAAGTTGTTCTGGTTGGTGAACCAGTTGGCGCCGTTGCCACCCTCAATGTAAGGGTCAGCATCGATGAGACCCATACCCTCGAAAGCAGCGGTAGCCTTGAGCGTGGGTAGCTGCTTGGCATCGCCAATGAATTGAGTGTAGTAGTACTGAATAATGGGCTTGCTAATCATGTAGGTTCCGGGGGGGAAGTAGACGACGGCCGGGGTGATGGTGGTAGAGTCACAACCCTCACCGCACCGTACTTCGCTGTCAGAAGAGGTCTTGGTCAGGGAAGCGATGGCCTTGTTGATAGCGGCGGTATCGTCGGTTGAACCGTCACCCTTGGCTCCGAAGTCCATAACATTCCGGTACACTAGGTAGGTATCCGGGGCCTCGTTGAATGCGGCTTTTCCTTGTCCCTTGGAAGCAAGTTCAGGAAGCCAGTAGCCACTGGCTGCGCCCGTTGCTGGAGTGTCTGCCTGTGCGACCGGCGCAGCAGACGACGGGGTTGCCGAAAGAAGCACGCGCAGCGTGAGGAAAAGCGCCGTGGCGCTGAATGCTACCATGGTGATAGCTAGTGTGAGTCTTGAAGATGTAAAGGTTGGTTTGAAGGATTGTCGGAACTTTGGGATTCGAAGTTAGTCTCACAGAGACGCGTCGGTGGGGTTGCTGGGTAAAGAATGCAAGTTGTTGGAGCAACGGTGGAAGGGGAAAGAAAGTCTATGTAGAAACACCGTGCATAGTAGAGTGAAGGTGGCAATGAATGAATGACCGACACAATGCGGATGAATAGAAGAGAATAGAACAATGCAATGCGAGCAACTGCAAGCCGCGTGAAGGCGAGAATGCAGGTGAGCGGCGGACATTGTTCATATAGAGAGTCACCGGAGGCAAAAAGAGATTAGGCTGGACTCACAGAGGCGAGGGTAGGTTCGCGCCAATGGGCAGGTGTGTTTCCAAACCTCCTTGTTTCAAGTTTCTGATGGCCGGCATGTGTTTCTCGCTCCCATCTGGCCCCTTCACTACCAGCATGGCATTGACATTTTATATCCGGAGTCTTCACCATGTACCCTATCTCTTTCTCCGCGCCACCATGCCCAGTGACGCCCGTCGGCCCATTCACGCCAGCCCGCAAGCCATGGGAATGCTGCGTGCCATGATGAGGACACAGAGCCATGGCTGCCGGCGGGAGAGCGCGCGCCCGAAGCGGCAGCGAGGAATGCACGACGCTCGACACTTGCACACGCAGATCTCGGCTTGCAGGGGAGTCAGTTGATAGCGTTCCCAGCCATTTTGCGGGCGTGAAACAGGCAGAGGCCGTCGACCAGTCAGTGGAGCGGAGCCTGAAGAGCCCAGCGAGGGTCGTCGTTCTGTGCCTGGCATGGCGGCAGATCGCTCGCCAAGGGTGCCGCCGGTGCCACAGCCGAGTCCAGGGCTCTGAAACAGCAAGGCGTCTCAGCCACCGAATCGTTGGCTCGCATGCACCGTCTCACTGGCTTCGCGGGAGATAATCCTGCTACCAGCGCTTCAGCACCAGGCGCTGGCTGCCCGGCGAGAGGCCACGGCAAGGCGACGGGCCGCCAGCACATCGACACCCGCCGCCAAAGCAGTAATTCTGTCGCCCTGAAGAGTCACCCGCGCAGCGCTGTGCCGCCGGACAACTCACGCCGTCAGATGTCGCCCGCCCGGTTAGGCCCCAGACAGAGAGCCAGCCCGTGGGGATAGAAGCTTCGCCGCATCCTTCATTTCACAGTGCTTGGTTCGCGACGGACGTCGAAGCCCGTAGGCAGGGGACCTTAATGTCTAACGCAGTCGGGAAGCTGTCACGAACAAAGGGCCTCCTCCCTCACCTCGTTCTGCAGTCGCCTTGCCTGCTTCACCGTCTGGCATTTTTGAGCTCGCACTGTGCGACTGTAGCACCACAGCTTCTCCACGCGGCCGAGCCCTGATTGACATTGGGCAGACCCACACCGCCGTGGATCGTGTACGAAGCGGCGCATCACGAGCTTCTCCGCGCAGAGAAGGCGCTTGCAGCCTGTGATAGAATATACTTTCATTTCAGGTGGCACTACGGAGTCGACCATCGTTTGATGGCAGCAGCGCACGCGTAGATCCCCGCTGCTTAGCTGACTCTATTAATGCTGCATCTTTAGCCAATAGGAAGCCTTGACGGGGCATTCTACACGCTCATCGTCCGCGCGATAGCCAGAAAAGTGGCTATACTTGTAATTAAGCTCACATGCATCGGAGATTTGGACTCGCCTTAGCCACTCCGTTGCTTTACCAAAAGTCCTTTGCGCTGGCCTCGGTGGCGTGTTGCATGGACGACTGTGCCGACTGTGCACCCCCATCTTGTTGCTCACGCTGGAGCGTGCGTATCACGCGTGCAAGGCGCGCGATACCCTCAGCTAGTACAGCTTCGTCTTCCCAAGCAAAGCACATCCTACGAGGGTTAGCACAGTCGAGAACCATATTTCAGAAAATATCTATGCCCAAAGTAAAGTGGTCGTCGGCATATGCAATGTAGATTGCGCGGCAACGCTGCACTGGCTCCAAGACATGGCGGGTGCCTACCTGATATCATTTTCGAAATGGGTACCTGCGTGCTTTGTATCACCCGGCACCTCGAAAATCTCACCCTGCATAGGACGATCAGTGTAGCCGGATAGCACTCGAGACACTTCGTACCTGCGCAACAACAACGTTCTCCTCTTCTTTCGCGCGTTGCACGACGACAGAGCTCTCGATTCCGGTCGGCAATGTCAGCCAGATAAAATACCCTCCGACGACGTCACGACCTGTTTGTGGCAGACGAGCTCCAAGAGGGATGAGTTCTTTTTCGATTGCTGTTACCATCTTCTGATAACGTCTGCCATAGGAAGGCTGAAGGACCTCATAGACATGGCGCTGGAGATCTCCTGACGCAAGCATCTCTGCGAGAAAGGTAGCGGCGATCTGAGAAGGCGCACCGCCTGACCTACTTGAGCCGCTGTAACCACGTTAACTGCCAATCAGATGTGATGTCCCCTTTCGGTCGTCTTCACAACGTACAGTCCACCGTGCGACGCTCTAGAACGCTACACAACGAGTTACGACTCCATAGTGCGTGCCACAACGCTTTGGGTGGGATCGGACATGGCACACTTACGTCTGAGAAACACCAAATGCCAGTTTCGAGGTACCTTCACACCAACCAGTCCTTAGACCCGGGCCAGCAATTTTCGAGAAGCTACCGTTTGACACCGAGTTGCCGAATCCATCAGCACCTTCCCGTTCTGCACCACCGTCGTGGTATCGATCGACATCGACGATTCTAGGCAGAATGGCTTTGTCGAGAGACAAATTCTTGGCCGTTAGGCTCGCTGGCCATTGCAAGAAGTCTGGTCGATTTACTAAGTCGGAGTTACACCGTGGCATCTACCGAAGCACATACCGTACACATCATCCGTGATGATTAAAGCGTCGTACTCCCGTGCTAGTCTGACTAGCTGTTCCCTTCGCTTTAGGGTCATCGTCTTGAACGAAGGGTTCGAAAAGGTAGGAACTGCATAGATGACGTGGCGATAGAATTTGGACCATGGTCTGTGAGGCTTAATGGGCTATGGCGGGTCAGTCCGGTACAACATTGTGCATTGAACATCTCGGGCGGCTGGGGAAGCATCGTACGAACGGGTGTCGTAAACCAGCAACTGACGGTACGCTAACACAGGCTTTCGCGTTCACTCCCGTAGGTGTAGGGCGCATGTCCGTGTAAGGGCTCGATAGGATTGGTGCACCTGGAGGTGTGCAAGCGTAGCGCAACTCACCTCACTGCTGTCTGATTGTGCTTGTGCTTCGTCCTCTCTCTTTTTGATTTCACTTCGCAAGTACTCAATATCGATGCCTTGTTCATCCTCTGGCACTGCTCGCAACTTTAGTCCGCTGTCATCAAAAATTCTGAAAGCCAGCATATAGGCTGGAGCAACGATCCACACATTACGCGTATACACCGGATCCGTGAACACCTGGAGGAGGTTCGCCAGATTCTGCGAAGCTCCACCGGTGACAACAATACGCTCGTCAGATATAGGTGCCGCTGGTCGGTAAAAATTCGTAAGCCATAAGGCCATGTTTTGGCGTAACTGCCGTACATCTCAGCAACCATTGAGACTACTGCTCATCTGTAGGCGCGGTACTTTTAGATCACCATTGTCAGGTGCGTACAACAAAGCGGGAAACGCTATCGACGGATCCTGAAGTACACTGCGCGAGCCCTTTTCGATAAGACGAGTAGGGAGTAGCGAAGCGTTCGGCCATCTGAAGCGGAGTCGGGTTAGCAGGGGTTCCCAATGCCGCAATGCCAGTGCTGTCAGTTACGCGTAACACTTATAAACCGCGGCCCACGCGGCGCACAATGGCCCAAGGCCTGCTAGCGAAGGAGCAAGAGGCTAGGAAAGCTGACGTGCCCTCTCAGTAGATTGATGAGTTTTTTAGAGCTAGTTGCGGAGCCAACAACCTCGGAGAAGTTCAATGCAGCCATGGTTCTCTTTGGTCGCGAACGAGAGCGGACGAAATATCGAATATATTGGATGCTGAGGCATCCGAGTCAAGGCGTTAGCACAGCAACGGCAACGCTAGCCGTGCCTATGGAGGGGAAAAACGCGCTATCGATATGGTCTGTGGCTAGAGGCGTGTGGCGCGCGGGCTGAGGCAGCTGGATGCGGTACGACTGGGTTGGGACAATAAAAGAATTACCCTAAGAAAAGAATTGCCCTAATGTTGCAGTGCAGGATGCATGCTGGGGAAGCGCCGTCAACTTGCGGATGTTGATTTCGCTCGTTCGAGCTTCGAGCAGGCGATATTCGCCAAGCTTTCCGATTCCATTGACAGGGCATACGTCATGGCGCCAGGCGAAGCATCAAGCGACACGGGCGAAAACTGCTCGTGCTGTACTGCTCCTCAGCTGCGGATGTGGTCGTAAGCTGAAGGTCGGCAGCAACCGGCTGCACGCCGCTCCCGTTCCAGCAGGCTGCTGCGGTTCGAGCGGAGTGAGGCCTTTGACCTTTGCGCGGCACATGGTCAACACTTGCGGGCCGTCGGCGTCGTCCCTGGATCCCACACAGAGGTATGGCGCAGGGCCAATTTAGCACCACAATTTGAGGTCGGATGACGACTCGCCTGCGGTAGATCTGCTCGGAAGCACGCACTCATGGCTGCCCGGCGCAACGGTGTCAAAGGTGAAGAAGCAATGTTCAATATGCCCAGCAAACGACTCTCGAAAAGGGCGTCTTCAAGTGCTGGTTGAAACTCGCCCGGCCTGACCAGCATGAGCTATATGCGGCCTCAAGCAGTGTCACAACAAAGCGGCTGTCCCGGGGGCCATGCAGGCCACGTTTTTCGCTGTGTGGCGATGGTGTTGGTCTCAGCACGGGCGGCGTCATCGAGGGACCCCTGTCGAGGTGCTTGCTCTTCACAGGCAATGGTTTCATATGCTCCAGTTTTGCACTGGCCGCCTCGTCCGCTGGCCGCACGCCCTACATATACAATGGGCCTCCCCAAGGCACTAGCTCCGCATAGCTCTCCCTCACGACAACACTTGAAGCTATCACCGGAATTGCCGCCGTCGTTCATGGCGTTGTGTTTGTTTGTACCCCCCACCGCATAGACGAACCTTGGGTCGAACGTAACTCCGCAGCCATCCGACTGCGCTGCCCACTCGAATCTCATTTTCCGCATTCTGGCCTGTTTTGTCCACCATTTTGGAGCCATTGTGTGGTCGAAATTGGCAAACAAAGGCTGACCTGCTGAGCTTGCCCGCGCCGCCGTCTTGACCGATCCCTCCTCGACATAGAGCATCCGCTGCGCTGCACCATGCTGAGCGCACCCAAAAAGAATGCGGGCCGCAGGCTCTCCTCGCTCTTCTCGTTGGGCTCGACCGACTCGAAAGACATCAAGGAACCAAAAGAATCGGGCTCTGCTGCCTCTTCAGACTCAGGTAGCCGTTTGTCAAAAGTAAAGAAGCGCATCACCTCGCACTCGTTGACACCCGACTACCCTCCTCCTTCCCACAGTCCACGCAACGTTTCCGATAGCACGCCAGTCACGATCCAGACCGTCGAATCCGTAGCTGCCGCTTTCGCACCGCTCGAGCCGCCACCCCCTCTTACCAGTTCCAACCCGAACTCGCGAAGCAGCTCCCCTAGCCGACTGAGCAAGAGCAGGCCTGGCACACCCGGCACACCCACTGCAGGTCTGCTCACGCACGCGACAGACGCAGAGGTCAAGAAGAGCAGACGTCGCAGCAGGTTGTTCGGCTATGGAGAGAGCAGCGATGAGCGCGTGGATGCGAGCCACCGGCACCTCGACGGCCCGTTGGCGTGGGTCGTTGGGCATAAAGGGAAGGTGGAATACAGTTTGACCATGTTGTTGAACGGCGAGAGGGTAAGTCTATATGGGATGAGCTGCTTGAGGGAGGCTGACGTGCTCGACAGGTACCCGAATTGTGGGATGATAACGGCGACACCCTCGTATACCTCTTTCCGCGCACCTCCGACAAGGGCCCTTCTTTCCGCATAGATTCATCCGTGTATGCATCGTCTCAGTACATGACGAAGTTGCTACATGGGCAACTTTATAGCGAAACTGCTGAACTGCCGGACCGCTCTGTACGCAATTCGTCAGCCACATACGGGTATCCTTCGCGCACCGGCTCCCCAGATGCCAGTGTGATAGACAGTTCCGAGGGATCAAAGGGATCGAGAGCTCTCAGCGATGCGACTGAGGACGATCATTCAGAAAAGCATTTGTACATGCCTATCGCTTTGTCTACCGATCAAGCTCCCGTCACACCAACGAACTCTGAGCCCAAACTGGCTACTAAAGACATTGATATTCTTGTTTCTTATCGCAACTTTTTCGCATTTCTCATTGGACAGTCTTTGGTGGCTACCAAGCGCCATTCCGAGATTTTTGACATTTTTCTTCGCATATCCGACATTCTTCAGCATTACAATTTCTCGAATGTAGACGGGTCTACATACGGCGAGGTCGCAGCGTCAAGCTTCAATGCCTACGTTGACGAATTGTACATGGCGGATGTTCGACAAAGTCGGGTGAAGACCATTGAAGCTATTGTCCTTGGAGAGAAGATGCGGTCTATGTCGTTGTACACTGAGGGTTTCGTCCACGCTGTGGGCAAGTTTGACAGTATCAAGGAACTCAACGATCCCAAATACGAGATGATCAGCCCGAAGACAGGGACACGTCTAGCTCGCGCGGCTTTGGACTTGGATAACCGGGAAAAGAGCATCAACAACAAACTCAAGGAGTTCGAGTTTCCTGCCATGTTTGCCGGCATCATGAACTCTGCCATGGCAGACGAGAAAAAGGCTGTACGGTTTGGTAAGTGGAAATCGGCGTTCATGAGTACACGTTCATTTGCACTGGACTACTACAAAACGAAATATGGAGGTTGGTTGCCAAAAGCGCGGTCAAAGAAGAACAATCTCACTACAAGCGGACTGAATCGCTTGGTATTACGAGAAATCTACCACGATCTGTCCGACCTCTACGATCTGCTAGTGGATCGAACAAACCTTACCAACCGTACGGCCGATGGGTTCATGAGCGAGGACGAGCGGACAGACTTCGAATCGATCGCAGCCCTTGCCATGCGCAAGGTCTTGAGCGAGTACGATCGCAGCACGCCGCCTGTGCAACCGCCGATACCTTTTGATATACCATTGTATCCTACGCTGAGGGAAGTCAACAGGGACTATCCGTCTGGTGATAGAAAGAAGGACGCGAAGGCGCGTGGCAAGAAACTCAGCAAGGACCAGATCGCGCGGATGGTCAAGGCTGCGCACAATGCAGATGCCGAAAAGAATACCGCGTTCTTGGATGCTTTCCGGCACTTTGAGCAGAAGCAGGCTTCTGGTTGCACCATGGAAGAGCTTTACGAATTGAGGGCAGGTCAATGGCTCTTCCTCTACGCTGTGATTCAGTCTTTACCCATGTTAGTAATCGATGCACCTGGCGTTCGCTTCACCGACGGTGTGGAGTACTTCCTTTGTGAGGTGCCACGAGCTGGAACACCTTGGGGTCGGGAGGATACTTCGCGCGCGAGAACCTGGTTCAACGTCGCTGGAGGCTCTCAAGTCGTAAGCCTGCCGACTGATGTCGTCGAGAACGGAGTCGAAGGCGTCTTCCGCAGGTCTCACTGCTGGCAAATGGCATCGAAATGGGCGCAGAACGACACAATGTTGAATGCAGCTATGCACGAAATGAACGCGGCCCCTCTGCCACCTCCACCTGGGTTCTTGGACGCCTCAGCAGCAATACCGCGGCCTCGACCAGAAAGTCAACACAGCGACCGTCGACGCGAGAGCGTGATGAACCTTGGCTTAGAAGCTCTGCCTCTTCCTCCCAGTTTTGCGCCGGGAGGCGCTGCTCCCTCACCTGGCAGTAACTCGCCCATGTTGCGACCCGTATCTATGCACGACCCGAACAAAACCTTCGACTCGATTCTTGAATCAGTTCCCGACAAGAAAGGCAAGAAGGATAAGAAGAAGAAATGATCCGACATGTTAACACGACCATTCCGCAAAATCAGACATAGCATTTGAATTGTAAATATTGCACCGGCGTTGCATTGCAATTTGCGTTTTGCATTTTCCTTGATTTTTGGCATTGAATGGATTGATGCTTTTTCGGAGTCAGTCACGGTAGGAAAAAGAATTTGGGTAATGGTAGATAGGTAATGATCCATTGCAATGGAAAATGAAGGGGAAAGGTAGAGTAAAAATATACATTGCGCTTTGACCGTCTGTCAGAGGACGTACGTGGCGCCAAAAGGTACTTCAAATTTGATATTCAAGCATGTCAGGGTGTTTTTGCTTTCAGTCAGTGATTAAGTTTGTTCGGAGAGAGGGCCGTCATCGCCGTCGCTTTGTCGCGGCTGTGGTCGCGAACCGAGCGCGTATCGTGTTAGCGCCGATAGCGGTGTAGATTTCCACAAGCTCCCTTCCACAGACACCGTAACTTTCACAGCCTGGCAGCTTTCTCTTAGTTACAACTGCGCCTGCTCCCCAGAGTGACCGCCGCAATGACGTCCTCACTACCGGGCAATCGCGACCTGCCAGCCTCGCAGTATGATCTCAGCACATACTGGGGCCGTGTGCGGCATTGCGCAGACGTTTCTGATCCAAGGTGAGATTGCCGCGCGGATGAGCTTCTTTTCTAGTGTACCGAGTGGTGAGTGCCACTGTTCTGCCTCCCTTGCTGACCATATGTACGCCTTGTCTGGGTCAAAACTGTGGCTAACAATTGCGGTGCAGAACGCTCCTCACATCCTCCGCCGGCCTCGATAATGCGAAACAACTCGTCACCGCGTATAAGACGGGGAAGATGCAGGATATGACGCCCGAGTTATGGAAGGCGAAGAAGATCATCGATTCTACGATACACCCGGGTGCGAACTGGTATGCCAAGGAAGGACAATAGGGCAAGCGCTGATTATGCATAGATACGGGAGAGCCTGTTGTTCTGCCCTTCAGGATGTCTGCCTTCGTGCTGTCCAACTTGGTCGTCACGGGCGGCATGCTCACACCAGGACTTGGGGTGCGTAGCGTAATCACAGATGCCCGAAGGCTGCTAAGAAATGAGTAGACTGCAGGAACGCTCGGCTGGCAGGTAGTTAACCAGTCACTCAACGTGGCTATCAACTACTCGAACGCGAACAAATCGACCCCGCTACCTACCTCAGCCATCGTCAAGTCATACTTTATCGCCGTAGGCGCGTCTTGCGGTGTTGCGCTTGGGCTAAACTCCGCAGTGCCCCGCTTGAAGCGCCTCTCTCCTAATGCCAAATTGATCGCTGGACGTCTGGTACCATTCGCCGCTGTCGCATGCGCCGGTGTGTTGAATGTGTTTTTGATGCGTGGTGAGGAGATACGGAAGGGCATCGACGTATACCCGGTCCTTACGGACGAGGAGAGGCAGCGGGTGGACAGGGGCGAGCTGAAGGTGGAAGCTCTGGGCAAGAGCAAGAAGGCAGCAACGCTTGCGGTCGGCGAGACAGCGATAAGCCGTGTATTGAACGCGACACCTATCATGGTTCTGCCGCCACTCATCCTCGTGCGGTTGCAGAAGACAGAGTGGCTGAAGCAGAGGCCGAGAATGACAACACCAGTGAACCTTGGTGAGTCTTTCAGGCGGGCAGAAGGCGTTTGTATGGTTGCACATACTAATGGGGACAGGTCTCATCTTCGCGACGAGCATCTTTGCACTGCCACTGGCACTTGCTGCCTTCCCTCAGCGACAGGCCGTCAGTGCCAAGTCACTAGAGGATGAGTTCCACGAGCGTGGAGGAAAGGACGGCTTGGTGGAGTTTAACCGCGGCATATGAACCTTGGAGTCATATGGTGGAGTCATATTAGCAGGCCCTGTCTGACACAAGAAAACTAGGGCAAAGCACACGTTGTGAAAGTGTAGCTTGGGTACACGCAGGCAGGCGGAGGACGGAGGGGTGAGCCCTCTGATTGGCCAATAGCCGGGCAGCTTCGTGCAGCAGAGGGCTGCGAGACGGATAATCTGGCTTGTATCTAGGAACAGAATCTATACTGCAAGCCTCTCATCGGCGGCAAATTGAACGGATACTTGTTTTGAAACTGTACAGACACCGTGCCCGAGCGGTCGTGGTCGTGGCGCGCGCAAGTCAATCTGTCATTTTCGGTCAAAGAGCCACCTGGCTCGAAGGTCCGCGAACAGGGTAGCTACCTCCGACATTTAAACATTTCAGTAAAGCTCTCGCCCGCTCTCCACGTCTTATGTACACATAGCTCAATACCTCGGGATACTGCTCCCTTCCTTTCCCTATAGACGAATTCAAGTTCGAAGCAAATCCAGATATCCGTGCGGCGCATCGACTTCCCCACCGCCACTTGTCAGAGGCATCCCACCTCACACCGTATTTACTGCGTCGCCCGCACACCACCCAAAGCCTTGACCCAGCACTCGCACAATGGCTCCTCCCGGCCGCCGGAGACACAACTTGTCTCCTGCTGCAGTATTCCTCGGCCTCGTATTCCTCTTCTCGTCAACTGCATCCGCCGCCTCGGCCGTCCTGGGTATCGACCTGGGCACCGAATACCTCAAAGCCGCGCTCGTCAAGCCCGGCATCCCCCTTGAGATCGTCCTCACCAAGGACTCAAAGCGCAAAGAGACTTCCGCCGTCGCTTTCAAGCCGCTGAAGAGCGGCGCGCTACCGGCAGGCGAGTTTCCAGAGCGCTTCTACGGCAGCGATGCAGTGGCTCTGGCTGCGCGGTTCCCCGGCGACGTCTACCCCAATCTGAAGCAACTGCTTGGTGTGAGCAGCGAGGGCGATAATGTGAAGGTGTACAACTCGAGATACCCCGCGCTGAACGTTGAAGGCTTAGAGGGCAGGAAGACGGTTGCGCTGCGGAGCGGCGTGTTCGCGGCTGAGGAGAAGCCATTCTCGGTCGAGGAGCTTTTGGCTATGGAACTGAAGAATGTGAGGGACAACGCGAAGGTATTGGCAGGCAGCGACGTGTCCGACGCTGTCTTCACGGTTCCGCCGTTTTACACCGTTGAGGAGAGGAGGGCCCTGGAGGTCTCCGCGAGACTAGCAGGCTTGAATGTCCTGAACGTGGTCAGTGATGGACTGGCTGTTGGCATCAACTACGCGATGGGCCGGACGTTCCCTGTCGTCAACGAGGGAGGCAAGCCGGAGGTCAACCTCGTTTACGACATGGGCGCTGGATCCGCTTCTGCGACTGTTATCAAGTTCCAGGGGCGCAGTGTCAAGGATGTGGGCCGTTACAACAAGACTGTTCAGGAAGTCCAGGTTCTCGGCGCGGGCTGGGACAAGACGCTCGGCGGTGATGCGCTCAACTCGCTAATCATCGAAGACATGATCTCCTCGTTCGTCGAGCTTCCAGGCGCAAAGAGCGCATCCATCACTGCGGAGAAGGTAAAGGCCCACGGACGGACCGCTGCAAAGCTCTGGAAGGAGTCTGAGAGGGTCCGCCAGGTTCTCAGCGCCAATACTGAGACACAGTCTTTCTTCGAGAGCTTCTTTGAGGACGTTGACTTCCGCTACAAGATATCTCGCTCCAAGCTTGAGGAATTGGCCACGGATTACGCTTCTCGCGTTGAGGGCCCCATCACACGCGCTCTTGAAGTCGCTGGTCTGGAGCTTTCTGACATCGACGCCGTCATTGTCCACGGTGGTGCAACTCGTACTCCATTCGTCCAGGCCCGTCTTGAGGCTCTTGTCGGCAAATCAAAGATCAAGGCTAACGTCAACTCCGACGAAGCCGCAGTGTTCGGCGCTGCCTTCAAGGCCGCTGGTCTCAGCCCCTCATTCCGCGTGAAGGAGATTCGCGATACGGACACCCAAGGGTTCACCCACGGCATCCAGTACATGTTCAACCTAAAGGAACGTGACCAGAAGATCTTCTCGCCATCCACCAAGATCGGAGCCACCAAGGACCTGCCCTTCCAGATGATGGGCGAGTTCGAGTTCACGCTCTACCAGGCTACACCTGGCCCCAACGGCGAAACGGTCAAGCAGCCTACCCTCCACTTCGCAAGCGGAAACCTTACTAGGGCTGTCACTGAGTTGATCGACAAGGAAAGCTGCGACCGCGACAGCTTCAACAACTATGTTCAAGTCCGGCTCAGCCCCATCACTGGTGAGCCTGAGGTTACTTCCGCATGGGTCACCTGCGAAACAGAGGTCAAGACTGGAATCGTTGACGGCGTCAAGAATTTCTTCGGTATGGGCGACAAGAAGGATCAGGAGCCTTTGAAGGATGGCGAGGATGCTTCCGAGTCCGCTTCATCGTCAAAGTCATCCTCGAAATCTTCCAAGAAATCCAAGTCGTCCAAGACATCCTCTGGTTCTGCCTCTTCCACCTCTGGTGCTGCTGATGCGGCGGCTTCTGACGCCGTTCCTAAAAAGAAGACGGTGCGGTCTGCGATTACCTTCACGGTAAAACAGCAGGGATACGAGAAGCACCCTCGCAAGGAGTTCAAGCGTATGCAGGATAGGTAAGCTTTGGATCTATCCGCAACATCTCACGTTACTGACAGGGATAGGCTCACCGCATTTGATGACTCTGACAAGGCTCGTCGCAACCGCGAAGAAGTCCTGAACGCCCTGGAAGCGTTCACCTACAAATCCCGTGACTATCTAGAGGACGAGTCATTCATTGCCGTGTCCACTGAGACCGTTCGCTCTACGCTCGAAGAGAAACTGAGCGCTGCCTCGGAATGGATTTACGCCGAGGGCCAGGATGCCGACCATAAGACTCTGAAGTCCAAGCTCAAGGAGCTTGAGGACATCGTTAAGCCGATCCTGAAGCGCAAGACCGACTCCCTCGAGCGCCCGGAAGCCATTAAGAAATTCGAGGCCAATCTCGCAGATGTCAAGACCGCTATTGACTTGGTTAAGGCCCAGATCAATGATCAGGAGGCCGCTTTGTCCAAGTCTGCGGAAGCCGCAAGCAAGGCCTCTGCTTCTGCCACCGAATCACTGACCGCTTCCGCTTCAGCTGATTCGCTCGATGATCTTGAGGAAGATCCCCATGCGTCTGCATCTGAGTCTGCCGCTGCCACCGAGCCCACGGAGGTCCCGATCATCTACACCGAAGAGGATTTGACCTTCGTCCAGGGGACGTATGAGAATGCCAGCAAGTGGCTTGAAGAGAAGCAAGCCGCACAGAAGAAACTCAAAGACAGCGACGACCCAGCCGTCTCAGTCAAGGACATCAACGCCGAGGGCGAGAAGCTCAGCAATGCTGTCATTCAAATCATGATGAAGAAGGCGCGCATCTACAATGCTCCAAAGCCCAAGAAGCCTGCCGCCAAGAAGCCCAAGAAGGACACCAAGAAGAGCAAGAAGGCGAAGAAGGACGGCAAGAGTCCTTCCCAGGAAGAGCTTGAAGAGGCGCTCGAGAAGGCCGGCCTTAAGAAGGATAGCATCAAGTTCGCCAACTTTGACCACCCGGAGGAGATCCTGGACAAGGATGGCAAGCTCAAGACGAAGTTGGACTTGCCCGAAGGCGCGAGCGAGGAGGAGATCAACGAGGCAATTAAGAAGGTCATGGATAATGTGCAGAGCAAGAAGGCGGAGGAGGATGCCGAGAAGGAGAAGGGCGCGAAGGTTACGGGTGGTGTTCACGATGAGCTATAGACGTCGGTATGAGGAAAGTTGGCAAAGGCGATAGAAATGAAGGAATGGACATGTGTATATGTAGACCCATGAGATGAGGATATCGAGCATTTGTAGGAGTTTTGCGGGAACTTAAAATAGTTAAGGATCTTTGGAATGCACTCTGTCGTGCTCTGTGTGAATGCGAGCCGAGCGCATGCTGATACCCGCTTACGCGGCGGCATCTCCAGATTGTGATTGGTGGATGCTCGCGTAAGCCCACAGAGGTACCAGACCAGGCTTACGGCCTTAGTAACACGACCTGCCACTTCTGGATCTATCGCGTCTCGTGTGCTTTCTTCCCTTTTTTCTCTTGTGTGAGGGAAGAATCGTATATGTTTTCTCGGATTTCAATGTTTGCACTCTTATGGGGCTTTGTCAGTTCCACTCCGCTTCCGCTCTAAATTATACACTCCTAAGCAGAAACCTTTCTTGCCGTTTGGTTAATTTGTCTAGCTGGCTGCACTTCGGACACGATCGAAAGCTGATGAGGTACTTCTGCAAATGATGGAGGGTGTACAATGTAATTGATTGACTTGTAGGGACGTAGATATGGTGGGGCCTATCGTGGATCTGGATGCTCCACTTGAGCGAGACACCATTGTCGAGGTAGGAGTGCAATCTTTCTGCTCCTTCTTTCATTCCCCTCTCGACTATTAACTCTTTTACAAGCCGTTATGTTTGGTCACATATGCCATGCAACCATTCCCCCATCTGAATCTCTACTAACACATAAAGGTCCGCCATGGCAAAATGAAACCCATGCCCGGCCTAACAATCGAATCGGACATCGACAAGAGCATCGTGGACGGCCCTATCTGGGTTAGCAAGACAGGAATTGACGGCGATGAGCACGACATGACGTTCCACGGTGGGCCTACCAAAGCCGTCCACGCATGTAGGCAACCCTTCTCATCCCTTCCAGACCCTCCACCACACACTTCCCACAAATCTCTGGTGAGATTCTTCCTAACATTCATCAGATTGCAGCGCCCACTACACCTCCTGGCAAACATCTCACCCCTCCACCGCCCCACGCTTCACTCCCGGCGCCTTCGGCGAAAACCTTGTCTTCGTCCACCTCAACGAGCGCAATGTCTGCATCGGCGATATCTTTGCCGTTGGTCCCTCGGCCCCTTCCTCTACCTCCGCCACTCTGACCCTGCAAGTCTCCCAGCCCCGCCAGCCCTGCTTCAAACTCAACCACCGCTTCGGCCTCAAGAACTTTGCGCCCGAAACCACGCGGCTGAGCCGGACGGGGTGGTATTTCCGCGTTCTGGAGGAGGGCTGGGTGGAGAATGGGATGGAGATTAGGCTGGTAGATAGGAAGTACGCGGAGTGGACGCTGGAGCGGTTGCAGGGCGTTCTTTACCGCGGGGCGGAGGGGGCCGCTGAGATGCAGTTTCTGCTGGGTGTGGAAGAGCTGACGGACGAGATCAAAGGCGTGGTGAGGCGGCGTCTCACGAAGCTCGAGGGCGCAACCAAGAAAAAAGAAGTCCTCTGGACAGACTGGAAGGTCGTGGACAAGGTGCAGCAAACACGCCGCATCACGTCCTTTTCCTTCGCGGCCGTGCATGACAAGGTAGACGCCACTCCCGAAGCAGGCTCGCACGTGAAGCTCCGGCTGCCCAACGGACTCGTCCGCGCATACTCCATCGTTCACGGCTCCCGCGGCCGCTTCGCGCTCGGCATCGCGCGCGACGAAAACTCCCGCGGCGGCTCGAAGTACCTGCACGAGCACGTCAGCGTGGGCGACATCCTCCAGATCGGGTCCATCACCCCGGGCATCAAGCCCAATGCCATGGCGAGTAACCACGTCTTCATCGTCGCAGGCATCGGCATCACGGCGTTCTTATGGCTGGTCGAGGAGATGGTTGGTGTGAACTGGAATGTGCAGGTGCACTATGCAGTGCGGAGCGCGGAGGAGATGCCGTTTCGAACTCAGCTCGAGAAGCTAGGGAGCAGGGCTGTAGTGTATGACAAGTCGAAGGGGGAGCGTATGGATGTGGAAAGCGTTATCAAGGGCATGCCGTGGAACTCGCAGGTGTATGTCTGTGGGCCAAGGAGGCTCATGGATGATGCGGTGAAGGCGGCACAGGATACTGGTTTGGGAGAGAAGGATGTGCATTTCGAAGCTTTTGGGGCGGATGTTGGGGGGGATCCGTTTGAGGTTGTGATTAGGGATAAGGAGGATAGAACAGTGCTGGTAACAGAAGAAGAGACGCTATTGGAGGTGCTGCAGAGGGAGTTTGGCGATGTGGTAGGGAGCAGTTGCGAGGTTGGAAACTGTGGGACGTGCAAGGTCAAACTGAGATGTGGGAAGGTGGACCATAGAGGCACGGCGTTGAGTGCGGAAGAGAAGAAGAGTGAAATGTTGAGCTGTGTTTCACGAGGTGTCGGCAAGATCGAGATAGAGATTGGGGAGTAAAGAGCAGTTTACTGCGCAATGCGGTAGAGCATTTCAGGATTAGATGTGCAAACGTCGATACTTTCCTAAACTTGGATATTTTAATGAGCTAATTCGTAAAGTCTTTGGCGCCGCACCCTCCTCCTTACCCGTGCCATATTTCCGCACGTGTTCCTTCGCAGCATTCTTATCCTGCTCAAATTCCTTCAACTCTGGCGCGTCCATATGCTTGACTACGTTACCAGCCTGCCACTTCTTGAATGTGAAGCCTAGCCCTTCATGACTGTAATCTTTATCATTAGCTTGATCCTTGTGATATTTGATCTGCATGAAATCGGAGTCTTTGGTGGCAGGGTCCAGCGATAACGAGACCAGGCCGGTAATGGTGGCCGTCTTGGGGATGAGGCGGAAGGTCCAAGACTGTAGATATCAATATCACGTACTTCAAAGTATCTTTAGATGACTTCAAGTCTCACCTGCTTGTTCTTGAACTGGATCATCTCATCGTCGGAGCGGATAATTTGGTAGCTTTCGTTGATGCTGCTCTTGAACAGCTTGGGCAATGCGAACCACTGTCCTGCCATATTGTAGCGGTCATTTGCGTACACAAACTGATCATCATATACACTGTCAGGCGTGTATCTCTTTACTCTTTCTACTATTGGCTGGCAGCTGTACAAGGCAATGATCTGTATCCCTCGTTCAGTTTCTTTAATTTGTGGCAAAATTTGAGATACACACATCGTCCACAAGCCGCTGCCGCGCAGGACTCAGCTGCAATGATTTTGGTGGATCCGGAGCGTAGTCCTCACTGGTCGCCGTCTGCCGTGGCTCGAACTGCTCTCCCGGTGCATCCGACGTCTTCGGGAACCCTCTCGCAGAGCTCGACATGTTGGCGCGTTCTTCAGCGTTGTGCAATTGCACAGTAAGTGCCTTCTGAGGATATGCTAAGGCGTGTCTATTAACAAATTCTTTGAAGCTCGTGGAGAGAAATTTCGAGCGGGATGGGATTGACATTGGGACATTGTTGTAGCCGGCTGCTGCGCCATTTATTGCTCGTTTTGCCTAGGAAACACAAGTCTGCGATTCACTCGATCGATGACGCAGTGTTCTTGCAGGCGGTGATGAAATCATCAAAGGTTCAAAAAGGAAGACAATCTGCCGCGAAGCCTGTAGCGAGGGTGGTTCTGACACTCGTGGACTTACACTGGTGACGCTCATGGCGCTGGATGCCTGGGTAGGCATGCTATGTTGCGGCAAGTGGATTGGGATGGAGGAAGTGAGGGCCAGGCTGGGTATTTCGGCAAGAGCGGCATGACGAAAGCGGGGACCACGAAGGATGGATCTTGCATCACAACTACTACTCAGAGAACAATCGTCACATTCTCCTTAGAGTTTATCTAAACCTGAGAATCATAAAATGATATTACGGCGTCACGAAAAGTGTTTACTGCATCCGTATCATGGAGCGTAGTGTGTGGTAGTGGGATAGCGGTTGTATTCTCTAGAAGACAGCACCATCCAGCCATCATCACAACTCCATTCGTTCTCTTGAAATATTGTCTTCATCAGTATATAGATGTAGTATTCAACTTGTAGCACTTGTCCTTGGGGATTTTCTCTCCTGAGTCCCACTGGGAATAATCAGCAATCTCCCATCCAACGGTCGTTGGTATACTCACATGCTCGTGGACACATCCATCAACCCAGCGCCACCGATCAGTAGTCGAGTACTGGGCATAACTCATGTTTGTGGAAGCGTCAAAGCACCAAGATGAGCCTGACGCACTACCTACCGGCTTTCCATTGCAGAACAGCGACCAAATGGCCTGCGGGCCATTGGCGTATCCCGGGTGATGTTGCTGTGATTTTTCTTTAGTTTATTGCAGATAGAGATGGACATTTTGAACACAAGACTTACGATGTACGAATTGTCAATGAGGGAGAACATGGTTCTCGCATCGCCGTCGATTACGAACGCCTTGTAGAATTGATACGCTCGCTTTGCCGTTTCTTCCACGGTCACAGTCGGATCGGGTGTGCAGAGCTTTGGGGGCGATTTGTACTGGCTGCAGAGGTTCTCGCCTCTTGCATAGGATGGTGCTTCGCTAGCAGGGGCCGCAAGACCAACGATGGGCGCTACGATCGCGACCGCAAGGAATGTGAGGAGGCGCATGTTGAAGATTGTACGTTCAGTAAGCTACAACTGACCGAATGTCTGTCCAGCCGAACAGGAGCATGTACGCTATCTATATAGCGTCTGCCAATGTTCGTGGGGCAGGCAAAATCCACAGTCGAGCCTTACCAAGATGTTATAGAGTGTTCGTTATTCTATCGTAGGCGTATCAATCTCTACCCGGAATTCTTCATTGGCTCGTTGTTATGTGGAGGGTTTTAATGACGGGAACGACCAATGAGGCAGGTCGGGATAAACCGTTTCATCCGGGTTCGGCAAATCGATAACTCCCAAAATTTGGCCGAGCGGGCGATATGATGTGGAGATACGCTGTCCAAGTTTGGCGAAGAACTTCGAATACCCCAAGACATCTGGCATTACATTTAAGGAATGGTCATTTCCTATTTTGGTGAGAAGCACCAATGACAATACTTGCCAGTGCTCACGCCTATTCATCTTGATATGTAGCGAAACAACGCTATCTCCTTCGCCTCTGCCATGTTGAGAGGCAGCTGTGCTAGATGCAATTTTCTCGCGGCCTGTTTTTCTTCTGTTGTTACTGAATGCACTTGATGTGCAGCACGGCGTGCCTTGTCCCTCAGATACAAGGACTTACCTTGTTGCTGTTTCGTTGTTACTGGCTGTTTGCATGTTCTTTTCGGCCTCTTCTTTGCCCCTCTTCGCAAACTCCGCACTAACTAGAGCATCGTGCTCCTTCCAGTATCTTGTCTTTTGCTTTTTCCGCTATAATCTATCAGTACGTGCTTACCTTCTCAAGACCAAATTACATCAAGTGCTTACTATCTCTCGAAGTTAAACCAATGCCATACAGTACGTTAGCATCGATGAGAGCCTCAACGTTTGTGCCAACCAGACCCATAAGTTCTCATCCCAGACACACTGAGGAGTGCTCTCTAATGATTCCAAGCAGTTTCTGGCTCGTGGTATAACCACGGTATGATCCTCCATCTTTCATGTATTTGACTGCTTCATGGTTCATGCCTTGGTCCTTTTGGATGTATCGGCGCTGTCAGAGCGATATCGTGAGGAGAGGGAATGAATTGGGTAACTGGATTTTACTGATCGAGAAGACAATTGCGAGCGAGCGTTTATTCATGTAGAACAGAGTTCTTTTTACGGCCGATGATTAGCACGTGCGGCTACTAGTGTTAGCTTACGCATTTGAGTTTGGGGATTGTTGTTTTAAGAAATCCATTGTTTTGCCGTACTCACCAGAGAGTGGAAATGGGAATCTAGATAAGAATCATGATACGTAATGTCCAATGGATGAGATAGAGTTTGCCGTAATTCGTAGTTCCAGGGGATTGCATGTAAGAGAGGCCAATCCGACTCTTCGCGACCGTTAGCTGGCTTCTTTGCAGGATTATTATTCCTGGATGGAAGGAGAAAGCCTGGCAATAGTCTCAGCCTCGTGCGCTTCTTCTTGGGTACATCTTCAGCTTCATAATAGCGAGGCCGTGGTTCCAGAAGCAGTCGCACCCGCGACTTATAGAATGGACAAAAAGATAGAATTTCCACGGCTTCAATCGTCTTGAAAGGCTTCTCGGTGTATATCTTCATCTCGACTCTGAAAACCGCGAATCCTCGAAAACGACTGCAACGAGTCTAGATCGGGAAGATCTACAATCCCAGTGTATGAAGTGGCCTAGGTAATAGCGATCTATCCGGGTGTCTAAGGTCCAAAGCTTCTGTCATTGCCTCTATTTTGTGATTCCATCGATTGAGAGAGTTTGCTCCAGGCCTTTGATCCTCTGAGACTCCAGAGTGGTGGTTCCTGAACTCGGATGGGCCCAATGATGATACTTCTCGCTAATCATTGAATTTTCGCGCGACTCTGCTCATTCATCTTGAGATTGGGGAATTCTTGGGTTGTGCCCCAAGAGTATTATGGGTCACCATCGGCGCAACATGCTCCAAACGTACCCGTGTGCTGGTGAATCAAGCGGTGTGGGCGGAGAAACAGAGAGATGAGCCTTCGTCTCAGACCCGCTCGCTCCACAACAAGGTGGACTGGCAGCTGCCACCTGCCCTCAATGTACGACCCTGTATTTCTTGTCTCCACACTCCACGCGGACCACTGACTCATGGGCCCCGGCATTCTTTTTAGTATTGACTTGGTCCGAAATTGCCCCGGGAGTCGAGACCTGTCTCAAATTCGACGTCCACTGATCTCGAACGTGGACGACGCGCCCCAACGTTCGTAATCGCGCGAAAATTTACCGGGTTGAAACAGCTTCCTTGTATCTTACTGATCGGAGAAACTTCGAGTCCAGAGCAGTCTACGCGACCATGAGACTGGGATCTGGGGATCCAGGGTGCGCACGTTTGGGGTTCCCGATACCCAACCCAACGTCCCAAGATCTGCTATTACAGCCCACAGCTAGAGGCACCGAAAGGCGCTCCGATCCGTGTTCATGTCACACCATGCCCTGTCGACATCCAATAGCTATTGAGCCGATTAGGCCGCGTTCCCAATTTATTTTCGTCGAGCGTACGGAGGTGGGCTTCCTCAAGATGCGGAACTTGACCGAGATGCCTTGGCATGTTCGAGAGACGGACTTTGCCCGACTCAGCTCGACCCTGATCGATGCACTAAAGTTGGTGTGCATATCAGCCGAGAGGCAAATTTGACGAGGCGAACTGAAGTCGGGCACACGCACAAGTGATGTCGAGTTTTGGTGGACTGTTGTTGTATGTGAATGTGCAACAACAACAAATCAGGGTCGGCAACGACAGCTGGTAAGACTTCAGGGTGCTACGGCCTGTATACGACTCCCATTGTTGCGATTCTCTAGGGCTTAGAGGAACATGCGGCTCTTTCTCGTTGACTTAGCATGTCAGTAGCGTCGTCGGCTGCCAGCACCTCCCGGCAAATGCATCTCTCGTGGTGGACAGGCCGGGCTATCGAACGGACGGACTCCGACCGCATCCTTCCCGCAAAACGGGCACTTGTGCGGCCTTGTTGAGGCTGCCAAGCCCCAGGCCGCACGATCTTCGCTTGTCTGCGGGGAACTACTAGAATCTGCAGGTAATGTGACGTATCACAAGCATCGCCTAGCAGTCTTGCTCGGGCGGTCCGATGGGCCAAGCTCCACTTATGCACCTTGTCCAAAGCTTCCCTGCTGCTCACGCGCCATGGTCTCGGCATTGCAACCCCAGCTGCCACCGCTACACCAAGGCGTAGGCGGCTGGCCAGTGGTGCCTCGTTGCGACGCCTTTTGCGGAGGATTCCTCCGTATGCGGGGTGCCATAGTGCGATGGATCGGAGAACCTGGAGAAACCCCAGTAACGCGCGCCTGGGCTGCCCTTTTGGCGCGTGCGCTCTGCAAATCTACCCCAGAGTGGGAACCCGCACATGTGGTATAAGAGTGTGCGCACCCGCCTTCTTGGGCTCTACAGCTGGAGTTGCGTGACCTCGTTCATCGCAAGTTCTCGAGTGTGTCCCGCTCGCTCGTCGACATATCCACCTCCCCTCTGCAACACAGTCTCTCTGGAAGCTTCTCGACACAATGTGGAACCCCTGGAGAGAAAACTTGAAAGACACGCCAAAGGAGTCCCTTAACTGGAGACTATGGTTTGGCGTCTTTGGTAAGCGGATGCACCTCACAAGGCTGAGTAGCGTCTCTAACATACTCGTACAGTCTTCGGATTGATGGGCGCCGCGCGAGGTATTGATGAAGGTCTCATCGGCACCACCGCAGAGCTCGATCCCTTTATCCAGAAGTTTGGGTTAGATGACCCAAACAAGACTAAGCACCAGAAAGCCGAACTTTTGTCCAACATCACATCGATGGTACAGATGGGTTCGATTCTGGGCGCTCTTGTCGCATTCTTGGTGACCGATAAAATTGGACGTCTTTGGGCAACGCGCCAGCTTTGCGCCATCTGGGTCATTGGAATCACAATCTTCCTAGCCAGCGCATCGACGGGCAGTCTCGGGATGGTCTATGCGGGGCGATTCATCGCTGGTGTCGGCATCGGACAGACTACCGTTGTGGCTCCTACATACTTGGCAGAGACTGCACCCAGGGCTATTCGTGGTCTCTGTGTGACTGCATTCTCTGGCGCTGTCTATCTTGGCATCATGTTGGCCTACTTCGCTTCGTGGGGCTCATCGATTCACATCTCAAGCAAGACGGACGCGCAGTGGCTGGTGCCCAACAGCATGCACCTCATGTTCGCCGGCATCATCTTCACGCTCTCATTCTTCGCCAAAGAATCGCCGCGTTGGCTCATCAAGGTTGGACGTCATGAGGAAGCTCTCCAGAACTTGATGCAGCTTCGTAATCTTCCAGCCGACCACCCGTACATTCTCGCGGAGGTTTTCGACATCAACGACCAGTTGAACCGCGAGAGGGAGGCGACCAAGGGCACCACATGGCTTGGTCCCGTCCGCGAATTGTTCTCCAGCAAGGCAAACCTTTACCGCATCCAACTCAGTGTCTTCTCGCAGCTGCTCGGCCAATGGAGTGGGTACGTAATCATGCATTAAAATGCCTTTCTTTTGGCCATTTTACTGACTTTATACGCAGTGCCAATTCCATCACAATCTACGCGCCCCAGTACTTTGCAATGATGGGCACGACCGGCCAAAATGAGAAGCTCTTTGCAACCGCCATCTTCGGTCTCGTCAAGCTCATTTCGTCTTTGCTCTGCGCGTTTGTACTTATCGACTACATCGGCCGCAAGCGCGCTCTCTCCAGCGGCATCACACTCCAGCTCATCGCCATGCTCTACATGGCCATCTTCCTCTTCATCGACAAGAGCGTCGCCGTCAAGGGCGCTCCCCAGTCTGCCAGCATGAAGAGTGCCGCGAAGGGCGCCATCTTCTTCATCTACGTATCCGGCTTCGGATGGGCCCTCGGCTGGAACAGCATCCAGTACCTCATCAACTCCGAGATCTACCCGCTGCGCCTGCGTGCCTTGGGCGGCAGTTTCGCCATGACTTTCCACTTTGTCAACCAGTACGGCAACTCGAAGGCTGTCCCGCTCATGTTCATTGCTATGACGCATGGCGGCACCATGTTGTTCTTCAGCATTGTCACGGCTATCGGTCTTGCTTGGGTGTGGTTCTTCCTGCCCGAGACTACTGGAAAGAGTCTCGAGGCTATGGACGAGTTGTTCAACCTGCCCTGGTACCTTATTGGACGCAAGGGCGCCCAGATGACGAAGGGCACCGGTGGAATGTCCGAGGTTCTGGATACGGAGGGCGAGAAGGCGGTTGGTGTGCAGATGGAGGAAGTTCCAGGCGCAAGCAGGAACAGGAGTGTGGATCAAAGGGTTTAAGCGACAGGATATACTCTGAGGTGGAAGAAGTGGAAATTGAACAAATCAAATCAAATCACGGCCGTCATGAGATGGGAAAGAATTGAATCTTTTGTAAGAAAATGTCAATTGATGATCACTGCCCAGGTCCGTAATGGCACACAAATTCAAACCAAGACGCCTTTCACCAACGCTTGCCTTTGCACTTTAATGCCAGCTGTCTCGAATATCATATCCCCTGGTCATGGATAAAGGCATGATGTCAGACTGACTGTTCAATTGTCGTCAACACTAATCCATGCCTCGGTCAACTGCAACCCAAATACGTTTTTGATCATGTCGCCAGTTCATGAAAAGGGATAGATGTTCATGTATTCGGACTAGCTGTGCCGACAGAGACTCCAAAATGCTACTGCATTGTACAAAAGCCGGGTATCATACTTTTCCATATCCGTTGGACTCCATCCGTGCCTCAAGGCGAAGAGCCGTATGAAGCGCTACTCGTACACGCTTGCTATATAGCGAGCCCAGCCTCGCTGACGATGAAATATTCTACTTCGTCAGATTGGATCCTGTATCACCTATCCTGGGTCATCGCAAGATGGCATAGCTCTTGATGAGGCGCTGTACCTTACTCTTCGTCTGTCTTGAAGGGCAGCTTGTTGAGCGCCTTCATGTAGAACTTGCGCTGAACTTCCTGCGCGAATTCGCAGCGGAGGCGGGTGCAACGCCGACGCGTGCACTTGTCCTGGCACTTGGCATGACAGGGACATTCGCGTGAGCCGGGATAGACTTGGAGGTTTTGCTGCTACGGGAATTCGCTCAAACCGCCTTGGCCTCGAGGTGGTTGCTGCCTTGGACAACTCGCGTGCTGTTCTGGCGCGGTGGGTCGTTGATAGGGTTGAAAGAATTCGGATTGACCGAGAAGTAGTTGTAGTTGTTGACGGTGCTGCTTGAAATGATCTGGTTCATTTGGGTCATGCTACCAGTACCAGTGCGGCTGGGAGTGCTGGTATTAGCCGCGAGGTCGGTAGGGAGCGCTGTATCGTTCTCGGCCAGAAGGGATCGAAGGCGGGTGTTTTGGGTGGCCAGGTGGTTCTTCTCGGCCTCGAACTAGGTGTACTGATCCCGAAGATGAGTGTAGGCCCCGCGTTGCTTCTGGCATCCGCTTCAGCTCAGCGTCTGTCTTAAGGCATGGTTGCGATGATAGACCGAGCTGGAAGTAAGGAGTCGAGGTGAGAGCGGAGGTGAATGGGACATGTAGGCCTGGGGTCTGGTAGTATTTTCCAGGTATAAAGTCTACTCTGGGGCCACTATTTACTAGCGCGAGGTGAAGACAGGCGCAGGCGCCAGGTTGGATCTCACTGCCCGCTAGCATCCCAACTCGCGGCACAAAGTTACCAGAAGTTAAAGCCTTCACGAGCCTCTATACTGCCATCAGCGAAGACGTTGCACCACGAACTCATACCTAAGGTGCAATACTGAGAGGAAACATGCCCACTGCCAGCTTCGATTACCTTCCACATGTTCCGGGGAGTTGTGATCGGTTGACAGAGCTACGTGAGTGAATGCACGGATCAAGCTGCACTGCTCGAAACAGCAGAGCTCGGGATTGCGAGTGAAAGTGAGAGACGAGGTCAGGAAGGCATGCACCCGTCATTCACCACGCTAGCGCCATTAGTGCGAACTCGGAAGCTATACAACACCGCCGCCCACCTCCTGACGTTTCCTCTTCCATTCCAGCCCTCTATCGGCTCACTCTTTTGAGCAGACCTTCTTCCGCTCTTTATTTGCCTTCCCGGATACGACGATGCCCTCACCTGCAAAACCCAGGACCTCGTGTGCCTGATGTTCGAGTTGAAGAGTTTCCTCGAAAGGTGTCAATGTGGTGTTCTCTTTCTTTTTTTCGTTGGGTTCTTCGCCTGCTACGCGTGGCTCGAAGAAGAAACGATGAGGTTTGATCCTTAGAGTAATATGACAATACGAGAAACAGACGGGGTCGGATACCATTCAACGAAAAGCGAATTGCTTGCACCTGAGGCAAATTAAATGTTCATTATATTCATCTTGAAGTGCCAAGAGTTCGAATGATCGGTACTAGATAGACCGAGGAATGCTTAAGTCAAGTAACTCTACATCGGCGGCCCTGTATCTATACCCTCTGAACATTGACCCCAAAATATTTGACAGCTTCTGAGAGCACACGGATCAGTGCCGGTTTCTTCAATTGCGTGGAGTCGATAGTTGGTGGAATCTGCAGGCAGGCAAGGGCAGTCTATGTAAGGACGTGCAGAGCACACGGAGCATGTTTGTACATGCCGTTCTTTCCACGTTCCGATTGCACAACGTGAAGCCCATGGTGATGGAGTAAAGTGGCGGCCAAACGATGGCGTGCGGAGTGCTGTCGCTATTCATAGCACCGTGCGCTGGGCGGTTCTTATGCGCTCAGCCCTGACGTTTCAAGTGCGCGCAACGCTTCAGACGCGGTGCCTGGCTGAATGGGGCCGGGCAGCTGATTGGATGGCGCATACCGCAGGGCAGAAGGCGCAACGCTCCTGGCTTCGCATGTTGGCCTGTACCGCGCGTCTCGAGGGTGCACAAAGAACGTGGGTGTCAATTTCGCACAGCAAGGCGCGCTCCATGCAGGGGAGCGAATGCGCTGGCGAGACGGGCCTGGGTCGTGTGGGATCCGCGCTACAGGTGCCTGCGCAACCGCAGACGGGCACCTGAGATAAGGGCTCCGCAGCAGAGCAACGGGCCTTGAGAGCCAAACAGGCTGTGGCAGGGGAGCACAGAGGGCTGACGGAAGCGTGTCTCGCAGGACAGTGAAATCTGACTCTCGGAGCGTCCAGGACGCGGACTTAGTCGTCGCATGGGCGTGCTGGGTGGAGGTGGCGAGGGCTTGGCCAGAGCCGGTAGCGTCGAGCGTGCGAACTGTCTCAGGCTCGTCGACCACGGGACAACCGCCAGCGCAGCTCTCTCCTGCCCGCCCGCTCCTCTCCATCGACCCGCCGACGCTGCCCTCACCGTCGCTGGCGTCCCTGTCATCGCGCCCGCCATCGCCACCGCTCGACTGCACCGCTCGGCGCACTCGCGTCTGTACGTCACCAGCCGCTTCACTTGGCTGGCCCCCGCTGGCTTCACGAGCCGTCCTCGGCGACACCGCCTGCGCAGCACCACAGGCACGCCCGCCACCAGCCATCTGCCCGAGGACGCCGCTTCGCCGACGCACCCGACGGGAATACAGCATACTCGCTACTCGTAATGTCGGCGCAGGACGCCCAGCAGGCGCTCTCGCCGCCTACGACGCTCTACCGCATGTACCACAGCCCGCCTGTCCAGACCGCGACACAACCCGCCCACGTCCACGAGCACACACAGAACGCCTACCACGACCCCGTGCGGATACAGGGCAGCATGGGCGACCTTTCGTCGACGGTCAAGGGCATCATGATCGGCATCTTCTCCGTCCTAGGCGCTGCGGGATTCGTGCTCATCGTTGCCGCCATCGTCTACTACTTCCGATACACCCAGCAGGGCCGCATCTTCCTGGACAGGTTATCGCGGCCGGGAGAGTACGACGATGAGCAGCAGTTTGCGAAGGAGGAGGCCGAGGCGCTTGAGGACATGGACGACATACAAAGAACAGAGTATCTGAGGGCAAAAGGTATGTCCACCTTTATCATCAGGCAGACATAATGGTCCTGTGTCGCATTCGTGGGCTGCCACTAACACACTGCAGCGTTCATCCAAGCCAACCCGCCCGAATCCGTTCAAACCGACATTTCCTTATCGCAGTTCTTGGCAATCCAAGAGAAGGGCGTGTCTGCCTGGGAATTCGAACCCGAGCTCGAGATCGCGAATTGTTTCGTAGAAGGACGGACCGAGATTGAGTTCTTCGACTCGGAATGCAGCGTGCAGAGCAACCTACCGATCCCGAAGCAGAATGAGGTCTACTACTGGGAGGCCAAGATCTACGACAAGCCCGATACAACCAACCTTGCCATTGGTGTGACCACAAAGCCGTATCCCTTGTTCAGGCTGCCTGGTGCGTTCCGTCCACATGTTTCATGTTTCTACTGCTGACATCAGGAAGGCTTCCACAAATACTCTATAGCGTACACATCCCATGGCTCGCGGCGACATAACCAGCCATTCACACCTACCTCTTACGGCCCTGCTTACGTGCAAGGCGATGTTATCGGCGTCGGTTACCGACCTCGCACAGGCACCATCTTCTTCACGCGCAACGGAAAGAAGCTCGACGACGTGGCTCACGGTCTCAAGACTCAGAACTTCTTCCCGACTGTTGGTGCCAACGGGCCCTGCCAAGTGCACGTCAACTTTGGCCAGATGGGATTCGTTTTCATCGAGGCTAACGTGAAGAAGTGGGGTCTGGCTCCCATGACAGGCAGTTTGGCTCCCCCGCCTCCCTACGGCAGCGAACAAGGGTCCATACTGCTAGACAGCGGCCGCGAAGGTGTAAGAGAAGGCATGGCAGGCAATTACATATCTGCTGGATTTGGACATGGACGGACAAGCAGCCAGCAGATGCGACTGGGTCGGCACCAGCCAACAAGTCCCGGTCCGCAGCGCAGTCCAACCGATATCTCCTTGGCTCAGCTAAGCCTAGTAGATTCGAACGAAGAGTACGACGTGGGTGAGGGGACAAGCGCAGAAGCAGCCAGACACGAAGCAGTGCACGGTCTTGGATTCCTTCAACCCGGAGACCTACCTCCCGAGTACACAAGCCCCGTAGGCTCTCCGAACCTCAGCAGCGTCGCCAGTCACGCCGACAGCTACTGGGAAGAACGCACTCCGCTTATACAAGCTTCGCAACCTCAACCCGCCCGACAGGCCAGCCCACCTATACCTACTTACGACGCTGCAGTGCGTGACTCACCCGCGCCAGAGCCCCCACAGGTTCGGGTTCGCAGTGCTACGGAGACATCGCGAACGCGAAGAGGTCGTAACCAGTCACGGTCATGAGTTCCTCCAAACATTACCTTCCATACCCTGTATCTCTTGTTTCTTTTGTTATCAATTGGTGACAATCTGGTCACCATCGCGTCACGGATCTAACTATACCCATCTCTCACACTCGCATATCATCTCCTCGGTCACCTCGGAGCTCTCGAAACGAACGGAAAACGCAGGAATAGGGGGCGATTATTCTTGCATAGCAGCAGGAACTGTGTATCAAAGAGCGATTAAGCACGCATTTAGGATGCTGTGTACATGTACTTGAAGACCCAAGCAGTCTCACTTGCTTTTTCTTCCTTTGTTTCCGGCGTTGCAGCGTGCATGGTCGGGTCGATTTCACTTTATGGCGTTCTGTGGGAACATGAAGGAGAATGATTGCGTTTAATACGGCGCTTGGACGAGCACGGATGGAGACCTACATTACCCTAGCAGCAACAGCAGTTTGCTCAGCCTACACCCTGTATACAGTCATTGTCACACCTTCCACTCATTTTCAGGCTGCTCTTTTGATTCAAGGTACCTCAATCTTCTCCACGCGTAGCCCATGTCTTCAAAGCACAGACACTTTTTATACGTATATTCACGCAAAGGCAAAAGCACGTGATTGGGCATGTCTCGACAAATAATTACGAAGTTCCGGCAGGGAAGTAGCACGGTTCCGTACTCAAAGATTGTCGAGTGGGGGGTTCTTCTTGTCTCGTACGGGCCACTCCGTGAGGAGCGGTGTATCCAGCTCGAAATCTGCTGATTGATGCAACGGATTGAGCGAGGCAGGAGACTACGACTACAAAACTAATGTAGGGTCTACAATCTGGAGTTTTCATGGGCCTAAGTAGAAGCCCGGGACACCGATAAATGCGATTTTGCACTGGTGCGCTGTGTGGTGCATGGTGTTGCGGTCCGCAAGGAAGGGCAGATGTGAGAGGTTTTCCTCGTGAGTCAGCTGCGCTTTGCTGGAAATGGTTAGCGCGGTCTGGGAGGAAGCATCAACACTCGTGGATGACCTCCAGCACTATTTCCACATCTTTCTGTTCCTCCACCTCGGCGTACATCAATCCATGTGATCTGTCAATCTGGGGCTCCGAGGCTACCTGGCCATAAATATTCATGTTCAGAGGCAATGGCAGTGTGCTCGCGTCATTCGATCTTCGGCCGACATACGGAGCGTTGACAGTCTTTGCATAGTCACCTTCAGCAAATCTCATCGCCCGCACGTAAACACGAATATACCGCCTGCACTCCGTGCCTACGAGTACCTACTTCAAGCATAGCGGTCCTCAGCTTCAATTACCACTTCGCATGCCCGGAAACGGAAATCACTAAGCGTAAAACGACCTTAGCGCAAGATTTTACGTCACAGTAACCATTTAAACACAGAGGCAATCCCGTCAATGTGGATCTCACGGCGAATAAAACGAAGCTCCCAGGCCAAGGCGCCGCGGGAGACAAGACTTTCGCTGTGCGCTAGCAATGCCTTCTCTGTAGTGATGTAAGGTGGCCAGGCGTATATGATTACCTCCTTCGCCTGGACTTTTCTCGTCTTACTGGAGATCAGGGAAAGCTTGTCGTTGATGCGTGCCTGACCTACTTGCCTTGCGTAGATCCTCGCACAAGCCATTGGATTGCTGTGCTGTCTGGTCTTCCACCAACGTTGGAGCTGGAAAGTGAAAAGAGATATCCGGCTTGGGGAACTGACAGGCAATTGCGTTTGAACCTTGACCAACATCACATGGACCAATCGTGGATCGGGTGGTGCAGGTGACATTTCGCTAGGCTTACACTTTCTGGACCATCATCAACACCTCCTCATGACGACTCTAAACCACACGCGGAACCTAGCAATGGAACCCGCACCAGAAAAAGACCCAGACGCAGGCAGCATAACCATAACATGGGATGGTCCCGACGATCCCACAAACCCATTCAACTTCTCCCAAACAAAGAAATGGAGAATTACGCTGCTGGCCTGCTTCATGACGTTCGTTATCCAGATCAACGGCACGGCCATGACCAGTGCAGCTGAGCAGATCAACGAGAGTTTCCACATCAGCGATGAGAGCTTTCCTCACTCATACTGGCCTGTATTTTCCTGGACGCTGAGCGGAGCGGCTGCACCCATGCTTGGCTTACCGCTCATGGAACGCTTTGGTGTGAGGTGGAGCTACATGGTGCGTAGTACACTGTGCTATATTCAGGGCAAGACTGACCAATCTCACAGATGATATACGCCACGCTAATAGCCTTCACCATACCGCAAGCCGTGGCACAGAACTTTGCAACCCTGATTGTGACGAGGATCTTTACTGGAGGATGCTCTGCCACGCTGGCTAACATCACAGGTGGGATTTTGAGTGACATCTGGAGAGACGGGAGAGCGAAAAGCTTCGGTACTTCGCTGTTTATCTGGGGTCTTCTCGCAGGACTTAATACGGGACCTATCATCGGAAGCGCCATCGTCCACTACACAACGTGGCGTTGGTAAGATTGAACGACCTCTCGTAATAAGGTCTAGATTTGCTAACATATGACAGGATCTTCTACTCCCAGATCGCCTTCTACAGCGCCATGTTCCCCATCATTTTCTTCAGCCTACCAGAGGTACGCCCAGACGTCATCCTCACCCGCCGCGCCCGCCACCTGCGCAAAACCAAAGACCTCAATGTCTATGCCGACGCAGAAAAACACCACACTAGCCTCGGCGAAATTCTACGGGAGACCTTAATCCGCCCGACCAGGATGCTCTGCACGGAAGCAGTAGTCTTCTCCTTCGGCATGTGGTCCGCCTTCTGCATCGGCACCGCCTACATGTTCACGCAATCCATCGTGCAAGTCTACGCCGAGCTCTATGCTTGGGACTACTACCCCACGGGCCTTGTCCAGAGCGCACTCGTAATAGGAGAGATAATCGGTCTCGTAGCACAATTAGGTCAGGACGAGCTCTACTTCCGCTCTGCCCGATCAAACAAGGAAAAACCTGGCACACCCATCCCCGAATCTCGTTTGTACCTGAGTATACCAGCCTCGTTCCTAGGCCTCGCAGGCGGCCTCTTCTATTTCGCCTGGACCTCCTACCCGTCCATCCCCTGGATCGTGCCCACCATCGCCCTCGCCCTCGTCGGCTTCGGCATGTTCATCTCTATCACCGCCGTGACTACCTATATCCTCGACGCGTACGCCAAATATGCCGCCAGCGCGCTCGCAGGCTGTGCCTTTTTGGAGAATATCCTTGCAGCATTTCTGCCGCTTGCGACACAGAGTATGTATCGAACACTGGAGTTTCACTGGGCGAGTTCGCTGCTGGGGTTTCTGGCGCTGGGGCTGAGCTGCGTGCCCGTGGTGTTGTTCGTGTTTGGACAAAATATTAGGGAGAAGAGTCCGTTCATGGGGGAGTCAGTGTATGTGCATGAGGAGTGTGGCGGTGGGGAGGCGTGATCGGTGATTGCTCATCGCAGTGGCCAACATGAAACATAAAATCAAGGCGCCACTTGTCACGCAAATTAGCAATGATATACCTACGCATGTAGAAACAAAAGATGATCAGAGACTCAAGTCGCCCTACGATATCTTTTACAAGATTGTAGGTTTCTCGTCTATCAAGTCAACGCAAGTCGAGCGTAGGAACGCCACTTTCCCCAGTTGCAGGGACGAAAGGAGAACAAGTTGGATTGCAGCACATGTGCCTCTCCTTGAGCGAAGAAGCATGTCACATGGTTCATCGAAACAAAATGCTGTGCCAACCCAATGTAACTGAGTCGCAGGATTTGACTCGCCAGCGTACTACTGGGCTACTCCGCATCAAGCGTGAGCTTTGTGTGATACAAGAGTCAATACTCAGCATGCACTAGCTGTCCATTCATAGCCTGCTCTGCAAGGAGCTACCCCGCACGCAATTGCCTCTAGCTCGGCAGGAACAGGGCGTATGTTTACGCTGAACATGCTGCATATGCTCTACTGCACAATTACACTCCTAGTTCCTATTGTTCAAACACCATATACTCTCAAATCCGCTATTGGAACGCGTTGACGAGCACCACTTGCAGCCCCCTGACCACCCACCGCGAGCAAGACACTCCACCGACAACCTACCACAATGACAGAGGCAAACGGGACCACCGAGCTCCCCAAAACGTGCAAAGCTGGCGTCGTAGTGAACGAAGGCCCCGACTTCACCGTCGCCGTCGAAGACGTCCCAGTCCCAACACCAGGTCCCCCCCCCCCCCCCCCCCCACCATCGCTTTCCTACTACCGATATTAACGCCCCCGCTCCAGGGCCCAACGACCTGCTCATCAAGCTCAACGCGACCGGCATCTGCTACTCGGACATCCACTACATGCTCAACGACCTGCCCATGGGCTCCATGTCCTCGTACGGGGTACGGTCCCCGGGCCACGAAGGCGCGGGCGTCGTCGTCGCGCTGGGCTCCAACGTGACGACGTGGAAAGTCGGCGACCGCGCCGGCATCAAGCCCGTCTACGACTGCTGCTTCGCGTGCGAGCTGTGCTGGTCCGGCCGCGAGAGCTACTGCGACGCCGCGCCGCAGATCGGCCTCAACTTCCCGGGGAGCTACCAGCAGTACGTGCTCAGCCCCGCGCGGTACACTCAGCGCATTCCGGACGGTGTGGATGACTTTGTCGCCGGCCCGATCATGTGCAGCGGCAGCACCATTTACTGCAGTTTGAAGGAGGCCGGTTTGCGGGCGGGGAGTTGGGCGGTTTTTCCCGGGGCTGGGGGTGGGGTCGGGCATATGGGGGTGCAGATTGCCAAGGCGATGGGGATGAGAGTCGTGGGGATTGATGGGGGCGAGGAGAAGAGGGAGCTGTGTATGAAGCTGGGATGCGAGGCGTTTGTGGACTTTACAAAGGTGGAGGATGTGGCGGCTGAGGTTGTGCGGATTTGCGATGGGAAGGGGGCGCATGGAGTGTTTGTCACGGCGTCGAGTGCGCCAGCGTATGCGAGTGCGCCGGGGATGTTGAGGATAAGCGGGAAGATCATGTGTATTGGAATTCGTGAGTATCTTCTTTGCATTGTCCAGGTGGAGACTCGCTGACGGGGTGAAGCACCGATAGGCACTGCATTCGCAGGCGCGGATCCGCTTCTCTTGATTGGGAAGAATCTTACATTCAGTGGAACGAAGGTCGGATCACTACTGGATACAGCGAGAGCGCTTGAGTTTGCGGCAAGAGTAAGTCATTCGATGTTGACAACTATGCGGTACGACTGATATACAATGCGATCAGGGTCAGCTAAAGCCGATATACGAGGTGTTTCCAGTTGCGAAATTACCAGAAGCTGTAGCGAAGTTACGAAGTGGAAAAGTTGCTGGGAGATTGGTGGTCGATTTTAATGCTTGAAATGCGAGTTGGAGTTCGTCGTTGACCCTAGGGTGACATGATTTAGCATGAACGTCCGCAAATTTGACCCGATTTTCTCCCACCGATGTTCACTCTGACGCCAAAGACGGCGAAATTTGCGTGGCAGACATGAAACGGCGAAAGTTAGATCGGTTTCGAAGAGAGCACTGTTGTTGAATATATCCACAAAGAGAGAGTGGTGTCTATCGCTGTGAGTCTGACACATCAAACACCACACCTAAAATGGAATCGGAGACTGGAAACTGCCGTTTGTGCACCTTATCAGATGTGCCCAGTAAACACTGATCAAGCGAAACAGCAAACGGAATGCCTGTGACCACATACCATAGCAATGCTTATAACAACCGTGTCCAGATCCTGAAGGTGGACGCCTCAATCTCGTCCTGACGGCCCCAACCACTCCCAAAAAGTCTCAGATATGGCAAAACCTTCACCTTCCACGGATCGTACCGATGCAACTGCCACAGCGCTTACCCATGCCGACAGCGGTCGACTGCTGCATGTATCTCTCCCCTTCATCAATGACCTAATCAGTCTTCTGTCCACACTTGCCTCGTCATTTGAGGGGGACCTGGCTCGCATTAGTTCTGAACAGCGGGTGGCCGAATGTAAGTAACATCTACGGGTAGATGGTGGATGCACTCGAGTAATCTGCATGATAAAATGTATGCTAAGGATATATTCACCATGTAGGCGAGGACAATGAAGCCGCTCCAGAGAAAAAGAGGCTAGTCATCAGCGCCGAATGCGAGGAATACCTGCGTGAAGCAATGTTGAAGCTGCACACCAACGAGAAAGAGGAATACGACAATCTGGTGAAGAAGTATCCGGGTACGGATGGGATCATCGGAACCACGGATCCAAGGCATAACGAAGCGGCGGTACTGGGTGAACGTGTCAACATGTTGTAGATGACTTCGTCTTGAACATGTCAGGAATGGTGGATCCGAGGTACAAGGCAGCGGCGCTATGGGATCGTACCAACATGTGGATTATTTAATCTTGAACATCTAATTCTTGTTCTCAAACTTCAAACCGCTTTCTTTCCTGACCGCTCCATAGATGCTAGGGATGTCTCCCTTGTCGCCTAGATGTTCTTTCACTTGGGCCAGATGCGCGTCTGCAACCTTCAGCGCTGGGACGCTCGCGCCAGCCTTTTCTGCAATGGCCATGGCGTGCCTTGCGTCCTTGCGTGCAAGGTCGACGTGAAACAGCGGCTCGTCTCTCTGATAGTAATCTCCTGCTAACATGCGGCTCGAGTAGGCAGCATAAGGACCGGGAAACATGGCCTCAATCCAGGCGTGTAGATTTTGGGTGCCGAGGCCGCTCTTCTCGGCAAGCACGTGGCCTTCCGAGAGGACCTCGTTCATGTTTAGGATGAAGGTGTTGCCGATGACCTTGAGGAGGGTGGCGTTGCCGGCGGGTTGGTCGGAGTAGTCGATATCAGCGCGGCCCATGACGCCTTTGGTGAAGGGCTTCACCTTGTGCACAGAAGTGCCGGCGCCGGCGAGGACGCAGATGAGGCTGCCTGCGTCGGCCATGGCGGGTGCACCGAAGACGGGCATGCCAACGAACTCGGCGCCCTTTGCTGTGATACGCTTCTCCAGAGCGTTGGTGGTGTCCGGGTGCACGGTGGATGCGTCGACCACCACTTTGCCCTTGACGTCTTCCTGGAGAATGGCATCCACGGCCGAGTTGACAGCTGCATCGTCTCCCAAGCACATGAAGATGATGTCGGCACTCTTGACTGCATCGTTGATGGTGTCGACGACCTTCGTCTTGTCGGCACCCAAGCGTGCAGCAAGGTCATCAGATCGTCTCTTGGTTCGGTTGTAGAGAATGAGAGGTTTGTCAAGGTTGCCCTTCTCGATGAGGTTCTTGCACATGCCCTGTTGCGGTCAGTGCCCACTTCCTATCGGATGCTCGGTTGTTCCTACCCTTCCCATGTTGCCCAGCCCGATCCATGCGAGCTGCGGCGCGGGTGCCATGGCGATTTCAATTGCCTTTTCTTGGTTCAGCCTGCAACTCCTGTTCGTGTATGCGGCTCGGAGAGAACTTCACTATGAGCGAACTGCGTCACCTTCTTCGTGATGGCATTTCGTGACCCCGCGGGCGCACCCATGCTCGTACAACGGCCGGCGTCGGCTAATGACGTTTATCGATTAGCGGGCCGAATTTTGGCGGCCAGCACACGCATGGCTGCGCGCTTTGAACAGTCACTCGGCTGCGGTTGTTGTACCAGCACCTTCTCGCCCCCGTGTTCTCGCAGCTGGCCTCTAGCATGAAGTATGTTCAGTTGCAGAGCCCAGACGAGGGGCTCGCTCTGGAAGACTGTGAGTTGCAATGTCCGCCGCGAGTCTTCGCATGCGCTGCTTGGGCACAAGCTCCACTGTTTGATGCGCCTCTGACCAGCTGCTCGGATAGGCACGTCTCCCCCGCGATAACAGCTGCGCCTGTGGTGGGACACGCACTGCTCATCCATTCTCTACAACTACGCGAATCCAGACCGAGCCGGGCCGCCATGGCAGGAAGAGCGAGGCAAAGGAGCGCCAGCGCGCCGAACGGGACCAGCTGACGCGGTTGCTCAAAGAGTCGCCTGGCAAGCGCGACGCGCGCAACTTCCTCAAGCACTTCGACCAGTGGCAGCCGACCCCGAAGTCGACCCCGGCAAACCCCGAAGCCCCTCAAGCGGCCACCGAGGCTGAGAAGAAGGCACACCATGACGAGTGGAGGCTGGGGCGGACTGGCGTCAACCTGGGCAACCTGTACGAACCTACAAAGGCCGTGCAGAACAATCCCGTCTTCACGCGGGAAGAGCTGCCGGACAAGCTGCCCCATGACAAAGATCTGGAGCCGCTGCATTTGGCATTGGTCAAGCTGCGGCAGCCCCAAGCACTGGACGATGAGACATTGGGGGGCATAGCTCTGACCCTGAGTCAGATGGCGAAGCTGGGACTCAACATTGCCGTCGTGGTGGATTGCGAAGGAAACGATGGTCCGGTCAGCCTCGACCTAGACCCGACGTGGGAGAGCACCGTGCGAGAGCAGACGACACGCGTCGTGGATGCGCTGGAGGAATTCAATGCACCCGGTGCTTTTGCGATTGGCCATGCGCTAGCCTATACCGACCAGGTCGCCAGCAGCGCAGGCGCAGGGCTCCAGGGCTATGGCGACGTCGAGGTCAAGAACAGCCAGCTTCTCTTTCCTCCGATTGAGGACGGTATCATCCCAGTGATCCCGCCCTTGGCCTATGATTCGCAGCTTAAGAAGATCAGGGTCAGCCCCGACGACGTACTCCTTGCTTTGACGCGCGAGTTCGCTGGACTTACGCCAAATGTCGACACAAGTGGGTCGGTGGTTCCCGAAAGTGCTGGAAAGACACAAGATGAAGAGCCTCGTAGGAAACCTGTCCTGGATCGCATCATCATTCTGGAACCCCTAGGAGGCATACCGGCAGAGCATCGCGCGGACGGTGCACACGTCTTCATCAATCTCGAGGCCGAATACCGTGATGTGAGAAAGGAGCTTGAACGTCCTTCTCTGATCGCAGAATCCACAGAAAATCCATCGATATCATCCTTTGGCAGCAGCAACCCCTTGTCCAAGTTTGTAGAGACGGAAATTGCATCCATGCCTGGTACCGAAACTAAGCACGTTTCCACCGACTCAGCATCATCTCGCCACGTCAAGAATCTCGACGTAGTGCACCGCGCCCTTCGGCTCCTACCGCCGTCTTCTTCCGCAATAATCATCACCCCAGCCGAAGCGGCCATTTCCTCACAGGCTGCACTTCAGAAAAGCTCTTCTGCGGGTGTGCGAACACGCAGATCCAAGAACCCTCTGATCCACAATCTCCTCACCGACAAGCCCATGACTTCCTCGTCGCTGCCAGACCCCCTTGTGACTCGCCCTTTGGCGTCAGCGGATCCCAACCCAGCAACATTTCTCAAGAAGGGGATTCCCGTGACAATACTTCCAGACCCGCGCGTATATCCGTGGCAGCCGCCTTCCCCCTCAAATCCAAGCATCGAGCTCGAAAAGGATCCACGAATCAACTTTCCAAAACTGGTAGATCTGATAGAAGATTCCTTCCGCCGCAAGCTCGACGCACGCGACTACCTCGAGCGCATTCGGGGGCGCATTGCCGGCGTCATCATCGCCGGGGACTATGAGGGCGGCGCGATCTGCACCTGGGAAGCACCAGGGTCCCTTTCTTCCGCGCCTCCACCCCCAGACTCCCCCCTTTGGGTCCCCTACCTCGATAAGTTTGCTGTCTTGACGAAATCGCAAGGGTCGGGTGGGGTCGCAGACATTGTTTGGGGCGCTTTGACGCGGACGGCTTTCCCACAAGGTGTCTGCTGGCGAAGCAGGACCACGAACCCTGTGAACAAGTGGTATTTTGAGAGGGCGGTTGGCATGTGGGATTTGCCAGACGGGTACTGGACCATGTTTTGGACGACCGAGGGCGTGGTCGAGGAGGCTGCGAAGGCGATGAAGGCGAAGCAGGGGGGTTTGACGAGGTGGGACGCGTATGTGGATGTGTGCTCAGGCGTTGTGCCGAGCTGGGCGGATGCGAAGAAGCCTGATTAGAAGTCGGTGCTTCTGCAGATGGATGGTGGTGCTCAGCCAAACGTTGGGCTTACACAGTGGCCAACAACGAGAATGGAATGTCTGAAGAGGACCCTACCGTGAGCATTCACGGTACCTTAACTCCCTACAAGTTTACGAACGTACGTTGGGGTGACTTAAGACACGACGAGGTGCGCGCCTACGTTCCCCGTTCTTATATGCCACTGCGAGGGAGAAGACCGGTCTGTACCAGGGTCGTGTCGGGCAACGACCATGCGAAGAAAAGGGAACATTAAAGGTTGCCAGACACTGCACGTAACTGCATGAAAACCTGACCGCCTTGGTTCCTCCTTGTACGTACGCATCTCACCACCTCGAGATTCAACACAAAAGACAAGCACCACAATGCTCCTCCCCAGCTCTGATCCCCGACCTAAAAGCGCATGCCTAAACGACATCTTCCACGTAGCCTACTGCCGTGCCATCGCCGTCTTCCCGCCGTTCCTCCCCACCTGGATCTCCCCTGCTGCCTGCACCTCCACGAGCGACACATGTTTTCCGACTACGTGCCCTCGGGTGAACATACGGCTCTCGTACTCTGCTGGATCTCCTAACATGCGGGTACAGAGCCGGCGTGAGTTGAGACAGAATGATATATATCTCAACTAGGTAGAAAGATACATCTGACCTGTGACCGAGGGTTTGCCTTTCAGTATAGTTTCCCCAACGCCACGCCTGCAAGTCGTGCGCGTTGCAGATAGCTTTCCTTGCGACAGTTAAGATATTCTAACCCCTTAAAAGGAAACACAGTTTTTTCCTCTGATGCAGTGCGACATTGATGAATGTTTGTTTTCGCATGCAGCTGTACCGTGATAGCTGATACGCTGGGCCACTCCAACCAGCACCCTTCAACGACTGACATGATGCGTGAAATTGAATTAACACGCGCCTCAAGCCTTCCACGTCGTCTACGCAAATCAGGCCCCGTTGAAAAGATACATCACGTCGCCCCTTCTCGACAGAACAGGGTCCTCCGGCGTATTACTCGTTACGCCTAAGCACATTCCGTACCACCCCTGTTCTAGCCTCAGGCTACCGACACGCGGCGCCAGGCCGTCCCAGCCGCAGCTGTCCGCCGTTGGACACCTCAACAGTCGCGTGGAAACATCGCTCGCCGGCTCAGATTCGTTGTAAACAAGCCTCGTGGTTTCCAACGCTGCCTGCTCGGCACGGTGCTAAAGCAGTCCTTCACAGCTCATTCCAAGGCTACTGAGCCACACGTGAACGAACACCTGACTTTGGAGCCGTGAGGCTGTGAGGGGCCGTGCAGCGCCTAAGGTCACTTCACGGGTGCTCTGGGTTTAAAAGAATTGGGCTTTCACGTTAGGGCTTTGTTCTTGCCGTGGCAACCGTTCTGAACTTCGACAAACCATTTGCCTCGCCGCGGAGGGTTCTAAACGGTCTTGGCAGCCTCCAGAACGACGGTTCGACTCGATACCTGGTCGCCTGTACCGCTGTTCAGTATCACATTCGATTCGAACACTGCTGGAAGACGACATGACGAAAGCGAAGCCTCACTCTCGTTCCGGCTCAGCCAGTACGTGTGCGTGCTTTTGAATGTAGACTTCGAACACTAACCATCTACCAGCGGTGCCGGTGATCCAAAAAGAGTTGCCTGTCAGGATCATGACAGAGGCAATGCTTCCCTCGGGAGGACTTGCGCTATCGCAACATATAGCACAGGAGACAAGCTCAGTCGCATCTACGCCCGGTATGTCGTCTACCTGTATGGTTTACATAAAACATAAGCTTACTATCGACAGGAGTAGCAACACCAGCTTCTGAAGCCTCAGTTGCAGGCGGATACTTCGCACAATTCGAAGGCTTCACCCCGCAAGTGGATGCCGGCTTCCTGAACCAGTTCAACAAGCTCGCCATACATGAGAAGTACGATTCAACACACGGTATTCCCCCATAACAGCCTGCTAACGCGACCTGCGCAGCTGGTCCAAGCGAGAAAAAGCGCGTCGCCGCGACGAAGCCATCGAGGCCGAGTTCACCCACTACTTCGGCACAGACTACCACGACGTCGCCAAATGGCAGGAGCTCTGTGGCCTGGTGGGTCTTCAAGCCGAGGGCTTGTCATCCATCACCAAGTGCAAAAAGGTGCGTGTTTGATCGATCCCAAAGAACTGATGTATTGACAGTATGTAGTCGCTCAGCGCGCGCAAAGTCATGGTCAATCTCGTCAATCTAGTCGACCACCTCAAGAATGGCACGCCCCTCAAGAAGTTCAAGAACTTCTGGGAGTTCCAGCAGTACACGCTGAAGCCTGGACGCTGCATGAACCGCTCGCTGGCGAAGAAGAACGCTTTCGTGAATGTGCTGCTTAGGCATGTAGCATAGGTCGTTGCTTTATTGGCAAGCGGCTGGAGATGAGCGTTCGTAAGTGATGTCTCGGGGTTTAGGCGTTGCATAGGGTCGGTGTCAGGCGCTCTTTCACGGATTTAGACGCTCTCGAAACGGAGCAGAGTGCTCGAATATGAGGTCTTCACGTAGGGACTCTCTGCTGGGTGTCATTCCAGCACCTTTTCGTTAAGACGTTCAGGTAGCTGAGCATGTAATTTGAACTTCTTTGGATCCACACGTGCAAGTCGACACGGTGAGTCTCACATTCCAAGGAATCATTGCATTATCGATTAGCGTGTGGCGAAGGAGATTTGCACATGCCAATGCTGCTGCAAGGTGCTTCGAACGAAATCACTGGTAAATCCAAACACCGATACGCCGAGGCCTCCCCGTTATACCCGCGTCCTCTCACTCGAGATCTGTTCGAGTAGGGATGGCCTTGATAGCTTCGAGCGCTTCAATGCTGCCACTGGTGGTGACTTGGGCCGATGGCTGCCCGAAAGATTGCCGCTGCAGCAATTGCATCGATAGTCCTCTTGAAAACACTTCCTCCAGTGTCTGCACCATTGTTCGCCGCCTTTGACCTGTGGATCATGAGCAACTGGCGCACACTTTGTGAGAACACAACTCACCCATCCCAGATAGTCCACTGCTAGGCGGGTGAACTCTGCAGTGGTGGCCGCATCTGTATCCAGTGTGAAGTCACTGTCCGCGCCCAGCTGTGCGATGTATGTCAGTTGCTGTTGTCGAATCTTCGGGTCCAGCGCAGCCATTGAAGAAAGTTGCAATGCGTAACCTGACAACGGCGAATATTGAAGCATAATGGTGTGGACTCGGTGTTGCTGGAGCGAAAGCCAAAGGTGCAGTGGCGAGCGCACCCCATATGCTGTGATACCTCACCAGGGCCGCGGCCCTACCAATCGCCATCATCGAGCTAATCAACCATCGTTCGAGAGGGCCGCGGTGGTAGTGCCTCTAGCATTGCCCGCTCTGAGACTCAACAACCGCAGTTCGTGTTCCAGGTACCGGCGGGTCGGTCCGAAGGAGTGGCGATATTCCCGCATGCGTCTGTCGGACCTCCGCCGCATCGTCCGCCGTCGCCGTGTGCTTTTGCTCACTGCGTCTCTCAACCCAATAGATTCTTCCACCGAGCCAGGGTCTCTCAATCACCCCGCACACATCCACAAAGCATCGGATTCAGCAGCCGGTTCGGTCGCTGCAGATCGAACTGCACCATGTGCCATCCAAACGTATGCGTTGTGAAGAGCACATCTTTGCCGCCTATGACTGCCAGAGAAGAGCTTGCTGGATCTGAATTTGCAAAACACTGGACGAATTAGACGAGGCAACCTAATGTGATGAAGTAGAATATACTGAACAGATACTTGATTGTGAATCGTCTCAAGGTGGCAATGGGTAGAAAGTCCTTTCCCCAGAGTTCCAGAGGTGCTGGCCACGTGTACCAATATGTTAACCCGTCCCTGCTTGCTTTGAAGTTATCGTCGATGCATGCGTAGAGGAGGTCAACCGGTGAAGCAGCGTCCAGTTTGAGTCCGCGGAACTAAGATAAAGGGGGGTGTATTCGCACTCCGAGGTCACCCTAAACGCGAGGGCGAAATGAACAGCGTAGGCCTGGTACACAGAGGCACCAATTCAGCGAAGTACTGTATAGCATATGCAACACCCCTGCGAGCTACGGCCGTCGTTACAAGCAGTATGCAATAGAGGCGCGGTAGCTGGTGTCCCCTTGGCAATATGTGGGTCACTACAGCCCGCCAGCGGCGGCCGACAGCAGAGCAAGTCATATTGAAAAAGCCTCAAAGACGGCCACTGAAAAATCACATGGTAGTACGTATGTTGCCAAGTTCTGTAGGATTGTCGGACGGGTTGCGATTCATATTTAGGGAGGGACCAAGAGACGGGCTAGGCGCAGTTTCCCCCAGTGCATGTTCGCCGGCAGCACACAGTCGACGATTGAGCGTGGATATGTGACAGAGTGGTGAAAAATCGCGTGTAAGGTTACTCGGAGTGGAGTTTGAGCGTCTGCATATTAGAGGTAGACCAGTGTTGAGCTGCTCGCCCGTGAGACTCACTTGGCCCTCCCTTGAGCACGTTCAAAGAGTGGACGAGGACCCGCTGCAATGCTTAGTATAGTATCGGTTTGTGGCCGAGCCGATTTGCTATTACGTCTCCCAGGGCAACTGCTGTTAGAGAAACTTCGATGAACGTTCTATGCACAGATACCCTACGCACATCATTCTAGCGACGCTCTCGAAGAGCCCGGCTTGGAAAGAGGTGTATTTGAGGACATGCTGACCAAACTCATGATAATGAACGTGCTGATTCAATGTAAGCTTGGAAAGCTTGTTATAGATTTCCTCCTCGGTGATGCAGACACAGATTGCAATTGCCAAACTCAGGAAGCAGTCGCTACCTCCTCACCATTATTTCGTCACTGTCGAGTGGCAATTTGGAGAGATCGTGTTTCAAATGCGATGGGATAAGTATTGGGAAATAGTACTGAAGTTTCTCGGACATGGGATGATCGCAATTAGGCTGCATACGCCCTGGTCAGGCTGAGGACCATTCATGCAGGAGTGCCTGGGTAGCGGTCAAAGGAGGGGCAACAGGCGCACTACCCAACGGCGACTGTTTGTACACCTTCCACCAACTCCGCTCGCACAAGCGAATACCAACTGCATGTATCATTGGCCTGCGTGCAGCCATCGAAGAATTTTGATGCATCGCTCTATTTTAGGATGTATACTGCGATAAGAATAAGACCGCGACCCACGGGCCGTCACTGCCCTTCGTTTCTCCGTCACAATTGGCACCAAGCACGATAATGTATCTCTGGAACAGCCATGCCCTCGCCGCGGTGCTGCTCATGAGTGCACCGCATGCCATAGTTTCTCTATCATGCACTCAGTTCTCTCCGTCGCCAGTTCCGATCCCGCAGCTTCCAGATTACTTTTCGCCTCACCACTATCTTGATGCTACGACGCTTTTTCACACGGAAGCAATCCGTCAAACGCTTACCCTGTATCCTTACATTATTGACGGCCGCGCTTTCCCTTCTTTGTCTAGTATCTTCGCCACAGACGCTGTAGCGAACTATTCTGCTCCTCTTGGTGTTTTGAACGGGCTCTCAACTATCGCCGCTACACTCGAACAGGCTCTAGCATCGTTCCCCGCAACCCAACACCTCCTCGGGCCGCAAACTGTGCGCATTTGCGACAGCAAGAAAGCCATCAGCGTGACCTACTACAGGGCTGTACATCTCCTTCCTCAGAATGGAACAGTCGGGCCGGGAAACATCTTAGGTGGGGACAGCGTGCTGTATGCGTATGGGCAGTATCAAGATACGTGGGAGAAGCGCGATGGGCTGTGGAAGATTGTGTATAGGAATCTGGTATACATGGTAGGCAGGCCATTGGAACCTGAGGTTGTGATCGCAAGCTCACTGCGAATAGGCCCCCCTCGTTACAGGCATCAACTGAGACTTGGCTTGTGGTTCTCATTGGCAGTGCAAAATTATTCCACATCCACACATTCCGAGAATTTGGTCACATTTCCCCTAAATACGTCGCAGACTTGTGTTGCGCACAAGGCAAGCCCGGTATTCCGGAATGCGGGCCGACGCTCTCAAGCTTTGTGACTATCGAGGAAGCTTTAATAAAACCAAACTTGTAAAAACAAGCTCACGTGGCGCAAAGTCTCGATAGCGTCGGTACCAGGGCCGTTGAGCTTGGCCAGAACGACTGACCACGTGCAGGTGATATTGCAATATAAATGTACCCTACTGATCAGGGCAGATTAGCGAGTCTACCCACGGAAGATCTACCACCGTAGTGCTCGCTTCTTCCCCCGGATCCTTGAAACAAGACTATGACAGCCCCCATTCGCGGATTCAATAACCTCGCGGATCCGTGGACCAGGCAAGGGCTGCCGTCGGCGCGGCGGCCAGCAATCTCACAATGTAAAATTGGGGTTGTGGAATTTCAAGCAGCGATAAATAGGGGGAGTTGACCCAGGGAACCTCCACAGGGAGAGCCAATTCTACTTGTCGTACATTTGAAGTGAGCGACAACACATCTCGACTTCAAAATGGCACCGAGATTCGCTAGTGTGCTTGCTGTGGCTCTAGCCGGATGCCAACTTGCTATCGCGCAAAACCCGGACGACACCGCCGAGGTCCATCCCAAACTCACGACCTATAAGTGTACCAAGGCGGGCGGGTGCGTCGCGCAAGATACTTCCGTCGTCATCGACTGGAACTACCACTGGTTCCATACCGCCGACTGGTTGTCGTGCACAACCGCGTCTGGAGCAATCAACACAACACTCTGTCCCGACGAGGCGACCTGCGCTAAGAACTGCTTCGTGCAAGGTGACACGAACTACACTGCCAATGGCGTCACTACCTCCGGAGACACTCTCACCATGTACCAGTACACCAAGAACAGCGACGGCGCGTACCAGAATGCGTCTCCACGGTTGTACCTTTTGGGCTCCGACGGCAACTACGAAATGCTCCAGCTGAACGGGCAGGAGCTGACCTTCACTGTCGATCTCTCCCAGCTGCCCTGTGGCGAAAACGGCGCGCTGTATCTGGGTGAAATGGACAAGACTGGAGGCCGCAGCGAGTACAACCAGGGCGGTGCTAACTATGGCGGTGGATACTGCGATGCCCAATGCCCGGTGCAGAACTGGAGGAATGGAACGGTCAACACGAGCGGTGCTGGCTATTGCTGTAATGAAATGGATAGTGAGTCACCCCAGCCCAATGTCTATCTTGACGGCTGCTAATTGTACCTCTCCCTAGTCTTGGAGGCCAACTCGAAGGCCATCGCATTCACACCCCACCCCTGCACCGACTCCGACTGTGATCGCAACGGATGCGGCTTCAACCCGTACTCGCAAGGCTACCATAACTACTACGGTCCCGGCGGTACAGTCGACACGACCAAGCCGTTCACTGTCGTCACCCAGTTCAACACCAACGACGGTACCGCTTCTGGCACCCTGACCAGCATCACGAGGAAGTACCTCCAGAACGGGGTAGTGGTCGCTAGTGCCAACACCGGTGGTGACACTCTTACCTCGGAGATGTGCAACTCTTTGGACAGCACCGCTGCTGCGTTCGGCGGCTTAGCAACCTCGGGGAAGGCACTCGCCCGCGGAAGTAAGTCATCCTGACCGTCAAACCTCCTCGCCCACTAACGTTCCTCAGTGGTTCTCACCTTCGCCATCTGGAACGACGCAACCGGCTACATGAACTGGCTTGACACGGGCTCCAACGGCCCCTGCTCCACGACCGAGGGCAACCCCTCGCTCATCATCCAGAACAACCCCACCACCCACGTCGTCTTCAGCGGCATCCGCTGGGGCGACATCGGCTCGACCTTCTCCAGCGGCAGCGGCTCTGGCACCACGACGTCCAAGGCTGGAACCACGCTTACCACATCCAAGGCTTCGACCGCGACGGCAAGCACAAAGGCCACGACCACGACCAAGGCTTCGACCACGTCGTCGGCTGCAGGTCCCGCGCAGACGCACTATGGCCGTGAGTAGATGATTTCGGAGAAGCCAAGGACAGTTGCTAATGTCTTCCAGAATGTGGCGGAAAGGGATGGACTGGCCCCACGGCCTGCGTCAGCCCGTACAAGTGCGTCGTGTCTAACGACTAGTAAGTTCAATCTGGCCCCATCGATGCGGATACGAAACGCAAATGTTAACAACACCGTAGCTACTCTCAATGTCTGTGAGCTCGATCAGGCGCGCTGCGACCTCGAAAGTGGATGTGGAGGGAGGGATTTGTAAATAGCGTCATCGTTGCAGTAGTGTAAATACTAGTAGATGGTATACATGTTCGTTTCCTCACGGCGTCGTGTGTCTGGCCCCCACAACCCCGCCGAAGCACGGCCATAATTGTAAGTCTTGGTTGCCGTGAACGCCGAGTAGTCCCGGTAGTGGCCATCGAACGGATCGAGGCAAAACCACGCAGACAATGCCTCGCTCCACTGGAGCCTGATTTGATCTGCAAGGAGCGGCACGCCCTAGTGCACCGCCACAACCTACCGGTCCACTACGACTATCAAATCCACGCTTTCGCAACGTTTCCCTCTTACACTCTATCGCGCGCTCCACAATCTGTAACTTGCGGGATCCAAAATGCCTTCATCGACGATGTGGACGACTGTCTTCCAGACCACCGCCATGTACGCGGCTTGCCAAATTCTCACCCACCATGCAAGCGAAAACATATTCCAGGACGTTTGGGAGAATCCGGCGGTGATGAACCTCACAGCTATCACCAAGAATGTAACGGTGGCTAGCAATACTACGAACACTAGCAATGCTGTGGCCTCCAAAAGTGCTTTTCTTCCCACGGGTTTCAGCTATGAGAAAGATGGACTTCCGATTGACCACGCCACGGCCGACCGCTTGATCGAGGACGCTATCAAGGATATGGGCAAAGGCAGCGACGAGCCCTCTGAGTTGTCGATTAGGGTCACTTTAGAGAACGGCACAGTACTGAACAAGACTCTCTCTATTCCGAAGGTGCAGAAGGAGCCGGAAGAGCAGAAGGAGCCGGAAGAGCAGAAGGAGCCGGAAGAGCAGAAGGAGCCGTTCTACACGAAGGAGCTGCCACTAGAGGTTGTTGCTTATCTCTTCATGTGCACGTTGCAGTACTGCTGGCTGTTGGCACTGGAGCGCGCACTACCCGCGCGGTCGCGGCGACGAGATGTCGTTGTCAAAGAGAAGGACGAAATGGACGAGGACCGCGAAGAGGAAGTGGTGAAGAAATGGATCGCGCAGGGACGCGTGCGGCGTGCCTCGCTCAACTGGTGCAATACATTGCTCAAGTGGATACTGGGCTTGACGGTTGGGCGTGTGTGGTATTATGCGGTGCTGCATGTTGTCCGCCGCTCGCTGAGACTGGGGTCGCCGAGGAAGACTTTGGAGAACATGCTGGAGGTGAGTCGTGCCTGCTGATTTCCGCTACATACCGAGACTGATGATCAATGGTGCAGGTCGTCGCGATCAACTATGTGGGCTCTCTGGTTTACATCACCCCTCTGGCTGAGCTCATCGCGTTCGTTGCTGTACCGGCGTACAAACAAATATTGTTCGTGGCTGGTGCGGACCTGGCATGTCACGTCTTTCTTGTGACGGTAGTAGGGAAGCTGGCTGGTTGGGCAGTGCAAACGGACTTTGCGCAGAGTATGATACGGAACATGACCGAAGGCGTGGTGCAGGGCAGAGAGCGGGACGAGGCCTACAGAATGTTCAAGAACGAACTGTGAGGGCGTGGTGAGATAGGGTAGTGGCCTGCTTCTCGAGAAGCTGGTTCCTGCAAGCATTGGGCTGTTCGTCGATGGCTCGGCACCGACTGCTTCGGCAGGTGATGCGCCATCCAACTTCATCATGGCGGTGGCTGATGGCAATGTAATCTAGTACGCACTGAATACTGGCACAACTCAATCTCGTACAATCTTGAAGACTGTAACCTGACAAGGCATCGTGAGTGTCTACGGAACTCGTCAGCAGCGGTGGGGGAGCGCTGAGACGGAGGGTCACACGACAGCGACGCAACAGGAGCGGTGCATGTGGCAACCACGGCAACGGCAGGATCCACTTGGGGGCATGGCGCTGTGCAGGTTGGACAGGCAAGACGCCAGGCTCTCGGCGGTGGGTGGAGCGTGTCCTCTCGAGGAGTGCGATTCAAACGAAAGGCCGTGGCTGGGCGTCGGAGGAGCTGGTCCGTGCCTGCCTGTCCCGCGCGGTTGAGGAGCTACGCGCATGCGCCTCTGGCTGTCCACTTGGTGGTATGAGTTGTCCTCGACACGCGCCGACAGCACAGCGTCAATTGCGGCCGCGCACTCGCTGCTTGTATTCTTCCTGGCCTGCGTCGCACGCGATTGCCTGCGCAGCCATCCGCCCGGGTCGTGTCACGTCGCGCACTATTTTATCAGTAGTCGGACGGCCCGCGCCTCGCTCCCAACCTCCCGCAAGCCTCCCCCATTTCTCTCCACTCAACAGCGGCGCTGAACCAGAGTTCCAGCCTCCACTGGCGAGCGCGCTCCTGAATTGCTACGCCTTCGCTTATATTGCATTCCACCCACGCGCGCGCTCCCACACTCTTTCTCTCCATAATGTTCTTCAAGCGCCGCTCCCGCGCCAACAGCTACATCGAGAACGACGGCCCGCAACGCTCCCAGTCCTACGACGACTACGAGAAAATCAGGCCCGAGTCCTCGCACACCCAGCAGCAGCAGCAGCAGCAGCAGCAAGTCTCGTCGCCCACCGAGCAGGACATGTATCCGCGACCCCAGCAGCCCCAGGAGCCCCAGTACTCGAGGGGTCTATCCAACGGCGTCAACTCCATGTCGTTGGGACAGCCCACCCCGCCTCTGAGCTCCGGCTTGAAGCCGGAGCCCATGCCTGACCTGCTCACCCAGGCCTTCAACCAGGCCGTGCGGCCCTACACGGAGAAGATCGAGCAGCTGGAGAGCCAGCTCGCCGACATGCAGGCGTGGGTCGAGCAGTTGGAGCAGCAGCGCGCCGAGGTGCACAGCTGGATCGACAAGCGCGGACTGCGACCCGGTACGGCTACCAGCCTCCATCACGTTTGTCACTTGACTGACTCTTGCAGATGTTCCGCCATCCATCGCGAAGATCATGGACACGACCACTGCCGACGGAGCCGTCACCCTCAATGCCCAACTGGACCGCAAGATCACCATCGTCAACTTCGATCTCCACCGCTTGCAGGATGACCTCAACGACTCCATCTCTTCTGCTCACTTCGCGTCGGCTATGCTCAAGTTTTTGCCCGACATCCAGCGACTGGCGCTCCTTCCCTCGGGACCTCGACACGCCTTCGATCTCGTCCTCAAACTCGGCGGCAATCTCAACTCGCACGGCGGCCTGGACTCGGGCGATGAAGACGATCTTGCTGCCCGCCGCGACTTCTACGGCCGCCTCGACGCCGCCATGGTTGATGTAGTCAGCAGACGCTTCGGCGAAGGCGAGGAGTGGAACGTCCAACGCGAGATCAAGCGAATTGAGAAGACCGCTCAGTACCTGTCGACCTACGGCATCAAGCCGTACTTCCCGCAGACACTTGATGTTATGCGAAGGGAGACGGAGCAAAGGGGCTACCAGAGCGCCAACGGGGCACAAAGCGGGTCGCCTCCGCGGTACCACTAAAGATTATCTTTGGTGACGCGCGTGGCTGACATGAGTGCGTAGTCATAGCGACGAGACGCTGTGTTCCCTCCGGGCCCGTTATCACCTTGACGCGTTTAGACGCTCAGCTGTCCCCGAGCCTTTGTCTTTTCATGGCCGTACTCGGAGACGTGCTCGAACCCGGAGCGACCCAGGCCCGCCCCGGCCAGCGTTGTATGCAAAGACGGCGCGCAAGCACTACAGTCGAGTACTAATGCTCTCTGGGCGCTTTCGCTACCCTGAGTCCTACCTCGCTGCCGCAAAGCAGACCCACATCTGGCACCTCTCTCATTCACATCGTCCCAACTTTTTCCACTGTATGTTTCGACTGCACACCTTTATAGCGCCTGCTCCTGGCCAAAATTCCACAGTGGACGACAGGATCAAAGGCTCGCTCGATAACTGTAACTAATACTCACGACACGAATCTCCTTGTTGTCTCGGCGTTCTGGAATCATTGGTGCATTTGGGTATCTCGCGCTGTCCGTACTTTGGACGATTTGGATATCCACAAAATAGGGGGGTTTGCAGAAGCGTGGGACCAAGAGGGGGAGAGACGGCATTTGCTGCTAGATAATAAGCCAGGAGGCATAGTATAGTTAGTCTGAGCGTTGAATGCATTGTCAATACTGGAAATTTTTCTTGGCCCTCGACCCTGGTGCTGTTCAAGAGCCGACAGTGCGTGGTGAATAGTGTAGACCGGCTGTAACCGAGTGTACCGTGTATTGTCTTCGTGAGCCTATGACCAGCTCGTGGACAGAGTTGCCTTGGCTCCGCAATGGCAGGAACCGGATGGGAAGCGGCCAATGGTGAATGAACGGAGTGGGGGGGCCTAGGGGAGCTGGCGGAAAGTTGCTGCTGCATAGTGTGTCAGTCGACTAGCATCTCTCGGTTGCGACATCTTAACGGTCATCTGCGTTGTAAAGTAGCAAGTTGCTGATTCTTTTCCCGTAGAGTTTACTCCATGCTGCATCATCTCAGGATGCTAGCCCGGTCGGTGACACAGGGTAGCAGTATATTTATATTTGAAAGATTCAAGAGTAGGTGGTCGGGGTTGAAGCCTCGAGGTCGGGAGTGCTTCAATTGGGGTTGTTGGGGTGGTGTGGTATGGGTATTGTTTACATGAGCTGCTGAGGTATCAGGGAACATGATATACTGAATTGTGGGTGGTGACATGATTGTATGTCGAGCTAAGCTTGTGACTCCGGTAGCCGGGAACCACACGTCTCACACGTACAGGCATTACCGCGACCGCATGGTAGCATATTGAGGGATTAATCCTCTATCAAGAACGCATTCTAACTACGTCTGTTTGATAGCATCGTTTTCATCCGAATGCTTGACCCCCGCCTTCCCATTGGCATGGCCATTCGTATGCTTTTGAGTTCCTTCATCATCGAATTCCACACCACCGATGATGCCCTCGCTCACCAACTCCAGCCCAGCCACAAACACGCCCAGCAGACTGGCAATGACGAAGTGGCTAATCGTAGTCCCGATGTCCAGCCAACTACCCTCATCCTTGACCTTGTAGAAGAAAGACAGAGTCATGACATCACTGACGGCCATCACAACCATGAAGAGTGCCGAAGGCGCAACGCCGAGCCTACGGTTGAGGAGACCGAAAGCGGCGCTCAGAGCGGCAAACGGTACCATGAGCTTGAGAATGAGGAGTGCGCCCTGGGAGAAGGGATCAAAGATGGGTACCAGGCGGTATACGGCGTCCAGAGAGAAGGAGGAGACCGACGCAATGTTGCTAGCGCTGAAGAAGGCGGATTGGATGAAGAAAAAGAAGAACAGGGCAATTCGGGCATCCGCTAGTGTGAGCGATCGATACTCGCCCTTCTTTAACGCAGTAAGTCGGGTTGTCGCTGCTGTTACTGCTGGCTTCAGGGGATTCGCTGTAACTGCAGCCTTGTCCGAAGAGCTAGATGTATGTAAGTGCACTTTGTGTTCCAAGCGCATCCAGCTGAACAAACACAGGCAGAATGAGAAGTAGAAAAGGCCTTCGTATGAGATGGTGAGAATGATGAACGTTGGTGCGAATTGGAGGAAGATGACGATCAGCCTCTGGAGATAATGTCGGTTGGCGTGTCGTGGATACGCTGATGGGAGAGCGAGCGACGCCACTATTTTCGTCAGTACACTTGAAACATCATCAATGACAAGCTTACAAAGTGTGAACCATCCCACGTAAAGGTTACCAGAGCCAAGTCCTTCTCGAGCCCGTAGCGTGATGACACTAGATCTGGTGACAATCATAGCAAGAGCGACTAGACCTGTTTGGGCTCCATAAATAACTGTGGGTACAATACCGCCATCTGAGTCAGCTCTTTCTAAGTTGCTCGACGAGATATCGTTCAGTGCTTTGACAGCCATGTAAAGCACGCCCACGGTGAGCATAAGAGCACCTCCACACATACTGTGACTTGAATCAGTACGTTATGCAAGCATTCGGGTTCACTGCTTACATGTTGCTTAGACTCTCTGCCTTGTTTGCTGGAAGCAAGGTGAACGTGCTCATCAACATGCAAGACACAATCCAAGAGAAGATAGCACCGTAGTTCTTCTTCATGAAGGTTTCGCCGTAGAACATCGGCCAACTTGATGCGAGTAAGTAGCATGCGGTGTAGATCTCTCGGGTGAAATAACTCTCGCCCTGTTCATGAGTCAGTTGTCGCAGATGGCGAATAGCCATGGGGATAAAACGTACCAAAGCAACCAGAAGACCAAAAAAACCAAGTGTAGAGAATGACAGGCTGACGATGTCTGCGGGCGAGCTCACACCAGCAAAGAGCACTTTACCGCCCTGCTTGATCGCCGGAAGGCGAGCCCAGACTTCTTCCCAGAAAAGGACAGGGAAAAACGCGTAAGCATAGTAGATCCATGGCGACTGTTGCTTGAATAGCACAGAATACAGTAGAACTAGTATGGAAGAGAAAGTGACCTTGCTGGATACGGTGCGAATCGTCTTCGAATTCCCATGAAGGACGTGAAGGTCAATGACTGTGGTTAAGGCAAATGCGATCCATCCAAGATAGCCGAAAGTTATCAGTGTACGGAGAAATAGCCAGTCATAAGTCTGAAGGTATCGCAGACCCTGCAGACCGAGTTGAATGAGCTCTTGACTCTGTCGAATAGCGTATTCTGCCTCGCCCTTGTCGATGGCCTTACGAATCTGAGAAACACGATACTCCACTGAATGGGTCTCATCACCCAGACCAGGGAAAGGCTTGTACCGCAACTCGTGAGACCTCTTCAAGCCCTCTTTCACATGATACATCTCCAAGATCTCTTGGGCATTAACAAGAAGAGCTTCGGCTTTTGTTTTCAGGTCTGTGTTTAGGTAGGAAAGCGGTAGCTCTCCGACAGAGTTGGTTGGGAAAGCCAGGCCAGCCAGATACGCCATGAGGGCGGCGACATCAGCTTGAGCGACATCGTGTCGCTCGATGTGGTCTAGTCCCCAGTCAGAGGAGAAACCGTCCTCATGGCCGCGCGCTACGCCAGACTTGTTGACAACCGGTGCCGGGATCCCGGAACCCCAAACAATCAAGGGCGTGCGAGTATTGTCTGGATGTCCGTCTCCATGACTCCCCCAATCGCTCATCCCGTGATCTGCTGTGAACACAAACGCAGTCTTTCCGTCATCGTAAAACCCCTCGATCAGCTCCGTCATCTCACGAACACCCTGGTCTACAATCTGGATGTTATGCAGGTATTGCCACGAGAACGGGCGGTGGGAGTGTCCGGTGGTATCTAGTCCGAGCAAGTGCAGGAAAAATACATTCTTGTCCTGGCGCAGTTCGGCGTCCAGCGTGGCATTTGACTTGGCTTCTGCAAAGAGCGCTTTGACTTTGTCGAAGACCCACGTGTCCAGCACCCAAGCGTCTTTTGAATTGTCCTCCGCTTCGGCATCGTAAGTGTCTGCATACACTCTGCCGGGCACGGCGCCTTGCTCGAACATGGGCAGAATGTCCGGACTTCCCCAACTCCAAGTATGTCTGCTGCGATTGAACACGCTATCGAAATGTACGGGATTCAGCTTCCAGCCTGTGGTAACCGCAGAGACGTCCTCGTAAAGCCCAGCGATCAGCGCAACATGGCCTGGACGGGACTCGGTCGGGACACGAGTGTGAGACACTCCGAACGTGCCGTGATCGAGAACGCGCGAGCGCAGGAACGGCGCGAGAGGCCGGGGTACCTTTGCGTCCTCTGAACCTCTGTTTGCAGGGTCAGGGTCAGGAAACGACTGGAAGGCCTTGTCCGCGCGTAGACCATCTCCTGCAATCGTGGTCAGCAACTGCACCATCAGCCATGACTCGAATGTCCAACTAACCCACAAACAGCACCAATCTTTTCGCAGGTGCTTCCTTATTCTCCAGACGGTGCTCTCGCATGCCATGAACAACTGGGCTAACAAAGTATATCGAGAAGATGCTACGAGCACGTTAGCGTGAGCTGTTTCCGAGCTTCTCGGAACGGACCTGTAAATGTAGATTAAGTGAAAAATCACCGCTATCGTAAGAAAGCGGTAGCGACCAACCTGCGCCATGGCGAAAAGGGCAAAGGAGCGGACGTCTATAAGACAGACGGCGGAGCAGCGTTGGTGTCGTAGTTCCTGAGCACCCTGGAGGAGTCCAGCGCGACGTGGAGGTCGCTCCGCTCCTGCCAAGAACTTCCAGAAGGGTTCCCTTTCGGGCTAGAACATCTGACAACGTGAAGAAGTAGAGTGCTGGCATGTCTTCGCGCGCTTCCAACTTGTATTGTCAATGTGCGCATGTGTTCCTCACAAGGTTGTGTCAAGCAAATGGTTAGAATGGTGTCTCACCTTTATAGTCGAGTAAAATCGATGATGGTAGCAAACGTAGGACTGACGGTGAATTTAGACCTCTATCCACGGCTGTTGGCAACTTCACTGCCTTTCATGCTATGACTATGCTCGAGTGAGTGAATTATGTCTGAGCAGGTAAACTGCGTGAGCCTGCCTGTCAACAGCGAGACGGAAGGAAAGTGGAATATATGTATGTATCAAGGTATGACCTAATTCACCAGACCACCATCGGACGCAGTATACCAAACTGATATTAAGTATCCACGAGGTCATCACTTCCCACAGACATCTATTGTTCCAAGTTGAAAGTACCCTCCCTCAGACCATCGACAACGAGCGCCTTGCCTTCCACGCGTCGGTAAATGTTTTTAATGTCATCTAAAAATGGTTAGCGCTGGAGTTGATTTTGGTTCTCACGTGAAGGCTTACCTGTCGTGGTCTCGAAGTGGCTCGTGGCGTCGTAGCTCTTGGAGATGAAAACATTGTCTTTCTCCCCACTCTCAATAGGCTCATAAAGCGGAATGGACGGACTCATGAAAGTTACCAAGGGCTCGATACCCTTACCAAGTACTTGTTTGCCAGCAGCCACCTCTTCGTGTGGGTTGGCATCGTTCTCAGCAATTGTGGAGACGATAGCGATGTAGAACCCCTTTGGAGTAACGTTCTGGGCAGCGCCAAGGATAGCGACGTAAATGTCTACATACGTTAGCTTTTCGTACGGAAAGCACCGACCTAGCCTTACCGTTCTTCCGGCCCACCTGGGATTGCGGAATGATGAGTTGCATTGAATCAGCATTCTTTCTGAAAGGAAGAAATTCCTTAGCTTCATCTGTGTCCTGTGCGGGTTCTCGTAGGATGTGGATCGCCTTGATGAGATGCCCGGTCACGCGCACCTTGCCAGGGAAGTACGACGGGTCAGCTAAGATTCTCTTAGCCTTCGTCTCAAACTTCATGCCAGGCCCATCATCATGTTTCATGGTAGCCTTGATACCGACAACCTTGCCCCCTTCCTCTATGAATTCGTCGACGTCGGTATTCAGCATATATGTGCCTCCGTAGATGGCTGAAAGACGAGCGAACCCCTGAGGAAGTTCTCCGAGACCATAGAGCGGGTAGATGTATGGCGATTTCCCGGCGCCATATCGGAGCATGGATAAAGAATACAGCTTGATGCGCTCCAACGTTTCGTGAACCCGACCCTTAGCGTTGACGTAGTCGTCTGTCGTGTAGAGAGCCATTGCGTGGCCAATGAAATCCTGGGTCGTAGCTTCGAGGCCAAACTTGGTATAGACCTCCTTCATTGTGGCATTGGAAATGTCAAAGCCTGAGTATCGTCAGCAGATTGCTCGAGTTTCTCCTATAATGCTTACCATTATGGGTCGCTGGGTCGTCCGGCTTATATTCTTCTACCGCCCATCCGAAGAACTTCTGCGCTCGTCGCTTCTCAAATATTCCCATGAGAGCAGATGAAAGAGCCTCCTGTTTGTTCGAGGGCACTTTCTCCACTCTCGGTTTCGGCCCTTTGCCCTGTTGTACGAAACTGCCCCCAATCTGCTTGAACTCGAGGTACTTGGTAACGTCGGTGGATATGAGAATGTTGGTCAGTTCGCCGTTGGCCATGAGGAGCTTCGGGACGAGATCAATGTTCCAGTCGTTCGGCCGGGTTTTGCTGAGCGCCTCTTGCGCCTGCTTGTCCGGCGTGACGCCATACTTCTTGTACATCTGATGGAGTCAGCGGGGTACAAGGTCTTAATGTCGCTCTTCGTACCGCATCAAGGTTCAGTGATGCAGCCTCGCTTCACAAAGTCAGCATATCTGCTCTGTGGATGAGGAGTTGCATGACGTACCCTCCGTAATGATCGTTGCGGTCAATGTGCAACACCTTCTTGCCCTGCACACTGAGCACACTACATTCGGTCAGTAAAGGTCCATCCTCAGGGAAAGTCTGTGTTACCCCGAAAGGACGCATTCCGTCAGGCCTGTGAGGCGTTAGCACCTGCCTCCGGTGGCACTGGCGGGGTAGCGGCGCACCTGTTCCCAGCACCAGGACATCGTACTCGGGTGCGATCTCATCCATGATGGGCAGTCCAGCGGATCAGATGTATATGGTTGTCCAGTGGAAGAAGAGAAAACGGAAGAGTTGTTGTGGTGCAGGCAGAGCGGTGAGCAGGTTGCGGGCAAGTGGGGGTGCTTTGAATGCTGGTCGGAGCTTCGTCAACTCGCGCTGCTATTCGCTGGAGCCCTACTCGCCTTGCACTTTCTGAGCGCGTCGCGTTTCGGCAGTAGTCTACCCAAAGTCACTGAAGCGTTTTGTCTACTGGTTTGGGACTGAACAATTAACAAATGCGAGTTTCCATGCACTCGCTTGCGAGTCTGCACTATTTCAACATATGCTACAGTAGTATCAACAGCTCCGTATCAAAACATGTACACCTGCGGTTGCTAAGCTAACCACTACTCGGGCTCTGTCCGACAAAAGTTATCATACAGCGTGTTCCCTCTGATCACAGTTCTCAGATCATCTTCGCTTTCTTACAATGCATTTGGCTGCTTGGGCTGCTGTTTGGAAGGTGCTGCCTCTGGTAAAGGTACGGATGAGGGTTGGACAGATATCGTCTCTGATTGTGGAGGCTGCCCTTCCGCAGCCTCTTTCGGTACCACGCCAACTGGGTCACTCAGATTGTCATCTTCCTGGTACATGTCCTGCGAGAGTCAGCATGGTTTCGCTTGAAAGTCGATCGTAGACTTGCCTCTGCGTCGTACGAAGATTCCTGGTATTGGTGCCCAGTACGGCCAAGGTCAATGGTCGGGTCGTGTTTCGCCAGCTTGTACGCTTCTTCGTAGGCCGTGTTCCGCTCCGCAAGGGTGTCAAGAATGGCTTTCATCGTCTCCTGTATCGTCTCATCCCGCTCCTCCATCTCGGTCTGGCCGTGGCCGGCGCCTTGTCTCCTGTGCTCGTAGTGCGCAGTGGCGAGGCGATTCCGTTCCTTGACACACACCCACCATAGCTGCTGCAGAGTCTCCCAATCGCGATTTCGCAGTTCGTTGACGGTCCACGCTCGTCCTGGGTTATGGTCAGCCCGTTTCGTCATCGTCTCCAATCGCTGGTGACATTCACGCACCATGTCGTCCCTCTTCGACCGGCGTTAGCAACAGCTTCTTGTCCTTGAAGAACCCGTAGAGCCCATGATCTGGATCGCCGCTGATCTGCGAGGTCGGCTGCACGGGCGTGGGCAGCTTCTGGTTCTCGTAGTCCTTGTTCTTGACCGAGAGCGTCTGCCTCGGCCGCAGTCCTGTATGTCGCACTCCTGACACACCCCGATTCTTGTTGTTATCTCCCCTTCCCGGCCCCTTCAGTAATGATGGTGATGTGGAGAAGCGTGCTAGGGGGGTGCGCCGTGTGCATTGCGTCGGGGACGCAAAAAGCGAAAGAGCGGTGTCGCGGGGTGCAGACGGCAGCGACGGCCGCAGAATTCGTGATGTCGGTATGGCCATGGTGCAGGGCTGAGCTCCCACCGTTGCAGCTGATGGCAGGCTGTGCTGGCGCTGCTGCAGACAAAAGTTAACGATACGATGGCAACCATGTGCGCTAGACAGGGGCCTGTCTCCGTTGCCCGTCTCACGTCGCACGTGATCAGCCCTTCGGCTGAAGCATAAAGGGCCCCGCGCCATCTTCCGCTTACGACCCTCATCCACCAACCGCCCTCTTCACCCGCGTGCGAGGGGGCCTTTTACTGAACAAATTCTATTTGACGAGTTCCTAGATTTTCCAAGCGGGTATCAGGACCCGCAACACACCATCCCAAGATGCAGCGAACAATCTCAACCTTCATGCCCGTCCCAAGCCAACGGATATTCCTCTGGTTCTCTCCACGACAACTCGGAGGTAGCCTTAGACCTCCATGGTACAGCTGTTAGCTGTGGCTGGGACCATATATCGTCATATTCGCCTTCGTATGACTCCTCTGGGGTTAATTCTGTTCCATTTTCGTCTTCTTCCACCTCTCTATCTGCTCTGACTGGCGACCTTCTTGCTACCCCCCAATCGCATTCGGTTTACGAACATCCTGATTGGAGCGCTTTTTCATTACAACCTACCTCTGTCACGATTTCCTGCGATGACTTGTCGACTTACCCTCTGGTGTCTACCGGCGGACTGGACGTCGTGACTATGCAATCTCTTCCGGATACTACAATTTACAGCACACACGTGTCACAATCTATGGAGAAAGGTATGTACAGTCGCCTCTTGTCTGCGACCATCTACTAATCTACTCAGGTCTTTCGAATTCTGGTTCTTCCGCTTCGTCAAACTCACACAATAGGAATTCGTCGTCACCAGAGACAAGCTCCACCAAATTGCCCGCATCAAAGTTTTCTTCTACTCCTCTTACCGACCCAGCGCGCGTTGAAAAGCGAAAAGCCAACACAATGGCAGCTCGCCGCTATCGTCAGAAGCGTGTCGACCAAATGAACACGTTGGAATCTCAGCTCAAAGACACGCAAACCGAGCGTGATGCTCTCAAAGTCCGCTGTGCTAGGCTTGAGGGAGAAGTTGAGACCCTCCGCGCACTGCTTGCTGCGAAGAAGTAAATCTATTGGTGTCAGCTTCTTTCCTTTGTATCTTTCCTTTCGGTTTTGTTCAAGCTGGCCATGTTCTCAGACGATGTCGGAAAACTCGATCATTGCGTGTTTGTTCAAAAACGTTCATATCGGCAAAAATGGGTTTTAATCTCCATGGCTTCGAGATGGGGGTGGTATCACTCACGCAACTGTTATGGTCACTGTAGATCAATTGATATCTTGATTCTTTGGCATGTCTATTCTACGGAGTCTTATACCTTCGTGGATGCCGTAGCTGCTCACTTTCTATCACGATGAGTCGAGATGAGGCAGGAGTGTTGCACTCCTTGCTTGCATTGCTGTGTGCTTCACCCAGAGAACGTTTGATATGGGTAAGGTTTGCCCCGTTTGTTCTCTACTACATGCGTTCGATGAAGTATCAGCTGTGGTCAACTCGCTACCTCATTCTTCGTCTCCCAACATCGACCGTCTTTCACAACCCTCTCACAGCGCCCCCAAAGTTCGTTGCTCTGCCCTTTCACCACGCAGACAGGGGACCTTGCTCTGATTGGCCACTTGTGAGTCATTTTTCGTCAGATCTGAAGCTAACTGTTTTGGGGCAAAAGAACGCGCCGAGTCATGCAAGCTTGCATGAATAGAGTTAAAACAGCATGAAAATCATTATGAGTCGAAACGTGTGGATGCAGAGCGATACCGGTATCAAGCCACTACATGTAGACGCAAGGTTCCTTAGATGTCGAAGCGAGCACTGCAATGGTGAGGCTCTTGCCTGTCGCTCTTGAATGTGACGTAGAGGCCGAAACGCATTTGATCGCGCAACTTGAGACACATTGTTCACGCGCACGCGCCCGCGGGTTGTACTTGGGGACCTAGGTATATACAGTATCACATGACTAGGCATTACCTAGCTTCACGCATGGCTTCATCGAAGGTTCAGATTATTGAAAGGTGCACTCTTCGCATCTAGACTGGAGTCATGTTGATTCGATTTTGCCGGGTTGATCTGAGATGTAGTGAAGCCCTGCATATTCACATAGTCACAGCCTTCTGCTGAACGGCACTGCCTCCGAGAGCAAGAGATGAGCTTCAGGATCCATACCACGACCGACTTTCGCAGAACCTATCTAAGTGGTTCCCTAAAGGAAAGGAAAGAAGGCTATTCTTCCGAGTTCAAGAGGCATGAGGCATGCCTTCTCGTTGGCGCCCACTCGGGCTGCGCAACGCCATCTACAACGATTCCATTTGCCATGCGGAAGCCATGCACAACTCAACTGCTCGGATTAGCATGTGCGCAAAGACGAGTAGCTTCTAACACACATGTAAACGACATCACAAAGCTGAATTACCGTTGTCTCATAGCATTTGTCCTTTTCGCCAATGCCGGGTCCAATACACGAGCATTTGGTGGTGACGAGGACCACGAACTTGCAGGCGCATATCGAGCCCGGTGGATGTTATGCGCGCCTTCGCTCCCAAGGTTGGTGTTGAAGGACACAGTTGGGATCCACCAGTTCTTGTGCAGCTCCAGTCCAATACAGAAGGAGCTAATTAGGCGAGCCCGCTCCGATCCCCAAGCCAAGACTTGCAGCTGCGACAACGCGAGCACGACTGCCAAAGCGCAACTGTACACTCCACCAACGACAAACAGCTACACCGACCCGCGAGGCCAATTTACGAGCCTGGAAGAGTTGCAGCGCGCTATGAATCGACCAGGTCTGTTCCTCCTCGAAGTCGTTTGAGCCCGCACCTACACTGCTGGAAGCCCGCCGCCTTGCGCATACGTGCCTTACTCCCGTCCTACGTCTCCGTTCGTTTGCGCACTGCAGCTGCGTTGCAGGAACCTAGGAGACGCCACGGCAAAGTGCCATCTAGAGCTCAGCTCGAACCAGCTTTCACTCCAACCCTCGTACACACGCCCATCTCTATCCTCACATACCACACATACTCGCCGAGAGGTCCATTCGCTAATAGTGCGATGCAGGACCAGGAGGTCAAACACTACGAAACATTCCCACGGGCATGTTTCAGAACCAACAGAATAGCGCCCGCGGTGGCCCGCTGGGCGGCAACAGGTTACAAAACGGAAAGCTAGGTGAGCCTGCGCTTATGTCGACTACCCGGGTCGTAACTAACTGCATTGTTTGTGGCAGGCAGCGGATCGCAATGGGCATTCGGCGGACCCATGGGCGCGGCTCCCGGTCTCCCTAATGCACAGTCGCGAGCAAACGGCGGTGGGTTGTCGAGCTTCGCACAAACAATTGGCAGCTCTCAGTCCCACACCCCCCTCAATCTTGAGTAAGTCCATGAACCATGAGGCTACGCAACACCAAAAGAAAGGCACGCTGTCGCGCCATCATTTCGTGTCAGTCGAAAGTGCAAGAGGACTTCCAGCTAAATGTTCGCGATGACAGAGAGTTTCCTTCGTTGTCAGGCGCGCCGCAAGCACAGCAGAACACGTCTGCACAACAAATGTGGTCAAATCCGACGCTACGTACGACGCAACAGCACTCTACGATCCAACGACCGCAGGGGCAAGGCACCCAACAAGGCCAGGTTGGTCAGCCTGCGAACCAACCGCTGAATCAAGCGCACGACGAAGGAGTGAGCACCGCACAAGGCCAGTTCTCGGCAGGTGGGGATGATTACAGGTTTGGAGGACAGTCAGGAGTTGGACAATTGTCAGGCTCTGCCCAACCTCAGACGGGCAATATCGATGAGTTTCCGCCATTAGGAGGCAGTGCTGATGTCGGGCCTGATCGAAGAACTGGTATGATACAAAACGCTGCAGCCTACGGCGGCACTGCCAACGCAAATGCTTTCCCTGGGCTTGGACAGACAAGGAACGGTCTCTCAAGTCCCACCGACTCGCAGCAAGACCGGGCAATCAACCCAACTTTAGGGGGCAGAGGAATAACTGCTGCCTCAGGTTTGTTTTGCCACCTCGATTATCAACGACCAGCTGACCAAGTGAATCAGCGTCTCGGTCGCCCTTTGAGAATATGCGCAGCGGCGGGGGAACCCCGGGCCTTACAGACGTAAGTTGATCCGATGAACGCTTCGAAAGCTGCCACTAAAGGACCGAGTAGAACAACGCACGCGCCGGACATTCATTAGGAAATATACAAAGCATGTCTTTCATGGGTTCAACTCCGCAGAATCTACCACCAGTTGGACAGCGGCCGCAGCAAAACCAGTTCGAGTCAGCGTTCGGCTCTGATACCGTGGGATCACCGAACGGGCAAGCACCACACAAGAAGTTGGCAGAGATGACAGAGGCGGAGCGATATACCCTCCCAGGACTTCTCTCGATGATACCTATGGATAGTCCTGACTACTCTTCGCTTGCGGTTGGGCAAGATCTTACAGTGTTGGGGCTCGACCTCAGCCGCCCGGAGTAAGGTGCTCGCTTCCCTGTGGTTGCTTTGCTAACGTAGTAGTAACTCTCCCTTGCACCCTACTTTTGGCTCACCATTCGTGGAATCTAACGCCAAGCCCGTAATACCTCCAGATTTCAAGCTCCCTGCAGCCTATACAGTGACGAACGTACCGCCGCTGCATACCAAAGTGACTAGCTTCTCTGCAGAGACACTACTTGCCATATTTTACCAATTCCCACGAGACATAATGCAGGAGATTGCTGCAAACGAATTATACAATCGCGACTGGAGGTGGCATACTAAGCTGCAGCAATGGATGATGAAGGATCCCGATCTACCAGCACCTGTACGACTGTCGCCGAAAGTTGAGCGTGGATGGTACTTGTTTTTCGATGTTACAAACTGGCGGAGGGAGCGGGTAAGTCGTCCGATCATGCAGGTCCTTCGTGGGCTATTCGACGCCGGTGTTGACTAAAATATTACAGCGAGAGTTCGAACTTGACTACGATCATCTAGACCAGCGTCATGGGCCTGCCATGGCTGCTGTTTAGTTTACTGCTGGTCCCAGAATAGATTTCCTGCAGTTCTGGAAATGGGAAATGCCAGGAGAAAATGAGTGGGCGACGTTCGTGCGACTGCGACAAAGTCTTGAGTACCTTATGTCATATCAGAGATGTAATTCGGAGACCTGTAGTACTGAAACTGCTCTCTAGTGGTATCCTTTCGGCCCACTGGTAGCAATGACACAGGCGTCATAGGATCGCTCTCTCTCTCTCTTCCGACACTCTCCTATTGAAGCGTGAAAGACGTGTTAAGTGAATGAATCGCTTTCGTCGCACAGATCCTGAGCCCATGCCAGCACCAAACACGATTGGGTGCTTTGCATGTTCCAAGTGTGGCACATACTATACTCATGCACTACCATGGTTGACAATGTCCTTACATTGGTCAACCTGTGCAAGGATGACAGCTCGGCCGGGCGCGTATGTCTCGAGTGATCCGAATCCAATGTGGCACAGTCAGATCGACATCCCACCAACCCCTACGCAACTGTTCATTGTCGGACCGGCCCGAGACTGTCGAGCGTGTTGTCGAATCATATACCTCGCACATCCTGTTGGAACCCTTGCAGGTTCATGCGCCTTCGACGCACCCCACTGTCTGTTAACGTACAAGGCACGTTTTCAGGCTTGTCACGCTGCGCATCTCGATCCTGTCAGCCAGGGAGCGATAATAAGTGAGCTTCATGCCCGCCCAGGATGTGACAATCTTCAGTCCGCTCCCCATACCAATTACCTTCCAGCTTTACATGCTTACAACATGCCAGCATACCGGAGCACTCTACATGGCATGACCAGATCCACACATATTAGGGATAGAAGTCGAGTTCGGGATTTAGAATACGACTCATGGATACAAGCGTGAGGAATCCAGCTCGTATGGCGTGGATGGGTCTTTTTTGCGAAAGAAAAGATCTATTTCTCGCTAAGCTGAGAGGCACATCACTCTGCTTTGACTCACGCTGACTGCGTAACCGCCTTAGGGGACACGCTGTTAGTCCTATTGATGAACTTCTCTGCAGTATTGCAGGCAAGTTGTGCAGTGGCCCTGTGTCACATATTGACTCGGTCAAGAAAGCCGACTGCGATCCTTTACCGGAATCCGCCTTCTTGGGAATACGGGACGACACCGGTACAAAGCAACGAGTTGAATTATACACCGATGATGGTATTTATTCCTGACTGGGTTTTTGATTCGAGAAACTCCATCGCTAATCTATGCCCAGAACAAGTAGCTCGCGAATATGCTTTTATTCGCAAGGTGGATTATACAATTGATCGAACCTTCTTCAGCCAGCATGGAGTAGATATAGCTAGGATATGGCTCCGTCATTGCTTGCAAAATCATTCGGCCTGCGGATCCGCGAATACATACGTTTCGCTTCCAACGCGTTTGGTAGCAGTCGGTTCTTCAACACGCAACCCTCACTTATACATCCCTGTGCCAGGCGAGAAAGGCTCTTACCTGGCCCTATCGTACTGTTGGGGCGAAGGCGAGTCGTTGAAGACAACGAAAGATACACTGGACCAACTCAAGTCTGGCTTCGTGCTTGAAAGTCTACCCAAGACATGTCAGGACGCTTTGGTCGTTGCGAGACAGCTGGGCGTACAATATATCTGGATGGATCGACTGTGTATCATCCAAGGCGATGAAGAGGACTGGGTCCAAGAATCCTCTTCAATGTGTTCGGTCTACGCGAATGCGTTACTCACGTTGGCAGCGCTACATTCCCCCGGATGCGACACGGGGCTATATACTTGCAGCGGTACCCACCCATTCAAAGCCGCGACCGCCATTTCCGAGGTTCAACTCTCTAGCGGCAGAAAAGGCACAGTCGTTGCAAGTAGAGATTACGTTGATACTTGGGACCTCTTCTTCATTCATATGGGTCCAGAAACCGATCCAGATCCACAGCCCTCAGATTACTTAGAATCCCGCCTTTGGACGTTACAAGAGATCGCTCTTTCGCGTCGGGTTTTGTGGTTCGCGCACGCAGAATTGGGCTGGAGTTGTAAGGAGGGAACAGCCTGCGAGTGTTATCCGCAACCCACTTCTATAAAAGATCCCGACGAGGTAGGGGCGCACATAACATCAAATCTCGCGCCTGACTCAAAACATGCTAAGAAAGATTGGCTGCCTATCTGGTACAGATTTATTGAGGAAGCCACCCAGCGGCTCGTCACGAAGGACACCGATCGCCTACCCGCTGTTGCTGGCATGGCATCTGCAATGAAGCATCACATTGGCGGACGCTACATAGCTGGGCACTGGGAGGCCGATATCGAGAAGTCGCTTCTGTGGGAGATCGAGGAGTTGAAGTTTTTCCGCCACGAGAGTACTGCTCGCCTCCCGCCTATACATCAGTATTATGCGCCAAGTTGGTCTTGGGCTTCAATTTCACGACCTCTGAACCATAACGGGGCATTGATCCCGGATATCGTGGAAGGAAAAATGGACTGCAAAGTCATTGGCATCGATTTCTGGCCAAGCAGCTCAAACGTGAACGGCCCAGGTCTCGCCATCCTGACGATGGAGGCAGTGGTACTGGCTGTAAGCCCACCAAAGTCGTGTAATGGACGCTTTGAACATAAAGCCAAGCCTGAGGGGAGATACATCGAGTTATACAAGGGGTTCTCAAGGGAGTGGACACCAGACCCAAGAGGTAACCATCGACCGATACGAGATAAAGATCTGTCTGTGGTTCTTTTTCTACGATGGCCAGATGATCTCGAGCCGAATGAAGTGGGTTTTGTCTGGGGGCTTGTGTTAGAGAGAGTGAATGAAGACGAATACAAGGATTGGGAGGCACAACTCCCAAAAGTCCAACATCAAGGCTCCGAACAGGTAGAATCCGGCTTGGATGGTCAGAAACTCCGTGATTTGAGGGTTATACATACAGATGTCATTGAAGGAAACGTTTATAGGAGAGTGGGTATTTGGGAACATCAATTTCGAAATCAACCTTGGGAAGAAGTGGTCAAGGATTATCAGAGGCAGATCCACATAATTTGATGGTTATCTACTCCCTTAGGCATCTTCACCGGATTGATCAATTCTGAACGGTAAATTATTGTTCTACCCGCAAGGTGTAACTCATCATGACCTCAGACCCTAGTCCCTGTGACCTATTTCGACATCAATGGGCCATCCCGCTCTTCGCCATCTCATCCACGTAGCCCTTGTATCTCGAAACACTCATCTCCCTCAACCTCTTTCCATATTTGATCATTACAAATACCGTGCACACCTGGGCTAGCCCGACAAATGCTGCTGTAATGAAGCAATTCTGAAGCCCCATATCTTCAACCCACGGCGTGATTCCATACCCGATAGCGAAGCTCATTGTGTTGCGCACGAGGATGACTGTGATTATAGCCTCACCCGACAACGCGCGGTACGAGTCAATGCAGTATGCGACACTCACCTGTAACCCTACTGAATTCGTCATAGCAATGACGCCCATGGCGAAGACAGGGCCGAACCAATGGATATGATGCGCTGAACCCACGCCCCAAAGTATCAGTCCGAATGGGATGAACAAAAGTGATGGCACGAAAAGCCACAACCGGTGCTCAGATTCCATGATGCCGTTGTTCTTGCGTGCTTTCCGCACGATGAAGGCGTCGCCTAGCCAGCCTGTGTACGCCGCCCCAACAGCAACGCCAATTAGCGGAGAGACGTAACACACGCCGACGATACTAGCAGAAAAACCATAGGTCCCGTTGAGAATCAGCGAAGCGGTTGCGTTGAGCACGTTGAACCAGACGAGGTTGGAGCCATAGGAGAAACCGGCATAGAAGATCACCGGGAAAGTAAGGAAGGTCAGAGGGCGTGTCATCATACCTTTGAGCTCGTTCGGCTTGTGGAGGTCGGCCTTTTGGAAAAGCTTTAACTTGTCGAGATAGGTTTTGCGACGGGGACGGACGGTGGTAGTGATGGGTGCCTCAGACTTGGTGGGAGTTGAGATGATTGATGTACCGGGTGCTATGCCAGAGTGTGTTCTGACGAAGTTGGTTTCTTCCATGAAGAAGAAAACGAACACGAAGCCGACCGCATTGAAGATGGCGCACCAATACTATCTCGCGGTTAACATAGTCATCTGCGTCGCCAGGAAGCCTTACGCACCAGTACCCATCTCCACCCTTGGCCATCCGCAATAAATCCTGCAATAATAGGAGCAAAGAAGTTGGATCCCGCAAGTAGAAGGCCGTAAAGTGCAATATATCGCCCTCTTTCGTGAGTGAAGTAGATATCAGTCACACTGATCTCGCATAGACTCTCAATCGGAGCACCGGCAAAGCCCTGCACTATTTTACTTGCAATCCATTGCCCATTGGTTGTGGTGTGTGCAGCCCATACTTGGGTTGCGAGCGTGGCCAACATGGACAAGAGGTATGCTGGACGCTTCCCATACTGCAGTGCCAGTGGTTGCCACACGAGACAGCCCCAACCGAAGAACAAGAACATATAACTGATTGACACTATTAGGGCTTCATTTCATAGCTTCGACACACGTTGACTAACCCAGTGCCTTGATTCAAAGTGTATAGAGATATCCCCGTCTCTTCACTGATCGGTACCAGGACGGAGTATATAGCGGCGCTCGCAATGCCCACCATAAGTGTGTATATGCACATGCAGACCGTGCTGAGCGCTTTCCGATGCGGAGACCAGTTCAGTGGATCATCCGGATCGGAAGAAGGGGAAGGAATAAGCACGATATCCCTTTGGCCGCTCTCTGCATGACGTCCAGTCATCGTACCCGAAAGGTCGACAAGATGGACAGTACCCGGTACTTTAGTGTCTCCATCGTTATTTAGGCTATCTGCCATGTTGATGTAGTGAAGATTATTCTGGGAGTTGCGAGTAGTATGCACGACCCCGAGTACGAAGGTTTGGATAGTGCGTGATGTCTCAAAGAGCGAAGACCGCGGTATAAGATGATCCGAAGGTTGCGTGCGGGGTGAATTCCGCTCTACAACTTGCTTTCCGTCTTAAACCCATTTTACAAGATACGCAATCGTTTAGCAGTAGCCCCTTGGCTAGCGATCCGCGCCGAACCTGATACTTAGGAGGGGTAATATGGGACTAAGGATTGTGAGACGGAAACGTACGTTGAGGGACATGCGGAATTCATCAGAAGCGGAGACACTGCGATAGCGCTTGTCCCTTTGTTGACTAGCGTGTTCGTTAGTTCAAGCTACCCCAATTCCCAATCGCACCCTTCCTAAGCAATGCTGGATTGCTAGATTCGGTATCCCTGGACAACTCCTAAAGCCTCCGTTCCCACCTAAAGTGAACATAAGTATGAATCGACTCGTCCCGAATATCGTGAGCGGCAGGACCGCCGTAGTTTAGCCTCGCATTGCTGGCAAGTACTTGTTGTTGCACAAACTGCACGATCCGACCGCCCTCCCCCAGCACATTCAGCAATCGGTCGCGTATCTGGGGCTCCACATACGTGCATTGTGCGGTAGAACACACAGGCCATTGAACTCGGCCATGTTCATGCAGGGGAGTACTACATCGTTCGGCTGTGTCTGCTTGAACACCCTCTCGTCATACTGTTACATGGGCGCAACCGAAGACCAGGGCTCGGCCGAATTTTGCGAATGGCAAGGGTGCTTCGACTCTTGCCTTTCAGGCCCTCCAACACCTGAGGGATTCCTGCGAGAATTTCCAGCGCTGTATCTCTTATCAACATCCTGGCATGGCCGACGTATGTTTCTGCTAGCTTATCGAAGCTATTATCAACTCGGCAAGCTGCCGCGGCATCTGCGATGATAGTGAAGAGAAAGATCATTGCAGTGCGCCTATAGTTCCATACCCGAGCCGCAAGAAGCGAATTGTAATGATGCTGATGAGAGAGCAGTGGGTCACAACCATCAATAGGCTGTGACTCGTATCGCCAGTACAATCTGACTCCCAGAAAGATTCCTTCAGTAGCACAGTGTATGGCTAAAGCCTCTTCGATGACATTTTGTTCCCGTGCAGCCACATTTACGGGGAGATTACCCCTTCGAGTCGGAGCAAAGTAGGCAAAACGGTACATGAGCCCGTGCTATTACCAGAGCGGGTGTTATGGTGTTGGTTCACCAGATGTCAATAATTTTTCTCCAGATATCCCGCAATTGATGGGAGTTGTCATTTGCCAAGGATATAACACACGAGGATTTGACTGAAAAATTTTGAAAAATGGCCGCGCCACAGCGAGCCGTCACTCGATTGGATCCTCGCGCCTGTATCAATGCAGCAGCGCTCTGAGTATGAACCAACCAGTACCGCAACATAATTTCGGGACTCGATTTCATCTCGGTAATGCTCAAAATCAAAGTAGCCAACAGCGTGCAACCTAGTATCGAATACAACTCCGAGCCAAGAGCTGCGTTGAGCGAGAACGTGGCGGCAGTGTATAGAGAGCACAATTAGTCCCAACCACGAGGAATTTACCAATCTTGGGGTAGCTGTAGCATCCAAAGCACCTTGATTGCAGCAAAGACGCAACCATTGCCTTGGAATCCACGCGTCGCGAGAGCAAAGTGTGGAACTCGAGACGCAAGTAACTCGCGTAGTACGCGCCCAGAGCCGAAGCTTCAGGATCCATCGACGATTGCGCTGCTACTGTTTCTTTAAAAAAAGTAATGACAATTTCTCTGTAATCTTGCACAGTCTAGGGGGCGATTTTCGTCACACAGAGACCTGGTCACCGGCAGGAACGACTTGCACTCTACGACCTTCGAACTGCCTTGATATGACGATATTTACATTGTAACCAACCACTTCGGAACATCCTTTGTCGCTTGGGGCTGCGATCGCCTGTTTCGGAGTATACGGAGTAGCCTCGCTGTCGCGGCGCAGGTGATAAAGTGATCGCTCGATGCGCCACGTCAGATTCATGAGTACGCATATAATTGCAAGAGGCGTACATCTAGAAAGAACAGCAGCTATGTCCCGGACTATTTATGGAGGCAAACCTGGACTTTGTCATAGAGAGATTACACAAGCTGCAAATACATGGTGGAGTTGTCCCCTAGGAGCATATAGCGAGAGAGATATCAACCGACTAGTCATATCCAGACATTCATAAGCTCTGTGATAGGGCGCACGAGTATTTAAAACGCCTAGGAAATGTATCACTCAGCGTAGGGTGAATGTGGAGTCATTACATGATGCAGCACACCCGATGGCCGCTTGACAGCTTTGGTACGATTAGAGCCTTCCCGATCTAGTGTACGTGCACTAACATGATCACTTAAAATAAAGTAGGATGCTTGTGGTACTCGTATCTGCCTCGAAGAGGAAAGTTAGGTCTGTCCCAAACCATGCGGAACGACCTATAAAAGACCCTTGTGCAGCTGCACAGAGCTGATAATTCTCACATGTCAACGGACGAGATGCTCTCAGTTACCATGGAAACCCTTGTTTCTCTACCTTTACTACCAACTGGCAGAGTCTACGCAGCTTCCGCATCGGCACAAAACATTGCAGTCTCCACTTACGCCCCACTTCCATCCAACGCATCAAGTCCACCGATCAACAAGAGCACTAGCTACCGTCTCGAGACTTTTATGGAAGGTATCTGCATGGTGACAGATGGCATATACTACAACATCTTCTTCGTAAAATGTTGTTCTGTCATTGTGATTGATGCACCACCCACCATAGGCACTAACCTGCTTCGCGCCATATGTAACATCACGTCTCTGCCAATCTCGCAGGTGATGTACAGCCACTCGCACATCGGCCACATTGGAGGCGCCTTTTTTTCTTCTTCTTCTTTTGGCTCACTGAAGATCGATACGTTCATCGGCCACAATGAGACAGCAGAAAGGTTTGCCGCTGTGCAAGACTATCAACACCAGCCCTACCCAACTGTCACATTTTCTGACTTATACACACTCAATGTGTGCAACCAAACGCTACAGCTCGATTATCTGGGTCTAAATCATGAGCCTGGCAACATCGTTACATATGCGCCGTACCAGAAGGTTTTTACGCCGGTAGACATCATCTGCCCCGATTGCTGAATATCTTGCTCACACTTCTCTACCTATCTCTGATTTCTGCGAACAGGTCCCCTTACGACAGGCTCGGAGAGGTGGAGAATCTCCCCGGCTTAATCAAAGCACACGATCAGAATCTCCCTTACGACTATGACCATTTCGTAAGCGGACATTTGAACAGATCGGGCACGTGATACGAAGTCCTGCTCCAGCGCGAGTACGTACAAGACCTTTTCAACACGTGCCTAGCCGCCCTCACAGCGTCTGGGCAGCCAGACGACAATGGCACGAACACTTTGTCAAATGAAGTCACACTGCGCGGCGTAGTCAAGGCCAATCCCAACAACGCTTGGCGGTGTCCAAGTACTATGGCGACGCGTTGAGTGAAGGGGTTGTGAATGAGACGATTGGGCAATGGAATGATGCATTGTATGATATGAATGTTTATGGCCTGAGCCATGCGCAGACGCTGTCTGAAGCTGTACGGGTTGACTGGGGTATACAGCGACCGTACGGCGTCGTGAACTGACGTGGATATCGAGTGAGCTTTGACAGCTTCATTGATTTGACCCTACAATGCAGGTGGTGTAGCTGCACACTCGTCAGTAAAAAGTCTAACACATCATTTCCACAGACTCTGTTAAACCTACCTTCCCACATATCAATGGTCACGCTGGCCGTGCCATTCCGCGTCAACACCCCCACAGCCGCAACATCGTTCAACCACGCGTACGTCCCATTTGTCGCCGTCTCAAACTGCCCTCTCAGCATCGTGCGCCCGTCCTTGCCCGGCGGCAGCCCAATCGTCTGCACAAAAATATTGGTGCCATCGTCAGTCTGGATGTTGTACCGTGCATCGGGACGAATTGCGCCATTAGCATCGGTGAGGCGCCAGTCCGCGCCGAGGTTCAATACCTTGCCTGGGAAGTATGAGTTTGGATCGGAATGGGGACTGACGTCATAGCAAGCTGCATTACACCCGGGGGTATATACAATCGACAGCAATGGCTGTGAGTATGTTGCGTACCTGACAGTCTTGGGCCTTTGAAGGTACCGCCCACAATGGGAATGACGATGCGCTCCTGGCCGTTTGGCACGGGTCCCAGCGAGAACCTGTCTCCAAGCAGCGCCTGCATGCTGTAAATGAGCGTCAATTGCGGCGGCGAGGGCGCAGTCTGTGCCATTGCGGATGCGACTGAAGCTGCGAAGAACGCGAGAGCTTTCAAAAGTTGCATGTCTGAAGCGCTGCGAATATTTCTAGAGATCCACACTGCGGAAAAGGGCGGAAGCTAAATCGCGAACATCAAATGACATCTTCATGTACATACGGGCTTTATAGCCTCGATCCATGCGGGAAGAGTCCAGCGCAGCGCAGTGCCGTGTCTATTATCCGGGGAGGCTCTTCCAAAGTCTTGGGCTACGGCGCCCCGGTTTCGGTACATTTACCCCAACTTTCCCCGCAGGGATCTCGCGTAGCGTCATGAGGCTGCACGTCCAGCTTCCGCATCTTACGTGCATGCGAGGGCCTGGAAGGTGTTCCTGCATGCCGAATTTTGCGTCTTGTAGACGCTACATAGGCATACTCTGGCGAGCATGGTACGAAAAGCTTCGCCCACGTACGGTTTACCTCGCGATTCGCGCTACAGGATGTGTCATCCGAACATGACATCTTAGAAATGTAATATATTAGTCGCGAACTATGCTCAAGTAGTCTATCATGATCTATTCAAGCGACACTGATTACCGGGTCCAGTAATCGATCTCGCCCAGATCGCGACCCACAAGACTTCGGGTTTTTCGTTGAGACAGCATCGAACGAACGCAAACAAATGTGCAAAAAATCGCAGTATACATTTCTCCAAGCTCCAAACAGTAGTTGCGACTCCAAAATTTCCGATGGCTTCTCTTCAAGCGTATACAATGGCTGTGCTGGTGTGGAACAGCATCCAATTGCGTTGCACGTCCATTCAGCCTCTCTCCCTTTCCCAGCCTAAACAAACCTCCATGGTCTCCATAGTTTCAATTGCTTCCCTCCTCTCCCTCTCCTGCTGAATCGCAGTCGCCTTCTCATCCACCTTCTTCTCCTTCTTCTCCGCCAGCTGCTCCGCGAACCGACTCTTTTTCCTGATCTCAGGTCCAAAGTAGTAAAACACCCAAACCGGCAGACAAAACAGTGCCGCCAAGCCAAACAGCACAAGCTGCGCGTTCCGGATCCCCAGCGTCTTGTACATCCTGCCCGTGTACAGCGCACACATGCCGGCAAGGAAGTCGCGCGCGAAACCGTTGCCGCCCGTAGCGGAGGCTGAGTACTCCCCATATGACGCGACCATGTAGTCGATGGTGGCGTAGTAGATACTAAAGTTGGCCACGCCAATGAGCACGCTGAAGACGAGGACGCCCGACCAGTGCAGCGGTGGGCCCGATGCCACAAACGCGCTGCCGAGCAGGCCCAGCGGGAGCAGCGCGACCTGGAAGAGCAGCCACCAGAGGCGCGACTCGGGTGGGAGGGCCTCGCCCCTGCGGCGGCGGGCGTCGTGGCGCGCGACCACGGGGAAGAAGCTGAGGTAGCCAGCGACATAGGAGCCGGCAAGGGGGAGCAGCGCCAAGCTGATTTGCGTGGGAGTGAAGCTCCACTGGGCGAAGACGTAGCCGTAGCTCTCGAAAAAGCTGAAGATGAGGGCATCGGCAAAGCCCGAGAGGAGCGAGAGGAAGAGCACAATGGGTTCTGTGAAGAGCATTCTGTAGGGGCGCCACATGGTCTCGGCGATTTCTTTGATGTCGAAGCGTTGGTACCACTTCTTGCCCCAATTGATGGCCTCGTTGGGCCCGTACATCTCGTCCTTTTTACACTTTCGTGACCGTTGGGCCTCCTTATCCAGCATCTTGGTCGCGCGCGTCTCCTTGGCGACGAAGTAGTGAACAGCCTGAGTGACGCAGCCGAAGCCCAATTGGATCCAGAAGATGTACCGCCATGGCAGGTATTGCTGGATGGGACCGCCACAGATGCCGCCAATAACGGCACCAAGGCAGCTCCAGAGCGAGGCCCAGAGAACGGCGTGGGCCTGCGAGTCGGAGTCGAACATGTCTGCAACCATACCCATGGTCACAGAACCGCCAGCGCTAGACAGTCCTCCAATAACGCGTCCCGCGATGATCCCACTGAAAGTTGGGCTGAGCCCGCAAATCAAGATGCTCGCGTTGACTCCGAGAAGCGAGAGCTGCATCACGATCCATCTTCCCAGCTCTTCGCTCCAGGGGGCCCAAAGTTCGCAGCCAAAAGCGTACGGCACAAGGAAAGCCACCATGCCCATGCGCGCGTAGCTGATACCAAAATGCTCATTGAGCGGCTCCACAGCGTTGGAGTAGATGGCCGCGTTGAAGTTCATGCTCGTTTGGCAGAGCGCGACGATGGTGAGAAGGGTCCATTTCTTTCTTATGGACCAGGCGTTGGCTGTCTTGTCGAAATCTTCGTATTCGTCAAGGATGCGCTTGCCCTCGAGGGCAGCGGGGATCGGCTTGCCGTTGATGAGGGTAGAGGTGGTAGGTGCGGATGCCATGTTGTTGGTAATTGAAGGTGGGATAGTATGCTGTACTTTGTTTACTGTGTAGTCAAGTCTTGGTTGGGACCAAATGTAGGTGAGGCATCTTCACCTTTTAAACTGTATGCACAAAAATGTGATTTACACAGAATGGGATTTTGGTACCGATAAAGTTGAGTTGCGCAAGTTTGCACCTGTTAGGGCCATCGTCAACTCTGGGTGGACCGTGGGGTGGTACGCTGGACTTCCCATCAGTTGTGCATTACATCGCATAGTCTGGGGTAACACATGGTACCGCAACTATTGTCGTTCCCACCAGTCCGGGTCAACCCTTCTGAAAGAATGCGTTGGCCAATGACAGTTACTCAGTTCACTCATAATACCGTGAGTAACCCCAGGTTGAGCCATGCATTACCAAGCTTTGGATCCGGTGCTGCAGCAATAGAGTGGGGTTGACACGACGGCTGGACATTACAGGTTGGGACCTGAAACCACGTGATTATAACTACCTCCTATCGATAGGTTCGTCTCCTCAACGGGCTGTCCTGCTCGTAGCCATCCTCATCGTCATCGTCGTCCACGTCCGCGAGATCGACACCAGTGACGCCTTCATCGAACCCTTCTTCGTCCTTCTCCTCTGCCGGTGTCCCGAAGATAGGGCTAGTGGCTATCCTTGGGCGACTCTTAAACACTCTCTCATAGTCCACGTCGTCGCTGAATAAATCCTCCTTGGGGGTCTTCTCAAGGTCTTCCTCCTTCACGGTGAGAAACTCTGATTTGCGGGCACGCGGTGTGTCAAACTGGTTGATTGGAAAAACCTGAGACTGTCTCTTCGGCTTGCGTTCCTTAGGTGCGAGGGAAGCCCGAGGTTGAGCGGACATGGCTGCCATGCTGAGGCGCGTGCGTTCCATCAGAGCGGCATGCTTATCTTGCACGGTGGCCGGCTCTGGTAGCGGTAGGGAGGGAGACTCGTCAGTGGGTTCGAAGCTCGTGGTGCGGACCATCGACATGCGTGTGCGCTCCATCAACGATAGACGCGGTTGATGTTTCTTAACTGGCGATGGAGTAGCATCACCGATGGTGGAGACGATCTGGGCAGCGAGTGCTTCCTCGGTGCTGAGCGATGGAGGCTCGAATGGGGGCGGCTCGGAAGGGAAGTACGAGCTTGGGGCAGGCGGGGAAGAAGGAGGCGAGACCGGTACAGCTGGAGGTAGCGGACCGGGCGATGCGACGGCCGGAGAGGGGTCGGAAACGTTATTTTCCGAATCTTCACTGGGCAGGTGCTCCGTGGACGAGTCCATCGGAGAGACGGGCATCGAGGTATGAGGCACAGACGCCTGTCCTAGCAAGGTCGCTTCAGAGTCGAACGGATTTGCAGCAGCCGGCCTGGCAACGTTTGAAAGCTTCCTTGGCACGATATTTCTCGACTCGATTTTTGATGTTGTCGTCTTCTTCAGGTTGTCCGACCAGCTGGCTGTCTTCTGGTTGGTAGGGTGAGATCGCAGTTCCTGGTATGGTGCTGGTGAGGGAGCAGCGGGTCCGGCTCGCTTTCGTGTCATTGCAGAAGACTGGTTGTATCTCGCCGACGCTGCTTCACGCAACCCTTCGTCCATCTCGAGGATAATATTCTCATACGCTGAGCGCATCTTTGGTCGTTGCACCGGTTCGCTTTCGGAGGCCTTGGGCCGTAGTTGAAGTTGAAGATGGTCATCGAACTTCAAGTCCATTACAGGGCCTGTCAATGTCTTTGGCCCCTGGTCCGTCACTGGGCTTCCTCGTTGCATCTTCTCATGAAACTTCTTCCACTTCTCCAATCTCGTCTTTTGCTCGTCGACCCTTAGCTGCAAGTTCTCCAACAACCCAATCTCCGGCATAGCATCCTCGAGCCGACCACCCTGCTCAACAATTCGCCATACCCTGCTGAACGAGCTGTCTAGAAAGCCAGCATCGCCTTGGAAGTCCTCACCGTGCAGCATCACGTCCACCCATTTCTGGTCACCGATCCAGTTGTCCTTCAACTGTTTCTTGATCGCATCCGTTTCTTTCTGTGGAACAGCAGGCTTAGCAGCTCGAGGTGTCTCGACGGTTCTACGTATGCGAAGGTTGATATCGTGTGCCTTCGCATCCAAGAGCAGCCCGAAGTCGGTGTATCTCCTGCGCTTCTCCTCTTTTTCCCGTAACAGATTCGTAAGTGCAGCTTTGTGCGCGATGGCCAGGGGGAGCAGAGAGGTTTGTGCTTCATTGGAGAGTACAGCCGAGGTAGCCAACGTACGCACGACGGCCTCGTTAACGTGCCGTCTTGGTTTGGTCGACAATGATTTCTTCAGGACTACGGAGGAGAAGGAGCTCAAGATCTCGTGGAACTTTTCACCCTTACATTCATCCAGCATCGTCTTCCGGAGAACGGCTTCTCTCCCCAGAACGCCATCTTTCTTCAATGCGTCCAATGAGCGGTGGAGAGCGATGCGCAGGTTGCGCGACTGGAGCGGCTCGAGGGGCGGGAAGAAGGGCTGGAGCTTCTGCAGACGGTGTCAGCGCGGTCACGTTCCGGACCAGCAGCACGCCTACCTGGCTCGTCTCGGAAGGGTCCCATATCTCGAACAGGCGGAAGAGGGCCCACTCGACGGCGTGGATGCGCTGCCGCTGGTCTGCATTCTTCGCCGAGAAGGTCTGCACCGTGATGTCTGGCCAGTCGGGACGCCCATCCAGGTCCAGCAGGCGCAGATTGGTCACGAAGAGCTTGATGTCGGAGGGCTGCAGCGGATTGCTCAGGGCGGGCTTGGTGTTTGTTTTGAGAGACAAGCTGCGCGCGACCCCGTTCGCCGTGGCTCCAGGGACAGTGGAAGTCTGCGAGGCAGCGCGTGACATCTCGGTAGGATATGACAGGCCATATGCGCCCGTGTCGACGAGAATCCGCGTTACACACCACTGCGCATCTGTCGGTAGACCCTGAGGCTGTTACCACAACAATGCCCAGGCGCCTTCCTGAACCAGGCCTAGCCCGCCCGTTATCGATTGTCGACGTGCCACCCGCTCGGGCGCCGTCATCAGGTTTTCCTCGATTGGGTCGCGCCGCGTTGTTCACGCCTTCCAGCGTCGCGCACTCTCACCCTCTGCTCCTGCACCGAGACGTTTCCTGCTCCCGTCTTTGCTCCCGCGTGGTCCTCTCCTCTTTGTGCCGGCCTTCTGCACTTCCTTCCAGAGCCATGACGGCATCATCGGCCTCCGCTGCCCCGCATGCCAACGGCACTACCCAAGGCCGGTCCAGCACTGTCAACGAAAGCACACAAACCAATGGCTTCCACGAGCCGAACGCGGGAAAACTGAGCAAGGAGGGGGAGGGGGAGGGCCCCTGGTCGGTAGAGAGTGGTATGTCGTGAACTGGGAGCGCTGTCCGTATGCGACACCTTCTTTACCCTGTGTACTGTCTGGCATGTTATCTCGTGGCCTACCCTCGAACAAGTGCCCTGGGTCTACTTGAGCTATGATATAACCGCAGACCCCGAGTGGGCACTCCCGCTAACATGTACGTAGTGCTGAAGAACGAGAATCTCCGCTATCTCGAGAACACCGACTCCCCCATTCCCTTCTTCCACCTCCTCGAGCGCCTCAAGACCACCCACCGCGCAGGATGGCGTCGCTTCGGAATCGACGACTGCGAATCCATCTCCGACCACATGTATCGCATGTCCTTGATCACTATGATGGCGCCCGCCTCGCTCACCTCGAAGCTCGACATGGCCAAGTGCACCCGCATGGCGCTCATACACGACATGGCCGAAGCCCTTGTGGGAGACATCACGCCTGTCGACAACGTCTCTAAGCCTGAGAAGAGCAGACGCGAGTCGGAAACCATGGACTACATCTGTCACAAGTTGCTGGGCAAGTTCAGCGGCGGACTCAACGGCCAGCAAGTGAGGGCCATATGGCAGGAGTACGAGGACAGCGAGACGCTTGAGAGCAAGTTCGTGCACGATGTGGACAAAGTGGAGCTCATCTCGCAGATGGTCGAATACGAGCGCAAACACCAGGGCAGCATAGATCTGGGCGAGTTCACATGGGTAACCAAGAAGATCCTCTCTGCTGAGGTCAAGGGCTGGTCTGATGAGCTGCTCTTGGAACGTCTGGAGATGTGGAAGGGCTTTGGCAAGGACCCGAACTGGGCAGACGGCACCAAACCAGAGTCCAAGCCCACACTTCCCTAGAGACAGGTACCGTTGTTCCCGACAGGAAGATTACAAGGAGGTTGCCGATTCGAGCATAGCACGATTGCATAGCCTGCGACTGAATTCGGCATGATACAAAGCAGTGTTGAGGATGCGGGGAGGTCCTGTTTGGCGTTCAAGAAGGTTTTAGACGGAGTGGTGAGCCTTAAGACTTTTGATATCCCTAGCATCATCTATTTGGAGTATTATCTACTATCCCCTTACATGCTCGCATCCATCGTCTCCAAAGTCCGTTGACCCACATCCCGCTACTGACATCTTGCGACTTTGCCTCCTCCCTGACCGACACAGAAGTTCCATCATCAGTCACCGAAGTCCGGTCAAGACAAGTTCGGCCTTTTGTGACATTATTAATCTGGCAAATGTTCACAATATCCCTACTCGTCTCAAACAAAGCGGCGCGCGGCTCTTCGTTCCCAATCATCTTGAATTCATGAACTGTTCTTATGACACAGGGCAGATGATTAAATGGGATGTCAGAAAACGGAGTGGATATATTCGGATATTTAACCCGAGAACGATTGATATGTCGATCTGCACTAGTGTGCACTCTGCATGACGGGCCGAGGCTTAGCCCGAGAACCAAATTGCTTGGCCCGATGTTTGAGTAACCAACACAGAAAATATTTGGCTGCGCTGAACGAATTGTACTTCATCATGGCCAAAGTAACAACCTAGTATACGATCGAGATCTTGGCTGAAGAGGTATTGGCCCGTTGTTGCCAGGCTTATAGAACCATCGACTTGCACCGTCCTATCATGACGAACACGCAAACGCCATGTTGGGAAATGACTCGTCTAAGCAGGGATGCGCGCAATGGATGCGGTCCTGCAAGGTACCTCGCGGGTTTCCCGAAACTTATCCCACATGTTGACATAATCCAACATGACTTACGACATCGATTGTGTGATGCCACTCGTAATAGGCATTCCGTATAAGAGTGCTGGAGTCCGCAACAGCTACAATCTCCCCCTAGGAAAGCACAACAGTTGGCACCCATTATGCACCTTCCCACAAATTTTCTCTCCCTGGCAGTAGCGGCCACAGTCGTTACTGCATATCCAGGGTCTCCGTCTAGTCGGCGACCACCATTTAAAGGCAACTTCACAATCTCACAATATCAGCTTTACCCAGAGAACGCAGACTTCGACTCCGAGACTGGAAAGCTCTACGTCGGCCAGCTTTGGAACGCCTCACTCGGCATCTACGACCCTTACACTCAGCACCATGAGATCGTCGAGTTTCCTGGTATATCGCACAACCCGCTCCTCAACATGGGCGGCGTCGGCGTAAACTCTCGCACTGGTCGTGTTTCCCTCGTCGCCAACGGTCCCCTCGAGTTCCCCACCAATGGCGCCAACATCGCTGGTGACCGCTGGCTCTTGTCTTACGATCCGAAGCAGAAGAAGGAAATCTACCGCGTGAATCTGACTGCTACCTCTCAAGGCAAATATGGCGGCTTCCAGGACGTCGAGCACGACCCCGCTGGTAACACATTCGTCGTTGGGACATTCCCCGGTACGCTTACCAAGGTGTCCAAGGACGGCAAGAAAGTCACGCCCTGGTATCTTCCCTCGACGATCAACAGCACGGACAAAGGCCTCACAGGTATCGCGGCAATTGGATGGGAACTCCTCGCGTACGGCGACGCAAGCGGCGCACTGTGGAAGTTTGACACGCGTGCGAGCAAGGGCGTTCCGACTGTTGTTCCTGTGAGCGGAAACCACAGCTTTGCGCCTAGTGATGCGATATACCTGCCGCCCAAGTACAAATCTAAGGTGCTGCTCGTTGCGGAAAGCGCAGCCGGTGTCAGTGTCTTCGAGTCGACGAATGCATGGAAAAGTGCGGAGTATAAGGGAACTGTGCCGCTCCCTCAGGTGAGTATCAGTCTCGTTCGTCCAATTCCGAGTCTTTCCCAGCTTTGGCTGTGGCTGGACCGTCCATTCTTGTGGCACTTTGCTGACAGAGGATAGCTCGACCCCGGCACCGTCCTCGTAGCACCAGTCCAAGTCGGTGACGGCATATACCAAATTGTCGCATACTTTGGCGATGTCGGTCTTGGTGGACCAGGCACAGCGGGGAATCGTACGCAGTTCCCGTTCTACGATATCTCAGACCAGGTCGACGAGCTCGTTGGCGACTGTGGCAAGGGGAAGACGGAGAATCAGCGACGGAGCGTGGCTGGGGAAGTTCCTGCGGCGGATTGGTACTACAAGCATGAGCGACGGAGTGAAGTCGAAGAAACTCCTACCGCTGATTGGTACTACAAAGGTCACCAGCGACGAGATGAAGGCGCTGAAGAGCCGGTCCAGACGGCAGGGTGGTACTACAAGAGCGGCGGGTACTAGAGATGCGATTGACCGAGGAGACTTATCTCCAGTGTACTTGTACGGCTACCATAGATCGATTTGAGATGCGGAGGGCAGATAAGAAGTAAAGTCCCTTCCATTCTTGCGCGTTCCCCAGTATCATGCTTTCCTTTACCAGAAATTGTCTGACCAGGAAGAATGTGAACGCTCGACGCAGGCGACGACCTTGTCCACCGTCATGAGATCTCACTCTACTACTCCGCCATGACATGAACATATACAATGGCAAAGGTCACTCACAGACATGAGATTCACAAGCATGACACGTCACATGGAAGGCAAAGAAGAGATATGGGAAGACCGTTCGTTTAATTGTGAGCCTGATAAGAAGAACTGGTTGGGATAGTTCAGGTGGTCTTTAGGTTCTCTGACCGAAGGCGGAAGGCCTTGCTATGATGACCCATGGCGAAGGCGTGGTCAGTTGCTTGAGGTTACCGGCTGGCGAAGGCCTGATGAATTTTCCATGATGACCAATGGTGGAGGCCTTGTGTATATAGGCCTTGATCTTTGAGGTCATCCAGCCGTGAGCTAAAAGCTTAGTCACAGGGAAGCGAGTACTTACAATGAGAGGCGTGTCCGCCGGATTGTCGGTTTTCGTTATTTGTTGTGAGGCGCGGTGCGGCCCGAAGGTCGGTCTCAGTCATCCTGGCAATGCATTTCTCTCTGCGACGCGTCAGTCAGAAGACGCAGCATGTCAGTGAGCAAGGACTTACTGTTCAATATCCGGATGGGCACCACCAGTTGTCGCAACTGTGGTATTACGTGTGTGCAACCTCACCCCGTCGCGAAAGCCCTCACAAATTGCAAACCTCCAGAAGTAATGGCACCTCCCATGGCGACGAGCTGGCACTCGACCCATGTTCAGCTTGAAGGCTGCACGACGCACCCGGCTTACAGGCTAAACTTCAAGCAACCCTTTAGCACCGTCTGTGGCACAAGCGGGCGACTCACTGAGCATCACTCCAGTGGGGAGAAAATCAAGATAGCCGCTGCCAGTTGCAATCGCAAGTAGTGTACGAGCATCCACACTGCCACGCACCCCACCACGCCGGCGTTCGTACGCAACCCGACGTGGGTAGGGTGTTATCACTGTTTGGGGGAGGGCCTATGAGTGTCAGTCATAGTCATAGTCGAGGAGTAGAAGTGAAACTTGCCTGATTGCTCATGTCAGTGGGCAGTTGTAGAAAGCGTGTGAGAAAGAAAGGGGAACGTCGATAACGGGCGGACGCGTTTTAAAAGTCGCTCTTGCGGCCCATGCCGGGCTAGACTGGATGTGCCCCGCGAGGCATCAATTGTCCGTGCGCAGTGAGAAGGGAAGATGACTCCTTTGGTTCCGGCGAGGGTCCTCAAGGCCTAAGTGAAGCGGAAACCGTGTGCAGTAGGTTTTCTATTACGCACTTGTATGATTGGCTCTCTGAACCCCAGCTGTGTCAGCGATGGGAAGCTGCAGGTTGATTGACTAGACCGGTGAATTGACATGTCATGTGGTCATGGTAGAAATGATATGTCTTGGATTGATGCCAGACTTACTCTGAGTATTTAAATATTACGCCTCAATGGTTTTGATGTAACTAGTCGAGTTTCCTCGTCGTGCGCCCTGTCGTAATGGCCATTGATCAGGCGGTGGTGCCCAGCAACGCGACACGAATGGGTAATTTGGGCAACACTACAAAAAAAAAATGGGTATGTTTAACCAACTTGGCAATTGTCGTCTTCTCAAATCGTGCCCTGATTTGGGACAACATTGCTTTTGGTGATTAAAGCACTCGACACATCAACCCTTCCTTGCTTTCATACTAACCCAAGAGACACGTTCTTGGGACCCATCCTACCACCACCTCCTAGCCAGGGTCCTCCAGCCGCCCTTGAGCGCGATCTTAAATCCCCATCTTTCCCAGCCCTTCACCATCCACTTCCCAGCCCACAATGCTCCAACCCAGCCATACTTGCCCACGATCTTGATGAACCGAAAGGGTGCCCCCAAAGCGTGTACGGCCTCTCTGACCGCGTCCAGTACAAAGTACACTGCTACCAGTGCGTATAAGACCAAGCACACTTTGATCATTACGCTGAAGAAGCTCGTGATCTGCGCGAACCCTGAGTCGAACTTGCCTTTAGGCGTTGGCCTGGCGGGCGGGGGAGGGGCGGGACGAGCGATCTTCTTCGGAGATGCAGGACGCGAGGTGGATGGAATGGTGGGCGGCGGGGTCGCATGCTGTACAAATGGATCCACGTACGTGGATGTCGGCCTCTGCGGTGGCGCGGGAACAGAAGAAGAGGTAGGTTTTGCAACTCGGGGGCCTGTCGGGCGCAGCCACGCCCAGCGGCTTGCAAGTGTGCGCTTCTGCTCGATTTTCTTCTTCTCTCTGTCCTTTAGGATATCGGCAAATGTACGCTTCACGGGCGCCGGCGTACCCTTGATCGTGTTGGTCGTGTATCCGAAGACGGTGTCGGTGGCCTTGACCTGTTCACTAGCACTTGTGGTGTAAGCAAATTGAGTATGCTTCTCGGGCGAGCTGGGTCGTGAGCTCTCTGCGGATGAGGTCGGCGGCGAGCGATTGTAGAGCGCCCACCAGCCCTCCTTCTGCGGGGATTCATTAGCGGTCCGGGTGTGCGTCTGAGCCTGAGTCTGGGCAGTGTTGTACTTGGGTACAATGCGCACTTTGATCCTGGGCGGGCTTGCAGATGGCGAACGTGAAGCACCTGTTACGGAGTCACCGCGCTGGTAGCGCGGGCCAAGCGGCGAAGATGTGTTGCTGCCCAAACTCGAGGGTGCTTTCGTGAAGGCGATTTTGTTCGTGTCGCTTATCGAGCGTGCGCTTTGGGCATGCGCACCGCTTGAGAGAAGGTGCTGGTTCCGCGGTTGTTGTGCGGCCGCTGATGTCGCCCATGCGTGTTGTGCAATTGGCGGACTGGTAGGAAAAGAGCCCGCGGGCGACAGCTGCCGCGGACTGTCAGGTGGTGTCAGATCTGCGAGCAGCGGCGCCGTCGCCGACTTTCCTTTCCTATTGGAATAGGCGTAATCGTAAGAAACAATCTTGCTTGGGACTTTCACACCCTCGGTGCTGTTGCGCTCGCGGACCTGGTGGGCTTTCTGTTTGTAGGTCTGGTACGCATCGACCTGGGCCTGCGATGGGTGGGGAATTTTAGCCCTGAAGACAGATGCTTCCTTGGGAACTTCTACAATGGGCTCGCGGGTCGTGGGCATTTCGACTGCAAACGCATCGCTCTCGAATGCATCCTCTCCTGGCGCCTCTGTTCGAATCGTGCGGCCCCAGGCTGACTTCCTGCTCATAGGCGCTTTCGGGGCCGGACTTCTTTTGATCTCGAGAAAGTATTCCGAGGACTGCGAGCGTTCGAGTGGATGTCTCAGTTCATTGGAACTGGCGGAGCTGGTTTTGCTGTGCGAGAGATGGGGTGGCGTGCGCGGCGGCGTGGGGGCTAGTGACAGGGCCTCCTCGAGCGTTGCGGGGGTACGATGGCTTGATATGGAGACACTATGAGGAGATAAGTGAGTGCTTTTCGGATTGGGAAATTGCGCAGTGATCATCTCTTCCCTCGCTGGAGCCTGCCGACGACCGAAGAACGGCATATTTTATGGACAGGTGAGAGGTATCTGCGAAGGACTGCTCTGCACAGCAGCGGGAAGCCGTTCAACTATACCTACGATATCTGAGGCTGGTAACGGAGGTGGGTGGTAGGAATGTGTGTGGCTGACATAGTGACCGAGAAAAGTTGCGGAATGTGGAGTGACGCAACAGTCGAGAGAACCTTGGTGACCTCGCCTTCGACCTTGCTACCTACATTCTGAAGTCGATTTAGCCATCGAGAGCGTCAGTATTATTTTGACAAATATCTCCTGAAAGTATTAGCAACGGTAGCCGCAATTTCGAATACCTTCGCGGCCGTTGTACGCAGAGACTCGTTCATTCCGCGATCCAATGGTGACCCTGGCTTGGAGAAAGTTCTCTATTGAATGTGCTCCGCAACGAGGTACGAGAGCGGTCGGATTCCCGACAATGGTAAAAGGGTATCTAGCAGGATGTGACTTCTACTCAGGGTGGAAGTCAAGATCAGGTCCAAATCCAGCCATGAACGCCATGCCAAGATACCTCAGCCCGGGAATATGCAAAAGCCATACGGTGTCGGCGCACGTGAAAAGAGTGGCGCGCAAAGGACACGAGAGTTCAGTTGTCGCCTGACGTTCCGATCTCTGAGTATTCAAGCCAATGTCCATTGACGGCCTTCTTCCAGGTACGGATGGCGGCGTCATCCCCAGTTGATACAAGTAGATCACCTATACCACGTTAGAAATCTTGATGCGTGTGAGAGTGTTCCCGACTTACCCATTTGTGAGAAAGCCACTCGCCAAACGGCCCCTTGATGACTGTTAAGCTCGTCTACAAGCTTTACTGTTTGCGTGATACGCCCTGGGCCTTGCTCATGGTCCTGAGATGGATCTGGGCCTTTCGATACCCCAGCCAATCCTGCTCCGATGCCAGAAGGGGCCCGTGACTTGTTCACCTGTGGAGAAGAAATGGTATCTATAGTGGTCGAAGCTGATGCGCCGGCAGCAAGGCTTTTATCTGAGCGAGGCGTCGACAACTCGTAGATGCGTATAGCCCCGTCCTTGCTGGCCGTTGCGAGAACATCGTAACCCCTCATAGAGCCATTGGCCCAAGCAACGTCGCGTATGATTTGTCTCGCGCCTTCGAGTTCGGCAACCTTGAAGAACCGTTTGGATTTGTCAGTCCTAAACACAAGAACCTTGTTCATCGCTGCGACAGCTAGACCAAGAGATTTACGATCCAAGCCTGCCATGATGGCTGTCCAGCAGGGAAGCTTCTCCTTGTGAAAGGCAACTTTGAACCCGACCTCTTCTTGCCGCTCAGGGGGATTGTTTCCACACACCCAGGTCTCAGCTATGATGCCCCATTCATTGAGGTTGCTTTGGTCAGTTGGCTCGTACACAAGAAGGAGACCGTCTCGGGTGATGAGTGCGAGCCAGGTCTCCTGCATGATATTTTTGAAGTCGAGCGACATGAAAGGCGCGTTGGTCTGCGACGCCAGGTTCGTGATGAGCTTGAAGCGATTTCCCGACATGGGTACCTCAGTTACGTCTTCTTGCCAGAGCTTACAGCGGCCGTCTTCTCCAATGCTGCCGACGACCTCGCCCATGAAAGGGCCGTTCCATTTGACCTGAAGGTTGTCAGATGGACAGACATGCAGCAAGTTTTGCGGACAGCCAGGCTCTGTACTACTGAACACAGGGTAACACAGTAGCCTAAGCCATGGCAAATCTCACGATAAGGTGTGGCAAAATGGCTGTGCAGCAGCCGGGATTGCAGCCAGGGGTAGATACGGTACCACTCACATCGACAATCTCAGCATCGTGCGCCTTCCAGCTCTCAACAAGCGACCAGGACTCTTCTTTCTTGTCCCAGACTTTGAGACGGTGGTCGGAACTGGCAGTCACCATGCGCGTGCCAAAATAGTTGAAATCGACGGCAAGGACCAGGTCCTGGTGACCATGGGCAAACGTCTGGAAGCCGGCGGATGCCATTCTGGAGTAGGTGTTTCTGGCACCCCAAAATGCAGCCTCGAGGTAGTCGTGCACGTTTGCATCAATGGCGGACGTGCTTCCGTCGGCAGAGGGCTCCTGTAGCAACGGCAGCACCAAGTCGGCCTCTTCTACGGCATCCTCGAGCGTGACGATGTTCAGATGGGAGTGGCCACGATCGCGAGGGAGGGACCGTGCCTCGGCGATGTGTGGGGCGCCTGGAGCCTCGCCTGGAGACAAGCTGGAATCTGAAGCTGCGCGCGACGGCAGGCGCGACGGCGTTAGGTTGGACAGAAAAGCCGGGCGGTGTAGCCTGCGCGTTACGGCGTCTAGCGAGAGCTGGATGGGATCGTGCTCGGTGGTCGCGTGTTGGTCCATCTTGCTTGCTTGCTCGAAGCGGGCGCGGCGGCAGCTCGTTTCGGGTCTAGGAGCTTACGAAACGTAGAGCCTCAGCACAGGTGGCTTCAACAACAACGCGTCGCCGCGCGCTGCAGACTGGCAAACTTGTGCAGGCAAACGCTCTTTGTCGCTTTCCTTTCTTGTGTATACTTGGTCCTGGGGTTGCCGGGCACCCGTCGCTATGTCGACTGCCCTCAGCTCAACGGAGGCTTATTCGCTGCTGTCGCTCTCCTTGGCGGCCGTGGGCGTGCTGTTGAACACGTTCACGGGTGAAGGTGAGCCGCTGATCGCCTCGATTGCTTTCAGCTGCCTTGCTTTTTCGTCCTGCTATGCACTCATACGATGGCTCGGGAATGCCTTTATACGGCGGGGCTTCAAGGGCAAGGATCTGTGCAAACTCAAACAAACCGAAATGTACGACCACCGCACGCTGGTTCCTGAATGGACAAACGAAGCTCACATGACCTAGCCCGGAAACCATGGGCGCCGTGTGTGCCATGGTGTACCTCTTCACCATCATAACCTTCATCCCCTGGCCATTCTACAAAGACATTGTCGTTGCAACGTCAGGTGGTGGTAATCGCGATGTCATTAAAGAGCTAGAAGAGGTCGAGACAGGAAGGCTGCTCCACCGGTTCCCTCACAACAAGGTACCACGCTCCGCCCCGTGTCAAGCGCGCAACGGTTGACGTTAGTCTAGCTCGCGTCGTATCTATCCGCTATCCTTTCGTTGCAGACCATTGTGCTGTTGGGTATTGGCGATGATCTGTTCGACATCAGATGGCGGCACAAGGTGTTCATCCCGGCGGTTGCCGCTATCCCGATGCTCATTGTCTACTTTGTGGACTTTGGTGTCACTCAGATGGTGGTCCCGATACCACTGCGACCGTATCTCGGAGAGCTGTTTGATCTTGGTGCGTGACATTCGACGTTGGTGGGACGATGCTAACAAGTGCAGGCTGGCTGTACTACGCGTACATGGCCTTGCTTTCCATCTTCTCCTCGAACAGCATCAACATCCTCGCGGGCATCAACGGTATCGAGGTTGCCCAGTCGCTGGTGATTGCGGTGCTGATCGTGGCCAACGACGTGCTGTACCTGTCACCGTTCACTGCATATCCGCACCCTGCCACGGACTCGCACTTGTTCTCTCTCTATCTGCTGTTGCCCTTCATCGGAGTGTCACTCGCGCTTCTCAAGCACAACTGGTTCCCAGCCAAGGTGTTCGTCGGAGACACGTACTGTTATTTCGCAGGGATGGTGTTTGCGGTTGACGGGATCCTGGGTCACTTCAGCAAGACACTGATCCTGCTGCTGTTGCCCCAAGGATTCAACTTTATTTACTCGGCTCCACAGCTGTTCCATATTGTACCATGCCCCCGACATCGGCTCCCGCATTTCAATGCACGGACCGGGCTGCTCGAATGCTCACGCGTCGAGTTCAAGAAGCCTCTTGCCCGTCCGGTCGCGGAAGGACTGAAGGTACTGCACCGACTTCGGCTGCTCGACGTTGAAACAGACGAAAACGGGCAGGTAGTGTCGTCGTCCAACTTTACGCTCATCAACCTGTGGTTGGTGTGGTTTGGGCCGATGCGGGAGGACCGCCTTGCATTGGGCCTATTGGCGTTTCAGACAGCAGTTGGGGTAGCAGGACTACTTGTACGGCACCGCATGGCGCTACTTGTATTCACAGCAGACAACTGGTACTAGGAAACTGGCGGTGCAGGTCGGGGAGCGACCGGCCAGGGTAGGATAGGGCGAATGTTGACAAAGACTGCTTCTTCGGACCGCAGGCGGGACCGACCGCTCGCTCCAGCATCCGAGCAGCGGTTTGCGTGTGAGCAAGTGCGCCAATCGGAGAGCACGAGTTGTGCGCTTACAGGCGCGTGGCTAATGGCGATTAAACGCGGGGCCTGGCGGGGCACGTCGCAGCCAAAGAGAGGTGCACAGAACGTCATCACCATCCGGCTTTGCGCATGTGCCGAGCATCGTTCAGCCAAGCGGTGCAGCGCGGACAGGCGTCGCGAATGGAATCGTAGTCCGCGATCGCAATGGCGGCCAGGTCTTACATGAGCGCCTGCAACCCCGCCACAGTTATGCGGTAGCTCGCGCTGCTAGCCGAGAGCGCCCGGCGTCGTCAAATAGGAAGAACCGTGATGTGCGCTCCGATAATCGGCATCGAGCTTTCTGTGTAGTTTGCTATTTGAGTGCCACAGCTCCTCGCCTGCACAAGAACACTTCCGTCACTGCCGCTTCTGCTGTTCCCTCCGTCGCGTTCGGCCTGCCTGAGACATACTTTATCACCTTTATCCAGCCTTGCTGTAATTGTAGCGCAAAGCGCGGCTGCCAACATGCCGTCTGCTGTGAAACCACCACGGACCTTGTACGACAAGGTCTTCGAGGACCACATTGTCGACGAGAAGGACGACGGCACAATCCTGCTCTACATTGGTACGCTCGTCGCCGTGCACACTCTTGCAAAATTCTGACTTTTCAAAGACAGGCATCTGGTTCACGAAGTGACGTCGCCGGTACGAATTAGCGAAGTGGCGCCCACCGCGACCTTATGCTAACCATCCACCAGCAAGCATTCGAGGGCCTCCGAAATGCCGGCCGGAAAGTGCGGAGACCAGACTGCACGCTCGCTACCGTAGACCACGTATGTCGCCTTTCAGCAACTCTTCTTTCATGTACTCACATGTGCAGAACATTCCCACAGTCTCGCGAAAAAACCTCACCACGACCGAAAAGTTCATCGACGAGGTCGACTCACGGACACAATGCATGACCCTCGAGGAGAACGTCAAGGCCTTCGATCTCACATATTTTGGCCTGGACGACAAGCGACAGGGAATTGTACACATCATCGGCCCTGAGCAGGGCTTCACGCTGCCCGGCACCACTGTCGTCTGCGGCGACAGCCACACATCCACCCATGGCGCCTTTGGTTCCATTGCGCAGGGTATCGGCACAAGTGAGGTCGAGCACGTCCTTGCCACGCAAACACTCATCACCCGGCGGAGTAAGAACATGAAGGTGCAGGTCGACGGAGAGCTAGCGCCTGGTGTTAGCAGCAAAGACATCATCTTGCACATAATAGGAGTTATTGGAACCGCCGGAGGTACTGGCTGCACCATTGAGTTCTGCGGATCTGCTATCCGGAGCCTCAGCATGGAGGCGCGTATGTCGATATGTAACATGTCGATTGAGGCTGGTGCACGTGCGGGCATGATCGCACCGGATCAAACGACCATCGACTACCTGAAGGGACGTCCGCTGGCACCCAAAGAGGATAGCCCGGAGTGGAAGAAGGCCGTCAACTACTGGCTTACGTTGAAGTCGGACCCGGATGCGAAGTGGGACCACGAGGTCTTCATTGACTGCAAAGATATTGCGCCCACCGTTTCATGGGGAACTTCTCCCCAGGATGTTATCCCAATCACTGGCAAGGTCCCCAGCCCAGACGACTTCCAGGACGAGGTCAAGAAAAATGCGTGCAAGCGTGCCCTTGAATACATGGGCTTGACGGCTGGCACTCCCATGCAGGACATTGTCTTGGACAAGGTCTTCATTGGCTCATGCACAAACGCGCGTATTGAAGATTTACGTGCCGCGGCACGCATAGTCGAGGGCAAGAAGGTTGCCTCAAACATCAAGCACGCCATGATTGTTCCTGGATCTGGCCTCGTCAAGAATCAGGCTGAATCGGAGGGTCTCGACAAGATCTTCACAAACGCAGGCTTCGACTGGAGAGAAGCAGGCTGCTCCATGTGCTTAGGCATGAACCCCGACATCCTCTCCCCCGGCGAGCGCTGTGCCTCGACATCAAACCGAAACTTCGAAGGACGACAGGGTGCAGGTGGCCGCACGCATCTTATGTCCCCTGTCATGGCTGCCGCCGCTGCTATCGTCGGCAACCTCGCCGACGTCCGTAAACTTGCACCTCCGTCCACGTCAGCCGCAAAGGGCTCCCCGAAGATCGAAGTCCAGGCCGATGTACACATGGAAGAACCCAACTCAGATGACGACCTCGAAAACAGCATGGATCTTCCCGCCGACTCCGTCTCCTACCCCTCCTCCACCTCCACCAAGGGTGCCTCCGCTGGCATGCCCAAGTTCGAGACCCTCCGCGGCTACGCCGCCCCCATGGACATCGCCAACATCGACACCGACGCCATCATCCCCAAGCAATTCCTCAAAACAATCAAGCGCTCCGGCCTCGGCTCCGCGCTCTTCCACGCTTGGCGCTACGAAGCGGGCAGCGACGCCGAAAAGAAGGACTTCGTCCTCAACCAGGAACCCTTCCGCCAGTCCAAGATCCTCGTCTGCACGGGGCCCAACTTTGGCTGCGGCTCCTCCCGCGAGCACGCACCCTGGGCCCTCCTCGACTTCGGCATCAAGTGCATCGTCGCGCCGAGCTACGGTGACATCTTCTTCAACAACACGTTCAAGAACGGCATGTTGCCCATCCGCATCGACGACCAGGCGACGCTGGAGAAGATCGCCGAAGTCGCCAAGTCCGGCAAGGAGATCGAGGTCGACCTGCCGAACCAGACCATCCGCGATGCGGACGGCAACGAGCTGGCAAAGTTTGACGTCGAGGAATTCAGGAAGCACTGCTTGATCAACGGGCTCGATGACATTGGTCTGACGATGAGCAGCGAGGAGCACATCCAGAAGCACGAGGCGAGACGCACGAGGGAATGGCCGTGGCTCGACGGCAGTGGGTACCTTGCGCGACACCGCAAGGGCCCCGTCAAGATCGAGGCCGCTGCCGTGCCTAAGACAAACCGCGGTGAGGTTGTCGGCGAGCCGCTGGAGTGGTAGACGGTAACTTTCTTCTTGTCGATGCGTTACGATTAGTGTGTGACGGGTGGAAAAGTGCACACATGGGAAGGTGTTCGCGTCCTTGCAGCGATCCTTGTCTGCGTTGGTTGGATAATGACCATATTTGTGACTCGGTCTTCTTTCAATACGTTCAATGAAATTTTTCTTGTCCACCTTTGCTATTGGTATCCCCAATGTCATACTCTGCTGCAATATGGTGTGGTATGGTATATAAATCAAATGTGATCCCATGTCGCCCAGATGAGCCAGACTCCATCTCATGCAAACCCGCAACGCCACGCTCCCGTTCAAAAGAACCCTACTGATACACGAAGCAACCCTGTTCACGCGGAGAGGATATTCTACCTTCCCTGCCCTTGCAGCCCCGGCCCATCCTTGGTCCACCCACCCCTCCTCATCCCCTCCTCAATCCGCCCCCAAATCCTCTCCACCAGCTCCCGATCCCTCCACCTCCCCTTTTCACTCCCCGTCCACTTATCCACCTGCACACTCGTAATCCCCCTGCCCCACGCCTTCACATTCTCCGGCTCGTCCTCACCGCCATATCCCACATAGAACCCGGGGTAGTGGCTGAAGAGCTCAATCGGATTCGGGTACTTGTAGCTCTTGAACTGCCAGCTCTGGCCCGTGGTAAACACAGCGACCACGCGCGACCAGTAGTTCGGCTTGAACATGGCGGTGCCGTCGACGAGGATGAAGCGGAAGGCGGTCCGCGGGTCGATGGAGGGGAGCACGCGCGTCATCTGGAGGAGGTTGGAGGCCGCGTTGGAGGAGGTGTCGAGGGCGGAAGGCGGGATGAAGACGCCTTCTTCGAGGAAGGACTTGACGTTTGACATGCGCAGGAGGGAGGAGGCCGACGGGGAGAGCAGGATGATGGGCTGCTCGATGCGGCGCGCGGGCTTCTTCATGTTGGTGGGGAGGGACTGCGGGATGGATTCTTTCTTCTGCGCGGCGGACGGGTGCGAGCGGAGGAAGGAGGTCGCGAGTTTACGGTAGGAAGAGAAGTCCTAGGGGAGCTGTTAGCGAGGGGGCGGAGCGAGGGTTTGGGCGGACGTACAATGGGCTTGGAGCCCCGGAGCGCCGTGTTGTGGTCGCCCATTCGACGCTCGCCGTCGTAGATTTGGAGTAACCGCGCATCCATCATCGTCTGCCCCGCTGCGGCGTTCGCGCCTTGCTGGAGCGGCACGCCCTTCCCGCCTGCAATCGCTGCAGCATCGCCGGCCGCGGCGGTTGCTGCGACGCTTTCCAAAGGCTTGAGATTGTCGCTTGCAACCTCGTCTCCGCTCAGCCAACTGATCAGCTCAACTTTGTTCGCGAACCCCAGATGGATCACACTGCCGCCGGCGCCGCCCGGTAATTCCTCGTTCAGCCTCTCGGTGGCGGCGACGTATTCTGTGACCGAGGCATCTTTGTTCAGCCAGGCGAAGTATATGCTGCGCAGATCGACGGGCTTCCCATCGGGTGCGTAGCGCGTAGGCGTGTTGAAATCGAAGGTTTTATGGTGCGCGCCGTGCAGCGTGGGCTCGTTGAAGGAGATGTGCGAGGCCTGCGACAGCTCTGTGACCGTGTCGGAGGCACCCGTGGGGTTCGGCGTCGTCGCGAGGATGGGCGCATTGTTGGATGTGATGCTGAGGCGCAAATTGAAGAGCGGGTCTTCCAGCTCCACCTGTGTTGGAGCTGCCATGGTGCAATCTATGTCCGCCTCGCGATTGAGGGTCAGAGATGTCGAGGACAGGTAAAAGCGTCGCGGGAGACGTGCGGAGCCTCGGAGCTTAGCTTGGGTACTTTTCGACGTGGAGCAGATCGCGCCAAGCATGCACGGTGCAGTCGCGTCTTCGCGTCCTCTGTCGTACTCACAATTCTCAGAGCATCATGTGGGACGGTGTCTCTGCCAAAGTACAAGTCATCTGCAACATTGCTGTGAATACAACTCCGAATAGAGACTAGTCGCGAGCTATCCGTCTACTTACGATAGCTTTACCTGCCTGGCTTTTCTATGTGTCTATGGTCTTGAGCTATGTCTACCAAGGAATATGGGTATCTTTAAATGTTTATTATTCTGCCTGTCGATCTGCCCCAAGTCACCATCCCCTTCTCTCTGAAGCTTTGTAAAAGTCGGTTATAATGGAATTACTTGCAAAATACCACCACTTCTAGGTTCGAAAGCCTATTGCAAGCTACAAACCGCATGCGTGCAATAGCAGAAATCACGAATATGGACGGTGCACAAAGAAGAGACAAAAAGAATTTGAACTTCTTCAATACCTGTACATCCTCTGGAATGTTGTAGCCGCGTGATCAGCGTGTGACCTCGGATCCTTGGGATGGAGAAAAAGAACACATACTTAACTAGCACGACCCTCTACAAAGCCGATTTTCGAACAGCAGGTTGAGTCATTATCGTCGCGCCTCGCTACCATATCTATCTGCTGGCGTCGACAGTCTATGCTGAAAGCACTACCTCTCGCACGCGGGTTCTTCGAAATTCGATGACAAGTTCCCCTGAATATAATAAACGACGCATCTTTTCCGTATGCGTCATATGAACACTTGCTCCCACATTCTCCTTTTCATGCTCATCGCTTTGAAGATCGCGGAGTCTTGGATGGTGGGGCTCGAGAAGCCCTGGGACTCTTGGGAATGAGGCCCTGGCCCTTCTCCTTCATTTGACCAAGCGCAGCCTCGACGTTCTGTTGCCTCTTCGCAACCTTGCGATATCGCTTCTCCACTTCATCCTCAAACGCCCGCGCCAGCTTCCTCTTGTTCTGCCTAGCTTCTTTCGCGCGTTTGATGATATCACCAAACCGTGCGAGAAACCAGTCGCCAGCGTCTTCCCACTCGCGCGTGGGCAAGGAACGGAAGAATTGGTGCTGATCGGCGGGAGCGAGATTCTCCTGGACATACGGGAGGCGCTCGTTCAGGTCGCGATTCAGCATATCAGTAGAGAGGACACGAGCCGTACGACGTGGCTCACAGTCGAAATCTTCGACTCGCAGTTCATCATAGTCCATGTTGAAAAGTCCTGGGGTGTCATAATCACCGATCGGTCCCTCAGTGTCATTGGGCGCGTCTTCCTCGATGGACCGGTAAGGGGCGGCAGGATCTTCCTTCAGCAGCAACTGCGTCTGAGTTGGAGCAGAGCGCAAAGCTAAGATTGGAGTGGGATTCGCCACACTGGCTTGCGTGGTAGGCGGGGGGAATGGTTTGACTGATGGCAGCGGCGCTCCGTGTTGAGGGTGTGGGCCTGCTGGTACCGAGATCTGCTGCTCATGTGCACCCTTCGGTTGACGAAGTGCCTGCGGTACGGTCTGACCATTGCTCGGAATTATATTGGGAGCGGCGGCATTGGTTTGGCGAGCAACTCCTCTAAGCACCTCGAGAGGCGCACTCGCCTGCTGCGCTGACTTTCTAATCGCGGCACCTTTTTGATATACGCTAGGCGCCGGCATGTTCGAGGGGCCCGGTGCTAGGGGTCTCGCCTGTTGAAAGGTTGGTAGAGTGTATCGGGTAGTGATGCCCTGTGCTGGCGGCTGCAAGTGTGGGTTCTCTGGGCGATCATAGTCACCATGGTCGACCAGTGCTTGCTGTCTCAGGCCCCTCTGGTCGCATTGTTCGTCAGGAGGACCGGATGTAGTGCTCGGATATGAGTTACCCTCGTCATGAAACAAGCCTTGAGTCTTCATTTCTTTCTTTGCCTCCTCGATGAATTCGTCGTGGTCTTGGCCTTGGTGCTGATCTTGATCATGGTAGTCATCCTGATCATCGTCCCCTCCAGATTCGCCGTCCTCGTCGGAACCGTCTTCACTGGCGCTTTGTTGGTCTTCATCAGAATACTCGTCGCCATCATGGCCGTTTCTCTGGACAGAGTGCCGTTGCTGGATCCGCTGATCCTCGCCTTGGTTGAAGGTGGAGTGTTCGTGAATTGTAGTATCAATGCTGCTACCGGCATCTGTGTCGTACCTTCTGTGCTGGTGATCATCAAGCTGTTGCCGGTGGCTGTTCTGCAAAGTTGAAGGAGGGGGGTTGGGCTGGCCCGTGCCTAGAGCACGAAGGGGACCAGCATACATCTGAATAGGCTCGTTGTGCAGGTTTGCTTTTGGAACCTGCACTTTCGCTTGTGCTGCAGCTAAACGCCTGTTGCTGTTGGCTGACTGCGGCCTCGCAGTGTTGTCTGCTTTGTTGTTGACGAAACTCTTCATGGTGTATGACACAGCACGAGCGGTACAGGCGCGTAGATCGATTCGTTACGCGTGCACAAGGTGAAGCGAAGCGAGTGCGCCAATTCTTCGAGAGAGGAGTGAAGGTTGAAGCTCGAACGGGAAAGCGCGATGTATGTTATGGTCTAGCCGTATCTGGTACTAGCCCCGGCAATCCCATCGATAACTCCGATGACGGCATCTTTCGAAAGACGTGAATGGCCTATCTTGATCGCCGTCGGCTTGTCGAACCGCTCGCACGTATTCTCTCTTGAACTCACACACTGAAGTAGTATCAATGACGGTTACCACAATGGCCGATTGCTACCTTTACAGATTGCCTAATGAGGTACTACTCCTAACTCTAATGGACACCACCATCTAATAACCATGCAAGCTCCTCATACACCTGCTCACGCCGATGACCACGCCCGAGCTCCTCCCTCTAGCCCCCCTATCGCGCCGAATATACACTGTTGTTATACGCATCCTCCACAACCGTCTCGTAATAGCTTCTGAACTCGAATCCCACTCCGTACTCCTTGAATGCTTCCATCCGTCCGCGAAGCTTACCGAACCGCCTTACTTCTGCTCCTCCCATGGCATAGATGGTCTTGCGCGTTACGATGAACTTTCTGAGAGCGAAAAGCATTCGCCATCGCGACTGGGAGATATGCGTAATATGTATTCACGATTCCGGCCACATCGGCGGGAGCTTGACGACGGTGGTAGGCGGGTGAGGCGACCAGGTGACATCCCGGGCAGTCGCACCCACCCAGGCATTATGCAGGATGGATATGAAGGGGATACCGTAAAGCAAATTTTGAGTTTGGACGGACATGAGCTGTTCACGCAGCTGGTCGCCCAGAGCCATCTCGTCAAGACCGGACCGAGGCACGAACTGTTCACGTACCCTGTAGAGATAGAAGAGGGTGTGATCAGGGTATGGAGAGAATGGCTGCGGGACATGGCAACAAAGAGCCAGAGTAAAGAAATAAAAGAAGAGAAGGTGGAATTGGCAGGACCAGGTAAGGGGAAGGCACCCACTACCGAAGCGTTACAAGCAGATGATGTAGGCGATTCCCGAGTACTATGGGTCAGTCCGAACAAGAACACAGGCATCCGCTTCAATGTGAGGGAGAGGAAACTTAAACGGGAGATCCCGATTCTCGTACGCGCAGACGAAGAAGACTTGCCAGTCAGTTACGAGATCGAGTATGATGGTAGGCGCGCTAGCCACGGGCATACATGTCTTGCTAACTACGCTCCCAGAGCTTCTGCTCCGCACGTCACACCTGCTTCTGGTGCTTGAAAAGTCGCTCGTTCTGGACGATAATACTTCTGGTAAAGCCGTAGTCTTTGGTTCTTTCGGCTGAGTGCTCAAACAGCTTTTCAGAACCCAGAGCATCTATTTTGTGACATGTCTGAATATCATGAATGCCAGGCGACGTGTATCCATTGGACATCCGGCGCTCCTGAAGTGCTTTGGACAGGAGTCGGCATTTTGAAAATTATAAGGCATTTGATTGTAACGCAACGGATAACTAGAGAATGATATGGGACCTCTTGCATATACATGCATACCATAGATTCGAAAGAGTCAAGTCCGTGGACCTTACAGTAGTTTAAGCTACCCCAGGGGTCGGTCATCGACTAACGCGACAACATGCACCATGTTCGGGTGCGTAGCGCGACTGGTTTTTCACCTGTAAAAGACCACTCGAAGGTTTGATGCCCCAGTCGCGCTATGCACCCGAATATGGTAGCAGGGTGTATGCTACCATCAGAATAGCGTCGTACGAAAAGATCGCCAGTTCGGGCAAGTGTCTCGTTGACTAACAGTCCGGCCAATGAGCACTCTGGCCTAACCGACGCCTCAGTGTGCTAGCTCCAAACCCTAGTGTTGACGAACAACGATATATCTATCTCTCGAACCTCTGGCTGTACTCGTCCTCATCTTGATTGCTGTGCAGATCGCTGCACATCATGGTGTTGGTCAAGCTATTGGGTCAGCTCGCTGGCAGCATCTGCGTTGGACTCTTGTCGTACTTCCTTTGGAGATTGTACAATGCACGATTAGTGTTCTGGCGTTTAAAGAAACTGGGTATGGTACGCTAAGGCTCTGTCGTATACCATGTTTGTTTGGTGCTCACATACCAGCCAATGCCCCCCTGGAACCCAGTCCTCGGCCATTTGTTAGTCCTCCCCGCCATTATCAAGCATCTTCCAAAAGATGTACAACAGAGCTGGATTTTTCGATGCACGGCGCGTGATTTCGAGGCGTCTGACGGACTCCATTACATCGACCTCTGGCCCTTTGCCATGCCTATGATCCTCGTCACCGACCCGCTGATTGCGAATGAAGTGTGCGTCGAGCATGATTTCGGCAAGCCGGAAATGCTGAAGCCATTCTTCTCGACTATCGTGGGCGGTGATGGCATGTTCACGATGAACGGTGCAGAGTGGAAAAAGAGTCATGCATTGTTCGCGCCGGGATTTGCGGAGAGGGTGATCCTGGAGAGAATGGGTCAGGTTGTTGGGGAGTGCGAGGTCTATGTTGAAAGGCTCAGGAACGAAGCTAACAAGGGTACGACGTCGTATGCCTTGATCAAGCCGATGCTGATTCAATGAACTTACAGGAGAAATTTTTAGCTTGGACGAGCTGACTTGTGACTATATGATGGATGTCATTGGAACAATAACATTGTGAGTTTGGACTAGGAAGTATGTCGAATTCGCACTTACACAAGACATGAATGTTCGATTTCACTCTTTGACTTCTAGGAGCGACCCCCTCGCTTCAGCCATGCGGGACCAAATCAACATTCATGTTCGAGACGAACATATGAACCCGATTAAACGCTATAGCCCCTTCCAGCTCTACAAAGAACATCGGAACTCCCACATCATGGATTCCTACATCACATCTGAACTCCACAAACGCTATACCGACTACCTATCGTCCGCAACCAACAGCAAGTCACTCGCCGACAAGTCCATCATCGACCTCGTCATTGCAGACCATATGCGCGACCGACCCGCCAGCGCAACCCTCGACACTGACTTCATCAAATGGGCCTGTGCTCAGATCCGCCTCTTCCTCTTTGTTGGCCACGACTCTACTGCTTCCACTATAGTCTACAGCCTTTACCTCCTTTCCAAGAATCCCTCAGCCCTCGCCCGCCTCCGCGACGAACACACCAAAGTCTTCGGCCCCGACGTCTCCACCGCCCCATCCGCCCTCCGCGCGAACCCCCGTCTAATCAACCAGCTCCCCTTCACTACCGCCGTTATTAAAGAGACGCTCCGCCTCTTCCCACCCGCAGGTGGCTTCCGCGGCGGCGAGCCAGGGACTTACATCACCGACTCGCACGGCAAGCGCTACCCCACCGAAGGCACAGGCCTCAATGTCCTGCACAACTGCATCCACCGGAACCCCCGCTACTGGCCGCAGCCCGACGCCTTCGTCCCTGAGCGCTGGCTCGTTGGTCCCGAGCACGAACTCTATCCGCGGACGAAGGGCGCGTGGCGGCCGTTTGAGTACGGGACGCGGAATTGCCCTGGGCAGACGCTAGTGATGCTGGATGCGAAAGTGACGCTTGTGCTGGTGGCGCGGGAGTTTGATGTTAGGGATGCATATGGGGAGTGGGATGCTGAGAATAGGAGAGAGGGCGGGGTGAAGGATGTGGATGGGGAGAGGGCGTATCAGGTTGGGAAGGGGTCGGCGCATCCGAGTGATGGGTTTCCGTGTCGGATTGAGCAGCGGGTGGGCAGTTGAGGTTGAGAATGGATTTGGCATGTCAGGCTTTGTGACATCGATGTGAACGCTAGCGGTGTACTTTCAAGTCAAAGGCCGGGAGACGAATCGAGGGGTGAGTTGCGACAATTTGATTTTAATGGACGCAGCTAAGCTCTCCCGTGACACGAGTACTACAGTCTTTTAAATGTGTATCGGTTTCCAGTGTCAGTCATCGTTGTATGAATGGGTTACAAAAACATGAACAGCAATAGAAGAACCAAGCAGTGCATCAACAAGTCGCTTGACATGGTTTACAGCAATACATATAGGCAAAAATCGAATGTTGACATCTACAATTTCGCCTTCGAAACCACCAATGAGTTTGCCTGTGCCAGCCATTTGACGGCGTCGTTTACAAACTCGTCAACGATCTCACGCGCGCTCTTCTTCTCGTTGACAACGGCAGCAACCTTGCCCATCAGGAACGGCCGCGCGTTGTCCATGGTATCATCGTCCAAATCGTCGCCGAGCTTCTCCAGGTCGTGCTCTACGGGGATGACACCCTTGCTGGTCAGCTCCTTGATCTCAGCCTGCCTGTTCTCTTCCCAATTCTGGATGTACGAGTTGGTGCGCACGCGCAGCGGTCGGCCGGTGAAGATGATGGTACGGATATTGTCGTCGAAGCCGGATGTGCGGACAGCCTCCTGGTGGGCCTTGGGTGCGCCAGCCTCTTCGGAGAGGATGAACCGCGTGCCAACCCACACGCCACTCGCGCCGAATGTGAGCATAGCAGCTAGCGACTTGCCGTTGAACAGACCGCCGGCAGCGACGACCATGACTTCGGCGCCCGACATGGGCGACTTGTGACCCTTGACCATGTCAACGACGGCGGGGATGAAGACGGAGGTCGGGACGTCGCCCGTGTGGCCGCCACCCTCGCCGCCCTGCGCGCAGATGATGTCGACGCCGAGGTCGAGGCACTTCTGTACGTGCTTGGGGTGGCCTAGACGAAGTCAGTATATGTCTTCAAGGTGAGGGCGGGGACCGTGAATGTCCAGGACATGGGCACTTCGTGCCCGTGGGTCACATACCAATCATGTTCATGTAGAGGATGCCGTGCTTGTGGAGCTTCTCGACGACGGCCTTGGGGGGGACGCCGACAGCACAGACGAAGAGCTTCGCGCCGCTGTCGATGATTATGTCGATGAGCTCGTTCAGCTTGCCCTTGGTGTAGTCGTAGCTGCCCGTTGGTTAGCCACGTTCCCACGTCTCGCTGTACGTCCACACGTACTTGGTCTTGCGCGCGCTGCCGCCGACCTGGGGGAGAAGCAGGTCAACGCCAAAGGGCGCGCTCTTGTCGTTGAGGTAGCTCTTGAGCTCGGCGATCTGCTCGCGGAGCATGTCCGGCGTATAGCCAATGCCGCCGAGCACGCCCAGGCCTCCGGCGTTGGTTACGGCGGCAGCGAGCTTAGGGCCTGCGGCTACGTTCATGCCAGCGAGCAGCACGGGGTGCTGGATCTTCAGCAGGTCGGTGAGCTTCGTGCGGATCTTCTCTGCGCACTGTTAGCGGGCACATGTGAAGGGTGGGTCGGCGGGCTCGCATACGAGGAGAGGCCATGGCTGCGGATGTGTCGACGATGGACTTCTGGGTATGAGGCTGGAGGCTCGGAGGGGAAGACAGGAAAACGAGTCTGGGGAATGCGGAGTAGAGAAGGAGAGCGGCCGGGTCTGTGTTGCGGAGTCGAAGGGTATTTGTCGTGCATCCTGCGCGACAAGCCGCGTACCTCGGCAGACCACGTCTGGGGCTTAGTGCGCGTGGCCCGCAGCCAACATTGTCACGTGTCTGGGGGGGAACGATCGATGTCCATATTGGGCGCTAGTGCCGCTTGGAACGCCGCGGCTGTTCCTCGCACCATTCGCTCGGGCTCCGACGCTGTCACGGGCAATCTGTCGCACCGTCCGATACCTTCAGCTCTATGTCGTTCGTCTGTACGAGTAGACATCGCTTCTCGTCACTGAGCTTTCTTAGCGTCTTCAGCGAATGTGCAGCGGAGACCAGCGGAAGAAGAGTTTTCACCAATGGACGCTGCATTTTCACTGCAAGAGCACCGACTAGGAAGGCGAGTACTCAAGGCCGTGTAGCGACACCATCGCCGAGTCCACGTCAGAAGTACGACATCAGATACTCCCGCTCCAATTCGAGGCCTTTGATCCACCAGTCGGCCATGATGAAGCACCGTGCTTTCGTTGCCTTGGGGAGCAACCTAGGCGATCGCGTGGCCATGATCGAGCAAGCATGCAACGAGATGGACCAAACCGGGAAGATCAAGGTTCTTCGAACAAGTAGTCTATGGGAAACCAAGGCCATGTATGTTTTGGACCAAGACAAGTTCGTCAATGGCGTGTGTGAGGTACACTTCCGTCTCGAAGCTCATGCACGTGATAGAGCGAGCATTTGACATGTGGTAGGTTGAAACATCCTTATCTCCAATTGAGCTACTAGATGAGCTGCAAGGGATAGAAAACAAGATGGGACGGGTAAAGGTCATCGACAAAGGCCCGCGCAACATCGATCTGGACATTGTTCTCTACGACAATGATACATTTTTCAACGACAGGCTACAGATACCTCATAAACTCATGCTCGAACGCGAGTTTGTTCTGAGGCCACTGTGCGAGTATGTATGCTTTCCCTTGTCCTCTTGAACAAAGCTGATCATGTCCCAGACTGGTGCCCAACTGCAGCCTTCCCCCACACGTCGACCTGCCCGCAGGTTCTTTCCAGTACCAACTGTCCCACCTGCCCAAGTCGCATGATCCTCTCTCTCCCCTTACGCCTTTAGCTCCAAACCTTGAGAAAATTGCTTCACAGGACGCTCAACGGAAAACGCACGTCATGTCGATCCTCAATGTCACACCAGACTCTTTCTCGGATGGCGGCAAGCACTTCAACCTCTCTTCTTCGCAACTAGCCGACACTATCCGCTCTCACATAGCAAGCGGAGCCACAATCCTTGATCTAGGCGGCCAATCTACCCGCCCCGGCGCACCGCAAGTCTCATCCACCGAAGAGCTGGAACGCGTCTTACCAGCCATCGAAGCCATCAAGAGCATCCCTGAGGCAGACAGAGTAGCCATAAGCGTAGACACCTACCGTGCCGACGTCGCTGAAGCCGCCATCAAGGCAGGCGCGCACATCGTGAACGACGTTTCCGCTGGCTTGCTAGACGAAAACATGCTGCCCACTGTCGCGAGACTGGGTGCCACGGTCTGCCTGATGCACATGCGGGGCACGCCCGAGACAATGAACAGTCTGACCTCCTACCCCGACGGCGTCATCGCGGGTGTAGCAGCCGAGCTCCTCGAGCGTCTAAGAGCAGCGGAGGAGGCGGGCATACGGCGGTGGCGTATCATTCTCGATCCGGGGATTGGCTTTGCAAAGAACCAGGAGCAGAATTTGGAGCTGCTTAGGGGGTTGGAAAAGCTCAGGAGATGGCCCGGGCTACAAGGGTTTCCATGGCTCATTGGGGCTAGTAGGAAGGCGTTTGTGGGGAGGATCACAGGCGTTACGGAAGCGAGGGAGAGAGTCTGGGGGACTGCTGCTGCGGTTACGGCTGCGGTGCAGGGTGGCGCGGACGTCGTGCGGGTGCATGATGTGAAGGAGATGGCGCAAGTCGCTAGGATGGCAGATGCGATATGGCGGCATTGAAGTCCCACAAGAAGAGGAAAGGGTTCAAAAGTTCAACATCAAGATGCAATGCAATACTAGTATGGCCGAGACCAGGAGCATGCTCTCTACGAGTTTTTCAGTTTTCCGTTCGCCACGACGCCCCTCCTCTTCCCTTCCTGCACATGCGCCCAGACATACACAAACGGATACACCGTCTCTGGAAACAGCGTAAACAGAATCACGAACCAGCTCCAAAAATTATTCACATAGACCCAATTCTGTGGCGCATTCAAATACCGCCACCAAAATACGCCATACGCAGTGAAGCACCCAAGATACCTCGTGATCCTGCATCTCTGTTAGCCTCCGCACCTCCTTTGAATTGTTCGTTTCACCTACCATATCTCCAGACTTTGCCCCTTCGTATTCCTCCGCTGGACAAGCAGAATCAGAGATCCCCAACTAATCGGCACCTGCAGCACAATCCCCGTCCAATACGCCGTCAACTGCTCCCTCTCATCCGGCCACACCTGGCCTAACCACCTCAACACCGCAATCCCCATCCCAGTTCCCACAACCAAAAGCCCCGCCATCCGCCCCCACCGCTCCCGCGGATAGCACCTGCACACCGCCACCCCAACAAACACCACGTCCATCGCAAACCACAGCAAGAACCCGCACCGCTCGAAGCGCGCCATAGCCGTGGACTCGCCGGACGTCATGACGAGACCGTAGTACAGTTCGTACGCCATGGTGGTGGCCATGTAAAGCGGGGTGCCGGCAACCGTGCGATCGGAGTAGGTACGGACGGTGTAGAAGAAGTAGCAGAGGGCGTAGAGGAGGGCGCAGGTGAGGATCAGGAAGTCTTGGATGAGGAGGTAGGATTCGGGGGGTTGGAGGCGGAGGTCCGAGGGCTGCGGGATGAGGTGTGTGGAGCGTGTGGAATGGGCGTAGGAAAACATTGTTGCGGTGGTGGTAGAGTGAGATGAGAGCGTGAGGCGTCGAGGATGTGTTTTGAGACCCGTTGGTAGTGTTAATGCAAAGGTTCCGGGCACTTTTTGGACTGGCGTGTCGAAATGGACTGATGGAACGTACCAATATGTTCGCACGTGGTTTTATAGGCTCCAAAGCTATCCGGGTGAACGCGAAGCTTGAGGCTGGCGCACCGGAATTGCGTTCTCGGCACGTGCTAGACATCCGACAATTCCGGATGGGTGTAGGTAAGCTGATCCTGACGTCTCTGTCGCCGTTCGACCTCATCAATTTCGAGACAGGTCGTTCTTCTTAACGCGGTCTCTTTTCGGGTCGATGTCAGCGATCGTGATATTTGCCCAGCATTGCTAGGGTGTAGGAGGTTGTCGTGCTGTCACAGCACAGAGTCCAGATCAACGAACAAGTCCTGCCACCCAAGCGGTACATGCCTCAAGTTCAACCCAGGGAAGTCCCACTCAAAAACAAACTCGCTCGGCGCATATTCCTGGAAATCATCTTCTGCGTTTCCCCTGCCAGTCATCTCTCCTCCCTCACCACCATGTGTCTGCTGCAGCCTCGCCATATGTTCCCTCAGCGCACCCTCGCACTTCTCTACACTAGTCTGCAGTATCTGAAAGTACGCAATGTGCCCGACGGTGATCTTGTGCAGCTCTTCAAGCACTTGGTGTGCATCGCGCAGAAGCAGGATGATTGATGGTAAAGGATCGCGGAGCAGCAACGACAGCTTAAGCACGAGGAGGACCGAGAATGCGCATTTTGCCCATACAAAGTCGATCGCCCATTTGAACGTCGACAGATACGTTGGCGGAGGGGGCTGGGTGGGCGATAATGGGTTGGGTGAGGACGGTGTTGACGGGGTTTCGAGGAGGTGCTGCAGATGCCGCACTGCGGCTTCTTTTGCTGAGCGCACCATCTCGCGTTGGAAGTCTGTCATAAGGAGATTTCCAAAGACGGAGAGGGCCTTGAGATATAGTGTGATGAGTGCCCATTCGTACTGTATCCGGAGGTTAGTCATCGCGCGCGGCCGATCAGGAGCAGCGGTGTCTGAACAGATGAGCGTGCTCCATTCTTCGAGCCAGAGAGAGAGTTCGATGGCGGTGTCACGGACCGTGGAGCGCAGTGATGTCTCGTCCAAATTCCTGGAATGGCGGGCGATGCTAACATATGCGTTGGAGCGGAGGATGTTGAGCTCGACTTGCGAAAGTAGACGAATATCTGTAGACGTTCTCGAGGGGTGGTTGACCAAGGCTCGAACTCGCCGAGATGTGGTGCGAAGATTTGTCGCTGGCATTTTGCCACCATCAAGGGCAAAAAAGAGCTCAAAATTGCATACACCATGCCACACTCTCGCAAGTCGGTAGAGCTGCTTTTCTTCGTCACTGATTGGAGCCATCCGTGTGGATATCTTGTCCATTAGCTGTTCCACGGCATCCTCCAGACGTAGCTGCATAGCGAACCTCAGCGCCAGGGCCACTAGCAGCATTCCATTTTCAGTGTAACCAGCCATGACTGTAATGGCTTGAATCATCTCAAGAGATGGGATTTGGGTAGTGACCAAAACGTCAGTCAAGTGCTCTCGAAGCCGAGACTGCAAGCGGTGATATGTTGACGAATTGCATCCTTCTTCAGCCCGACAGCCAACACTGATGATGCAATCGAATAGAAAAGGGCTTCGTGATACGACCGACTCCAATGTATCGATCGACGTGCAGAACACAGGAATCAGATAATTCTGTCAAAGTCAGCAAGCTTTGACATTGGAGACATGTGTCTTACGCTACCACTGAAGAAGCTGAAGCCCATTTAGTCGTGTGATATAGTACTTGGAGCCATTTTCTTATGTTGCTTACCTTTGGTACCAGCAGGTCGCTTGCGTCCACGTCACTAAGCCTGCCTGCACCGCATTGGCTTTCATACTGGGACTTTTCCACTGTGGTTCACTGGCCGAACCTGCGACTGAGCGGTGATCATGAGGAGACTCATGAATTTCAGAGCTATACCCGGCAGGAATGGTGACGGACGGAGATTGTTGAGGCATGGCTACAGTGTTGCTGGCACAATGTTCCGACATATGCACAATGTGCATCGCAGCCTTCAGGTCCTCTACCTCAGCTTCTAGCCTCTCAATCCGCAGCTCATTCCCATCACGAACAGCGTCAAAATATTGACATTCTGTGTCATTTCTTGTGCAGCGCTGGCACGGCCGGCCACCATCGCACCTTACCTATGCAGTCGCGAGTCAGCATGAAGTAAAACGCAGCAACATCCCCACAAACTATTAGTCGCGACCCACCTTTGATTTGCGGCAAAGGATGCACGCATTGATGGCGCGGCGCTTGCGCGGGCGCTCTGAAAGCGTCGGGGTTGACATCTCGGGATTTTCGTGCGAAGGTGGGCCGCCCCGGTCTTTTATGTGTGGAGGGCAGAATGCGGGGGAGTGTCTAGGCCACGTGCCGTGCAGTCGCACGACTTCCAAGGCGGCGACTTCGGGCCAAGAATTTATGTGCCGCTTAACCTCGGAAGAACGGTGAGAGGCTAGGCGTCGGCGTTTGACAGAGTAGAGTGTGGTGTGCGTTCGGAGTCGCTCATTACTAGAGCTCAGCGGGTGGCTCATTGGACGGACGAAGCGTTAGTAGCATCCAGGTCAAAGGAGGGATCGTACATCCTAACGTAACTTATCTTACGATGTAAGGAGAGCAAGACTACTGAATACCAATCGCAGGGAGATTTGCTGGCAAATCTAGAAGACACATTGACATACACGATGCTGCATGTAAGATCCACAAATCCTCATTTGAACTCCAATTCATGCTTATTCCACGCAAATCACAGCCAAGGCATATACCTTAAGTCAGAATTCGTAGGTGTGAAGATAATGCGATCTGTTTTCATACGCAGCGCAGTTGATCGACTATGAATGACGTTTTTCTACCAGGCCCTGATCCTCAATAAAGATAGATGAAATCCTCGTTCTTGATGTCCGTGATGTCGTCAAACGCCTTATCTCCAACGCCCCCCTGGCTCGCATTCACCGCCTCCTCACCCTCCGGGTGATCACTCGTCTCCATGCTAAGATCCACCACCTTGGCCGACTTGCCCAAACGCTCTCGCTCAGCGGCATGCTTGCGATTCAGAATCGTGATCCAGACCATCGCCAGCACGACAAAGACGATGATAGCAACGAAGAGGGCGAGATTGGCGCGTAAACCGCGTCGGTAATAGGGTTTCTCCGAAGGCTTGAAGAGATGCGGGCCGATGATGTTGCCTGCGCTCGCGCCAACAAAGAGAATGCTGGTGGTCACCTTGCGCTTGGTGTCGCCTCCGGTGTTCTGGCCGGACCATGAGTAGATGAGTGGCGAGATGCCGGGGTAGAAGGAGGTCATGTAGTAGCCGAAGAGAAGAACGCCACGGTGCTGCTTCTCTCGGCCGACGACCATCAGCACGATGATACCGATGATCGGGGGGATGCAGAGCAGGATGAGGACGGGCGATTTCTTCTTTAGCCAAGTTGCGAGCCAGGCACCGCCGATGGTGGCAATGATCTGTACGGCTCCAAAGGGCATGTTGAAGAGGATGGTTGCGAACTTTCCGAAGCCGAAGGACTGGATGATCAATGGCCCAAATGTCGTGATGCCGCCGCTGGGAATGGACACTGCGGTGAGCATAAGGAACCACAACCATGTCTTTGGGTCGATGAATGCCTCGAGCACATGGTCCCACTTCCAAACTCGTGAGGCGACTCCCATCTGGTTCATCCGCAGACGCTCCACCGCAATCAATTTATCGTTGCCCTTGAGGAACTTAGCCTCCATGGGCGAGTCTGGGGTGAAGAGGAACACGAATATGGATACGACGGCGGTGAGCAGACCGCAGAAGAGAAAGATGATCTGATACGAGTGGAGCAGGTTCGACTGGATGTGGCCGAGGCCATAGGACAGCAGACTGCCCAGGATGTTGACGATACCCAGCATGGCGTACCACGCGGCATTACGGTTGGTCTGCTCTGAGCGTTTATACCACATTTGGACGATTGCGATAAAGGCTGGGGCTACGAATGGTCAGTGGGAATCGTCCCGAATGTATCTGGACACCTACCGACCGCAGCCTCGAAGGCCCCTAGGAGAAATCGAGTTGCCATCAATCCTGCAAAGTTTTTTGCACCCGCCATACCACATAATATTGCGCCCCAGGTGAACACCATCACGCCGAGGAACTTTCCTATCGGAAGCTTGACGAGTAGGAGTGCAACGAGCGGCTGCATGACCATCTGAGCGATGTATACGATGGAGCCGAGCCATGAGAACTGGACATACTTAGTGCCACACCCGTGCAATATTACTGTCTCAAGAGTATACCTGGTCGGAGTTCGGGTTGAGGTCGGCATCTTCAATAAGACCAAAGACGGAGGCGTACGAGAGCGTGGTTTTGTCCAAGCTTTGGAGAAAATACACAGAAAGCAGGATCGGAAGCAAGACGAGGTCGATTTTGCGCAAGACACGCTTGTTCTCCTCGGGTGTTACAATGATGCGCTCGTTCGAGGCGAGCAGTGCAGCTGCTTTGTCCATGCCCTTGGTGACGGGCGCCGGTTTGTGGTACTCCTCGTGCGTGTTGACTTCCTCATTCTTGCCGATCTCCTCCAGAATTGCGGGTGCTGGCGCGTCGTCCTTTGACATGATGTGGCCTTGGGAATGAACAAAAGAAACAGAGTAGTTGGAGCTGCGTGCAACAGCTGTGGATCGGAAAACCGTTGGAACGGTAACGACTTATATGTATGGGAGACTGCATGGGGAGCCTGTACGGAGACATCCTTGATTCGTGATGGCGTCGGCCGAATGAAGCGAACTGGCCTTGGTGCCCCATGGGGACCCCAAGCGCCAGACGATGCGCTTGCCTTGTGCGGCCGAAGTTACCGATCCACCTCGGAAGTTGTACCGCGACATAAATACATAAGAATCGGTCGTTCGGGACGAGCGTCAGTCTTGTCGAAAGCTGAGTCATTGATTCGAAATCAGAAACCTGGTGAGTGTTTTGTTGGGCGGAGGATTGTTACCTTTACTGACTCGGTGCGCAGTCCATAATGGTCCAGCTCGAGGTCGTGCCAACAGGCTATCAGCGTGTATCGAAAGAAGACGATACGCCGAGTGTATGCCTCCAGTCGAAAAAGCATGGAACAGCCTTCGACTTCTCCTTCGAAGCGCTCAGGCCCGGGCTGTTCCGAACGACGTTCACGTCCAAAGAGCATCGCCTGCCACCGCATCGAGCCGCACCGGTACCAAGTCGCAAGCTAGACCCAAAGGCACTCAAAACATCGCACTCATATGATGCAAGTGTGTTCCAGGTGAACGATGTCACAGCCAAGGTCGACTGGAGCAGCGGACCTCCTTTGGTCTCCATCACTTTAGCCAACCAGAAAGCCCCCATCTACACCGACTTACCCAACCGCTCATACGCGGCGGATGGCCCAGGAATCGCTCACTACACACGTTACAACCACAAGACGCTACATGTCGGCCTAGGCGAGAAGCCAGCGCCGATGAATCTTTCCAACCGCCACTTTGTGCTCTCAGCAACAGACAGCTTTGGGTACGACGTCCATCGCACCGATCCCATGTACAAGCACATTCCGCTCCTCATAAATGCAACGCCCAGTGGCTGCGTAGCGACCTTTTCTACCTCGCACGCACGAGGCTACTATTCGGTAGGCTCTGAGATGGACGGCATGTGGGGCCGCTTCAAGGTGTATCGCCAGGAATACGGCGGCCTGGAGCAGTACATCATCACGGGACAGACGCTCAAAGACGTTGTGACTATCTACGCCGATCTCGTCGGATACCCACTGCTCGTGCCGAGATGGGCGTTTGGCTACCTCGCCGGCGGAATGAAGTACTCCATGCTCGACGAGCCACGCGCATCCGATGCTCTCATGGAGTTCGCCGACAAGCTAAAGAGACACGACATCCCCTGCTCCGGGTTCCAGATGTCATCGGGATACACAGTCGCGGAAACAGAGCCCAAAACGCGCAACGTGTTTACGTGGAACAAACACCGGTTCCCGGACCCCAAGGGTTTCATCGACGCATACCACAAAGCAGGCATCCGGCTCATCGCAAACATAAAACCGTACGTACTGGCGAACCACCCAGAATACGAGACGCTGAAGAGCGCCGGCGCGCTGTTCACAGACTCACTGACCATGGCGTCCGCTGAGGCACGTCTCTGGAGTGCGGGTGGCGGTGAATCTGGCATCGGGGGACACATCGACTTCACTTCTGAAGCAGGATATCGCTGGTGGTATGATGGCGTACGGGAGCTTCGAAAACTCGGCATCGACTGCATGTGGAACGACAACAACGAGTACACGATTCCGCACGACAAGTGGCAGTGTGCGCTCACGGAGCCAAATTTGAAGCAGGAGGAAGGCCAGGATTGCGGAAGAGACGTAGGCTTCTGGGGTCGTGCGCTGAATACCGAATTGATGGGGAAGAGCTCGCATGATGCGTGCTTGGAGGTGTGTCCAAACGAGAGACCGTTTGTGCTGACAAGGAGCGCGACGGCGGGGACTTTAAGGTACTGTGCTAGCTCGTGGAGTGGTGACAACACAACGAGCTGGGACGGAATGAGGGGTGCGAATGCGCTGTCACTTACCGCGGGCATGTGTTTGATGCAGGTCAGTGAACAGATACACTCCATATTGTGAGCTAAACTGACCAAAGTCGCAGTGCTATGGCCACGACATTGGCGGCTTCGAAGGCCCTCAACCCAGCCCCGAACTCCTCGTCCGCTGGTGCCAACAGGGCATCTACTCCTCCCGCTTCGCCATAAACTGCTTCAAGACTTCTCCAGAGAATAATTCTGTCGGAGACGTCATCGAACCCTGGATGTACGACGAGACGACCCCGCTTGTACGCGACATCATTAAGCGCAGATACGAACTCATACCTTACCTCTACTCCCTCGCCCTTGAATCACATAGTACGGCCACTCCGCCCCAGCGTTGGACTGGCTGGGGCTTCGAGCAAGACCCGGAAGTCTGGCAGAGCAAGCTCCTCACAGATGGCGAGACGCAGTACTGGCTTGGTGATGCGTTACTCGTGGGCGGTGTATTTGAGACGAAACAAGAGACCGCAAAGGTATATCTGCCCAAGGACCCTGCGAATCCGGACCTTCAGTTCCTCGATGTAAATGCTACCCAAATGTTCTACGATGCAGGACAGTGGGTTGAAATCCCGGCGAAGTGGCAGGGAGAAGGCATACCCGTGCTTGCGAGAGTTGGCAGCGCGATTCCGGTGGGGAAGTCTGTCCAGGTGCGCTCGCAGGGCGATGAGGAGAACTTTGCCAGTCTACCCGAAGATGACTACCGCGGTGTCGAAATCTTTCCGCCGAAGGGATCGTCTCATGGGAAAGAGTTCAGGAACCGCTGGTATGAGGACGATGGTGTTTCACCGCCGCCTGTGGAAATGTCCGTCTTCGAGGTCAAGTACACTAGCGAGGATGACAAGGTGTACGTGAGTTTTGGTGAGCAGCTGCAACATGGTTTTGATCCGGCGTGGAAAGCTCTAGAAGTCGTTCTTCCGCGCGGCGATGACCGGACAGTGGTGTTTAACGGCAAGGAGGCGGAAAGTGTGGGAGCGGATGATAGGGGGAGGAAGCTCTTCCGTGGACGGAGTATAAGAAAGGTTTAATGCCTATGGTCAAAAATTAGGCGTTGTAGGCAAACAATTGCCTTCTAACGAAGTGGACACAGTACCGCGATCTGCAATCTGAACAGTGAGAAGCTACGTGTGATGTGACACGCTTCAGCAGCGTTCAACCCTGGATTAATGAGATGTGTTGATGTAAGTACGCGCAATCTTTGCGCGACGGGATCCTCTTTGACAGCGGGACGGCCCGCAAGCTATTGAAAACCTCGACGGGATGATGCTTGTTCAACGCAACAAGCCTTTAGGACCCCGTTGACGGCCAAGTAGCATGCAAATATGGGTGTAGGATTGTCAATGTTCTCCAGTTGCCAGGGACGTCGCCAAAAATGATGCCAACTAGGTTTCTAAGTCTTCTAAGTGGTCGCCGAAGCAGAACAAGACCTGCTAATGTTTAGGACATTACCGGCTTCTGGCGCTCTGAACACACGCCAACGAATTATCAGAACTGCTCCAGCCTGTTGATGCAATGTTCTCGTGCTCTACTCAATGAGCTAGTCGCTAGGACGGACCAGGCTCTTGGACGATCCTGCGTTCAGTAAGAAAGAGAGCGCTGTTACTGGAATTGCTACTTCAAGACGATGACTGATGTTCAACCTGCAAACGAAACCAGGATCACCATGTGGATCTTGTGTAACTCGTAGAGAGATCCGAGAATGGATTAAGCTCCATGGGACGGGTAAGGATAAGGCTGAGTGAGGGGTTGCCTGCAGCCACCATGCAAGTGCCGAACTGGGCAATCACGACTTGATTAATGGTGGGGTGAGAACGAGTAGAATCGATTGCTTTTGCCGTCTTATGGAGGGGCCGTTGTGTTACGACGGAAAGGGCGCTTAGGTGCTGTCATGGCTGATTGGGCGGCATGACTGTCGGTCCTCTGCAACCATTACGTGCTGAACCACACGATCAGTTGCGTGATGTTGAGGGAGTGCTGAAGTGTAGCCAGCTGCGTTTTCCCAAAGGGTTGCAAAGACTCAGAATTGGACTTGCATCTCTGTGTGTGGAGCAACCGTGATTGGGCGCCAGATCGGTAGGTACCATAAGACGGGCATCCCCAATTTGCTGGAGCGCAAAAAGCAGTGCATGAACGATACTGACGTGTCACCGGCGCATGACGCAGAAGCATGCGGACTGGTGTGTTGTTCTGAATGCGAACCTGAGGGGCCAGTGATGTGCTGCGATGGCTGGTAGCGCCAGCACAGAAGTTCGGGAGGCATCGCTTCACTGCTTGGGCGCTGATGCGTTCGTTAGTGGAGCAAGTGGGTGGAGGGAGAGGTTGGGAAGCCAAGAAGCGGTGAGGTGACTCTGTCCCCTGTTGGGGCCAGCATTTCCCAGACGCTTGCTTGCAATTGGCAACGGATGGGCGTGAGCTGCGTGAGTGTCGTGAGTGTCGTGAGTGTCGTGAGTGTCGTGAGTGTCGTGAACGAGCATTTCGGGTTGTGTGTGCGTTCCAACGCACCTGGAGTACAAACCGCTCGGGACGGGCGTGCAGCGCGGCACCGGAGGGTTGTGGCTACGAGGTGGGGCTCATGTAGGTGCATGTACTCGACCGAAAGCGGCAGCAGTGCTGCATGCCGTGCCAGTACGGGTCGCAGGCAGCCTGGGAGCCGTCGGACTAATGTACGAGACAGGAGAGCGCGGCAGTGCGGTGCGACTGTGGGTGCTCGTCGACGCGGAGGCCGCCAGGACAATCAAATGCATCAGCATGTTGAGCAGCCTGGAGCCATGGCGTGGCACAGAGACCAAGCCGAGGGAGTCAGACGGACGGCTCGCCGCAAGTGGCAGCGACGACGGGTGGTTTCGTCGTAGACAGCGTCCAATGCGACGAGGCCTTGACCGCCTGCCGCGAAACACGAAGGTGCGCTGGCGGCCTCCAGGGCGCTGCTGTGAGTCTGCGCGTCGGTGACTCGTCGCCAGTCTCTGGAACCTGCTCGCACTCCCAAGTCGCTCCAGCTGCCCCCGCTGTGCAACGCGCCTCGCCATCAGCCTGCTGCGCAGTTGGGCTCCTCTGGTGCCGACCGACTGCGCGCTGCATCGTGATTGGCTGCCGGGCCCGTCGCAGCGCACGCCCATCCCATCTCACCTGGGACCGACGCATTCGCGCTGCGCTGTCGAGTCCGCCGTGCTCCCGTCCAGCCTCCAGCCTCCAGCCTCCAGCCTTCCCGACGGTGCCCCCCCCGAGCCTCACGCGCGCGGACTGCCCCCGACCGACTGGCAGTTTCCGCAGGTGCACCCCAGGCGCCAGTGCCGGCGTGCGTGGTTCCGCTTGACGCCCAAGCAATATTGCTAGGTGGACAGGCCTGCCTGTTTACCGACTCATCCACGCCCCGGCCGCACCGCGCATCGAGCGTGGCCAAAATCCGCGCCGGAAAAGCTGTGCAGAAGCAGCAGGAACCGCCCATGGCGATAGGCGGTCCGCTGTGAACGACATCGCATGGATGCACCGAGACAGAGCCACAGTTACACACGCCGAGCGTCCCGCGCCCCGATAGCGCCGTCAATTCTGTCTGGGGACTTCCCGCACCGAGACGCGTCCGCGACGTCGACAATTGCTTCTCCCGTGCCGAATCTGGCGCGCCAGCGAGCCCAGAGCACATAGCCCGCAGCGTCGTGCGTTGCGCGCCTGTGCGACCGACTGTCGCCAACATGCCCAGCTTCCTTGCGGCTGACAATGGCGAGTCGAGCAGGAGCCGGAGCAGGCAGAGGGCGAGGACCGACGTGGGCGAGCACAGGAGCGTGTGGGACCGACTGAGCTTCCAGAAGATTGGCAGCTGGCTGAAGAAGGACGACGGCCCGTCATCGCCAACCAAGGACACTGCGCAGCCCGAAGCCGGCCAGGAGAGCGCGAGGCCACACTCTAGTGGAGAGCATGCCGCCGCACCCGCCGGGCTGCTGCACCGACGGTCGAGCAGGAAGGTCGTCCCTGGGCTGCCGAGGCCACTGACCTTTAAGAGAATGAACAGCGAGAAGAGAGAGAAGCTCCTCGAGGTCCCCGTGTCCCCCGAGCAGAGGCGAGCCACGTCCGCCGACCGACGAGCATCGAGCGGCTTGAAACGACAACTGTCCCCGCCTCCCGTGGCCGCTCCTTCCATGTCCGCCCCCGATGTGCTTAGTCCACATAGCAGTGAAGCCGAGCAAAGGCCCCATTCCACAATAGGCGGCGAGCCAGACTCCAATATCCCGCCCGGGTCAAGGCAGGTCGACTATGGGCTGGAGAGCATAGATTACCTATCCATGGGAGAACCGCCTCCTCTTTCCATGGCCGACGACGATTACTTGGAAAGAGACTCGCAGCGCTCAACGTCAGACGTGGACGACGTGCAGCTCCAGGAGGAGCTTGAAGCAAAATGGATACTCAATCTCAGCATGCACTTCCGCGACATGTCAGATCGTGAGAAGTTCTTCATCACATTCGCTGAGGAGCCAAATAAGTGGAGAAGAGTCACTGTCTCGGTAGACTACCGTAAACTTGAGCCTGAGTCGCTCGAGGCCGATCTAAAAAGTCTGCACTACCAGCGTGATAAGAGCGCAAGGATATACGAATCCATTCGGGACTCCTTACCAGACATACAATTCTACGAAACAGTAACTAATCTCAAGCTCCAAACTGACGACGGGCGCCTTCACGTCCATGTCACCGAGGATGTGAACGAAATCATACCATACCCTCCCCTTTCTGCTTTAGACCATCTCGATTGCAAACAGTTTCGAGAAAGCGACATTTGCTTCGATTCCCACATCTCTGGCTTCGTATACAAAATCTCCGTTCGCAACAAGACGTACATCAAAAAGGAGATACCGGGCCCAGATGCTGTAGAGGAATTCTTGTACGAAATAAACGCACTATGCAGCCTCTCAGACGCAAAGTCAGTGATCAAGTTTGAAGGTGTCATTGTCGACGAAAAAAGCGAGCTCATTAAAGGATTGCTCATTAGCTATGCAGAGCAAGGCGCACTCGTTGACCTGATATATGACTACAAGAACTCGGAGCAGATGAGCTGGGAGCGGCGAGAGAGATGGGCCCGACAGATTGTCGAGGGCTTGTCCGAAATTCACGAAGCCAGCTTTGTCCAGGGTGACTTCACTCTCTCCAACATCGTCATCGACCATGACAACAACGCAAAAATAATTGATATAAACAGACGTGGATGCCCGGTTGGATGGGAACCCCCAGAGCTTGCTCGGCTCATTGAGAGCGGCCAGCGCATTTCCATTTACATCGGCGTCAAATCCGATCTATTTCAACTTGGCATGGTCTTGTGGGCTCTTGCAACTCAAGAAGATGAGCCCGAACGTCAAGAGAGGCCGCTGACTAGGTCGCTAAATAGATACAGCGCAGTGCCAGAGTACTTCAAAGACATCGTAAGAGCTTGCTTGAGCGATTCGCCTCGGGACCGACCGTCTGCAAAGGACATACTGAAAAGATTTCCCGATAGGACGCTGGAGCGCAGTCGGACTGTTGACCATGCTTCGCGACAGAGTGTCTCCCCGCACAGAAGCGACAAAGTGTATATCGACCCTCGAACAGCCGTTGGCCTAGACGACATCCATCCACGACTACATCACTCGCACTCTCGCTCCTCTTTCTCGCACGTCAACATGCCCTCCACGGAATACATCGGGTCGTCTGGATCCTATATATTGCCAAGCTCCACGCAAGCTCGCGGCCGATCTCAGAACGCACCACGAAGCGACAGCCAAAATCCGCGTTCGGAATATTCGCCTTATCCAGCCCCGCGCTCAGTCATGTCGCTCGATGACTCCGAACTCGAAAACGAGCTTGCCAGCTTACCCGCCAGCCGAGAAACAAGATGGGAGCAAGTGTACGTGGATGGCGACACCAAATTGGTACAGAGGGGCTGCGCAGAGATTGATGTGCAAGACTTCGGCATTCAAGAACCCAAAGATATCTGCATTACCACACCGCCAGGCGAGCTTGACAGCTCGCTGATCGCCAGCAAGCACTCGGACGAGACCTCGCTCTCTCTTACCACCGTTGCCGGGCTTCCGTACGACTCGCAGCATTTGGGACAAACCACAATGTCAAGGGATACGAGCCACAGAAGAAGCATCGAGAACAAGGCTTCCTTCAGCGATCGCGTCCACCAACTTGCCGATCTACCTGCATCCGACGAGCGAGCTGCTTATATACCCAACCCCACTACTCTGGCCGACCTCGAGAACGAAATAGCGTATGCTTCGTCGGTTCCCTCCTCCGCAGCCCCCTCCCGCGTCGGGACAGGACTCTCCGAGATTTTTGCGCGGCCTACGCATAAAGATTCAGGCTTCAGTGAGCCAATACTAGAGCGTGTTAGCTTTGATAATGAGCACGTGCGACAGAGTCTGGAAGGCACCATGGCCGATATCAAGTTTGCGCACCAAGAAGACCAGCGCGTCAACGAGCGATTGTGGGATGAAAAAGATGTCGCCATCGGCAACGGCGTCAGAGGCGAGCAGCTCCTCATTGGAGCGGAGTCCTCACCATCGGCCCATACGGCTTCGGTTTCTAAGAACTATGTCACGGAACACGAAGCGCAACAGAAGCTTCTGGGAGAAAAGGTTTCGGACACCACGATCCGACCGCCCGGCATACTCATACCGGATTTCCATCACACAGTTCCGAGGGCTGTGGATGCGAGTCCACCCATCCATACACCTGCTTCATCACACCGCGCAGCGCCGGCAGAGCCACTGGCTTCGTCATACACATCCACATCTTCAACCTCGCGATCTATATGCTCCTTCGATGCAGCCCCAAAAGTTTGAATACTTCTCCGCACGATATCTCTTACTCCTCATATCTCGCACACATACGTAGACCTTTTAACTCCCTCGCTTTTTCCTTCCTCACATTTGCTCCTTTCTTGTCATGATCTCCATTGTTTTCGGTCCGCTCGGCATGAGGATCATTGTAAGATTTCGCAAAAGACGCATTCTTAGCTTGTATAGCTCGTGGCTCGCGCCGCGCTATTTGGAATCTTGGGATGGACATACGGATGGCATTCACTGGTCTCTTTGTTTTCGCTTTGTAAGCGTTCGGGCATTGGCGTGCACTTTACATCTTGGTAGTTACGGATCTGGATTGGGTTTTTTAGTTATTGCTTTAGGATACCAAGCGCATTTCTTACTCATATGCTTAGGCGCCTTTCCCCTGGCTTTGCTGTGGTTGTGATGTAACGATCGGTGTCGAGGCACCTGCCTGAGCTTCGGACGCTCCTCGCGCCTTCTTCTCCTGAGTTGTTCTTGTCTGTACCTCCCAATTATCCCCCAACGCTCGCGTCACTCCCACGCGGCGTCTGCCTGCCCGAACGCATGCCCTCGACGCTCCGCTCTGTGATGGTGCTCAACGCAGATACTCCGCGCCGATGCCACTTCCCGCGCTTGCTACGCCTGCCCCCGGGGCCTGGCCGCGCGTTAGTCGGCCTTTCCCGTCCTCTCACTTACCGATCGCTGCGTGGGCGCGCTTACATGTTGTCTTGCAGTAGAAGAACAGTAGGGCGAGGATGAATATGGCGAGAAGGACGACGCGTGTTGTTTGCAAGATATTCGTAGGGTTGAGGTCGGGGGTAGTGGGCATTTTGCATGGGCGTTTGAGAGAAAGTTGGTGGCATCAAGAAGAAGAGGGGAGGGCCATGGTGGGTCGGACGAAGGCAATATGCCGAAGATGGCTCAGCGTGGCGATGGAGAGGGATTGGTGTGAGATGCTCTAGCTGGTAGGTCCGTGGTCACTGCGTCGTCAGCTAACGTGCTCCAGTGACACCGAGGTAAAAGCTCCCGGGCGCGGTCCATTCACTTATACGGAAGTATGCGTTACGCAATCGGCAAACACACCAAGAACTACAGCATCGCTAGGGGCCGCCCATGTCTGTTCCTCGCTCACCCTGGCTGCGCGGAGAACTGCTGCCAGAAGAAGCCAGTGCAGGATTGGACGGGGTGGATGTTCGGGCCGTATAACGGCGATTTTGTGAAGCTGAACATGACGCCTTATCAGTTGGTGGTGCGGAGAATCGATTTAAGCTGCCGAGGGATGAGTCGGGAAATCTTCTCGGCTAGGTTGTGAGTGTGAGGGTAGGGTTGGGCTGGTTGTATGGACTGTGGCAGTGACGGTCGTGTGTGGCATGTTTGTCTGCGATGAGAGAGAATTGAGAGATAGAACGTGAATAATTAAGCATCTGTGTGTCCCATGCCATTGGCGGTACGTCATTTCGATATTTTCGTAAGCGTTACCGTTATGTTGAGCAATATATCGCTCCCGCTTTACATCCCAAGGCATCCGCAAATAATTAGATACAATCTGAAGACTGCTTCGCCCCAGCACGCCCACCAATGATCAACTTCGTGCAACGCCGATTTGGTCACCTACCAGCCAATGTGCGAGTTCTTTTACATATGACACTCCTTCGTGAATATCTTCAGCAATTCCTCAAAGTCGCAAACATTCATCGACTCAAACACGTCCTTCTTATATATTCCTTCCTGTGTCATCCGCGGACTCTTGATACCAAAAGCAATCTTCGCGAGATACCTTGGATCATCGCGAGCCGGCACCTGCTCCAGTATTCGCTTCACGAGCGCGGGATCCGGCGACTGCGGCGGCTCATTGGGCAGCTGGACCTGCTCGTGCGTCTCACACCATGTGCAATGGCCACATTCTTCGGATACGTCGTCTGCGCTTTCACCGAAGTAGGTGGCGAGGGCGAGGGAATAACACTTCTTGTCGGTGACGAGGTTGATCAGGGCTCGCGTACGATCTAGATTTTGCTTCTCTTGCGCGCCCATGGTTTTGTCGAGTTCGGTGACTATAGCGTCGATCTGTTGTGGGGTCGAGGGGAGAGGCTTTTCGATCCGGTATATGTTTTGGACTCCGCTGGCTGTGTTGGTGACTGCACCGCGGTCGTTCCACTCGTTAAGCTTGCGTATGATATCTTCCCGTGCAAGACCTGAAGTCTGCTCAATCTGATCGACTGGGACATAAGTCCATGTCGACGCTTTCTTTGAGCCTTTCAGGATTGCGCGCGCGGCGGGGTCGTTGTCGCTGGAGATGAGACCCGCGTCGTGTGTCTTGAACTTGTAATCCGTGTACTTTGAACCGGCTGCTCTGAAAAGGCCAAAATGCAGTTCTAATTGAGCGTACAGTATGCTCAACATCGTTGCTCCAATGTCGACTTCTTTCGATTGATGGTACGTCGAAACAGCGAAAGTATCTCCGACCTTTAATCTTTTGCTGTTCATCACGCAGATGTCATTAAGCAACAACTTTAGAGATCTCACGGACGGCCGATCGCCGTATGTGAAGATGTTCCGGAGATAAAAATCTTTCGTGGAGAGGTTGAACAGACACACGCTCGGGAGACCGTCTCGGCCTGCACGACCAATTTGCTGGCTGTAAGATTCAATGCTATCCGGGATATCGAAGTGGATCACGTTTCGAATGTTTGCCTTGTCGATACCCATGCCGAACGCGATGGTCGCTACCACGATCATCTTGTCGCTGGTAAAGAACTCGTCTTGGGTCTGGGTCTTTACTTCTTGTTTCATGCCTGCGTGGAAGGCTTTGGCTATGAAGCCACGTTTATTCAGATCATCAGCCAGATCTTCCGTACCTTTCTGAAGCGTGACGTATACAATCGTTGGGCCTGGATATTGACGAAGGAACTTCACCAATTTAGTGACATTGTCGCTCTGCTTTGGGTTTGATTGAACCAGAAGCCTCAGGTTCGGTCGATACACGGGTGTGGTTAGCAGACCTTCTTTCGGAATGGAAAACGCATCACAGATGTCTTGGGCAACCTTGGGCGTCGCTGTGGCTGTGAGACACGCGACTCTCTGCACCTCGGCCTCCTTTGCAAAGCGGGCGATCTTGAGATAGTCGGGACGGAATGAGTGGCCCCATTCAGAAATGCAATGTGCCTAGGTATGTCCGTTAGTGGAGCTGGTACTGACTTGAGAGGCAAGACATACTTCATCGACAGCAAGGAGGCGAATGCCACCGGGAACAGCTTTCAACGAGGCGATGAAACCTTCGTTGTTCAAACGCTCAGGCGCACAATAGAGCAAGTCAAGACTACCGTTTCTAAGGTCTTCTTGCGTTGCCAGAAATTGATCTCTGGAGGTTGAAGAGTTGAGAACTGCAGCTTTGATCTTCCTCCGGACAAGCGCATCCACCTGGTCTTTCATCAGAGCGATAAGTGGTGAGACTACCAAAGTAATTCCGCTCATCTCTCGAGTTCGTGAACCGAAGGCCTCGTCTTGGTATCTAAACGCCACTGCCGGAACCTTCATTCATCAGAGCTAGCCGGCAATGACTTAGTAATGCATACCTGGTAGCAAAGACTCTTGCCTCCGCCAGTCGGAAACACAATCGTCGCACTCCCACCATCCATGAGGCGTATGATTGCGGCTTCTTGTTTCAGACGAAAACAACCTAAGCCGAAACGCTCTCTGAGAACTCGATTTGCAAGCATAGCTGAGGCCGAAGGCTCGGATTTTGGGCGTTTAGTAAGTGAAGTCTCGGCGCTGTCGTCGTCGTCGTGTTCTCTTTTCTTCCTGTTCTCGACGGCCTCTGAAGCGGCGAGGAATTCCTCCTCGTCTTCAAAGGACGCAAGAAACTCGTTCTCGTCTTCTGCTGACAGCTGGGGAGGCTGTGACTCGCGCTTTTTGAGATGCATCAACATGTCGTTGAAAAGAGGACCTAGGGTAGCATTTTGGTCGATGGCAGCCCGAACACGGGTGCGCAAGACGCTGTTACCTGCGAAGGCCAGGTCTATCTCTTGGGAATGTGCGCTTGTCATTATTGAAGGCAACTCTCTCGGGAAATTAAGCAAATTAGACGTCGGTGTCGAATTTCATTCTCAGCGGCAAGAAGCGTTTGACCAGAACCGTGAAGCAAGCCAGTGTACAATTGCCAGGCGAGTGGTTCGAAGAGCTGAGAGAGGGAGTCGTGACGCGACGCACTAGCCCGAGCGAGCAAGTTAGGGACGCGAAGTCACGTGTTTCTCGTAGGCGGGCCTGGGCTCGTGGTCTAGTGAACACGATATTAATTTGGATCCGGTAACTTAGAAGTCAGCGTTTGTTGGATTGGATGATAATTTGCGCCTCGTCACATTGCTTCCCGGTTTTACCCCGTCCTTATGGCAAACCTTACATCCAAGACAATACAACAGAGGAAACGGATAGCCGCTATACGCTGACATACACAGAGAATATTATGGTACAATTCAAGATCTTCATATGACGACATCCACTTGTTCTCCAGACACCACTTTCCGACTCATCCTCGTCGACTGTCAATACCTCGAACGTAGGTTCCGATCGTGCAGTAGCCTACTGATCAGGATCACAATGCCGCCCACCAAAAGTGTCGTTCCCTGTGTAGTTAGTATCCCATCCCTCATACACTCAGAATTGCATCAACTCACCGCAAATACTATTAATCCCAGATACCCTTGCGCCTGATCACTTCCAAGTCCGCTCCGGCCTTGTATCAGCGCTCCACCGATGGGACTCCCCACCAACTGCGCCACCGCAGAAACCATGTAGAAAGCACCGATTCTTCCTCCCAGCTTATCTGCGGGCGTGATCTGTGCAACAATGACCGGAAGAACTGCGACGAAAACGCCGCTGCAGAAACCGTACAGCAGAACAAAAATGACGAGCAGAGGAATGGACGAAGTGACGGCCCAGGTACCTAAGCAGAGTAGACCAGAGAGAATAGTCATCGGGTAGACTGCATTGCCAGCACCAGTGGAGTCGGCTGCGAGACCGCCTCTGGCGTCCAAAATCAGTGTGGAAATTGAAAGTGACAAATGTGGAGAATACATACAAGATGCGCCCAATAATGCTAGAGGCATTCATAAGGGGTAAGAGATAGTCTTTAGCGGACGACGTTGGGTTCGTAGCTTGCACATATGTACCTGGAGATATAAGAACTCTATCAGGTTCCAATTGGGATGGGACAGACTGTACTTATGTAGTAGTAAGGTATGAACTGTCCCAGCATAGCTATGAATGCTCCAATGGCTAGGACCGAGTAGCGACTGTCTCGGAAGCCTCGAAGATCGACAAGCCTCTTCCAAGAAATTGATGGCTGCTTGGTCATGTTGGTCGAAGATATCAATATTGCGGCGATATAGCAAAGCCTAATCGCGAATCTCTTGATCAGTCCAGCATGTTTAGGGTGGGAGCTCCTTGACGTACAAAATGATCCCCGATACAACCCTCAAGGACCAGGCATATCCTATGTGCTTTTCATCTGCCAATTTGGAAAGGAGAGCAGGGAAACAGACACCGCCGACGCTGCCTGCGGCAGCAACGATTCCCATTACTAGCGCACGTCGATGCTCGAAATGCTGTCCCACTACCACGAGTGCTGGCTGTGATCCACAAGCGTTTGCGAGACCGAGAAGAACGCCCTGGACGAGGAATATCTGCGAGAGTGAACCGGAGTGGATGAAGGAGAGGCCGAGGAATGCGCCTGAGCAGCTAATGGCAGAGAACATGTACAGTGCCTGCGCTCTGGTCAGTGTGAGCTTGAGCACCGTAGATTGTTGAGATATTGCAATGCTGCGTCTTTCGGTAAAAGAAACGCAAGCTACCCGGTCTGTGGTACAACAAGCGCAGATCTATGTACCTTTAGCCCATAGCAATCAAAGAGAGCTCCGGCGGGTGCGGCAAGAACGTTCGTAAGTGTGATCTGCAGCGTCCCCACAAAGGATATAGTCGAAGCAGGAACACCCTGAAGAAAAGTGTGTTCGTAATAATTCTGGAAGAAACCGAACGAATTCGTGGTGCCCAATGTCGCAAAATAGATCAGAGACGATCCCGCGACAGTTAGCCACGCTTGCTGCCCGCCCTCACGCTGCTCCTCCTCTTTCTCTTCCGGTCCAAACTTCGACCCGGTCTCTAAGCTCTCCCATCCTAGATCTTTATTTGCCGAGTATCTCTTGCCCTTGGTGATAGATTCCGAACTCGAATCCGGCGCAGACATGCTGCCGGTAAACCTGCGCGGCCAGGTCAGAAACGAAGAAAACGAAGCACGCAATGTTCCACAACAGGTCGAGAGGTAAGAGCACGTCCACGCTGCTGTTGTATATACCCCGCCAAGAGGGCGTGAGGAATGCACATGACGTTCCAAGGGTGCATACCGTGGTCCGGGTGCAAACACTGTGAGCACAGTACCAATCGTTGTGAGTTGGAACATGAATCCAGTCGGATCCGTTCCGGCTCGTTGTTGAACGCTTACCTGCTTGCGCTGTTGTGCTCACCGTGCCTATGGTCATGTGCGACCGTACATTCCGCGGCTACATGGTGTTGTGGTGCGACCCAGCGCAACAGCAAATCCATGATAGCAAGGTTGAACGCACAGGTATAATTGACGTAGAAGGTCATAAGGATGGCACCATTCTCTAACCAAAGGTTCCGCTTTAGGTGCGCGCTCTCCGTGGCTCGTCGCATAGAGACGGCTGGAGCGGGCAACAGTGTCGAGAGACAGAGAGAGCCATAGGGGTCTGTGACATGATACCAGGTATTTGGTGCACAGAAATTACGTAACCGGTATATACAGGGCCAGGGCGTCGGCAAGCCATGTATGAACTGCTGGTGCGAAGTGACTTGGGCATAGCACGAATTCAGAGATGCTCTAGGTGAAGACGAGCTATCGATGATATGACCTACAACAGTAAACCAGAGACATATTTCAAACACATACTAATCATCAAATGCGTGATACCTGACAGGGCATTTTTGTTCTGGCTGGAGCCCTCCTAGACCTTGAAAGTAATCCGATACCCTTTCTTGTTCTTCATTGAGAAGCTGGCGTCTGGCTTCCACTCCGGCGTCCGGCTCTCCAGGCTTTCAAACCTCTTCACCAGCCTAGCAAGCAGATACGCTGCCTCGGCTAATGCCTTATCCTTTCCCAGACATGACCTAGGTCCAGCTCCAAAAGCTAAAAACTCCTTGCTACCTGGCTTGAACTTGTTCCACCTGCTGGGCTTCCACTCATCTGCATCAGGCCCATAGATTTCTTTTGAGACGTGCACGCCCCACGAGTTCGAAATTGCAAACGTTCCAGCGGGCACAGGGAGTGGCTGGTCATGATTGGGACCGCCGCCAGAGGGGAGCACCGTGTCACGCACGGCAAACCTTCCGGTTTGTGGAAAGACGGGACGGAGGCGTAGCGTTTCGAAAAGTATGTTTTGAATGGTTGTATTCGAGCGGAGCCCTTCCCATGTGAGTAACTCAGGGCCTGCAGATGAAACTTCTTTGCGAAGCTGGGCCCAGACATTGGGATGAGACGACAGGATGTGGATAACGTTGCACGTCAGGACCCCCGTCGTATCCTGTGATGCTAGCATAGTCTGCGCGAGCTGGCTACGGGCATCGGCCCGGTCTTTTGCTTGGGGTGTCACAATCTCGGCCATGGTCTTGGTCTTCTTTGTTGAGTCCAAGCCTTTTTTCTCGCGTTCATCGATGGCAAAGTCGATGAAACCATGGATCCGGTTGCACACATCTTGATACCGTGCTTTGGGAAGGAAAGTTCTGGAAAATCCTTCTCCGAGTAGCAGTCGAATGCCCATGCCAAGCAGTCCCTCTTGCCAAAGCTTGTTGAACGTCTGCACATCCATGGGCCTGCCGTCGTTCGACCCAGTTGAGTCTAGTCCTAGAATAAACTGCATAGAGGAGTGCATCAGCTGCCTTTGAGTCAGCTCTCCTTATCTTGTGACCCCATGAGCTTGCTAGCACTTACAGCATTATACATCAATGAGCCCATCTCCACCTTGCCATCCGAAGTTTGGATATCCGCAATGATCTTATCTGCGACTCCTTCCAGCACGTCGAAATTGTCAATATTCGGTCGATTGAACGCCGGCCTTATCATCTTCCTGCTCCTCTTCCATTCGGAACCGTCCGTGCAAATGAAACCACTCCCAAGCATCTGCCCCATGCCTGCTTTGCGGAACTCAACACCCCAATCCTGTCCTACTAGGATAGTGTATGCGTTTTCCGGATGGCATGTTATGATGGTGGCCATTGGATCAGTCAGTTTAGACAGTCGATAAGTATGGCCATATTTTCTAAAAAGTGTGAGTTGCATATTTGCATTCAGAGCTGTCGAAAAAATCCAATCAAAATTCATGAATGGGTCGATAGTCCAGTACTTTGGCGGCAAGTTCCGTGCACGGATACGCCGTTTGATGAAGAGGTAAAGCCCATGGCAGGCGAGCAGCGTACCGACAAGGATGTAGATTGACTGCATGTCGAAATCCACGGTGCTGAAAAGTCGTGGAGGAAGGCAGAGAGCGCGCCGAAAGCTAGTTTTCATGACAGCTCTGTCCTGTTACGGGGCGCAAGGCGTCGTAAGCAAATAGTGCCTTCGCGCGGCTCCTTCGGGAAACAGGACTCAGGTCAAAGTCCTAAAAGTGCTGTACACTAAATGCTTTTCAGGTCAATCGACGCTAAGGTCAGGTCAGCTTAACGTTCTTACTGGGAAAGGGAAAAGGTTCGCTGCTAGTCAATTGTAGGAAAGTGCGCCCGGGCGGTTCGCACGAGTGCGGGTTGACGATTGAGCTGTCAGCGTATTGCAGCCACCATTCCAGCACCATCAATCTGGGTAAACCGGCTACCAGTTTGTACAAGCACGATGCAGGAGCTGCAGGAATTCTGGTGTCTTGAATATAGAGGAATTCGAGAACGACTGTTGCCGCTAACCACGAAGCCGCATAAAAGCTGTGCAGATAAGATGACTGTTATCACAGCCTGCGTGGCATTATCGTGGTATTGGACAACGTGATCGAGAGTGGTATTACAAGGCTATCGAGACGAGAGCAACACTATGTACAGCTCCGATACAAACATTAGCTTCGGCTAGCGATAAAAGTACAACAGCACAAGCCTGTTAGCATTACAACTCTGGTCTCGGAGAGTCCCCAACACCGCTCTCAGCTTTCCGCAGCTCCTTCTGCCCAGTAACAGGTCGTCCTTCCACCGCCTTCGGACCACCAACCAGCTTGAAAGCATGGTAGAAGATCTGCTCCGTCAAATGCTCGATCGGCTCGTCGAACATATACGGCAGGGCGGGAACGGCGGCAATACCAAGCTGTTGTCGCATTAGCAACTCGCCCATCTCAAGACATGGCAAAATAGTGCTTACCCCAATAGGACCCCACGTCCTTAACCTGACGTTCTTCACATTCTTCATCGCTCTACCAGAGTATCGCACGATGCTATGAATCGTAAGGGCGGGCAGTCCCATACTAGCCACGCTCTGGAACACTGCTCTCTGCGCGGCGACAGCCCTCCAGTCCTCGATAGCAGGAATGCTACCAGGCACAACTTCGCCTCCGGTCAAGCTGCTTCCCTCGCCACTCGAGCCGCCGGCCTTCACCCTGGCAGTGTCCGTCATGGTGTCCTTGAGGCTCTTGGCCTTTTTCACAATGTTCTTTCCATGGACAGTCTCGGCGGCTGTTTCCGGGTTCAGTATGCGCTGATTCCGCATGTACGCTTTGTAGCCTTCGTTCGCGACGTCACCGGCGATGTATAGCCATGAGATACCGTAGGCGCTGCGGACGAGGTAGGGGTGGGCGACGGGGCGGAAGCTCTCTCCGATGTCTGCAGGCTCGCGGGTCAGTCCATGTACGCCAAAATCCATGGCGAAGTGTATAGCCCAGCGTGACATACCTGAGGTGTAGGCAACGTATCGATGCGCGCTCATCATAATAGTCCTCACGCGACTGGCATATGCAGCGTACCGGACGTTGGTGTCGGTCGAGTCTTCTGCCCGTCCATCGGTCAGAACCTCCCACATCTTCTCGTCAGAGTCTAGTGTAGCCTGCAGTCCCTTGGGGAGCTTCTTGCGCGGCGGTGGAATCGAGAAATCAGGGCGTGCGTCCTGGCGTTCCCGCGCGACGCCGTCCACCTCGTCTGGCTTCTTGTCGCCGTTCGCCATGGCGTCTCTATCTCTGGAGCGCAACGTGGATGTCGATGAAGAGTACCTGCTGAGTGATGCCTTGTACGTTGCGAGCCGAAAGATGCAATCAAGGTGAGCTACCTAACAAGCATCCCCAACAAGGCCAAGCTCGAGTCTCCTCGGCTGATAGCCAGGTAGCGAGTACGTCACATCACCAAGCGCGATCATGCACGTGTGGCGCTCCTGCGCAGCAGATGTGGCTCGTGAGGGTGCTTACTCATCGTGTCGTCCTTGCTCCTCCGAAAAGCTTCCCCGAGCAGACGACCCAAGGCCGCACTCCCACCATCCATTGAGCCCTCATCTGCCCCTCCCCGGCCGACTACACACCCAATACCGCCATCATGGTTGCTATGTACACCATCGCCGGCCGCCAGGTCGGATCGCACGTCGTACGTTGCCCCCATCCGCCTGTTGCCAAATCTTCGACACAGTTACTCTTCGCGCCATCGGAGCTCCATGCCCGCCTTCTGAGCTTCACGGCTGCCTTTGCAGATTGCGAGAGAACGCGAAGGGACGGAGATGGCGGTGATGGATGGGCGCTGACAAGTGGAATCACAGCTCGCCATGGCGACCCTCGGCACGACGTTCCTCGGCGCCTACCTCTCCATGGGTGGCAGCAAGAAGACCGAGCAGACGACCCCTCCCATCAACGCGAAGAGCAAGGAGGAGGAGAGCTTCGTAAAGTACGGACACCCGCATTCCCGTGGTTTGCCATAACCGGGACGCGCGCAGTAGGGAGACTGAGGCTAACGACCGCATAGAGACTTCGTAAAGAAGGCTGAAGAGAAGGTTACCGGTACGAAGCATTGAGCCATGGATATCTCAAGAGAATTGGAGTCAACCTGCGCTTGAACAGACAAGCAGGAGAGACGTGCGATGGAAGGTCGCAGCATACTGCTCGAATAGACGGAAGTGCGATAGGGCATGTAAAACTGTAAATACAGTCCAATTGTACCAACACGCTCCACACGACACCCTTCGCGCGCACTTGATGATCCTCTTCCGAGATTTGCTTTGCGCAAGCCATGCAGCCACACGATGCTCGATGCCCTCCGAGCATTGCCCGAACTGACCATTGTATATAAATCCGCTGTAAACACACAGAGTTGACCGGCGTGTACACGTGATTGACCATTGCAAAAGCATGCGAAGAGTTCACGGTTGGCATAAGATTGAGCGAGTTTCCGACCTGCAGCGCTTCGAATAAGACGTTTCGTACCTGTTCAAACTACAACATTCATGACAAACCCTACCCAGGCAAAACAATAAAAGAAGCGGTATCTAGCGGCCCCGGGCACCTGAACGCCTTGCCACGGACAACCCGTCATAACGCAAACCAGTCACAGACCAAACCCGACCCATAAGAGTATATGCAGTAGCGGCATGTATCGTGAAAAGAGGGGTCAAAGCAAAGAAAGTTCCTAATCGTCCTCCAAAATGAACCTCTTCGACATGGAATCTACGACCTTTGTGTAGAACTTTGGTGCTTGTGCGCGGGGAAAACTGATTTCCTCCGTGAGGTAGTCTGGTAGTAGGTCGATGAGTTCTCTGTCGCGCTGCTCGTTCAACAGGGGTTGGTAGACAAATTCATGTTCTTGGTACGAATCGCCATCGGTCATGACGGTTAATTGAAAATGGAGTGCTACGCAAAGTCAGCAGGAATCCTAGACTCGATGTAGTGGGCGACTTACTTCCATTGCGACCGGTCTGTATGCAATCGTATACGTCGTCGCCTTCCTCGTTCTTCTTCACGCCCATGACTAAGAGGTTGGTTAGGTCGCTGTAGAGTTCCACTTTCTGATCTTGGAATTGTGCTTTCTTGGCGGCTTCCATTTGACCTGGAAGCACAACGCCTGTTGAACGTGCCTTGACAGCACTGCCAGGCACGTTCTTGGCCTCAGGTTGTACTGTAGACCGTGCGGCTGCAAGCTTCGTCGACAGCGTCTCCTTCTCCTTATGTGCTGCAGCAAGGGACTCGCTCGTCTTGAGGTTTTCTGCCGCAAGGCGAGCGTTCTCTTTCTCAGCCTTCGCGAGGTCTTTCCTCAAAGCGGTAATCTCGGCGGTCCGTGACTGCATTTCGGTGATCTGTTGTTTGAGCGCCTTGATTACGGCATCTTGACCTATAAAAGCTTAGCAGCATCCTATAAGATAGCATTCTTACGCACCTTTGATTGTCTGCTCCGTCTTCCTCTTGAGCGTGTCGAAGTTGGACTCTTTCCCTGACGTAGCTGCCTCCTTAAGGTTCTCATACCTGACCGTCATAGCCTCAAGCTTCTTGGAGAGATCGCCAACCTTGCGCCTCAATATTGGGTCGCGCTCTGTGTCCGACACGCTTCCTGCTCGTCTGAGGCTAGCCGATGTTTGTCGTGCTGTGCTCGAGGTTTGCTGGGCGCGTCGCGATGCGGGCTTCTGCGGTTCCGGTATGCTTTCTGGCACCTCTTCGACTTCGTCTTCGATTTCCATTGACGGCTCAATGTCCATTGGCTCGAGTTCAGGTTCTGGCTGCGTCTCTGGGATGATCGCATTGATTTCAGCTTGCACGGCGCGCTTTGTGGCTCGAGGCTTTGTCGCTGTCTTTGTCTTTGTCTGCTTTTTCGCTGCGGGTTCCTTCTCTGCGGCTTTTCGGCCCCTTTTCTTCGGCGCTGGTTCTTCCACAGTTGTGTCGTCAGCGGTCGCTTTTGCTTTCGCGGGTGGCCGTCCCCTCCTAGCGGTCTTGGGCTCTACCGGCGCGACAAGGTCCTCTTCGGTATCGAACTCGTCTACCTCTTCTGTCTCGTCGCCGGTCTCGTGTTGTAGCTCAGCGATGGCCCTGCGACCGCCGCGCGCACTCGTCTTCTTCATAACGGCTGCACCTTGCTTCTTTGCGGTGAGGACGGTATCTCCACTTACGCGACGCGTTGCCGTCTTTGATTTTGACGCAGCCTTGGTCGCAACTGTGGAAATTGCCATTTGCGCGGCTTTTCCACGCGGTTTGCGTCCGGGCGCCTTGTTCTCAGTATTCGAGTCGGGGGTTGGTAAGGCGTTCAATTCGTCCATCGATTCGTCTTCGGATGCGGAATCAACGGTGAAAGACAGGTTCGTTACAGCGGCGCGCGGTGCCATGTTGCTTCAAAGTTCGTTATGTACGGGATGGGTGTGGCTTCGCTGCTGGCTCGGTGGGGTGTGTTGATAAACAGACCAAAACACCAAAACGGCAACTGCGTCCGTGCACCACCACGCACTTCCGCTGCACATCATTGCAAAGAAGTCCCATGTGGAAGGAAAGTCAGTTGTCATTACTCTCGTAAATGGGCGCGGAAGTCCGCCCTACCTTTTACAGGCACTTTCGTCTGCATATCATGCGCCAGATATCAGACTCGGGAATATCCAGTCATTCATCATTATATGTCTATTGTACAATGCCCAGTTGTTACATGCTTAGTGTGCCATGTTTTCGAACAGGGGCTGCATCCTTTCCTCCCACGCGTTCACAATCTTATTCCCTGGTCCAGCCGCAATCCTCGTCTCGCCCTTCATCCACATCTGCATCAGCTCATCTACGAACTCATCTGTCGTCATTGTCTGAGGCGCATTCTCCTTATTATCGTCCGGATTCTCCCTCTCACGGCGAAGATCCGTAGCGACCATAGGTGGCGCGTCTCCACTACGTTGACACTTGACCCTTCCAACTGTTCTCGCAAGCTCATGCTCCAGAAATGCACCCAAGATTTTGTCGCGCAATATATTGGGCTGATGAGAGAAAGCCACGAATCCAAGGACTTATGAAACGTTGACAACGAGCGCATTGGGTTTGATTTGAAGTGCCTGAGCAATTCCTCGATCAGGTGTATCGGCCCTCGCATATTGATGTCAATCTCCTAATCTGCTTTTTGAAAAAACTCGCTTGGATCGTGTTTGTTGACGTCAATTAGCCGCTGCACTCCAGCATTGTTAATCAAGCAGTCGACGTCAGGGTGCTCAGAGGTGAGCTTCTCAACAAGTTTGCGAATCTGTTGTATGTCTCCGGTATCTAGCACGTAGTATGCGGCGGCTCCGATCTCTTTGGCAGACTCTCCTAGTGCTGACTCTGTTCGTCCCACGATGATGACTGTCTTTCCGTTCTTGATAAGTTGTTGCGACAACGCTTTTCCAATACCTCCGCCTCCTCCAGTGACAACTGCTGTCTTGAATTCGTATGTTTTGGTCGACATGATTTGAGTTTTATGCTAGATAACCTAGATATATCTATGATTCTTACCTAAATGCAAGTCCAGAAGATCTCTTTATACTGAAGGGTCCACCTTTGGGTCGCGCTCCGCGAGTGTCCGGCAATGATGTTGAGAGCAGTCTCAACACCATCAGATCGTCGAGCCTGTATCTCATCTGAAAGCACGATTCTCAACTTTTCGCTCTAGGTTTGCCGATGTCTTCGAAATTTGAGTCTGGCCCGAATCATGACGACATTCTGAACAGCCACGCATCGCCTGTTGGGAGGGCAGGCAAAACCTACCATGTAGGTAAAGAGCCTGGTGATCCATGATAGTATTGTTGACCTCCGGAATAAGGCAGACCGCTTATACTTGGGAACTGTTGGCAATGATCATGATTTCTCATAGCGTATGTGAGTGTCACTAGATCGGGAGCGGGGTCCGTCCCAGTGATCGCCCCGCATCGGAGCCCTGGAGCTAATTTGCTACCCCACGACGGATTACGAATTACTGACTGTTCACCTGCGCTACCTTCTGTTACACCTCTCCAATTGCTCCAAGCGGCTTCGAAAAAGAGTAGCGCGTACCCCATGCGGGTCATCCGAGGCTCGGCTTCTGATGTGGGGTTCACAGCGTGCAACAGTGCCCGCCCATGCATCTTAGAGCCTGCAGACTACCTGGCCGATTTCCACTGCCGTGGAATGAAGCCTGCATTTCTGAGGTGAATAAAACCGGAGTTCTGCCACTGCGTGTCGTTCACGCTTACCGCCGTTCTTTTGCACTTTCGTAAGACTTGTTTCCAACTACGACAACACGAGTGCGCGTAGCTTACGAACGAGTGACGGCTTGTAACTTCTTCGTCGTCTCCTTCGTAGGATCTGATCATTCAAGAGCAGCTACTTGAGTTGTTTCACAATCACAAGAGTCTCATCCGAGCCACAATTGGGCAGCAGAACATCCATTAACAATCATGACGGTGAAAGAGCTTCCTGAGTCGCGATGCGACGTGTAAGTGACCATTAATTAAGGACAACCTGCCTGCTAATTTTGCGCACAGCTTGATTGTCGGCGCTGGCCCTGCTGGGTGAGATCACACGGTACAACATGCCGCTTGGTTCATCGCTAATCTACCAAAGTATGATGCTGGCTACGTGGATGGCACGATGCGGCATAAACGCCCGGATAGTCGACAAGCGCAGCACGAAAATATTCAACGGTCAGGCTGACGGGCTGCAGAGCCGCAGTCTTGAAATCTTCGACAGCTTCGGATTCGCAGATCGTGCCTTGAAAGAGGCGAACCATATGCTGGAGGTAAGTACTCATCACCGATCGACTACGTAGTCGACCTCAGAAGGCATTGTTACTGACAAATTTGGCTGTAGATGTGTATGTGGGTACGTATGAAAGGCTCTGACCGCCTCTATTGCTTACATCTGGCCAGAATCCCGGGGAGGATGGCACTCTCCGGAGGTCTGACCGCGTACCTGATGCCATAGTTGGGCTTTCGCGTTTCACTCAGATTGTCCTGCATCAAGGGCGCATCGAGAGATTTTTCTTAGACAATATCAAGAAGCACTCGAAGGATTCGCTTCGTATTGAGCGCGCTGTGCTTCCTGAATCTCTGTCGATTTCGGAAGACCTATGCGACGACCACTCCCCAGAAACGTATCCGCTCAAGGTGCAGCTGAGGCATCTGACAGAGGAAGAGGCTACTCCGGCCCAAAGCAATGGGGAAACCATCCAAGATGGTTTGTTCAGGAGTAACTTGGCCGAAGACGATACAGATGATCTCATTGCTCACAGCAGGGCCAATGCCGGGAGCACGGAGGTAGTAAAAGCGAAATACATGGTAGGATGTGATGGCGCACACAGTTGGACTAGAAGGCAACTTGGCTTTGAACTAGAAGGCGAGCCCACGGATTTCATCTGGGGAGTTTTGGGTACGCTATGCATTGCTTCCAAGAAGCCAGATATTGACTACGGCCAGATATCATTCCCATCACAGATTTTCCAGATATCCGTGAGCGCTGCGCTGTCCACAGTGCCTCATCCGGTTCTATGATGGTCATCCCTCGCGAGAATAAGCTTGTTCGATTGTACATTCAACTCACGGAGATCAAGCCCGACGCAAGTGGACGCGCGGATCGCTCTCAGATCACGCCGGATACCATCATCAAGGCTGCTCAGAAAATTATAGCGCCATACCAACTCACGTACAAGTACTGTGACTGGTGGACGGCGTACCAGATAGGGCAACGGGTTGGTACCAACTTCGACTACAAAAACAGAGTCTTCTTGGCGGGTGACGCTGTGCACACTCACTCTCCGAAAGCCGGTCAAGGCATGAACGTTTCGATGCAGGATGCCTACAACCTCGGTTGGAAGCTTGCTCTAGTCGTGAAGGGCGTAGCGCAGCCATCAATTCTGAGCACATACCAGTCGGAGCGTAGACGAATCGCCCAAGATCTAATCAACTTTGATCACAAGTTCTCCCGCTTGTTTTCCGGCCGCCCGGCAAAGGATATCCTGGATGAGTCAGGTGTCAGCATGACTGAGTTCAAGGATGCTTTCGTGAAGGGAAACATGTTTGCGTCTGGGCTTTCGGTAGACTACGGTTCTAGCATGCTCGTAGCCAAGGGTGGCGATGCAGCTGAACAGGGTGACGGCACAGACGTCTCTTCGTCCAAAACGCAAATCGCTGGAAATCAAGAATTGGCGAAGAATATCAAGCTAGGAATGCGTTTCCCGAGCTACAAAGTTCTTAATCAAAGCGACGCTCGACCATGGTATGTGGGCTATATAACAAACCTTTACTAGAAAGGTCACAGCTAACGCAGTCCAACCCCAGGCACTTCCAGGAGTGGTTCAAATCCGATGGCCGCTTCCGCCTCGTCGTCTTTGCTGGCAATGTTCTCTCAACAGCACAAAAAGATCGCCTGGATGCTTTCTGCGGGAAACTGACCGCATCAGCGTTCCTTGCGCCTCACATCCACAAGGACATTGATGTCCTGACATGCCATTCGGCCAAGCGAATCGAGACAGAACTCCTTCGTGATTTCCCGGAGGTTTTGCATCCGTTCGATGACAAGACGGGCTGGGACTATAACAGCGTGTTTGTGGACGATTTAAGCTACCACGAAGGACATGGCGAAGCCTACAAAAATTATGGCGTGGACCAAGAGCGCGGCTGCGTCGTTATTACGAGACCAGATCAATATGTTGGATTCATTGGAGAGCTGGACGGCGAGGGTGTGAAGGGTGTGGAGACATACTTCCAAGGCGTTTTCGTTTCTTAGGCGAGAATTTTCACGGACCACTCCCATCGTATGGTGTTCGCTCACATGACGAAGCCATTCACTATGAGGTTGGGGCCGGGATCTTGGCTTACGTGGCTCGGTTCAACGAGGGATGTGGGTCGCCCAACGACCTAATTCCAATTTTCGCCCAACCACGTCTTCTCCTGAAATTGTCATGTCTCGGCTGCTCCGCGGAGTCTGTTAAAGTTGCATCTTACGCACGCTTGAGCCTGCCAAATGCGTATTCTGTAATTCGAGACCCAGCGCCTGGAACGCACAAAAGTGATGCAAACCTCAACCAATCAGGTCGGCCGCACCGAGATGAGACCCGCATCCGTCAAATGGCAGTGATGTAACCAACATCGGGAGTGCATGTTACCTCCGTGCATCAGCTCCTTGAGGCTGCACGCTAATGCCCGTTGCCAAGTGGCGTCTAGATGTCAGGAAAGACCCGTCGAAGTAGAGAGAGGCTGTTGCCATTCTCCATTTATACCGCGTCTATTCTTTCCGGCTTGCCTGCTGCCGCGCCCACTTCCCAAGCACATGTCGTGTGGCATTCTGGATGCTTGCCGAGCCGCCCCATAACGCATGGAACGGGATTTATACTGTTCGAAGCGCGTTCCGATTGAATGAAATTTCCCGTTCTTGGACATCATGACCTCTGCGCCTTCGCCGCACGACCGGATGCTCGATTTAGATGCACTGGAGTCGGAATCCCAACCAACATTCGTTATTAAGACGTCAGACCAGGCAATCCCGTTTGAACTTCTCTTCTGCAATGACGCGTTCCGTCGAGCATCACTGCAGAACACTATCTTAGGTTCCTTCAAGGAGGCAACTCTGTTCCGTGCTTGGGCTTTAGCAATTCGGCTCTGGGAACCCCAGCATGCATTTGCTAATCGCACTTGGACCGCAACCAAAGCCGGCGCAAAGAAGAATTGGAAGATTGTGAGAGCGGTCGAAAAGCCTCATTCTGATCAGAATCGTATGACTGATGCGGATAACCCTGTTGCGGATATCCGAGCAGACAAGGTCACCCCCCACAGAAGCCGAAAGGATTTTCCGGTGTGGACGCTTAACAAGAGGCCACGGATTCCTCTGCGAGGTTTCCCCACATCCAACGTTGTTGCCCGTTGGGAGTCGATGCAGACCATGATGGAGATGACTGACGTTGGTGTGTTCGAATACTTGCCAAATGGGAAGCTCATACATGCAAATGACGCATGGTATCGACTTAGTAACCACCCCAGAGACTTACCAGACCATGTGGAATTTTCCTTCATGGACTTGGCTCATCCAGATGATCAAGCACTCATTATGTCTGCGTGGAACACCTTAGTCCAGGGCAATTGTGTCACATTTGAAATGAGATGGAAAGCTAAGCCTGGTTCTGAAGATGACGCGCAATGGGTTCTTTCAGCATGTGTGCCGGTGTTTAATGAGGATCAGGACCTTGTGAGCATAGCGGGCAACACCATTGACATAAATGGGCAGAAGAAACTGCAAGAAGTCCAACGCCGTCAAATCGACGAAGCTTTGGAAGCCAAACGACAGCAGGAAAACTTCATCGACATGACAAGCCACGAGCTCCGAAATCCACTCTCTGCCGTTGTACAATGTGCGGACTCCGTCATCTCCACGTTGCAGCACATAATACCAAAAGAACTTGACTCGATAGACTCCAAAACACAAATTCAGAGAGTGGAACAGGAAATCGCTACCTGCATCGATAATCTTCAGACAATTGTTTCCTGCAGCCTGCATCAGAAGCGGGTTATTGATGACGTTCTCACACTCTCCAAGCTTGACTCGAACCTCTTACGAATCAGTCCCATGCTGGTCCAACCTTCTTCCGTAGTGTCTGGGGCAATGAAAATGTTCGAAGTCGAGTGTTCGCAAATGCAGATCAGCCTTGAATTCGAGGAAGACGAGAGCTTGAATTGTTTCGAGTGGGTGATGCTGGACCCATCGAGAATGCTCCAGGTTTTAATAAATCTTCTCACCAACGCGATCAAGTTCTCGAAAGACCGTCTGCTTCGTAATATCAAAGTCACATTGGGAGGATCATGGACGCAGACTTTCATCGAAGACGGCAGTATCACTTTTGCGAAGGACATTCAGCCCCAATACAATATCTGCGACAAGGAAGAATGGGGGAAGGGGCGCAAAGGCTTTATATGGATCCGAGTTGACGATACTGGTTGTGGAATGACCGATGACGAGCAAGCAAAGCTTTTCTCCCGGTTTACGCAGGCAACCCCTCGAACGCATGTCAAATATGGCGGCTCCGGCCTTGGTCTTTTCATATCAAAATCGCTCACAGCGCTTCAGGGAGGTTCGGTAGGGGTCAAGTCCACAGCTGATGTCGGTTCTACTTTCCTGTTCTACGTCAGCACGCGAGTTCCAGAGTCTCCCAACCATACCCAACACCACAAGCTTCAACAACCGACGCTTCCACATGCGCTATCTGCGGAAGAAGGCATGAAGAATGCAAAGTTAAACATCCTCATGGTCGAAGACAACCTCGTCAACCAAAGGGTTCTAAGTAAACAACTACAAAAAGCGGGCTGCATTGTCTACGTTGCCGGAAATGGAGTCGAGGCCCTCGAATTACTCAAAAAGAGTGTCCACTGGCAGGGTGAAAAGAATCAAGATGGCAATGGAACGACCCCAGTATGGGATATCGATATTGTTCTGATGGATATCGAAATGCCTGTCATGGACGGGTTGACTTGTGCTAGCGAAATCCGGCGCCTAGAGTCAGAAGGCATGCTTGCAATCTCTTCTGCCAGCTGCCCGCTAACGACCCAATCGACATCTTGTTTAGCGTCGCGCCTCACTTCCTTTCATGACTTGACCAGCAATGTGCGATCAGATGTTTATCAATATCGAAGACATCTACCGATCCTAGCAGTCAGCGCCAATGCCAGGGGTGAACAAGTGGCGCAAGCACTAGCTGCGGGAATGGTAGGAGTATACCGACTAAATATGAGAAGTCAAATCGCTAACACGTGTATGCTTTCGAAAGGACGATGCGATTAGTAAACCATTCAGAATTCCCGAATTATGGCCTAAGATGCGCGGATTGGTGCCACGCTGCGCGTAAAGGATGAGTTGTGACACCTTCTCGTCTGGAAAAAGCAGATGTTTCCGTAGTAGGCGTGGTGTGGTCACTTCATGATCCATCAGTCTTGGAATGGCATTCTTGGAAAGAATTTCGAACGCGGAGCTGAGCGCGTGTCACACGTTATGGTATTCCAACTCTTAACAATTTTCGACACATATGACAGGATTTGGACATAGTGAATGCGGAGTTTCTTTTGGTTGAAAATCCGATAGACTGGCTATAGATAGAGAAGCGCACCGGGCAGATCTTCCGAAACACGCTGCGTAGTTTTGTATTCGTTTCCCATCACGGTAGATTTCACATCACACACACCATACACCCTAAGCTTCGCATCAACGACGCCATTCTTCTCCCTGACTTGCATCTTACACGTTCAGCGAATGCATTGCTCTACCCATATGATCGCGAATCCACTTTTCCAGCACCGCGTCGTCATTGGACACGATGTCCTGAACGTCAGCCGGGAGCGCTTCGGTGAGGTCGACGCAAGCGGCAGGTGGGTCGGAAGCGAATGGTGGATGTGAGGCAGTATATCCACGATCAGAGCGCATCCGCCGGATCATCTCGCAGTGTTTGTTATATGCGACGCCATGTTTCGTGACGTCAAGATGGCCCTTTCCCCCGCCAAAGAAGCCAGTGTCAAAGTCTGCAGGATCATCGAGTGAGGGGCCAGTGATATGGATCGAGCCTCGAGAGAACGGATAGACTGTAAAGGCTGTGGTTCCGACGCTGGGGTCGCCATTTGCATTTGCCATATCAGGATTCCTTTTCGGTGGTAGTGGCGTTCGCGCTGTGCCAGAGTGGAAAGTGGAAAGTAGTTCTAACCCAGCGATCAAATTCAGCACGACCAGAGACTTCGCAGATCAACTTTTGAACTCCGAGTCCCATGCTTCTCTAAATTCTAGTCCCGGAGAATCGACTTCTGTCGTTTGGCCGGATTTGGCACTGTACTTCCTGAGCACTCCTGGGAGTTATCAAGTCCATGTAGCTCTATCAAGTGGAGAATCTGTTATGGCTGGGTGCTCGGGCCAGGCGTTGGGGTTTTGCAATCGCAGTTTGCTTCCTGAAAAAGCCATGACAAAACCCCTGCCTTCGACTCTGCAATTACGTAACATCCTAGGATCCTATGATTCTGCTTATTGAAATCTTCCATGCCCCCCATGCGTCCATACAGAGAGCATCGCCTGTCTCATCGGCACTAAAGGTACTCTTGTACCCATATGACATGAGGTGATGGTCTTCATACTCGTTACCGACGCCCGGAAGATCGGAAATGACAGGCACGCCTGCATGCTTAAGCACATGCGACTCTTCGATGCCCGAACGCTCCAACACCAAGGGTTTTGCGCAGGTACCGCTTCATATCACCACCATCTTGCGGGCCCTGATGCTACGGAGGGGCTTTGTGGCTTCCTTTTTAAACAGCAGAGTGCGCCTCACTTCAATGCCGATAAGCTCTCCTGTCTTCGTTATCAAAGAGAACGCGCGCGACCTGCGACCAACCAAGATGTCCAGATTAGGATGCCTTCCAACGCGAACCCGTGGGTGAATATAGTATGATCCGGCGTCTTGAAGCTTTCGGTCCTACGAGATGAACCGATGAATGCGCCACATGGCGTTGATAGGAATATTGGTTTGCTGCACAATGTAGAAGGCTGAGAGCCAGCTTTACATTGTTGTGGTCCATCGACGTCTCCTCTTCGTCTCGCAACAGTGCACTTGGCTTCTATGGTTTTATGACTGACCTTTTGCACCACCCTGCGCACGCCTGAACTCTACTTCCCTTTTTTTATACACCTTTTCTTTTTTTTTTTTCTTAGCTCTATCAACTCAACGTACTACCGTATTACCGGGGCAGGCTATCATTGCTAACTTTTTAACAGCAGCACACTCCTCGACCCTTAGCTGTTACGAGCAGGCGGGTTCTGTACAAAACGGGAAGAAATCCGTAAACTACCTGCTCACACAAAAAGATAGCGCCATGCCGGTGGCTACCCGAACAGGAAAGAAGAAGGAGACGCGCGATGAAAGCGTTGACGAGCATTCCAGTAAGCGACGAGATGCTGGCAAAGCAATCATTCTTCCAACCGGACGACCATTCGCAACTTCCGCCCACGATATCTTTGCAGGTGGGCATACCCAAGCTATAGAGCTTTGCGACGAGCTGCTCGGTACAAACATCTTCGTCCAGGCGCTCCGCGAAGAATGACACCCCACCTTCCAACCGACCAGTCGGCCTCCGAGCTAAGGGAAATAAAGGGGATGACCGTAGACTCTGCAGCCGAAGCGAGACTTTAAGCCCCTGATTATCAAGACTTCCTCAGGGGCAGTCAGCCAGCACATGAAGTTAAATTAGCCATCGAGATTTATTCAATCGTCGAACTCAGTAAGTAGAACTACTCCTCAAACGAATTTACATAGGCTTCTACGAAGCTGTGCACTCTAACCCTGAAGCTCGTGACTCATTTGCTAATTGAATGCAAGCTTAGTTCCCGGTGGGCGGACGTGCTCTTCGTAACGGGAAACAAGAAGGACATGGAGACGAAGAAGCAAGTGCTGGCCTCTAGCGCTAGCGAACTCGACGAAGACGACCGCCACAATGCCGTGCAAGACCGGCTGGAGAAACGCACATTTTTTTTCGCTGGTACATCCGGACCCACTGTAAAGCAGATGCCGATGGCGAAATCAACGCTTGGTATGCTTTGAGAGCAATCTGCCGTGAGGCCCCTGGCATCGAGAAGTCCGAGAAGAAGATCATCTCTGAACAGGCTTCCAAATTGGCTTACTCAATCCGGTAATCGGGATCGGGACTGACGCTGCATATCGAGCTGTCGGTAAGTATGGGTCATCCGCTGCTGGTGCCGCTCGTGACATGCGCTTCCAGCTGCGTTTAACGTTCAATCTCTTTCGTAAACTCCCCCACACGTTATAATGGTCCAAAAGAAGAGATGAAAGCTTCGCTTCCTTCATCAAGGCCACTGCCCCAGAGCGAGGAAAGGCCACGGAGGAAGAATGCGAGCCGTATAATTACCCGAACGACCCTGTTCCGGAGATTGGTTTGAGCTGAGAGAATTGACTCTTAGCGTGCCACATACGCCCAGCATCGCGAGAGCTAAACGACATGGGGATAATAGCGCTGAGATCCTGGGACTTCGTCTACACTATGCTCCGCGTAGGTCATCTCGTGCTCATGGACAATGTCAAATTATGGTTCCAGAAGAGCACATAAGTCAGCTTCGTAGCGAACAATCCTCGTGCTACAATAGCTAAAAGGTATCGACGTGAGCAATCCAGTACCTTCATCGCTGAGCGCTTTGGGGCGAAGCCGTGGCCGCGCGCCTTCCACGCTCTTAACAAGCACGGGCGAAGGGTGAGATTCTTCGACACTACCGAGAAAGCGTTCATACCCAAGAAGGGCAGCGCGAAGTACCGTGAGCTTGAGGAACTATTGGAGAGGCTCATCAATGTTGCAGATCCTCGAGGCAACCTATATATACCCACTTGGTTCGCAGAAGTCAGGAACAAAGACGTCAGATGTGCCCGAGGAAAGGGTATTCAAACATCACGGACAATACCAGCACACGGTGTATGATCATACTGGGTCAGATACAAGTGGATAAGGCTGTCCTTTTGATTGGCCACCTCTTGCTAACTCCAGAATATAACCTCACCTTAGCAAATGTGGACTGCGCTTGCATTGGATGCACCGGATAATGGCACGAAAATAAAGACACGAGCATTAGGTGGTGGTCGCAGAGCCTAAGAATTTTACTTGAACAATGTCTCTTCTAATTCGAACCGAATGCAAACATACCTTCATGCCTTCACAAGTGATATGGGCTGACAGTGGTCTTGCTCCCCGTACATGTGGCAACAGTCCCACCTGCCCTCTTCAAGTCCTTCATCCTGTCAAACGCTGACTCAAATGGCAACAACACGACAAATCCGCCTGTAGTTCGCTCATACTGGTCTACGTTCCCCAGTGCCGCAAAAAACTACACCTCAACGTACGACACCCAATTTTTTCAGCGCGTTTTATACAGCATCCACCGCAACAAACAACCGATTTTGTCGATCGTGCCTTGCCAGGGAGGTGAAGATGACTGCCAAGTTAGCTAGCATGACGGAGCTCCGGGATAAAATTGGAATCGCCAAGATGAAGCTACAAAGGTACATGGCAACATAAAAGCTAGGATTCGACATACCTCGCGTTCATCTCTTCATCGAATGCGCCTACAGCAAATCGGTGTGCAAACATTCTTCCTGCGCAGGCTTCATCGAGCGTAGTGAATACCGAATCGCCGTTATACCTGGGACCAGAGCTGGGATCAGGATGGGGGGCCAGGCTCTTATTATTTGCCGATGCAAGTTCCGGTCTGCAATCAAGCTAATTTGCATAAAAGACTTCTACCATGTAAAAGTGTTTCGAACAGCTCGCAGTCTTCTCCCAAGAGGACTACTTGGACCGGCTCCGTCCAGTGATCCAAAGCACTACGGTGACCCTAAGAGGGCTCACAGCAGATTCTTGGGTAAACAGACGCATTTGTCTCGACGCCGGCGCCATGGGACTGGTACTGGAATGGAAGACTTTAATAAAGTGTCTAACCCGTGCAAAAGCCAGGATGCCCTCTACTAGCTATTCACCATTGAGGAAATCCTGGATGTCTCACAAAAGAAGATATTAGGTTGTATATGCCGGATGAAATTGAAGCATGGGTCCAAACCCCCGGGACGATCCGACTTAGCGTTGGGGATGGATAACACGGCCCTCTTGAGGAATGGGATTTGTTCGAAGAGCAAATACCTTTGACCGTCAAAAGCATCAGGCATCTGAAGGAGTTCAAAGGCCTCGTAGATCTCGAGAATCCGCACACTCTCAGCGAGATGTTGGCCCGCTGGTCGAAAAGCAAGGCGAGTCCCATCATCGCTTCCTGTTAGACATTGGCTGACATGGTCTGCTGGTACCGACTTGTTCAAACAAGCAAGTCTTTCCTCAGTGACGAAGAAAAGGAGACGGGGAAGACCCGGGGCAAAGCTGCCGAGGTTGGAATTGCGCGCCTCTGCAAAAAGACATCTAAATACGAGATGCTACCTGATTGCGAGATGATGCGTGTAACTGTACCCGTACCCGATCCTGCACTGGCACCTGATCTTTACCCCTGGGCTCTCGAACAGTACCGAATCAATTGAAAATGTTCTTGAGGTACAATAGAAGGAAAGCGAAAGCAGTACGAATGCTTACGAAAGGAGATTAGCTTCTGTATATAAGGATGTACGTAAAACAGTCAGGCAAAAGCGGCGCGACGTTCGAGACTCACTGGTCTGTCGGGAGAATGGCGGTGTCGAAAAGATCTCTTGCCGAGAACAGAAGAATTGAAGACGATCTACTGTGGTATCAGGCATAAGTAGTGTACATGGTCCGCGCACTGCAGGGGTGCTGCCAAGATGATCACGCGATGACTCATAATCGCTCTATTGACAAAAATACATCTAATTACCTATAATTACGTACTGAAACGCGTGTACCTTTGTCCTCGCTGCCATCCTGAAGTCATCCTCCTCCCACCCACACAATGTCACCGCCATCAACTCCACCTCGCCATCGATACCTCTCCCGCGACGAGCGCCTGCAAGCGCAAACCCTGCACCTAGCAGGCCATACGCAAACTTTTATCGCCAACCTATTAGGTTTCTCTCGCAGACAAGTCGCCTACGCGATCGCTAGCAACCGCGTCACGCCAAAGAAACGTTCTGGTCGCCCTCGCAAGCTCACCGATGCCCAAGTTGATGAGCTTGAGGCCTATATCAAGTCCTCGCGTACAGCCAGGCAGATGAGCTATCAGGCTCTTACAGAGGGACCTTTTGCAGAGTGGGAAGTCACACAATATGCTATACGGACTGCTCTACGCAGTAGAGGGTATACACGTCGGGTTACTCATGCGAAACCTCCCCTAACTGAGAGAAATCGACAGATTAGAGCGACGTGGGCCCAGGAGCACCTCCACTAGAGCGCTGAACAATGGTGGCGTATCCTCTGGAGTGATGAAACCTGGGTTACTGGTGGCAGGCACCGCAAAGTCTGGGTTACTAGGAGACCTAGAGAGGAGCTTAATGATACCTGTATAGTTGAAAAGGTATGCAGGAAGCGTGGGTGGATGTTTTGGGGCTGCTTTTCAGGCATTACAAAGGGTCCTTGCCTATTCTGGGAGAAAGAATGGAAGACTATCAATAAGGAGAGCTACTGTGAGAGGATTGTTCCTATTGTTGATGGCTGGTTACGTATGAATCCTACTTTGAGATTCATGCAGGATGGGGCGCCAGGTCACTCTGCTGCGTATACTCGCAATGAGCTTCATGAGCGAGGTATCTATCCTATCTACTGGCCAGCCTTCTCCCCAGACCTCAACCCTATCGAGGCTGTTTGGAATAAGATGAAGGACTATATAGAGCTGCACTACCCTGATCAAGAAGGTGGGAGGCAGCCTACATATGACGCTCTACGGCAGATTGTACAGGAAGCGTGGGACTCGATTTCAGTGCAGGATCTAAGGGAGCTCATTGATAGTATGCCAGCTAGGTGCCAGGCGGTATTAGATGCCGAGGGTGGTTATACAAAGTACTAGAAACCGTATACAAAACAAGACAATACCGGGCTTACGTTACCTGACTCCTGCCAAGCTGCATCCCTGCAGTGCGCGGGCCATGTACACTACTTATGCCTGATACCACAGTAGGCTCGCTTCGCCCCACTACATATCCCACATCCCACCATCTCCACCTACGTCATACGCGGAACTGTTGAACAAGTGCAAGCCCTCGCTCAGTCTCTGCTTCTGCCCCAAACCGGATCTGCAGTCAGAGTGCGGGAGATAAACCTGCTTGCGGGCACGTGGGACGCACGGCCCTAACCGCTTCAGAATGACAGCACATTTCCTTCACGACATGTTTATAGCTGCGCTATGCGCCACACTTGTTCAACAATCTCATTTCTTTCTCTAATCATTGTTAATATTCAGTAGACCGAAGTCTACCTTGCAAGATGGGTGAAGATGGTAAAAAATCCGCGCCTAGGGATCAAACGTATCATCAACTGACAGCAAGCAGAACGCACTCCTACGCCCGAAAACGCGACGCTCTTCCAGGCCTTCGAGTGGAATGTTCCTGCCGACCACGCACACTGGAAGCGACTCACAAAAGTTCTACCCGCTCTCTCCTCCATTGGCCTCAGTGCGTTCTGGCTGCCGCCAGGCTGCAAGGCGGCATCTTACCAGGGCAACGGCTACGACATTTACGATCTGTACGACCTAGGCGAGTTCGACCAGAAAGGCAAGCGGGCGACCAAATGGGGCACGAAAGAAGAGCTGCTCGAGCTCAGCAAGCTCGCAAAGGAGAAGGGTGTTGGCCTCCACTGGGACGCCGTACTCAACCACAAAGCTGGTGCGGACAAGACTGAAAAATGCCGCGCAGTCGAAGTGGACGATGCCGACCGCACAAAGGAAGTCTCTGAACCATACGAGATCGAGGGATGGTTAGGCTTCGACTTCCCCGGCCGTGGCGACAAGTACTCCAAGATGAAGTACCACTGGGAGCACTTCTCCGGCACCGACTACAACCAGGCCAACGAGAAGAAAGCCATCTACAAGATTCTGGGCGACAACAAGGGCTGGTCCCGCAGCGTTGACGAGGAGAACGGCAATGCAGACTACATGATGTTCGCAGATATCGACTACAGCCACCCAGAGGTCGCCGAGGACGTCAAGCGCTGGGGACCCTGGATCACCAAGGAGGTCGGGCTCAGCGGGTTCCGCCTCGACGCCGTGCAGCACTTCAGCGAGCGCTTCACTAACGAGTGGATCAACGTTCTTCGCGAAGAATGCGGACACGACATCTTCATCGTCGGAGAGTTTTGGAACGGAAACGTCGACCAGATAATCCCCTGGCTTGAGGAAATGCACCACAAGTTCAGCCTTTACGATGCGCCACTCGTCTACAACTTCAGCACCATCAGCACGTCCACGGGCGCGGACCTCCGAAAGGTCTTCGACGACACCCTTGTGCAGCGGTTCCCAGAGAAGGCGGTTACCGTTGTAATGAACCACGACACGCAGCCCGGATCGACGGTCGAGACGCACGTCGAGGGCTGGTTCAAGCCGTTGGCATACAGCCTGATCCTGTTCCGCGAGCAAGGCTACCCTTGCGTTTTCTACGGAGACATGTATGGCATGAAGGGCGACCACGAGGAGCCGCCTTCCTGCGGTGGCAAGCTAGCCGACCTCGTGCTTGCGCGGAAACTGTACGCATACGGAAGCCAGGAGGACTATTATGATGACCCGAACTGCATTGGATGGGTGAGGAGAGGCACGTGGGATCACCCCGCGGGAATGGCCGTGGTGATGAGCAACGAGGGGCCAGGCGAGATTAAGATGGCGGTAGGCGAGATGCACAAAGGGCAGATTTGGACAGATGTGCTCGGGTGGGAAGAGGCTGAGGTCGAGATCGATGACGAGGGCTACGGAGTATTCCCCTGCCCAGGCATCAGTGTGAGCGTCTGGGTGAGGAAGGATGCCAAGGGGAGGGATCAATTCCCTGTGGATCTCGATTCGAACATTTACGAGCAATAACCGCTGGGTAGGGGAGGTCTTTTGACTCGTCATTGGCGCATGGATGGTTACCTCATAGAAAGGTCAAACGTAGATAGGCTAGAGATATATACATGGAGGGCTAACACACAATTCCAGGCTTCACTGTGGATCTGAAATCTATTACCGCTGCTCTTCAAGTGTAAATGTCGATTGATCGTTGACGATCCAGAAAGCAACCGGATTGATATCTAATGCATAACTCGACAGACTGCCGTTGAAACATTCACCATGCAATGCTCGCAGAACGCTCAGAAGATACCTGCAAAGTAAAAAGAAGATCCTCGCTCACAGCAACGCTGAACGCGCCTCTGAAATGAACCTAGTCTGGGTGGTATCCACAGGTTTTAAAAGCTTCGGAAAATGGGTCCACATCGCAGAAGCATGGATGGTAGACTGTGAGACCCACGGAGTGCACCGACTCCGTCGCCAACACGCAAGTGAGTGGAAATAACATCCGATTAAAAAAAAATCCCGTGCCGCCGGATACCAATTTGTCGAATCATGATGCATTCCTTCCTTAATACTCGTAAGATTGTCGAGGCGGGGCAATGCTGCCATACCCTTGCTGCGGCTCGTCCTCTTCTAGCAAGCTCTCCATTATGCTGCCGACATCAGTGTTGGTGACGGTCATCGCGTCCTCGTCCTGCAGCTTTTTCTGCATGCGATACGTCTGCACCGTCACGTATGTAACGAGCGCTACCCCGACGATGAATGCAGCAACAGCCAGGAAAACATTGACGGGAACAGGATTGCCTTCGAAAGCTGTCTTTGTCAAAGCGGCGATAGCTGTTTGGGACAGATTGATCACGCCGGAAAAGAAGATGATAGTTCCATAGACGCGGCCAAATGTGGCATAGCCAAAGACCTTGGTGGCGTAGTCTGACATGGCGGAGTAGTAGAGTGGTCGGAGGGCGACAAATAGGATGACGTTGAGATAGCCTGCCCACAATGTAGCTATCGAACCTACAACGCCAATAATCGTGATGATGACCAGAATAAGAAGTAACACGCCAGGGACGCTCACGTTGTCAAGCAGAATGCCGAGGAATGGTGTGCTGATCACGCCACCGATAGGCAGGGCCCAGTCGAAGAACTCGTTGATGCGCGTCGCGAGCTCGATCGAGCCCAGCATGTAGAGATACTGCTCTCTAACCGTGGCAATAAAATAATTCATGCGAATCATCTGTAGAACTGTAAGAAGCGTCAGAAGGTAGAACCAGGGGGTCATCATCTGCTCGTTGGGAGGCTTGTTGTGCAGAGCACCCCAAACACCAGCAGCATCTTGTCGATGCTCCTCCCTCTCTTCGAGCCTTCTTCGCCTGTCGGGAGAGCCGACAAGCTTGTCGAGCTTCTGTTGTCGCCTCTTACGGCGGTTGCTTCGCATCTTGCGGCGTCTCCACATCTCATCATCGGACAGCTCGTCGTCTGACGAGTGCACGTCTCGCATTACATCCTCGGCCTTTTCTAGTTTCTGCTGCAGCTGTCCTGGGGTCTTGTAGCTCTCAGTTGGCAAGAAAGTCAGCTGCGCAAGGAGGATTGCGAAAGGCACGATCAGATAGGCGAGGAAGAAGTGCTGTGGTTTGAAGGCACGGTTGGTAGCATCGTAAATCAGTCGTGCAAATAAAAATATGGCCGCTGAAGCATCAAAGGCACCCGTCACTAATGCAACTGCGTACATGTTAGTATCCTATGAAGATGTGCATGAAGTTTGACTTACCAATAGTGCCTGCATATTTTGGAAAGGCATTGGCGATCTGAAAAGAAGGCAGAAAGATGAAGTTACCTCCAAGCGCAAGGAAGAAGTTACCGATGGTGTATCCGTCAAATTCATCAATCTGGAAAGCTAGGCTCATAAGAATGCTGCCAGCAGCGAGACAGAGACATCCTAGAAGGAAACATAGTCTTGGACCATAGCGATCAAGTAATGCGCCCACGGGCAGCGCAGAAAGATTCGCGGTCGTAGAGGCGAGCGAGAAGAAGAAGTTGAGTCGCAAGTCCTGCTCAAAGCATACTTCCACGCCTCTTTTCAGCTCTTCTGGTGTGCATAGGTCCTGGTAGACGCCTTCCTGAATCAGAATGGGCTTGAGTGCGGCAAACCCGAAGACGATGCCACTTGCGAACCAACAGGCGAGCACTGTTGTGATTACCTGGGCTGTGTCACGGGTCAGCGTTGTTCTCGGTAGTGACGGATTCGGGCATTTTATACGAACCAATTCGCTTTGCGGTTGAAACAGTGTACTGCGTCACACCGCCATAATTCTCTACTGTCTCTTCCGGTGGCTTCAAGAAGTCGTAGCTGGCAAGACGCCGTATCGATTTGTTGCTGTCAAAGCCGCTACCGAGGGAAAGTCGGCGCTCGGAACGGGCCACGGACTCTGCGCGCTCTAGCGGTGGAAGGAAGAGGTCGACCAACGCCTCCTCTCGGTCCTGGCCTTCCAGTTGAGAGACATGCTGCACGAGAGACATGGACACTCAGCAGCAAAGGGCAATGGCGCTGGATTCTGACTGACCGAAAGTGAAGGCGTGCAGAGTTTGAAAAATGCGGCAGGAGAGATTATATCGAGTAAAAGAACCTGGCCGGACCCTGGTTGGTCAATGAGTAAGTTAGCCCCGATCTCGGTCACGCGCAGGTCAATCGAACGGTTCTAGCTTGTCGCGGCCAACGGGCATGTGATGTTGTTGCGTTCCCTAGAGCACTGCCGATGTGCTCCCATGCGATGTCGAAGTGGTGTGCTGTCTGCGCTGCTCGATTGTTCTCGAAAGTTGTGCAGTTGACGCTATCTCTACGAAACACGGCCTGATTGGGGTGCTGGCTCCTGCTACCGAGACGCATTGACCAATGGCGCTACGGCCAACTGTGAGAACATCGACGATCATCGCCCCACACAGGCTCCTAAGCGCCACGGCTTCTGTATCTTCAATCTATGTGTTTGGCTATGCAATTGATTCGAACCAGCGACTGTGTGCGATATCGCAGCCATGTCTCTGCAGCGAACGCATACACCGTGCTGATAATGCGCCACATTTTGCGATAAGACCCGTCGCGCTGGGAGCAAATCTTAGAAAGGGGAACGGACTATTGCCTCCGAACAGCCGTTCGAGCAAGCCGGGACGAACACCAGGGGGTTCAACGGTCTGGACGCCTTTGGATGGGCGTCTACATCCTCACCTAAACTCTGATTGAATTGGGAGGGTGAAGTAGCCATGCATGTGTATCCTTGTCACGTACTGCACACTGAAGTCGCTCTTGCATTCTTCAATAGCCCCAAATATCGCCAGAAGCCCTTCATTTTCCACCCTAAGGCAACACTAGCCAGCCTTCACAGCCTTTCTCAGCAATGGCTAGGGGATCAAAAAAGCACGCCAAATGGCGACCAGCGCACCCTCAAGCCTGATACAACGACACTATCTATAGCAGACGATGTCCTTTCTCAAAGACTCCTTACCAGCTTTTGATGAGCCTCCCAATCCTCGGGCAACATTTCACCGGAATCGGCCAAAGACACCCCCCGTATCAAATAACGATCGCAGACCACGTGTTTCGTTGAGTCAAGTTAACCACGCGCTATGTGATCCTGGTGACATTCCTTTGACCAGGGAGCGCAAGACGAGGCCGCCAGCTTCTTCAGAGCATCATATTGCGACACCTCTCCAAACGCGAGCACGGTTGAAGAAATCTTGCATGCAACGTATGAGTTTCTCAATGGCGAGATCTGGCGGAGCAAGACCGCATTGATGGGAAGGCAGAATTTCTATTCGAGAGGGTTGTTCCCAAACTCCAAAGGGAACAATCTGCCACAAGTCAGCACAGCGAAAGAGTTGAGGAAGGCGAACAATGGAAGTGGCCTTACGATACCGTTACCGAACTTAGGAATGAGTTATTACAAGAACATGATGGAGCACATACGAGCAGGGTTAGGCCCTCGGCTGTTCACTGAAGAAGACATGGTCGAGAGACTGCGCCTTGAACCCAGAGGGGGTTCGGGAACGGACAATGTTCAGTGCTCTGAAGAGACCTATGATGAGCTCCTGGTCGTACTTCGAGCATGGAACGCAAGTGTTGGAATGCACCCAGGTCTTGATAGACAGCGGCAAGATCTGCTTGATACTTTCGAATCACGATGCCTGTTAATTGATAGGGCCGAAAAGGGACACCAGCAAATGACGCTTCTCGAGAAGCAATACTTGCTTCTGCAGGCAGCCCTGAGTGCATACCGATCCGAATTAGAACATTTCGAGGGTCAGAATGTGTTCAATCAGCTTATCGTCATGATCGCGAATCAGGGTTTCGCAATTCCAGACCTGGATGATGAGGTTAGAGGCCGCGCCATCGAAACGCTTTTCAGGGGATTCCGCTCCAGGTTATATCTCGGAGAGGACCATGTCGCGAGAAGGCAGCGACTTGAGGCAGATGTTGGAAGAGTGAGGCTCCAAGAAGATGACGCCCTAGCGCAGGAGTTGGCCAAAAGAGATGAAGCACTTGGACAAAAAGAGCTGCAACGAAGCCTCGGAGAAAGTCCGAACTACTATCAAAATTGCCCGGACACGCCTGTGCGACAAGGTCCTGGAAGATTTCCAGCTTTTGGCCGAGCACAGAAATGGACGGCCTGCAGGTTGCAAAAACCTCGGCATCAGCTTCGGCTTTAGCGCAGAGTTGCATTGAGAGTAAAGACGCAATGGACGAAGTTTTGCAGATTCGAGTGTCTGGTATCGACAATGCGTTGAAGAGAGCACTCGACCGTCTGCGCAAGATGAACAGCCTAAGCAGTGACAACAGTAGTCTAGTAATGAAACTCGCAGGACTTGATGTCCCGAAGGCCGAGCGAAAGGCAGTCCTGGAGCGACGGCGGAACGATCGTAGAACTCCGTATATCATGATGAAGGTCACAAATCAGAGCTTCCAATTACCAGGCATGTCGCAGCGCGTGTTTAAGCAAATGGATGAAATAGATGATTCGTTGCATTGCGTCTTGGATGCGGCCAGGGCTAACTTTTACGCGCACGACACGCTATTGGCGAGAGTCGATGAGGATGACCCCTACTGTATGGACGAAACTTCGTATGTAGTCAAGAAACCTGAGACTGTAGTAATGGGTGTGGAAAAAGAACAAGTTGGAGACGGAAAGCGCGGCGGGTAACGACGGAATCGCGTCTGAGGAGCACTAAGTACATTAGCATGAGAAGTTCATGGCACTGAAATATGCCGTTGTACGCTGCAGTTGCAATAAGGTTCGCATGCAGACGGAGCCGCATTCGTCATTCCTGTGGTGATGATGCCACGTAGGTACCTGCCAGTTTTGGGGAGTTGCGCGTACCCATCTCGAGGAGTTTACCCTGAGCGATCGCACATCTTATGAGTTATTTTCCCGCGCAGCATCACAGGCTAGAGATTGCTACGTAAAACGGAGGTTGCTCGGAAATCGAGGCCATGGTGTACCGGAATCGCACGCGCTAGTAGCGCGCCCTGTGAATGGTTCGCTCGCGGTTGGCCGGGTGTCGGAAATATCGGGAATTCACGGGCGCGATCTGATTGGGCTTAGGGCCAATTAACAACTTTTCCTACTTGCTTCCATCCGTCAGTTGTCGTCAATCCTCATCAACACCACCATCTCCACTCTGTCCTTTCTTCTCCATCTCGCCGCCGTCGTCACAATGTCTGCCCAGGCTCCCCCCACCTCCACCGGCTCCACCAAGCTCGATGCCATCAAGGCTACGGCCGCAGCTGCTAACCCGGCCAACCCCAAGGGTCTCGACCTTTACTCGCGATTCGCTTTCGCCGGTGCCGTCTGCTGCGCTGTCACCCACGGTGGCTTCACTCCCGTCGATGTGTACGTGTTCCGCGCCGATGGCGCGCCCGCGCGAGCACCAATGGCTACTCGTCCGGTCGCGCCTGCCTGTCACGATAGCGGGCCCAACCGCTAACATTGTCGCAGCGTCAAGACCAGGATCCAGCTCGACCCCGCGACCTACAACAAGGGCCTAGTCGGCAGCGCCAGGCAGATCCTCGCCAACGAGGGTTTCGGCGCTCTCTGGACTGGTGTCGGTCCTACCTTCGCTGGTTACTTCCTCCAGGGTGCCTTCAAGTTCGGTGGATATGAGTTCTTCAAGCAGCAGTGCATTAACCAGTTCGGCTACGAGACTGCCTCCAACAATCGCACCGCCGTCTACCTCGCTTCGGCCGCTACCGCCGAGTTCTTCGCCGACGTCGCCCTCTGCCCCCTCGAGGCCACCCGTATCCGTCTCGTCTCCCAGCCCACCTTCGCCAACGGCCTTGTTGGTGGCTTTTCCAAGATCTTGAAGCAGGAAGGTGTCGGCGCGTTTTACTCTGGTTTCGGACCCATTTTGTTCAAGCAGTACGTAGCCTCGATTATGGGCTTGTAAAGATCCGCTGACACATACAGGGTTCCCTACACCATGGCCAAGTTCGTCGTTTTCGAGAAGGTCTCCGAGATGGTCTACCAGTCCGTCGACAAGAGCAAGGCCTCCAGCGGCATGCAGACTACCATCAACCTTGGCTCCGGTCTTATCGCCGGATTCGCTGCCGCCATTATCTCGCAGCCTGCCGACACTATGCTTTCCAAGATTAACAAGACCCAGGGTCTCCCTGGAGAGGGCACCATGACCCGTCTCATCAAGATTGCCGGTGAACTCGGCCTCCGTGGCTCCTTTGGTGGTATCGGCGCCCGTCTCTTCATGGTTGGTGGTATCACCGCTGGTCAGTTCGCCATCTACGGTGACATCAAGAAGGTATGTAAAGCCACCTGAAATCATTCGACGTGGCTAACTTTTATAGGCTCTTGGCGCCACAGGTGGTGTAGAAATCTCGAAATAGAGGGTGTTGGGCGAGGAGCATGAGTGCCAGCCATGATACCAAGACAGCCATGAAGCTTTTTGCGGGCTTCGGAACAACGCCAAAAGTAATGATCTGTCTTTGTACCTTTTTCTTGCATATGGATTGCATGGGTTTCTTCTTTAGCTTCATGTGTTTGCGTATATTTGCAGTCATAGATTTTCTGCGCTGCCGCTAGACGTCGGACAAGCGGGCTATGTAACAGTACGAGTGGTTGGGAACTAGCTGCACAATAGACGGAACTCCCTAATCTTTATACCCAAACCTAACTCGCATTGCTTAGCGGACTAAGTCCTTTCAGAATGCATTGAGAACATGCGCACCGAATTCGATTCCATCAATTAACTTTACACAGAACCCATGTCTACGCATTTAATTCACACTTACTATCTTGAATTATATATATTGAATTATAAGAGTTCTATTACGACTAGTAGTAATGTTACGATCATAGGAAACACAAGTTGGGAATTGGTAGGAAATAATACAACTAGAGATAAATGTCACGGTAACCCCAGGCTACCTGACAAGCATGGATATACTGCTGGCAGTAGTATATCTCAGAGGTATCGCGCGCTGGCAGCCAGCCAATAGAATAGTATATGGGTGACCCGTTGTTAAATCCAGAAGGGTAGCTAGTCCTAAAGGGTTAGGGTTGGTTCTCGGGCAAGACAACTGAGGGAAGGGAAGGGGTCTTGTTGATACTCTAGTATCAGAAGATAGGTAACGAGTCAACAATATGGCCTGAGTGTAATCCAAACGATAGATTAATAAACAGGTTGAACACGAATGTGAGAGCCCACATTCGAGTTCCTATATACTTGGTCCACGACTAATCTGTACAGAATCGCTCTGCTACAAATCAGTCACGTGTAAAATGATCTGCTATAGATCAATCACGTGACTCGTTACGTGCCCTCCACGCGTCATTAGCGTTAACTGGGGCATCTTTACGTGTACGCACCTGTGGCTGTATACAAAGTGTCCCTTCCGTCCCATGTTGGACCTGGATCCTAACACCCGTCTGCTAGCTAATTGGTCGAATCATGGCGCTAGCTACCCTTGGTAAGGGCATGTGTCAGATATGAGGGCGTGTACTGAGTATCTCACTGTTGTCAGATAAGGGCCTACAAAGTTGCCTTGGTACGGACAGTACTCCGGGTAGGAGGTGGCAGGGATAGCTGGCCATCAGCCCTTGCTGGACACCCAGCCCCGAAGCAAGGGATAGTTGATAGGAACCCGATAAAAGCTGGCAGAACACACGTATACAACAACAATGAATCAATTCATCTCATCTCTAGATCACTAACATCCATCAAATCACTGTGTGAATCTAATAATTAAGAGTCTCACTGCCTCAACCGATATACCAATTAACCATGACAGCCCAATTAACCCCTTAGTGCATAGAGATAACGCTCCACGACTACAACGACTTCATAGGATGGTATACATAGCTATAGGCACGCTACATTGCATATAACCTATAGGATAAGGTCAACCCTAATTTAGTAACTCTACTAATTATGTAACTAGTAGCTATCTAAGTACTAGTTATCGCAAACTACGCCCTAGTAGCCAATATTAAGATACTAGTGCAATAGTCTAAGCTATTAACAGCCAGATAGAAGGCCTTTAAGGAGGACCTTAAGTACTATAAGATCTATTATAAATAGTATAAGAGCGATTAATATAAATATAAGAAGGAGTAGATAAGCATCTAGTATATTATTACGTTCATCTATTTAATGGTGGCAAAATACCTCTAGCGCACATACTATCTACCTAATTAGCCACTCTACTAATGGGTTATAAGTCTTAAGCTTACTGTCGGCGTTAATGAGCAATTCGAACAAGAGCACGCTAGAGATAGATATCTTATAGCTCTAAAAGTAATAAGAAGTGTTAATTAATAGGAAACCTAGCTTACTAAATATAATTAGGCAGCTATAGAAGCGGAGACCTATAGGGTTACTAAAGTAATATAACTAAATATGATTACAAAGGACTTTCTAGTAGCTATTAATAAAGTGGCACCTATATAGGCTATAGCCTTCTAAGACTATGGTAGATACGCCGCCGGTATAACTAGAAAGGAGATAATGAAATGGTTCTAAGAGTATATGATGGTAAACCACCCTAGTATAAAGAGTAAGCATAAAGTGGCCTTTATAACTAATAGAGCCTTTCTCACTAATAGTGGTAAAACTACTTAGGGTAATTGTTATAAGGGGTTTCCACGTACCTAACCGTAGGTTCGGACCCTACGGGTATTCAGTAATTCGAGCGTAAGGGATGGCGGTACCAAAGAGGTTAGGTGAATATCCTACACCGTATGATAGTACGATGCAACAAATATCAAGAGAAGGCTAATAGTTTATATAAAGACGAGTGGCTTCAATTTAGATATAAAAGTAAGCTTTCAAAGTTGACTACGAAGAATAGGAAATGTTTAGAGAATGTCCAGGACTATATACCAATCGTCCCACCCTTTACGGTCTTCCGATTCCTCGTCGGGGTCCCGCCAAGCCATCAGGGTCCCGGGACCCATCGGGGTCCCTAGGACCTTGCTCGTATGCTGGACCTCGTCACATAACCCTGGGGTCCCGCCAAGTCCTTCTTTCTGCGGGGCCCTATCACGTGGTGTCGGGCTACGTGAGCCCAAGCAAATGCTTACTGGCCTTGCCAGATCAGCATCACCTTTATTCTCGTTGTTTCCTACCGCTGTCCCGCGGTCTTCTTTAGTGATTGTAACATTACCTCCCCCCTTAGGGCTATCATCCCGATACCCTTGTCTTTGCCCTGCGGCGTGGTATTTTAGTGGGGTCGGCATCGTTCCCAGCCATATAAAGGTAGGCCTGCCCCAGCCCACACTAAGGTCGTATCCTCCTCTAGATTTCCCTCGCCTGTCTGACCATGCCAAAAGTCCCAAAGCCCTCTATCTAGAAACGTCGTGCCCGTGCGCAGAACATCGAGTCTTAGGGTTTAGAGATGGCTGGCTCTCTAGGTTGTGAACGTTGCAGGTAGATAAAGCTTCACTATTTTGTAGACGCAGCATCGGGTTATTATACTAGGTGTATTTTAGTGTATACTAAATGCAGCCTCTTTATTCCAGAGAGCGATTGGCAGTAGATCCAAGACGAAGAGGAAGAGACTTGGTTAGCGCTACTACGGGCGCGTGCTGAGGCGGCTCGTCTCGAGCTGGCGCTTGCCGAGGTGGAGTAGAAGAAGCGTTCTTATGCTCGTTAGGACCTCCAGGTCGCTAATACATTAGATCGTCTAAAAGAGGGGGATTCTTCTGCTACGCAGGGTACGGCTTCCATTAGTACTTCTGGATTACTACCATCTTTATCCTTATCCACTAACTACGGCTGGTCGTAGGCTAATCTTTTCAATTTTCCTTTCTTCCTAGCTAACGTTGATCCGGTCGCGTCACCGCGTTGTTCCCCTAGGGTTTCGCTCGAAAATCCTCGAGTGCCTTCTTATAGTTCGTGAGGTTTTCCTCTAGTTCCTATGTGTTGTACTAATCTGGCCATCCTTTCCACTTAACTAAGTATCACTGCTAACCTCTAATTATGCATAGGTCCTTAATTTCTTTGACTTTATATTTGTCGTCTTCTAGTTCCAGTTGGGTCTCAATTGGAGCGTCTGGTGGTGCTGGTTCTAGGAGATTTTTGTAGAAAGTAGGGTGTATCTTTATACTGGTTAGTAGTAGTAGTTTTGTCGTAACTAGTCCTTTTATTTCTTAAACTTCGAAAGGTCCTACCCATAGGTAATCCAGTTTTTTGCTTGGCCTTTTTGTTTTAAGGTTTTTTTGTAATAGGAAAACTTTGTCCCCCCTCTTAAGGGTTGGTCCCTTAATCCTTTATTTATTCGCGTTTCTTAATGCTGAGAGGGCCTTACGGGTGATCCTTTCCCGTAGGATTTTATAAAGTTCCTTCATTTTCTACGCTCTATCTTAAGCTCCTGTTGAAATACTCTATATATCTCTTGGATCTCGATAAGTAACCAGCTCATATCCATAATTTGCGTAATGGGGTGAGTAGCCCATTATACCCAATCTGGCACTATTATACGCTAACTAGGCTGTTAGTAATAGCTCTACCTAATTGTCTTATTATTTGTTGACGTAGAACCGCAGATACTGTTCTAGTGTCTAATTCGTGCGCTCCGTTTGTCCATTAGTCTAGGGGTAGAAACTCGTTAAGAGTCTCCGGTTCGTCCCTAGAGCGGCCGTAAATGTGTCCCAATATTTAGACGTGAAGAGCTTATCTCTATCCATAATAAATTCTTCCAGAGGGCCGTGTTCCGCGAATAATGCGCTGTCGACTTCGTAGGCCAGGTCTTTAGCTATTATGGACTCTTCCATGGCCCTAAATTTGGCCGCCTTTATTAGTTGATCCACTATTACCATGATAGTGTCGCACATCCGTTTTATTCTGGGTTGTAGTGATTTCGGGAGTTTTACTATAAAGTCCATCGTTACGCTTTGCCATGGGCGTTCTGCTACTAGTAATGGTTATAGTAATTCATAAGGCTTATGTCTCTTAGGCTTATTTTTATGACAAGCCAAATAGTTACTTATTTCTTTCGTAACCATCTATTTGAGTTTAGGAATGGCGTACTTATTTATGATGCGACGTATTGTTTCTTTAACGCCTAGGTGTCCCCATTCTCGTAATCCATGGAGTTTTCGTATTAGTACTAGTGCGTATTTTATTAATACCACTTTTCTTCTAATGCGATCCCGCTCTTCCCCGCTTAAGCCGTGCTTGAAGAGATTGTATTCTTCCTTTTATTCTTTGGATAGGCGGCAATAATCCTGAAAGTCGAACACTCTAGTTCTGCTGTAGCTCAGTTCCGCCTTTCATACTTCGATCTGGGGGTTCTAATAATCTAGTTTTATTACTCCCCTTTCCAGTTGGTTGTATTCTATGGTTCCATCCATTTGTTTTCTAAGCACTGCATTGTGTAGTTCGGGTTTATCCTTGATTAGGTTAGATCTCCTGCTTAGTGCGTCCGCCGCGCCGTTAAGAGTTCCTAGTTAATAATGAATCACAAAATCGAAGTTTACTAGGAATTCCGCCTATTGAACTTGTCTTCAGTTAAGCTTCTTGGTTGCCATGAAGCTCGTAAGGTTTATATGGTCCGTCCATACCTCAATCTTGGTTGGGGCGCCCATTAGTTGCGTCTCCCATTGTTCAAAGGCATCCACTACCCCTAGTAGTTCCTTGTCGTGAACATCGTAGTTTAGTTCTGCCCTAGAGAACTTTTAGGAATGGAAGAACACCGGTCTCCATTTCTCGTCTTTATATTATTAAGTGAACACAGCTCCTAATGCGTAGTCTAATGCGTCTGTTTCCACACGAGTCTTCCTTCGTGGGTCAAATATCTGAAGCAGGGGTGCCTATAGGAAGAGCACTTTAAGCCACTTAAAGGCTTCTTTTACTTCTTTCCTAAACCCTACCCACTTGTCCTTTTTTATGAGGTCTGTCATAGGTGCTATTATTTTGGAATAATCCTTAATGAACTTCTAATAGAAGTTGGTAAACCCTAGGAAGGACTGGACGTCCTTCACTAACTTGGGTTCCAGCCATTCTTGTACGGCGGCTACCTTCTTTGGGTCTATAGACACACCTTCCCTTAAGATGATAAATCCCAGGTACTCTATTTTGGTGACATGAAATTCATATTTATCTGGATGTAGGAGTAGTTAATACTCCTTCATTTTCTCTAGTACTTTTTTTACGTATCCTACATATTCTTCTAGCGTTCCACTGGAGTAAATAAGTACATCGTCGAGATAAGCGGTATAGAAGACATCTAAGTATTCGTATAGTGCTTTATTAATAACTGCCTAAAACGTTGTAGGCGTATTGGTTAACCTAAAGGGCATTATGGTGTACTCGTAAAGACCAAACCTGGTTCTAAATATAGTCTTCCACTTATATCCCTTGGCGATTCGGATGCGATGATATCCTTCACGCACGTTAAATTTGGTAAACCATTTGGTTCCTTAGAGTCGGTCCATGAGCTCCGTGATTAATGGTAGTGGATACTGGTTTTTTACCATAGCGTTGTTCAACTGTCTATAATCCATATAGAGTCGCAGCTTACCGTTCTTTTTTAGTACCCATAATATCGGAAATACTGCTGGGCTCTAACTATCCTAAATAAATCCTCTCGCCAGATTCTTCTAGAGGTATTCTCGTAGTTCTTTTTTCTAGTCTACTAATATCGGTCTCAGCCGTTCTGGTTGTAGTTTTGTTCCTTCTTCCAAGGTGATCTTATGATCCTATTCCTAGTATTATGGTAGCGTTTCTTCTTCTTTTTCTTTGAAGAGTCCCGAGTACTCCTTGTACTCTAAGGGTATTGTTACTAACGTCTTTATTTCTTGAAGGTCAGAGCGTCGTACCCATATAATCCTTGCTTGGTCTAGGTTTTCCTCTAGGATCCTAGCGATCTTTACTGCCAAAACCCCCTTGCTCTTTTTCCTGGCCCGCTTCACTAAAGTGCCTAGGGTCTACGGTCTTACCTCACGTGGGTGTCGTGCGCCAGCGACCTTTAGCGTTAGTCCTTAGCTGCGCATGGTTTGATTCTTCCAATTAATGTCTAGGTTGTGTCTTAACAACTAGTTGTAGCCTATAATGGCTTCTAAGCTTCCCAAGTCCACTATAGTGAAGCTATGTTGGCTTTCAAATCCTTTGATACTAACGGGTAACGGCGTTGTTTCCAGGCGTAACTAGCCTTTGCCGTATCCTTGGGAAAACGTCCCATCTGCCATCTCCAACCACATAGGGTTTTCCTTATTATAGTAAGGCAAATTGTATTTCTCTACCACTTTGGGTGAGATTAGACATCCAGTGGCTCTAGGGTCTATTAATGCATTTACTCGGAATCCTCTGATTGTGATTATTTTTTTAAGTTAAAGTCCTGTGACGTCGTCATCTTTAACTACTCTTTGAGCCTTTAGAATGCCCTCACCAGCCTGGCTCTCTGCCTAGTGGCGTTCTAGTTTTTTAACTCGTCCTGGGTGGTTCTTGTGCATGTGCACTCATCGTGTAGTGGATAGTCTGTGAGTTTAGGGTCCTTAGGGTTGATAACCCTGACCCTTCGTTGGCCTCGTCCTCTTTGGGTGGGTCCTTCTCGGCAGTCCCTATAGAGTTATTTCCAATAACGCTCCGCGTCTATGACTCTATCCAACTCTTTTTCGTTGTCTTCCCTGTTTTCCTGGTGGACTGGGTAACCTGTGACCATACATTCCTCCACTAAGATGTGTTGGTGGTCGTGTTCCTGTGCGCTGGATACTACTTCTTCCTTCTCACTAAGGTGTCCAAGACATTTAGTGATCTATTTGCACTTTTCCCATAGGGTCTGGTTGACATGCTGTTCCTGCCTTGGGTCGGGGCAATGTTCCTTAGTGCATTTGTGGAACAATTCTCCTAATCCTTTTCCTGGGCCCATGGGCTAGTATCTGGACGCATGCTTCTATTGCCAGTGCATCGGGCACTAGTGCATAAAGCACTTAAACTATAAGAGTGCGTCGTGATCTTTTGTCCATGCCTCGGCTTTATGGACATGACATAAGCCAATCATATAGGTATCTATAGTAATCCATCCGTGTTCTAGATCGCCTAGTGTCCGCGCTACTCGTGTACGTTCTCATAGGTGTTTGCTACAATCCCATGTAGACGAGCACTGCCACCATTCTAAGATGTCGTGATCGGTTTCCACCTATATTTGCCATAGTGGGTTTTCTACTATGCCTTATCGTTCCTTGGCCTAGTTGTAGGTCCCATGGGCGTTAAACCCGGTGATCTTAACCTTGTGACTATAGTTCGGGGCTTGGTGTTGGTCGCTCCCATACACCCAGTATAGTTCCTATAGAACTCTAGAGGTGACCTCTATGTCCATAGTTATTTCCTAGCTCTTGACGGGTAGCGCCTCCTTGAGGTGTCTCAACATTCCGTCGTTAGAGTCGTTTTCATGTGGGGGCATTGGCGTGCTAGGTCGGATAGCTACCATGGCTATACGGATGACCTTGGCTCGTTTGCCTCCCATTTTCTTGTTTAGGCAATCGGCCTTGAAGTGCCCCTTGTCTCCGTAAGTTAGGCACGCCTTATCCCTAAAACGCTGTTGTTGGACATTGTCCTATTTCTTCTAATGTGCTGACCGCTCATTCTTAGTCTGGGCTTTATCTCCTATAATGACGTCTCCGTCTCGGTCTTGATGTTCTCGTCGATGTTTCTTGGTGTTAGCCTTCTATCTGAAGGTAGGCTTTCCTAATTCCTTTTTTTCCGTCTGGCGTTCGTAGAGCCTATTGTCTACTCGCACTGCGAGTTCGATTAGTTCGTCCAAGTCATCGGCCTTGTCGTGGTGTACTAGTTCGTCCTTAATAATCTCCTTGAGGCCGTTGTAGTACGCGGCCTGCAATGGTGTATCATCCTAGTCGATTCTTGCCTAGAGTTGTCGGAATTCCGCTGAGTAGGTACTTGCCGACTTGGTTTACCTAAGGCGCTGGATTTGTCGCTCAGCCTATTATTTCTTATCCACTTCTCTAAACATGACCTGTATTTGTTCCTGGAAGGTCTCCCAGTCCTTAAATGTCTTCTTCGTTTCTATTCCACATTTGGCGATTGTATTTTCGTTTTTTAAGTAGTCGTCCGTTAGTAGTTGCATCCATTTGGCTACCCTTCTGGTCATGTGCATGCCCGCTACTAGGATCTTGTCTTAATCCGTGGCCAGTATCTGTTTGTTGTACCTGTAGTATAGGTCCATATTTGTGAGGAAAGGTTTGAGTTTTTCCTTGTCCCCGTCAAATAGTTCGGGTACTTTGAACTGCATCTTTGGAGCTATGTTCGTGGCGACCGCCCCGGCTGCCTGAACCTGGAGTTGGCCTATGAGTTCCGCCATCTGCTCCTTGAGCTGTTGGATCTCGCTGGCCTGTGCGGCCAGTACTGTGGCCTGGTTGCTCGTGGGACCAGAAGCGGAGCTTCCAGTCGTGGCCCTAGAGCCTACCGAGCTTGCTGGTGTTGCCATATCAACTCGAAACCTTGGGTAGTCAAAGTGTTACAAGGGGTTTCCACGTACCTAACCGTAGGTTCGGACCCTGCGGGTATTTAGTGATTCGAGCGTGAGGGATGGTGGTACCAAAGAGGTTAGGTGAATATCCTACACCGTATAATAGTACGATGCAATAAATATCAAGAGAAGGCTGATGGTTCGTATAAAGACGAGTGGCTTCAATTTAGATATGAAAGTAAGCTTTTGAAGTTAACTACGAAGAATAGGAAATGTTTAGAGAATGTCCGGGACTATATACCAATCGTCCCACCCTTCACGGTCTTCCGATTCCTCGTCGGGGTCCCGCCAAGCCATCGGGGTCCCGGGACCCATCGGGGTCCCTGGGACCTTGCTCGTATGCTGGACCTCGTCACGTGACCCTAGGGTCCCGCCAAGTCCTTCTTTCTGCGGGGCCCTATCACGTGGTATCGGGCTGCGTGAGCCCGAGTGAATGCTTACTGGCCTTGCCAGATCAGCATCACCTTTGTTCTCGTTGTTTCCTGCCGCTGTCCCGCGGTCTTCTTTAGTGATTGTAACAGTAATAATAGGGATGCCTTTTATGCTAAATACGTACCATCTAAGGGATATCCCTTAAAATGAAAGAGAGCATATCTATATGGGACCTCTTAGCTATTATATAATGAGCCTTTAAATACCATAGGCCTATGCCTAGCATGTGAATAAAGCTATATAGCCAAAGACTACTTTTACCTTTATAAGGAACTAGCACCTGCATAGTGGAAACTAAGACTAGCTATTAGTAAACTAATTAAGCTTAAACGTAAGCATAATAGCGCGTTT